TATATTTCCTTTATAACCTAAAAAAAGGAATTATAGGTAAATGTCATAAAGTTCTTATTGTTCGCCACGGTGATACCGTGAAGTTGATCGCTTTGTAACCAACATCATCATGTCGCTTTTAGGGATCGGTGTGCGCGTGCTTTGAAAAACTTCACTATCATATTTTTTTTAAAAACGCCCCAAAAGAAGTATTAAAAAATTATAAAGTGAGATCGCCATTTTGTTAATGTTCCTTTTAGTAGTGTGTCGAAATTGTTTTATAGTCATAATTGTGAGTCATTTTTAGACACTCCTAAGTTATATTTTAATTTTAAAAAGTAACTAACTTATTGTTATTAGTATTATATCACTATGATGATTATGGGTCATTTCGGCATCGTTTTATTATAAACCATGAAGGTCGGCACTGAAAATCAGCGCTGGTTGGGGTTTTGACTTCCGGCACAGCATAATGCTGAGCTGCTGACCCAATTTACCGATATAATTATTAATTTTCCTTTCTTTTTATTCAACAGCAGTTATATTTGTGTGTTAATTTTTTTTTTTTAATGTAGTATGTATTACTAAAATTTTTATTTATTTTATTCTTCGTTAAATTTAATTTTGTTGTGTACGTCCTTTTTCTTCTTTCAAACGGCCTGATACACATACAAGGACATGATGACAGTGCGAATATCTCCGCGAAATGTAATAATTCCCGTAATGACACACCTGCGTCTTATCACCGCCGAAAACTATGCTCTCTGTCACGTATGACAATGTTTGTAAACGATAAGAACGGTGCTAGATTATCTATGGTCGGTCACGCCATTGATAAACGCCATCCAAACGTATTTTACATTTACATTTTATTTTTTCACGATTCATCCAGCCAGTAAAATTTATTACGTGTTTTATTCCAAAGAATGCCACGTGGCACAGCATTCAAGATCATGGGTCTGATTATTATTATTACCGTCAGCTTTTTCATAACTTTGCTTTTGGTCCGACCTACGCAAAATGAGTTTACAGTATCTCAGTAACTTAGAATTAAATAAAAAAATAATAATTTTTAACCAAAAAAATGTAGATGGAATTCAATGTAGACCTAAACGACAACGTAGACGTACATTCGAATGTGGATGACAGTTTAAGACGCAAAATCATTTTATACTTTCGTTTCCCTAATAGGGGTAGAGATAAATTATTCATATGCGCAAAAATAATTAAATCTTAAGTCACGCCATGAACCGCGACTTTTGGCGATACAATGAATACTAATTTTCTGTTGCGAATTTAACGGAAGAATAGAACGATGTAATTCAATTTCAAAAATCAATTAAATTTAACGGTATACTAAGTACTTATCATAATAAAACATTATTGCTTTGTGGTGCAGTATAACAGTTAACCGCATATTCAATGGGACATTTATGTTACTAATGAACTGTGGTAAGGTGAATAAAAGAATCAATACATTATACCAAACTATCAAAGTGAGATCGATGTTCCATTATCGTTAAGCCGTCAGAACCACATCGACATCAAGTTGCTTACTAACCGACTTCAAAAAAGGAGGAGGTTTTCAATTCGACTCTATTTTTTTTAATATTTATTTATATATAATCTTTCTGTACGTGTGTATGTCACTGAACTCCTCTAAACGGCTGGACCGACTTTAATTAAATTTTGTCTGTGTCTTCAGGTCGATTCGAGAATGATTTAGATTCACAATTCGGTCCACATTTTTTTTTATTTTTTTTTATTTATAAATATATAATTTTATTATATTTTATTTTATATTTTAATTTTATTTTCGGATTACAGTCGTGGTTACAGTACAACGCCTGTCGGGTCCGCAAGTTTATTATAAATTCATTCAAGTCGAGAATATAAAAAAGGTAGAAATTTTAATTTATGCGATTCATTTACTCATCATGTCGTCTACAACCAAGATGGATTCGCGGAGGAAGAATGGTGTTCGACTTAGGTTTGTTCACCATACTTATCTTCCTCCGTGGCGCAGTTGGCATATTGTCTCCGACACCGGTAATAAAATTGGTAAATAATCACCACCGATTTTCTCAGGAATGGATGGATCTAACAAGTTGAAATCTATACCAAATACTTAGGTCTATATAGTCCCTATTAGGTGTAAAAGCAAGATCCTGAGTCAACATGGTAAAAAGATATAGACAAATTTGGATTATCACGAAAACTTGAAAGTATCAAAATATACCTTAATTTTCAACTTTTTTTATTTTTCGGAATTTTTCCTTTATTTGTGCTGTAAGACCTTGCTTTTTGCCACGGACAGACAGACGAACAAGAGAGTGATCTTATAAGGGTTCCATTTTTAAACTTTTAATGTACGAAACCCTAAAAAAATATAATCACTTCAATGAGTAGCGTTGTATTTCTGTGACATATATAAACATGAATGTAGCATGTGCAAGTCTTTTAATAATTTTTGCTAACCACTTTATTCTTATCTTATCCTTTAAACGAGCAATTCTTGTTATCCTTTAAACGAGCAATTCTTGTATATATATTATATATAATCGGAATCTCGGAAACGGCTCCAGCGATTTTCATGAATTTTAGTATATGCGTAGATTCGGGGGCGAAAAATCGATCTAGCTAGGTTTCATTTTCAGAAAATGTCCTTTTATCCCTGTTTGAAATTTCAAACCCTGTTATCAGGGTTTGAAAAATATCATTCGAATACGACGGTAAATTTCACCGAAAAAAAAAATTTTATAACAGCTCGGTCGGTAATCGGGCGGCCGCTAATAAACAGCCACGAAACAGAAGGCCGTGGTTCGTATCACGATCATTTACACATTTATTTTTTTACTTTTTTTTCGATTCCAGATCATTGCTTTCTTTATTTTAAATTTTTTTTCGATTTGTTATTTTGTTATTTTTTTCCCTTTTTTCTTAAATTTCTTTCTTTTGTGAAAAACATCAGTTCATATTTTCTTATTATTACGTCTCGGTAAGATCGAAAAATATTATGCATATTTCATTACTCAGTAATTTGTATCTAAATGTAATTTCCAAAACACACGATTTACAAAAAAAAACAAACCGAGCAAAGCTCGATCCTCCGGGTACTTTATTTTTAGATATTGATCGATTTGCCTTTGCTGAAATTCCGAACTTTTGGGTTCCATTTGAAATAGGGAAGTCATTACATGACCACGTACGAAAATCGCATTAATTAAAGTGTTTATTAAAACTCCGTATCGTGTCGAGTGAATAAGGAAATATATTTAATTAATTTAATCTATCAAAAAGGATGTAGGTATCTTTCAGAAATAATTAGTATAAAATACTTTTGTTTTAGTTCAGTCAAATTGTTAACGATTTTACTTACGGATCTCGTTGCTGGACTCTCATGCGCTGTCACAATTTTAAAAATAAAAAAACCGTATTCTTTTTCACTCTACGATTTTCAAAAATTATATTATCTCGTCACATGAATGTCGGGGATAACTGGACCGTTGTTAATTTACTATTTTTTCTTAATTTTTTTTCGAAATTTAAATTCATCTTGTATCTTTTATTAACTGATGGTGACGCTTTCAGTCCCGAGACTATTAAAGCTTCATCGAACGTAGTACCGGTGGGCTAGCCAGAACCCATAGATTTGAGGCCCTCCACTTGGTTACTCGGAGGCTGGGGGCGGTGAGAACCGCCCTGGAACGCGGGTGTCCCTAGTGTACGCGTTGTGTTGGTTTCGCCGTGCTCGAAGGCAAGGACGAACTATGGTGTTTGCTGTTGCACTGTGTGTAGTGTTATCTCGCCTGACCCCGACTGTGGGTCCGACTTACTTAGGGCCCCTTACTCGACCGGGTAGATGAGGACGTTGCGCGGCAACCTTTATTTCAAATTCAAATATCTTTATTCAATATAAACAATAACGCTTCATTACACTTACTTATTGATAGTCAAAATAGTACTACCGGTTCGGAAAGAAAGTGACCTGATCCAAAAAGGAAACGGCAAAAAAAAACTCGGAGGGCTTTTTTAACCAATTTTTGAGAAAAAAATCATGTTTACAATTTACAATATATTGAAGTCCTCTTATAAGAGAATGTAAAGCGAAACAAAATTTTAAACGCCGCGCAGTAATGTCATGCGTGATTTATATTATTGTTAAACATTTTTGGTACTTCTGGCGCTCCTTTTTTATTTAGTCGTATTACCTATGTAATAAATGTATAAAATATGTATAGACGTATAGTAACGAAAACTAGACGAGCACATCTAGGAAATAATTAAATATCGATGATTCGAGAATCCGTCGAACTGTATTTTTATATTAATCGAATAATGCGTCTTCGCTTACATTCATAATTATGTAGAACGTAAAGCTACTTCGGTTCCAATCACAGTAGTTCCTTACACCCGCGAATAACAATTTATATTTGTTGGCTAAAATTAAGGAATTGTGTGTGAAACTCGGGCATTTCTCGCTTGTGTTTTTACCATTGAATGCCAATCCTCACAGGGCTGTACGGTGGTGTGCCCTAATGCCCCGTACCTACTGAAAGTCATGTGCTCGGAAAGCGGGATGTAAAGGGTTATCTTATCTTGTTTAAAAAAAAACGGATTTAATCAAAGGAGCCGGTGGCTGACCAATTCAAGCTAAATCCGATTCAGACAGTGTTGTTGGAGATTTTCATATATTTATAAAGGATTAAATTCGTAAATAGTTTATAAATCGTTGAAACTCGCAGTTTGCTCTTCGAACAAAGACCTACTTTCTTAAGGAGCCTAGAGTTTCTACAAGCAACGTTAAAAGAAAACCGCCAGACCTAAACGAGAAGTACTAAGTAACTATAGTACGTTGTAATAGTGATTATCATAACGCTTAGGGGCATAGGATACATCAGTGATCGCATCAACCCTGTTGAGCTATGTCGGCTTTGTGATTATAAGGACCACGTCCATTCTGGATTCAAATTACTTTTTTTTTAATTTAATTTTAAAAGTTGTCTCATCCAGCCGATTACCTCCAACTCCTCCAAGTACTCGATCTCGGCGTCATCTTTGTCTCGCTCATCCGTCGTGATGATCCTCCCGTTCCTGCTCACGTCTCCCGTCAGGTTGCCGGCCATCGACTCGCCGCTCACTTTGAAATCGCCCAGCATGTGGTAAGCGCTCGTGCTGTGGCCGTACTGCCTCATCACTCGCGCCACGGCGCGCCCTTTGAAGCGCTGCAGCGTGTTAACACCGCCCGGGTGGTCGCGCAGAAAGCGCTTCACGTCGTAGCTTCCTCCGTTGAAGGTCACGGGGAACTCGGCGGGACCCATAGCGACGACCACAGGCCACGGCGGGCTGCCACAGACTACGTTATCAGCGTGCGATACCGCAGGTGCAACGCAACCAACCGTTCACGGTGCTAACTCGCGGACACTAATGCACTGCATCGCCTTTTTTCCCCGATATTCGGCTAATGCGAACTTACGTCCGTTTGTTTATGCGGAACGCAGCCTCACAAATGTCTCCTCACTTCCAATTTTAACGTTCCGATACATTCACATTGAACTCACGACGAAATATTGGATCTTTGCGGGAAGATTCTTGACGTCCACTTCAACTGTTCACTGCCAATGGACTGAGATTCAACGTTATGACATAATACCGGCGTTTCATATGGAGCTCTTAATTTTTCAGAGGCGCGTGCGCCGTCCTTACGTATCAATAATTTACGGCTGCAGGAAAAACTGAAGACGGCATTTAATTAGAGTGTCTTTGAACGCGAACATTCAATAACAAGTCATAGGAAACTAAACACACATAATGTGTGCATTTATTTTGTGTGTATTTATAGAATAAATATACATAAATAACACGATCACATTTTACTTCCTGGATGTTATTTATACTGAATATGCGTAGCACAAAAAGTTCAAAATTGCATTGCATTTTCTGTGCTACGCGTGTTATTATTTATTGTGATATCAAATCTGTTTATTTAAAAATTCTGATATCTAAATGTATTAAATTTAAAATAGCAATGCAATGTGCGTTATTATATTTCATACGCTGGCCTTTTTTTATTTTGTATCCAATTAATTTATTAGAGCAGACCTATAATTGGCTTTCCGTTACTATCATTTTATTGTACTATATTAGATATGCTGTTGATTTTTCCGTCAAAGACATAAACAATTAAGTGTAATTAGTGCACATAGTACAAGTTTAGGACTAGATTACGTGTAAAATTAGCTCGGGAACTACATCTGACGCGTGTAATACCTTGATGATTATGGGATATAGAATATATAGACCGTTGTAGTAGCTGGTGCCACGTAATTGTAATTTCAGGTGGCAGGTTAAAATCAGTTAGACACTTTCCGTTTTTCGGTTTTCTTGCCAAAAGGTGCATTGCGACAGACTTGACGTATGTCACCTTTTGAGCATATAAACAAAAAATTTCTCTTACTGTTTGTACGACTGACATACCTAATTATTTGTTATAACAAATAATTCACATAAAAAAAAATTCGATGCGCCGAAAAGGACGATATAAGTTTACAATATGAAACATAAGAAAAAGGCCACTGGTTGCTTTTGAAGCGGTATTATATTATTCAGTAGAGTGACCTACATTATTGTGAACTTGTCTTGTATCTTGTATCTGTATACTGTATCTTGTATCTGATGTTTGTGCTTTCAGTCCCGAGACTATTAAAGCTTCATCTGACGCAGAACCGGTGGGCTAGCCGGAACCCACGGGCTTGGGGTTATTGTGAACGTCAGTGATCAACAGGTATATAACCAACTGACCTTAAATTCGAAAGAAAGTAAGTATTTGTAGCCCAATCAATTATGTGAACGCCTATAATCACTGCGGTTTTGCAAATTTTTTAATCCAAAAGTCGGCAAGGGAGTAGAATGGACACCTCAAAAACATGTGGAATTGCGTCGCTCACTTCATTCACTACACTAAAGGAATAAGTATAAAACTTTCTTTTAACGAAGATCTTCTGTTAGGCCGTGTCACTTACAACAGCGGTTTTTTCTGCTGTAAGAAGCACGATTTAAAAACAACCTGAAATTTATTTTCTAACTATTTTGAATTTAGTTAAAGCTTAGTAAAGTGGAGAATATGCATCTGTATTATGTTTATAATTCTCAATTGTCGTGACACTTGCTGTTATTTAAATACAATAAGGAATATGGGGTAATAATTCAGATAACAGCGTCATCCTTTCAATATCCACTGTATCTTTTGATAAACGACTGTCAAGATTGACTGATCGACATCTTAAATGTAATGTAACTTTTAATAACGGTTACTTGCAACGGGAATTATCTTAAAGGTTTAATTAAACATCAACAAATCTCGGGCACGTAAAAGGCTTTAAACAATCTCGTGGTTAAAATAGTAAGTACTGGCGAAAAACACTACGTTCATCACACAATATTTTTTCAGTAGTGAGGATCGAACCGACACCCTTTGACGACAGGGTCAGTATCAATTTTGCCAATTGGGACGAGCCAAGTGCTTCACGGGAATATAATTCAGTTTTCTACAAAACCTTGAGTAAATGCGTGAACAGGCCAGCACGTTTGAGATGTACCACGACCTAACAATAGATGTAAAGGCGTGAAGTATTATATAAAATAAACCAAAAACACTTTACAACAGCTCACATAATATATGTGTTTTATAAAAATACATAAATATAAAACGCACAGGCTTTTGACCTTGAACATATATCCATGATCTGTAGATACTTTAATCTTATCTCAAATTCAATTCGATTTAAGACAACCGTCAATATATATACATACACGTATACATTTGCACTTATGTACTGCATTAAATATTAAGGAAAATGGTAAAAAACAGAATATCGTAGACATTCTTCTTAGTTGTTAGGCAATTATGGCGTAGGGGGCGCTACTGAGCATCAGGTAAGGTAGAACGCTCAGCAAGTGTTCTTGGTAGAAGAGATATGACGAGGAATTTAATATAAATGACCCAAGATTTTAAAAACTTTCATGTTTATAAATATACTAGCGGACCAGACAGTCGTTGTCCTGTATAAGTTTAAAATCTAACAAGAACTAATAAATAAAAAAAAGATAATTAAAAAAAAAACATTTTGTAGTGGACCGAATTGTGAATCCAAACCATGCTCGAATCCACTTCCACTAATTTTTTTTTGATGATTATCAACATCGGTCAGGCCGTGCAGGAGGAGTTCAGTCACATATACACGCACAGAAGAGTTATATAACTATATATAGAGATAAGGTGCATTTCATCATTGATTGATCATAATTCTGAATTCAGTGTGAGCCGCTTTTAAAATGCAACGTGAATAAGTAATGCGAGCGGCGCAGCCGTCTTGCCGCCAACAGAGCCACCTTGAAGTGGAATCGATATCTAAATAAGAAATAAAGTAAAATGCAGTTGTTGGCTCTAATCAAACGGATCGATTTAGTCTTCGATGTGAAGTTATTCTATTATTTCGTTTATTTTTCAACCGACGTCAAAAACGGAGGAGGTTTTCAATTCAACTGTATTTTTTTTATATTTGTTGCCTCAGAACTTTCGACTGAGTGAATCGATTTTGATGATTCTTTTTTTATTAGAAAGCCGATGCTTCCCATGTGGTCCCATGCTAATTTCATTGGTAATGGATCTTGGGCTCCGGAGATACGAAGGGAACTCCTGAAAATCAATTATAAAATGAATACAGAGCGAGATGTTTGAAGTCAGTCTTGTACAATATGTCGTGTCGTGCCTGGTTACGTTTTTACTGATGTGAAAAATTGTGCATGTTTAAAATTGGCATGCGAGAAGGCCGTCCACCTGATGTTAAGTGGACATCCACAATACCACTAAAGAGGTGAGCCCCGGCTACTTCACCCACCAGACGAAACGCGAATGCGTTATAGTTCCACTTTAGGCCGATCTTTTGTGAGGCCGTGGTACTTTCCCGGAGTCTGCCCACTCGTGAAACAGCAGTAGCTATGTGGTACTATCATATTAAGGACTTTTGTGTCATCAAAACTACATTTTTTTATGTGAAAAGTTGCCAATCGAGAAGACGGTTCACCTGATGTTAAGTGAATACCGCCGCCCATGGACATCCGCTACACCCGAGGGTTGCAGATGCGTTGACAACCTTTTGAAAATTGGGCTCCGGCTACCTCACCCACCAGACGAAACGCGAACGTATTTGTCATACTTCCACTTTACGCTGGTCTTCTGTGAGGTCGTGGTACTTACCCGGACGGGTCTGGCCATTCGTGCAACAGCCGAGGCTACTGCGTGGCCCTACCACCGTTAAACACACACGTCGCACATTACTTGATGTATGTAAATAAACTACAATACTACTACTATATCAATTTTTGAGTTCCACCTCCGCCAATTATTGTTTTTTTTGTCAGCTTAAAAAAAAACGTCCCGCTGGGTTTCTTACGCCGGTTCTTCTCAGGTCAGTGGCTTTCCTTCCGAACCGGTGGTAGAGTTTTTGACTTTCCATAAGTAAGTGTAATGCTTCTATATTGAATAAAGATATTTGACTTTGATTGAGAAACTTTGTCAGTAGTTATATGCTATGAAAAATCAGATTAACATTTTTTCAAACTATTTTTCATGGATAATTCGATGATTAATAGACAAAGTAATAAAAATAACCGGTATACTTACATCACATATAATGGCTTTTTTATGAATATACCTACGCAATGGAAATATTTTTTTAATGGGACATTAAAATGATTTCCACTTTGTAGATGGTAATGACTCGTTGGTGTAGTTGCTAGTTGGCTTCGGTGCCGAGGGTTCGATTCTAACTCGGGATTACAACCCAAGGAGTGTTTACAGACCAGCGTCATGGAGTATTTATTACCCATACCCGTTACTGCACCTTCTTATAACAAAATATATAATAAATGAGTAGAATCGAGTAAAATCTGTACATTGAATATATTTATGAAAAAATGAAAAAGAGTATCATAAAAAGCGTTATAGTGAACATAAAAACCATTTTTGGAATTTTTGTCTGTCTGTCTGTTAGCGATAAACTTGAAAACTACTTATCGGATTTTGATGCAGTTTTCTGTGTATTTCTTAAATATTTTGCAAACATAATATTTAAGAAATACACCGTGCCCCATTTTTACAATCTGAGTTCGATCCCCGGCGCCAGCAGCACCAATGAAATTATTAATTTTAAGTGATGAATTATCACGTGCTCAACGGCGAAGGAAAATGGAACCCGCACATTTTCGAAACAATAACAAAATAAAATATTTCGAAGATATGCAAAGTCCGCAAATTCGCAGTGGCGCCTCGTGGTGGTCTATGATACCCTCTGTAAATACTTAGAAGAATTAATATAACTATATCCAGTAGTTTTTCCGCGAAGCACGGCGAACGGTAGAATGAGAAGAGATGATTTCGCATTATGAAGGGCGAACGAGGTTACTTCTTAGTTTCCATTTCTTTATCTTTCAATGCCTTTGTTATTTAATGTTGGCAACACACTTGGAAACCTGAGGGTGTTGTGAATGTCCATGCTGGGAAATTTATTGTATATGAATATTGAACATGAAAACTTCTGTAGGCAGGTTGAGCAATTTTTAAGGGGGAAAAAAACAAAGATACTTTATACAAATACAATATTAAAACTTGAACGGAAAAAAAATCATAAGTAGGTTCGCGTCACCGCCTGCTCGGCCCTTTAGAAGAGCGCTCGGAACTAGTACATTTCGGAAAGTGAACTAGTTAATTCTTTTAGCTCTTTTCAGTCTTCGGATTTGGTCAGATAGATCTAGGAAACAATGATAAAGATACAACATATTGTGTCGATATTAGCTATAGTGGTAATGTTAGCAAATATTACCTTAACATTTGACATTTAATTTCCATTTACATTTATTTAATATTATTTAATTTCCCTTCATACCCTTATAGCCTTAAGAGTGTCTGTGTTAAATGAAACCATAAGTTACTCTTTTTTTGTTTTCTTTGAGACATTAAAAGCAATTGTATATTGTACAATAACATTGTACAACTCATAGTTTTAATGCATTTCTGGTCATGGTGTGTGCAAGAACATTCATTCATTCAAATTATTGCCATTACATCCGCTAAAATGTTTGAAGAAACGTCATTGAAAACATTCAAAAGAAATTTATAAAACATCTTAATTTACGTATGTCGGATAACTACGAAGAGGGCAAATACTATAAACAACTAAAGTAAAAGATGCGAATTGATAAATATGATGTTTCTATATTCCTTACTCTCCAGTCAATTCGATAGCCCAGATCCGTTAACTGAACTATCGCTAAATGTGCCGTTCAAGCGCACTCGTCATACAAACTACTATTTGTTTTATAAACCACTAGTGCATACTTGTTTTACAGGAAATTCTTGTCTGAATCGTATCTCGCATACATACAACACCAATTGTATTCAGACATATTTTTTCTGCCATACAACGCATTTAAAAAGTCAATAAAGGAAGATATAAAAATAATATAACACATACATATAAAGGACAATGGCGAACTCCCATACAAATTTTTGTTGCACAATTTTTTTTGCGTCTTATCACGTTGAACGCCGTGAGAAAACACGTACCAGCCAAGGCGAATTCTTTTTTGTTTAAAATTTTTAAAATACTGTTTTAATCAGCTAATCGACAAAAAAGTGAAATTTGACACAATCAATTCAAAACTTTAAATTTTAATGTTAAAAATATTGTATTTGAGTAACCTGACCCACCGGTGGGCCGCATGGCCTCATCGGAAGGAAATGCGATTTTCTTTCCGCGGGGGTCACGGGGGTCACGCTGCGGCCCACCCGTGCACGTTCCCCGCCCGTCCAATGTAAATTCAAATGTTCAACTGTTTTGACTCCAGTGACACATAGCGTACGTGCAATATCTGCTTTGTTTATTTTTAGTGTTCCGTACCTTAAGATAATAATAGGAACCCTTATAAGATTACTCTTGACTGTCACCACTTATTCTCACAGAAACGGATGGACCTAGCAAGTTGAAATTTATACCTGATACTGAGGTCTATATTCCCTATTAGTTGTATAAAGGTGCCGAGTCAACGATAAAAGATATAGGCAAATTTAGATTTTGCTAGACCCAGAAAATCGGTGGTGATTATTTAGCAATTTTATTTTGGCGGCATAATGGGAGGACGGAACCCTCGGCATACGAGTTCGGTCTGTTTTTTTTATTATGATTAGATTTTTTATTGTGGGCCGCATGGCCTCATCGGAAGGAAATGCGATTATCTTTCCGCGGGGGGCCACGGTGGTCACGCTGCGGCCCACCCGTGCACGTTCCCCGCCCGTCCAATGTAAATTCAAATGTTCAACTGTTTTGACTCCAGTGACACATAGCGTACGTGCAATATCTGCTTTGTTTATTTTTAGTGTTCCGTACCTTAAGGTAATAATAGGAACCCTTATAAGATTACTCTTGACTGTCACCACTTATTCTCACAGAAACGGGTGGACCTAGCAAGTTGAAATTTATACCAGATACTGAGGTCTATATTCCCTATTAGTTGTATAAAGGTGCCGAGTCAACGATAAAAGATATAGGCAAATTTAGATTTTGCTAGACCCAGAAAATCGGTGGTGATTATTTAGCAATTTTATTTTGGCGGCATAATGGAGGACGGAACCCTCGGCATACGTGTTCGGTCTGTTTTTTTTATTATGATTAAATTTTTTATTGTATGAACACAACACCCAACTGTCGATAAGATATATATCGATATTTTGTCGATAAGATATTTTTACTTGCTCATCCCTACAGCTGAATACTGTACTAGCTAACCTAGACCAGGTACATTAAATTCTATTATCATATATAATATTATTGTGTTTTAGAGAAATGACATGACTCTATTTTGCCTCTTATTAGGGTTGTATCAGAGAAACACTAATACCACAAATTCATTTGAAATGTGTACACGCCACACGGTGCCCACTAGTGCCCCAGTGTATGCCATCGAAACTAACTAAACTAACTAATAGCGCGGGAATATATGAAATAATATACTCACAAAAAACGTTTTCATGTATCACATTAGTTCAAATTGCTACTTTTCTAATTAATTTTTGAATTAATGTATAGTTTATGACTTTTTATTATACAAAAAGATTTTACAAAAAGAAAAAAAACAAAAGGTTTTGAGTATTGACTAATGATTAGGATAAAAAGGCGATACCATTCTGTATTTAATACAAGTCAGAGTTCCTTTCTCTGCCAATATCAAAGCATCCTTATAGTTATAGTACAATTTAAGATTAAAATTAAAACAATATAAAAATCAATATTGCAAATGAGTGCTTCTCACAAATCAGAACACTATTTCCACTAAAAATACAAAATCGTCCACTTGGCAATCGTAGAATCCTCCCTCCCTTGTATCACTCTCCCTGTTAATCGATTTTCTATCTCTCGTCTACAGGAATCGATTTTTTTCTTTAAAATTTTTAAAATACTGTTTTTATCAGCTAATCGACAAAAAAGTGAAATTTGACACAATCAATTGAAAACTTTAAATTTTAATGTTAAAAATATTGTATTTGAGTAACCTGACCCACCGGTGGGCCGCATGGCCTCATCGGAAGGAAATGCGATTATCTTTCCGCGGGGCCACGGTGGTCACGCTGCGGCCCACCCGTGCACGTTCCCCGCCCGTCCAATGTAAATTCAAATGTTCAACTGTTTTGACTCCAGTGACACATAGCGTACGTGCAATATCTGCTTTGTTTATTTTTAGTGTTCCGTACCTTAAGGTAATAATAGGAACCCTTATAAGATTACTCTTGACTGTCACCACTTATTCTCACAGAAACGGGTGGACCTAGCAAGTTGAAATTTATACCAGATACTGAGGTCTATATTCCCTATTAGTTGTATAAAGGTGCCGAGTCAACGATAAAAGATATAGGCAAATTTAGATTTTGCTAGACCCAGAAAATCGGTGGTGATTATTTAGCAATTTTATTTTGGCGGCATAATGGGAGGACGGAACCCTCGGCATACGAGTTCGGTCTGTTTTTTTTATTATGATTAAATTTTTTATTGTTTATTATGGACAAAGACGGTTTTACAGACTTTATTATAACACAAGAAGACAACAGAAATAGAAATAAATCTCCTGAATAACAGATTTCAAATAAATTTGCGTAACGAATCCGAATTCATTATAATATAGGTTAAGGTACTGCACCTTTATCGGATCAAATGACATAATACTCCAGAATCCATTGTGACAAACAGTCAAGTGGTACGGAAAACCTACGATTGATTTGTTATCAAATACGTCAATTGTCAATGCTTTGACATTGTACAAGACCACAAAAAATCAGAACATCTAGATTGTGGACTTCAGAAAAGAAATTCTGAAAAACTTGTGACACAAAACCGAAGAAATTGTGTCCGCTGAAAGGCGTATAATAAGAGAGAGAGGAAACAATACGACATCAAGAAACCTGTGTCATACAAAAGATGTCTGTTAAATGTTTGTAATTTAATTCATTTTTTATAAAGAAACATTAAAAAACTAATAATAGATTCTACTTTACTGCAATATATCCACTTTTTTATTTTTAGTAGAGAACAACCCAACAAAGTACAGAAAACTGTAAATAAATTCTAAGTCTATTGCATGACATGAGAACCAAGGTAAATGGGTTGTTGTAGGAGGCCACGTGGCCACTAACATTTTTGTATGTTATCAGCGTGTAGTAGCCTGTAAAATAGGTTTGAATCTAAGGCGTGGTGTGGCTCACGGGTGACCCGCGTGGCCTCTACGTTTCAGTATGGTTTGGCTCACCGGCGACCCGCGTGGCTCCAATGAAAAGTTTACTACATTTTCACGTGACGTTCAACGTGTTAAGATGAAAAATATGTAAAAATATCGAAGTTAATGTTCTGAATATATTATACATACAAATTGTGATTAAAGGATGTCTGGAAATAAAGATATTTCGGTCTAAAATTTTTGAGATTATGTCGTATATTGCCTGTTTATTATCTATTTTTTACTTTATACTGTATATTATCTACTTTGTGCTACTGCTATGAATTTAAATAGTCTTGTATATTGTCTTATTTTTTTTATCGGTTCTGGGTTTGTGCCCTCCGCAGTGGGTAGGGCCACGCATGTGCTCATGCGTGCGTTTAACTATGGTATTTAAATAGTATTAAAACAATCTATAATAAAATAGATTGCGGTCTATGTGAAAGAGTTATAATAAACCAAAAGACGCCGTAGATTGTTCCAGCACCTACACGGTAGCATATTACATCTCCAATATTTAATCAATCTGACAGAGTATTAATTCTAATCGGCATATATATCTTGTGATGAAGTTTAAAAACTTTACCAAATGAGCTAATAGATCTTCCTTAACAATAGTAATAATAATAATAATATGCTTTATTGTTCACCAAAAAAGAAAAAAGTACAGAACTAAACAAAATATTTATCAAATATTGGTCATCAAAAGGCGACCTTATTGCTACACAGCAATTTCTTCCAGGCAACCTCAGAAATTAATCAAAAGAAATTCTTATTGGGTAGGATTTAAATGAAATTAAGTAAAAAGAAAGTTGCAACAAAAATTTAAGTAATAAGAAAAACATACCTCTTGTGTGTGATCATCAAAGTATTAATATATTTCGACTTTTACAGCTTCTAAAAAACTCAGAAATAAGCCTCGATATGCAAAATAAATAGAAATATGAAGCAGTTTTGGTATATTTATGTAGGTAGCGTTAAGGGCTGTTATCTTTGAAGAAAAACACATAATATTAGTTATTCCATAAATAAAAAACATTTTCGTTTGAATTATTTATTCCTCATTATCTCTTATGACAATACCACCAAGAAAAATTGCTGGTTCTTAAATACTTTGGTAATTCTGCCCCATCCAAGGTACTAAACTATAGTAATTGTATGAACACAACACCCAACTGTCGATAAGATATATATCGATATTTTGTCGATAAGATATTTTTACTTGCTCATCCCTACAGCTGAATACTGTACTAGCTAACCTAGACCAGGTACATTAAATTCTATTATCATATATAATATTATTGTGTTTTAGAGAAATGACATGACTCTATTTTGCCTCTTATTAGGGTTGTATCAGAGAACACTAATACCACAAATTCATTTGAAATGTGTACACGCCACACGGTGCCCACTAGTGCCCCAGTGTATGCCATCGAAACTAACTAAACTAACTAATAGCGCGGGAATATATGAAATAATATACTCACAAAAAACGTTTTCATGTATCACATTAGTTCAAATTGCTACTTTTCTAATTAATTTTTGAATTAATGTATAGTTTATGACTTTTTATTATACAAAAAGATTTTACAAAAAGAAAAAAAAAAATCAAAGGTTTTGAGTATTGACTAATGATTAGGATAAAAAGGCGATACCATTCTGTATTTAATACAAGTCAGAGTTCCTTTCTCTGCCAATATCAAAGCATCCTTATAGTTATAGTACAATTTAAGATTAAAATTAAAACAATATAAAAATCAATATTGCAAATGAGTGCTTCTCACAAATCAGAACACTATTTCCACTAAAAATACAAAATCGTCCACTTGGCAATCGTAGAATCCTCCCTCCCTTGTATCACTCTCCCTGTTAATCGATTTTCTATCTCTCGTCTACAGGAATCGATTTTTTTCTTTAAAATTTTTAAAATACTGTTTTTATCAGCTAATCGACAAAAAGTGAAATTTGACACAATCAATTGAAAACTTTAAATTTTAATGTTAAAAATATTGTATTTGAGTAACCTGACCCACCGGTGGGCCGCATGGCCTCATCGGAAGGAAATGCGATTATCTTTCCGCGGGGGCCACGGTGGTCACGCTGCGGCCCACCCGTGCACGTTCCCCGCCCGTCCAATGTAAATTCAAATGTTCAACTGTTTTGACTCCAGTGACACATAGCGTACGTGCAATATCTGCTTTGTTTATTTTTAGTGTTCCGTACCTTAAGGTAATAATAGGAACCCTTATAAGATTACTCTTGACTGTCACCACTTATTCTCACAGAAACGGGTGGACCTAGCAAGTTGAAATTTATACCAGATACTGAGGTCTATATTCCCTATTAGTTGTATAAAGGTGCCGAGTCAACGATAAAAGATATAGGCAAATTTAGATTTTGCTAGACCCAGAAAATCGGTGGTGATTATTTAGCAATTTTATTTTGGCGGCATAATGGGAGGACGGAACCCTCGGCATACGAGTTCGGTCTGTTTTTTTTATTATGATTAAATTTTTTATTGTATGAACACAACACCCAACTGTCGATAAGATATATATCGATATTTTGTCGATAAGATATTTTTACTTGCTCATCCCTACAGCTGAATACTGTACTAACTAATATAGACCAGGTACATTAAATTCTATTATGATATATAATATTATTGTGTTTTAGAGAAATGACATGACTCTATTTTGCCTCTTATTAGGGTTGTATCAGAGAACACTAATACCACAAATTCATTTGAAATGTGTACACGCCACACGGTGCCCACTAGTGCCCCAGTGTATGCCATCGAAACTAACTAAACTAACTAATAGCGCGGGAATATATGAAATAATATACTCACAAAAACGTTTTCATGTATCACATTAGTTCAAATTGCTACTTTTCTAATTAATTTTTGAATTAATGTATAGTTTATGACTTTTTATTATACAAAAAGATTTTACAAAAAGAAAAAAAACAAAAGGTTTTGAGTATTGCCTAATGATTAGGATAAAAAGGCGATACCATTCTGTATTTAATACAAGTCAGAATTCCTTTCTCTGCCAATATCAAAGCATCCTTATAGTTATAGTACAATTTAAGATTAAAATTAAAACAATATAAAAATCAATATTGCAAATGAGTGCTTCTCACAAATCTGAACACTATTTCCACTAAAAATACAAAATCGTCCACTTGGCAATCGTAGAATCCTCCCTCCCTTGTATCACTCTCCCTGTTAACCGATTTTCTATCTCTCTTCTACAGGAATCGATTTAAGTTGAAATGGACAATGTCACCTCGTTGCCGTGGATCAGTTTCAATGTTCCCTCCTGAGTCATCGGGATAACAGTGTACGGACGTAACAGTGTACCATAGGGATGTCGAAAAATATGACGGTATTTTTGATTTTAAATATCGATATTTTTAGGTGATATATTTCGATCCGATCTATCAATATTAAGATTCAATATCGAAATCATATCAAAAACGATATTTTTTTAATTTGAAAAAGGCACAGAGTCCGTAGATACCAAATATTTAATACTTGACTTGCATATCTTTTTTTTTTTTTTTGACAACAGGTCCTAAACAGAAAATATCGATATTTTTTCTTCGATATATCGAGGTTGATATTTTTGTAAATAATATTGTTCTATTTGTTCACTTTCAACATCCCTAGTATTCAACATCCATAGTGTACAATGGCTTAAACATTATTTAGCCTTTAACAGAATATTATAAAAATATTACTATAAATTGTCGTCTAAATTAACACTGAGTTTAGTACTGAACACAAAAATCAGTTATTTAGTTTTTTGTTTGCTTTGCTATCTAATGTATGTCGTAGGGATGGGCAAATAAAAAATATATCGTTATTTATCGAGTAAAAATATCGATATATCGACCTATCGTCAGTTTTCGCATGATTGTTCATACATATTTACAAACCATTCAAAATTCGTAAAAAAAAATAATAAACGTGAAGAAAATAGTTGAAACCATTTTTTAAGTTAACAATGCGTGAGGTGCAAGCAAAGAGTATCTAGTAATATTAAACACGAAACTTAAGTTGCGTTAAGAAATATATCGAAATTGACATGAAATCGATAGTCTAAATCGTAATAATATCTACGATATAATTATGCTGATAAATGTATGGAAAAATATCGATACTTTTATATATCGATATTTTTACTTTGCTTAGTGTTCATCAAAGTCATCGCTCATCGTATGATCGTACATCACCAGTAAGAATAGAAACGTCAAAAAAATTAAGCTTGTGATAAGCTTTACAATACGAAAAATACGAATTAAATCACAGTAATTGAACCAATTAAACTGATTAACTCTTTTAATTGGTTGCGGTTAATACATTGAAAAGTTTAGTGCGGTGCAATTCTGTCTTCTTTTGTGTGAATTGTGATGTGCGTTGTTTGTATTACTTGACATGTACCTATGTTGGGAGATTTCCTAAATAGAGCTTTCATGTCGGGTTTAAAAATAACATAGCAGTGTCGCGACAGGTCGGGCGGCGTCGTCTGATCGTGTACGGTGAGCTCTTCACCATGGCTGCTAAGTGCACAATAAGATTCATACTACTTATACTAGGTAAGCGCGGGTACTGTTTATAAAAGATTAAAGATAGAACAGAAACCGCTAAGGTAGCGCATAACGATGCTCTGATTTAGTATCTAGAAGACGTCATTTGTCTTCATAAATCTATAAAGTTATATTTAACAAGTCGTAAATTATGTTTTCGTGTTTCACTTTGTTTTGTGTACATAGCTTAATGTCATACCTTGCATATAATATTTCATCAAATAACTGCATGCTATAAGATAATTCTTTTTTTCTTGAATTATAGGATGAAATTTTTGATAATGTCCAATCTGACTAATTTAATACATAAATTTTAAAAATATATCAACCATGACAATAATAATACATCAATCAATAACATTGTAGGTACACAAGGAACAGTACTGGCAGCACCTCCCATGGATGAAAATCTACCACCAAGACCTAAAGGAGGTGGAGTGGAAACTCGTTACTGTGAATTTTTTAATGACTCTTCAGTATGTGATGAAACAAATAATCCTAATTGCCTGCCTGCAGATATGAAAAGGGAGAAATGCCAAGGAATTGAGTCTGATAAGAGTAACCATTGTTTTACCTTATGGTATTTCAATAACAAAACTAATACCGCAACCGTCAAAGTTAAAGGATGCTTCTTAGATACTGTATCATGTAATGACAGAGTGTCCAATTGTAGTTTGCACAATGTCAAACTACCACTTCTGCATTGCTGTTGTGAAGGAGATATGTGTAATGAGAATGCAACATTTCCAGGCTTAGAGGCGGGAATGCTGTTACAAACGGAGTCTCCTCCAGAAAGGATTCCTGCATCACCTTCTCCAAATGCTGATGATGATACTAATGCTGTTATTGCATACACCCTAACACCTTTGTTCATAATATTTGCAGTCTTAGTGGGTTGTTACCTTCTCTATAGAAGACGTAAAGGGAGTTCCTTCGCTGAGTTGGCTAGTGGGGAGGCTTCTTTATCAAGACCTCCATCAGCTGGAGCTGGTATGGAAAATGAGACAGGTGGATTACTTAGCCAAGTCACTTTATGTGAAGTCCGAGCAAGAGGTCGTTTTGGTGCAGTTTGGAGGGCGAAATTGGGTCCAAAGGATGTTGCGGTTAAAGTGTTTCCATTGCAAGATAAACAATCTTGGTCAGCTGAACAGGAGATATACCGTCTACCTAGGATGGATCACCCTGACATTTTACACTATATAGGTGTTGACAAAAAGGGTGATAACCTGCAAGCTGAATACTGGCTTATCACTGCTTACCATGAGAAGGTGATTAAATTGATAATGTATTGCTTAATCCCAACTAAAAACCTATGAGAACTTGTAAATAGCAAAAGAATTCTATAATTAATATTGAAAAATATTTAGTAATTTCAATATTAAATATATATTCAGGATTTGCCATTTTTTATAATAATGATGTTTGCAATACAAGCTCAAACTCTAGATTAAAGCCGCTAGATTTTAGAAAATCATTTAACATTTTTATAATATTACAATATTTCTATGAAAGCTTGTCTATTTTGTGCGTTTATACATTTCATAAGAACTGTCTTCGGTATCCGGTTTCAGGGTTCATTATGTGACTACTTGAAGGCGCATACACTCACTTGGGCGGACGCTTGGCGTATAGCCGCTTGCGTAGCACGCGGGCTCGCCCACCTCCATGAGGAGGGAGGTGGCAAACCGGCCGTGGCCCACCGTGATTTCAAATCGAAGAATGTCCTGTTGAAGGCGGACATGAGCGCTTGCATCGCCGACTTTGGCCTGGCCCTGATATTCGTAGCTGGCAGAGGATGCGGCGACGCCCACGGCCAAGTAGGCACCCGCAGATATATGGCGCCGGAGGTCCTGGATGGCGCCATCAACTTCACGAAGGACGCCTTCCTGAGAATCGATATGTATGCGTGTGCTCTTGTCTTGTGGGAGATAGCTTCCAGGTATAGTATACTTTGTGTTCTACGCAATCATGAGACTTGTGACGTCTCTCTTTAGAATTAACCTTATATTTAATAGTCAGACTTAGTGAGTTATCACATGAAATTGTTTACTTAACAGGTTGAATTTCTGTATTATACATTAAAATCTAAAAATAACTTCTTCGCTCATCGTTTTTAACTACGAAAATACAACCTAAGTTAGGTTTGATATAATTGTAAAATATGATCTCGGCTTAAGCGACAAACTGCAACCTGTCTGCAGTGTTTTGTCTCCAATAACACCAATGATAATTAAGACAAAAACGATAATTGTATTGGTTCAAATAATCGTTCTAAATCAGGTTTCGTCCTAATTTAATTCGTATTTGTAAATAGTCTTCAACTCATGATTATTTAACAATATCAGATGTAACGAGGGCGGCGCGGAGCCGTCGGCGCAGTATCGGCTGCCTCTCGAGGAGGAAGTGGGTTCGCATCCAGGCCTTGAGGAAATGCAGGAGGCTGTGGTACAAAGAAAGCTGAGACCGCACATACCACCGCAGTGGCGAGAGCATCCGGTAAGCCTGTACCAGATATTAAGACCATTACAAAATTGGAGATCGCATGGTTTTCTCACACAATTTTTACTGCCGAACTTGAGTTTCAATTAATCAATTATAGATTAATTTCTATTATATCTTTACTCTTTTCGGATATTTGTGTGTCACAAATCTGGGCCATATATGATCATACATGGGCTACCAACATTTGTCCTATGCTTTCTGTGACCATATGCATGTTTGTTTTCAATTACTGTACTATTTTTATGTCAATAAAATAGTTGCCATCTATGGTGTTTGTGATACTGGTCATTCAACTTCCATTATCAATCAAAAGGATTCTTCTTCTTCTTTACGTGTCGATGACAAATCATATCTTCCCAGCCCAGTACTTAGCCACTTCGACAGCACAATTTGTGGCATCCATCAGATCCTGCTGCGAACAGGTGAAAGGGCAGGCAGGACAAGACATCAGATGGGCTATGGACTGCACTGCTCCACACCAATCAAAAGGATTTAGTTGTCGACACTGGCCAGCGATCGCTAGATAACGAGATTTCTTTACAGCACCACATGGCGATGCTAAATACGCTCTGCATGAAAGGGGGTGTGTTTAATAGGCTATCAAATTTCCTGGCCAAGTACCTCGTCTGAATGAATACCAACCAATGATGAAATAAACTTTGATGACTTCGTGGGGTAATTACCAAAGTTTGGCTTCGGCGCCGGGAGTCGTGGGTTCGATTTCCACAAAAGACTACTATTTGTATGAACCACAGATGATAATTGATTCCCATTTGGGTGTTTGTTCTCGTGAAATTTATGTATGCTTCCTAGGATAATTTTATCCCACGGTGAGGGGGCAATTTTTTCGAAAGGAAGACTACAATAGATCATCTATAGGTTGAGGCGGTCACCAGTGGTCATCGGGATTTACCCACCACCTACGGGCTACCAAACCCCTTTACATACAAAAGACAAATGAACTCCTTTCGTGCCCAGGGTCTGTTCGTACTGTGCGACACTATGGAGGAGTGTTGGGACCATGATGCGGAGGCTCGGCTATCCGCCTCCTGCGTGCTGGAGCGCGTTGCTGCCCAGCGACCGGCCACTGCAGCGGCCCCCTCCCCCGCACCGCCCCTCTCCCAAGACACCACGCCCCTCCTAATCCACGAGCTGGCCGAGCAGCAGCCAGTCTGCTGACCAGGAGCTCAAGAGCTGCCCTTGATAGAACTTTGAGGGGGACCGCTATGTAAGTGCAAGGACTAAAACGGATCTCCTCGGTGGCAGTGGTCATTGGGAATCACTACAGTACCCCTTCCATACAAATCATTATAGCGCAAGTTTGATGTTTTACCTTTAAATACAACTGCAGGTTTGGACTCTTTTTTTGCTCTGGGTATTTGATGGCACATGTTTATGTTAAAGAGTGAAAATACGACTCGTCTATTCGTATAATTAATTAAATTCTGATAAACAATGAAATAGGAGAGCTGAAATTCAATTGTATAACAATCCATGCACTATTTTTTGTTTTTGGGTATTATTTAATTACTGATAAACTAATTAATCACTGAGTAGTTAAAACCAAAAATATCTGTTGCCCACAATCGTTTAAAAGTGATAAATGATATAAAAATAAATGGATGACATATTAATCTATATATCAGCTTTTAAAAGTTAAAAAGTAGCTTTTTAAAAAGACATCTAAAATGAATTTCGGCTAAAGTAACAGAAGTTATTGTTTGAATGTTGTGCCCAGTTGGAATAAATGTTAAATACCATCCTTTATATGTAAGTTTCGCCCCTGACGAAAATATGCAACACTGCAGAATGAAATCGATTTCGATCAGTATAAAATCAGTATTCAACATACAAATAGGAAATATTGGTATAAACTTGGTAACGCTAATTAGATCTGGCCATAGTCTGCTATTTTACTAGACATTCTTGTACCCTTTTTATATTCAGTTGTGCAAATATTAATCTGAATTATTTATATCATACTATTTATTGAGCACAAAGACGATTATAGCATTTAACATTTTTTTTTTTTTCATGTTATCTAGTCTTCAATTTCCTATGCAAGTATAGAAAGCTGACCATGGAGGCGTATGTAGGCCTAAAAAACTGTCGTTTAAATAGAAGATATTCTTTTTTTATTGTATGAAATAAGCCGTGTATTTACTTTTAAGATTTACTAACAAATCGTATTTTTACTAAAAATTTATTTTATTATTATAATTTTTACAGTAGTATTTAGTTAAGTTTCATCGTGGGGCTCTTGATGTCCGAATTTTTTTATTTCCATCCAAACTCAGAGCTTTCTGACGCCTCCTAAGATATGCTTGCTGCCTTTGTGGAGCCCCACGATTAGGAAGACTGCCAGTACATGTTACGTTTTATTGTATCGATTGGCCTCACCTTACTTAGTTTGACCAATTTTGTGATTTTTCTCGAAAGTGCAAAAATAACGAACGAAAGAAAAGCAATCGACCTAGTTTAAGAGCGACCTAAGCTAATTAGATTGTACGATATTCGTATCAGAGTAGTTGAGAAGTGGAAATTGTTGCATAGAAGAGTTTTGTGATTTTAATATTTGTCGTCTAGTAAACTAGGTTTTGCCTTTAAAGCAAATCGGATCACCGTGCTACGTAGAGTCGAGAATTCATTCGAGTCATGTCCTACGTTATTATAAATAAAATCGGAATGTGTATCTTTTAACCGTCATTGAAGACATTCTATAAAGAATTGCTAGTCCTTTCCGATGATGCCGTGAGAGCTCAGTGTCAGTGAAAAATACTCGGCACCAATGAAATTGATAATTTTAAGTGCTGACTCATCAAGTGCTCAATTTACGTGGAAAACATCGTGAAGAAACCTGCATATTTTCGAAATAATAACAAGAAAAATATTTCGAATATATGTCAAGTCCGCACATTGACAGTGGAGGACTATATTGTATACCCTAATAACCTCGATATGGAGGAGGCCTTTGCCCAGCTGTGGGACATGTATAAGCTGTTACTATACTTTTTCCGATAGCCGCGTGACGTGATTTTCTTTAAAGGTATAGGTAATATTTATAATGTATTACGCGAGAGCACTTTTAGACCACATAAAAATGTTTTAAATGTACTAGGAAAAATTATCATTCGAAATGATTGTGATTGATAAAGCATATTCGCGTTGATAAATTTAATATCAAGGGCCACCGGCTGCGGTCGGGCCGCCCAAACTCAAGAGCATATCACCAACTATAGACTAAGAAAAGTTGCCAAATGTATGTACAATGGAATAAGCTAGTATTAGGTTTTTGTCTGGGCGTCAGTCTTCGGTTGTGGACACATCGATTCGATATACTTTTTTAATTGTATAAGTATACACGAGCTTTAAGTGTGCTGGTTTTTTTTTTGTATATAAGTCTTTGATTGGCCTAATAAAAATTTTATTAGTCTAGAATGTATTGTGAGATTTTCCCCCTAATGATTTTTGCGGAGGCTTTTGTATGATGCGGCTTTATGGAGGTTGTTATCAATATATAATACTGTGTACATAAAATGCTTCCATTTTTGAGCGTGTTTTTAAATGAATTTGTTGTATATTTTCCAATGATTGTTACGATCTTGCCAGGTCCAATTTGTTGATGTAACTTTGTTTTGTTGCAAAGTTTATACGAATGAGTGATGTGTTCACAACTTGAGTGTAAAGTTAGTTCGATTGAGGTAAGTTAGTTAATGTTATAGATAATGTAGCGTTAATAGACAAGTTAGAGTTTACGTTTTGTGGAAGATTCTTCGCGCAATACAAGAGCGGCCGATGGTAATATTTTTATTTTCTATTTTCTCCGAGGTACATGTCTGTTGAAATTTGATGTATTAAAATATATTTTCTAGACATTTCCGTTGCTTTATTTATGGTTAAACACTTGTGTTAATGTTAACACTGAAATTCCAGCCTTTTTTAGAGAAATCTGTCGTGTCTTGTGTGCAAAAATGACATACATTTGTACCAAGATACGGAAATAAAATAAGCTCGGTGAGATGCGGATATTATGGGTCCCTGTTTATTCCCGTAAGGGTTATTTTTTGTAGAAGGTTGGCAAGCGAGCCAGTGTACCTCATGTTAAGTGATCACTGATTACCTGACGATTATACGTTGTCGATCTTTAAAAATGGGCCCCGACCGCTTAATAATACTCATACTGCCACGATGTTCGTGAATAAAAAGTTTCGAATCGATTTGTGCGTATCACTTATTTAAAATTTTAAAGTAATATCTAAACATATATTACGATTAAAAATCAACCTCAACGCATCGGTTAAAGCAAGATACCAAATGTTCGCGTATAATTACTAATTTAATTTTTATAGTGTTTATCTTTGCACTTTAGATGAAAATCTCAACGTCCTTTATCTATGCAGTATTTTTAAAAATTTGAAGCAATGCTTTGCCCAACTACAGTGAAAAAATCTGACCTGCTAAATATGAACGGAGTTTTCGGAATCATTGCTTGATCCAAGATGCGGTAATGGCTCAATCATGTCCGTAATCAGTGGTTAATTCAATTTAATCATTGATCTACAGTTCCATTAAAACTCGGCAACAGCTTTCAGTCGCGATTTACATTATGAAATCTAAGCGAATCTTAAAATAAAAATAAGGTTGTATTTAATTGCAAGGAACAAGTCACACTTTCAATTTAGCAATAGTTATAGGTGTGTACACAGAGTCTAGCCTTTTTTTTAATTCTAATTGATTTCGTTGAGTATTTAGAGGGGAAAAACATAATTGAATTAATGAGAAACAAATTAAGTGTATTCTTTCGTGGTTTTTATTATAGGTTGGCAAACCAGCACCTGAAAAACACTGGAATTGCAATTACGCTGCAACCCCTAAGACAATGGACATCATACCACTTTAGGGATGTCGAAAGTGAAGAAATTACTTATGTATCGATATTTATAAAAATATCAATATCAACCTCTGTATATCGCAGAGAAAATCGATATATCCGATGATAATAAAAAGACGCGAGATATTAAATATTTGACACCTACGGACACTACCGGATTAGATTTTGAAAATAATATCATTTTTGATACCATTTTCATCATTTCAATCAAAAATATTGATATATCGACACTTTTTCGACATCCCTACATCAATTTAGAAATCGACTTCTTTGAAGTCACGGGGCTTCAAAATCAAAATCATTTATTCATCGACATAAGAAACTTGCTTCTCCGGATGGGTCCATTTATAACATCAAAGCTCCAAAACAAGCACACCCGCTGAATCTCGACAGTCTTTGAGATACATTTGGGGATAAATACAAAAACACATTCAAAGTATGAAAAGTCCGATTTATTTAACCGGCTTCCCGGTCTGCATCACTGAACAGGTTAATAACATGTTTTCATTTGTTTAATTAATTTTATGGCAACATATTGATTCTCACAAGACCATCCCCGCGTTGTGCAAATCAATGGACATTTGGCGAACTTAGTCATCTCTATATGTACATCCTTCGGATACCAGCGGTTTGTGAGAAACATACGCTGTGGGGGGCGGGAGGGGGAGGGGGCGGTAGATAAACGGTGATAGATACGCGCTCTCGCCTCATTACAATACGCGTCGGTTGAAATAAAAGATGCCAAGTGTTTACACGGAAAACTACGGGCAAGGAAGACATTTAAAAGTAAATATTGTGCGTTCGGGCACGAAAATTCATGTTGAAGTTTAGAAAAAAAAAAAATAATCATACGGAACACACGTCACACGTATTCATCGGAATCTAGGGGGACCGCTACGAGGTGCGGACGCCGTCCCTTTACGCGATTTCGAACGGAACGTTGTCAACGCCAAGCGGCTTCTAATCGCGGCAACCGCTAACGATCGGCATAGACAATTAGATTACGTCACAAGATGGCCGCCCGGCGACGTTTCACGGCGCGGCGGCCATAGACAACGCGGAGGCGAGACGGGTCGTGGACAGCACGCGGTGGTGACGGGGCGGGGGGGGGGGGGGAGGGGTCACGCTACGAGCGGCCCTCCTCGTCGTTCTGGCGGTTGGAGGCGCGCAGGCGGTCGCCGTGCGCCTTGTACTCTATCGGCACGGACGCGGGCAGCTGCAGGATCCTCCTCAGCGCGTCCCTGACCCTGGCGGCGGCGGCGAGGTCCGACGCGGTCCGGTGCCACACCGCCAGGTGGTCCTCCTGCGGAGCGAGCGGTCTTTGGGTTGTTTTGTGCGAGCGGTTGATAGGCGACCGGGCGGTCGGCGGCGGATTTAGGACCCACAAAATTTTTAGACAGCTAAAATCAAAGATCGATTGGGTTTTCAGTGAAATGTGAAACCAAATATTGAAGTATATTTTCTTGACCTCTTACAATGTAAACATATAACCATTTCAAGAGTATTTCGTAGAATTTTGATGAATAAATAAGGTAGTTCTGAGGTACCAAACGAAAGAAAAATACAACCAACTGAGAACCGCATTCTTTTTAAAATTCGGACTTCAAATAATACTATCGTAATGACCGTGTCACTGTTGATTTTAAATCTAGTCATCCGATAGGTTGACTGTCAAAGAAAACATTGATTAAACAACTTTTTTTACTTTGAAATAATATTTAAAGACAGTGAGTACGCCGAATACGTGTTAAAATTCCATAATTGGTTGGAAAACTTGATGAGTCATTTGTTTTGTTCATTAAAACGATAATTCATTAATGTTCTTACGTCGTCTCGAATTTCCGATCAACCCGATAAGATTAGATTATAAACTATAGTAGCCGTAAATAGGATTCGTATGTGATATGTAAACTTAAAATTAACTGCGTTTTCGATTTATCAACGTATTCCCACATTGTACAGGTATGTTATTAAAAAACCCCTTTAGAAGAAAGGCAGGAAGTGTTAGGGCCATGCATTAGTTCGCTGATGCACGAATGGGCAGGTCCGTTGTGGGAAGTACAACGAGCTTACAGAAAAGCGGCGTAAAGTTGAAGTGTTACACTTCTGCGTTTCGTCTTGGAGTGAGGTAGCCGAGACTCACTTCATTAAAAGTTGCAACCCTATGGGTGTTGCAAACTTCGATCGGTGTCGGTTATTACTTCCCATCAGGTGAACCGCCACCTCGCTTGCCAACTTAGCACACATAACAAAAAAAATCAAGAAAGGCAAAATGTTAGAACAAATCGTACTGTTAAAATATGGTTTAATTTTCTTGATTTATATAGCTTTTTCACTAAGCGTATGCGTTAAATACAACTTATTTTCAATTCTAACCGTAATAATTATAATAATTCCTCTTCTGGATTACACAACTGTCACAGAAATCATGTGTTAGGCATCGAGGAGGGGTGGGGGTTTAGGATTATAGTGATATATCACGTGTAATTATTTTTTGGCATTAGTTCTTTTTTTATAACTAAAATACAAGTAATTATTTCGCGTAGGATAGTTTAGTTAGGGGTTAGTCTTCTTTGTTACCTCACCGAGTGTCACCAGGGATGGCGGGTTTAAAAATGCTAAATACATACGTGATTAATAGGCGCCCCCTTATAACCCGCAAGTGGTAAGTCGTATGAAGTTACTGGTCACATGAATACGATTCGTCGTAGATAAATGGAAAATTGAGGTGAGAGTAAATCCAAGCTACTTGACCATTCCTCGGAGAAAATTAGGGCGAGAGTCGTGTGAAGTTACTTGACCATTCCCCGGGAATAAATGGGCTGACGGACCTGGAAGCGAACGGAGAGGACGACCCCGCAGAGCTCCGGCCCCACCATGAACTGCTCGCCCAACATGGCCATGCAGAGGTCCTCCCAAGCGCGGCCCGTCTGCGCCTTACGCAGCCGCACCACCTGCACACGGTAACAGGTACACATTGTGATGGGCGTGGGTTCGATTCCCACGCGAGACAACTAAGATAAAAACTGCTTCGTATCTCGGTTTGTCCACGTGAAGTTTATGTATGTAAACCGCCCTTACAGCACTATATATAATGCTATCCTATAACGGGCATTTGCATGTTTTCTAAGGGATAGAAGAAAGTTAACAATAGATCTTTATAGGTCGCCGTGGGCGTTGGGATTTACAACCCAACCCCTTCCACAACAAATTACAAATGCATTAACATTCATTCGTAAAAACACGTTGTTCTGTGGTACAAGTTTGTAAGGGGAAGTAACACGGCCTCATAGAAGACAGTCCTAAAATATTATAATATTGTACAGTATATATTACGAACTAGCATTAGAATATATTACGGAACTAGAATTAGAATATATTACGGAACGATTATCTCTTTACCATGGCTTATTACTATAAATGTATTCATTATTATTATACTAACCCTTTTCAAAAAGATTTTCTTTAATAACATTCTTAAACCTGTTAATACACAGGCATATTAATTGGTTTTTAAAATTTTAAATTTGTTAATTTTGTTGTAGAAGCATACACACCGCCCCATGAACGAGTTACTTACTTCATGGAGTCTAGTAAATACAAATATATATAAAATTGCAGCCATCAAAAATGTTTTGTGAAAAAGTGGCAAATGAGCTGGCGGTTCACCTGATGTTAAGTAATAACCGCCGCCCATGGACATTTGCAACACCGGTAGGATTACAAATGCGTTGCCATCTTTGAATAAAGTGGCCCCGGCTACCACACTCACCAGACGAAACGCAGAAGTGTAACACTTCTACTTTACGCCGGTCTTCCGTGAGGTCGTTGTACTTAGACCAGACAGACCTGACCATTCGTGAAAACTGTTGCGTGGCCCTACCACAGTTGTTATAATCGTCTCTTACCCATTTCCCGCCATTAACGTTGGCCGGGTCTTCCCACATTGGCTTGATGCCCAGCTTGAAGAGGTGCAGGTCGGAGAGGGGCGGCAGTTCCGCCGGCCGCGCCAGATGGGTGTAAAGCCCCCACCATTGCTCCACGCTCGCCACGCGACCAACCAGACGTAACGCCTGAAGTTGCGTACAGCTCAATCAAATTTGTGCTTAAGAGAAGAGAGGATAAGAGCCGCCCATTTGGCATACAAAACATTAATCGAAAATGGGTAAAGTCAAGGGATAGAGAAGCCATAAGCCTTGACCAGGCCACTTCCATTTGTTGCAATAATATAAGGTGTAATAGCAGCATGTAATATAAGGCATCAGATGAAATCTATGCTAATTTCTGTTGAAATAAAACAATTGTAAGAATTTTAATATTTCTAATGTTTAAGATTAGGTTTCAATAGTAAAAACTTATTGCTATTTCAGAGAAAGTAGTGATGGGCATTTCTCAATATAATATGATGACTTAAGATTAACATATTCAGAACATTATATTTAAGAATTGTTTGATTTATATAGAGAATAAACAATAAGTGCAATATTAGTTCAATTAAGAAATATATTATATGTTACTAGCTGCTGTCCGCGACCACGTCTGCATATAGGGATGAAAATTTAGGGTTGTATGTATTTTTGTATGCTGTATCATAAAAAACTAAAAACATAAAATTTTGTCCGAAAATTAAAAAAAATGTTAAGGGTGAACAACCCTTATCACTTAGGGAATGAAAAATAGATAGTAGCCGATTCTCAGACCTCATTAAGTCTGAGAATCGGCTACTATCTATTTTATATATGCATATAAAATTTGGTAAAAATCAGTACAGCCATTTCGGAGGAGTAAGGTAACTAACTTTGTGACACAAGAATTTTGAGAAGTATATGTTATGTAGCTTTCTAAAATCCGCCCTTATTTTAATAAGTCAAAAACGTTTTTTGTTTCCTGTCGCACACACATACAATGCGTCATGGGTTTGACAACAAAGTTGCCCGCATGTTATTTGATAAGTCTAGCAAGTAGTTTCTCTTTAAGATAACACACAATTCGATTGATGAGTTAAAAATAATTCAAATAGAGCCTATGATAAAAACAGCTTTACTAATTCATGAAGAAAATTTTACATTTATTTTTATCATTTGTTATCCTTTGAAGAAAAAAACACTTCATAATAGAAAATATCGCACCTTTAGAATTATAGTGACCTATTTAAAAACATCAATTTTTGGGAAACGTAAAATAAGGATTTGTGGAACTTATGAACAAATGCACTAATTGGGGGGAGGTGAAAGAGACAGAATAATATATGTTACGTAGTTTTCTAAAATCGGCCCATGTTTTAATAGGATTCGAAAAAGGTGGTCATTTCAGGTCGTTTCCTGACATAAAGCCAAGGTCATGATTTACATAATTAGGTCCCTTTAATTCTATCTGTTCAGTATGTTATCTTCTGCTTTAACAAATATTCACAGAATTTTGTTGTTTATTAATTTAATGCAAAAATAATAAATTTCTGGTATTAGTATAACACATAAATCCATAAAGGGTTTTATTGAAATTAATATGAAGTTTTTCACATTATTAAGAACATATAAAAATCACCAACAAAATGCACAACATTGATTGTTATGATAAAACTTTTTAACTTTGGTGATAAAGAATAATATAAATATATGAAAAAATGAAAGACAGATATATGCGATATATAGAACGGAGAGAAGTATGAAGTAAAATGGGTTCATATGGAAGCGTAAGGAGACTAGAAAGAATACCGAAGTCGAAATGTTGCCATACCTGGCCGTAGCCGGTGGTCGTGGCGGACAGCTCACGAGCGGGCGGCCGTCGTGAAAACCACATCCAGTAGCTATACTCCAATTTGTGCTCGTGCGGCGGTACGTACGGCTGCACAATTTCGTCTGCGTTACGTTCGTCGTCATCATTCCCTCCATGATTCTGCGCACCGCCCTCACCCGATCCGGAACGTCGCTCAGGCACGTTTAAATTATAGAACTTGCACATTTTCCGTTCAGTCATGTTATGCCAATCGCACTAACATGATTTCCTAACGGCCTAACACTAGGACACGTTGCTTTCTATATTCTATCAGACTATTCACAAAACTGTATTTACAATTTTATAACTACACTGAAAGATATTATTAGATCGCCTTAATATTTTTTAATTTTATTATTACAATAAATAATTCATAATCAGCCTATTCCCTCTTTTTCTATGTATAACCTTTTTCTTTCCGTCATCAAAATTCAAACTGTCAAGTGACAGCATGGGTAAGTTTGTAACCAACGCGTTCCACTGCACACATTTATAAACAGGAGATTATGTTGATTAAATATTTAAATGCAAGAAATATATTCCACTCTTAATTAATGTTTCATGCCTTGTTTGATTAACTCATTATAGTTGCCATTATGTATTTCAATATATTTAAATAGCTTCATAGAAAAATATAATGTATAATATACAATGCTGCACTATATATTCTACTGGCTACTCTACCAACTGTCCTTACCAATCACGTGAAACTTCAACAACAAACTTCAAGGAATTTAACCAACACCACGTGTTGTATGAGGAACGCTGAATTGGATAGCGACCTTAAGATCAATACTGTCCCTTTCATTAAAGACACGGCACACGATTAGATAAATTATTAGGCTTTTAAACTCTAAAGATTTATTCCGCATACCCTCAGACTGTGCACCTGCGATTACAAGCGTTTTAAGTGATCCTGACGATGAGTTATTGTGCACGTGAAGAAAGTTAATTCCCGTGACTGTTCGACAACGCGTTACCGTAAGGATGCAGCGACAGAGGCCCACTGAATGACACACTGCTCCAACGCGCTTACCGAGGCACACCGCATTCACTATGAAACATACACCAGGTACAGGTGTATTTGCCAGTAAACGCAAAGTCCAAATCTACAGCCTACAGAGGATATCGTCGTGCGCCAGGTCTCTTTTTAATCGCTTAGCTCTTGTTGTTTAATAGCGACTCTGCAAACGATCACTCATTACACCTTTCAACCTTCGAATAAATATTGTACTTCATAAGTAATTTAAATGTTGCAACTTGCTCACACCGATAGCGGCCCATGCCAAGTTTACGGAAGAGTGGACGTCGCCATGGTGTGTTGGTCATGTGCCAGTTTGTTGTTCTTGAGTCCATATGTCATCATTGTCATCTTCCTATTTACCTCTTACATCGAAGCTACTAAAGCCACTGAGCTTACAGCAAATTATACTTACATAAAAATAAAATTGGTTAGAAAAAATTGATTCACCAAAATGTAATTGGCTCAGCAGGTTAAGATTTTTTAATGGATAGTATAATAAATGAAATATAACTAATCACAAAATAATGTGTATGATAAAAAATCATCATCATCATCAGTGAATCATATTGTAAGCGGTTTTGGCTAGGTTATTAACGACGGCCGCCTGCCTAACGGCCTTGGGAATAGACACCCACAGATCCGGAACAATTATCCACAGCTCCCGGAACCGAAGTCAATAGCTTAGCAAATGCGCCACCGATAAAGAAATATAATAAAATATTGCAACCCTAATGATGTTTCTTGTCCTTGATTTCCGAACGGTGACATTTTAATTTGAGTTAGGGATGCCGAAAGTTGAAAAAATATCGATATTCATAAAATATCAATATCAGCACCGATATTTCGAAAAATATCGATATATCGGTCATATTTTCAGTTTTAAAAAAATAACGTAGTTGTTTAATGTTTAGTTCAGTATTCTATAATAAGAAATAGTAATTTTAAGACCAAATTCTCAATATTTAAATTAATGAGAAATTTTAATAAAGCATTAATTATTTATTAATTTTAATCAAATTTCTTTTAATAATTCTCGGTATGTTATTTATCAAGACCTTCATTGGAAAAAAAACTAACAGATTATTTAATAAGATAAATCAGTTTGAAAACCCTGAATCGAATAAATAATAACTAATTAAAAAGCTTGTAACTTTGTAAAAAAGAAGTTAATAATGGGTCAAAAAGAAAACCGCACACTTGTCCTATAAGATCAACAGAATTTAGTAATATTTGTTTGATTGACATGAAAATATAAAATTTATTTTTTTATGTATACTAGATATTATTGATAATTTGATTACAATTAAATTTTTGTTAACTTTATTTACATATTAAATTAAAGTAACTTTAGTTGATGTCATTTATATTTTGCATGCTATTTATAAATTAACATAATATGTAGTTCAATATTAATGATTTGTAACACCTCTTTACCATGTTCTACCTACGATATGGATGGTATAAAGTACGAAGCATTAAATCCATACTAATATTATAAATGCGAAAGTACTCCGTCTCACTTTCACGCCAAAATTACTGAACCGATTTAAATGCCATTTAGTACACAGATTGGCTAAAGCCTGAGAAAGGACAAAGGCTATTTTTAATAAAAAAAAAATTATAACGAAAGATTAATTTAAGGGCTTCAAAGAGAGCGACGCCGCGGGCGAAAAGTTAGTTGTAGTATAGATACCATAATTATAGTACAAAATGCAACTCTGCATCCGCGACAATACTAGTAATAGACCACAGTTTTTCTGTTCATTTTTGTCTTTTACGGCTTTTAATTAGTTTAAATGAAAATATCGTTTTTGATACGATTTCGATGTTCAAGTTTTTATATCGATATATCGGATCAAAATATATCGGCCAAAAATATGGATATATTTAAAAAAAATATCTATGTATCGATATTTTTTCGGCATCCCTAATTTGAAATTTGTTTTGTTCAAGTCAGTCAGTCAAGTCAATTGTCATTTGTCAATCAAATATTCAAAATATAAAAATATGTCTTTACTGTTGTGTTTATTGTAAATAAAAAACACTGGTTAAAACTTATTATACATTTATGTATATGACGAAATTTGTTCTGAACAGCTTTTCCTATTTAAACCTCATAATTATACACTACTATTTACAAACAGTTCTCGAAAAGTTATTTTGTGTGCAATGGCCCAAGTAGATCCTACCGGCAATCCGGACTGCCTAAATGTCGACTTTATGCGCTCTTTAGTTAAACAGTATACCGAATTGGTAAATATTACGTTAATAATTTTCATGTACATGCATTTACCCTAAATTTATATATTGTACAGAAATCGCTTAGTATCCACTTCGTTTGCTGTTGTTTCGTTTTGTTATTGCGAGAAGTAAAATGCAAATTTTAATTATAACTAATATTTGTTAATCTAAAGCGAAGCACCCGCTTAATTGATTTTTTGTACTATTAACTTGTAGCAAAGATTCTAACAGTTGTAATAAAAATCACTTGTGCTCTTTAGGGGCAATGGACAAGTGCATTTTTTTGGGCGGATGCAGCTGCTGCGGCGGGAAATGACTCTGCCAGTGGTGATGACATTTGGCTCCTGGCTAGTGCAATGCTAGCTAGAGGAGAGCTACATCGGGCAGCACATGCTATTACTTCAAGAGGGTTGCACAGGTTGTTCATACAGCTTCCCTAAATAGCTTGTGCTATTGTGTGTGATACTACATCAATACTTTTTCATTGTAGGCGACATCTTCTGTGCTTGGGAGTGGCTGTGCGAGCCTATATGTCTGCTCGGGAACCTTCAACTGCATTATCCCTAATTGAGGAATGTGACACTCCATTACTTGAACCACGAGCTCAAGACCAGACACACAATGTAATTCATTAAGAATCAAGGATGTTTTACCCACTGAAGAAACCATACATTGCCAAAGAAGTATTTCAAAATAGCTGAATAGAAATGGGGTGGCCAAGAATATCTGCGTAATTTAAAACATAATGTAAATCTAACAATATATAGATATTCTTGGCCATTTATATTCCTTTTCCCTACATGTACATTCATTATTTGGTATCGAAATCAAGCCTGTTAAATAACACCTGTTGTGGCGTGTATTTGAAATCTAGCTTAACATGCAAATATCATAAAAAAACACAGATTTATCATTTATATGTTTTTTAAATTGTTAAAAGTTGAATATATTTATTTTAGAGAGCCCTGGCCAGTGTACTTGTATGGCAAGCCCGAGCTCTAGCAGCTTTAGAACGTAGAGAGGCTGCTGCGGAAGCACTCACAACAGCTCTGAGAGCAGACTGTGCCTGCTATGAAGCTCTTGATTTATTGCTTGAGCAGCATGCACTTACTCCCAAGCAAGGTACACTTTATTTATACGTATTAGCTTGAATGCCAATATTTAGCAATTTTCTGTTATACAATATAAAAACTTTATAGTATGTTGATAATTTTTTGAAAGCATGTTAGTTTGTTTCCTGAAATAAACCGAACCAAAGTATTTACATTTCAAGCATATACTAAAACTAAAATAATTTATTTTATTATTCTTTTTAATACATTTTTCTTAACATTTTCTGAATTAATCTTGTGTAACAAGATTATAAATAATAAAAAATTTGATGACTCCATGGCGCAGTTGCCAATTTATTGACTTCGGGGTCGGGGATCGTGGGTTCGATTCCCACATGGGACAACTATTTTTGTGATCCACAGATAGTTGTTTCGCATCAGGGTATTTGTCCACAAGAAATTTGTGTTTGTAAAATTTCCTTACAACACAGGATAATGATATCCTAAAGTTAAGGGCTACATTTTTTAAAAAGAGAAAACAAAGAGAAACAAGTTTTAGTTACATCTGACTTAAACTTGTTATTGAATTCATTTATTGAACAAAGTTATGCATATCTGCACACTACCATATTCTAAAATAACTGCATTAGCAAACTTGTCATTCCAGAAATGAATCTGATTGAATCCCTGCCAATAAACAGTCAACTCAGCCCTGCAGAGGCTGCTCTGGTGCGGGCTGCATACAAAGATCGTTTATTCAGATATACACCACTTACACCAACCAATACAAATGATAAAGTGAGTTTTTTTTTCTAATGAACAAATAAACTTCCTAGTATTTATTTCCTTGGTGGTACAAATGGTTTTAATAGGAAATAAAAATAATATGTAAAATCAAATCAAATTAAATCATTTATTCAATGAAATAAGAAACATACACTTAGTTTTTTTAAACTGCTGCTTATGGAAAAGAAAAAAGTAAAGAAACTCCATAGGTATCCTTTTCTGTGTAATTTTTTTTCCTCAAGACATTAATATACATTTATAATTTTATAAATTTTTTTAGAAATATCTTGGGAGTGATCAAGTCTTTCCCAAAGCTTATTATCATTAATGTATTCTTTTATTCTAGTATGTATTTATATTAAAGTTAAGTGTTATTACACTTTTTACAAAGATTTTCTTTAATAAATTTCTTAAACCTGTTTGGCTTTGTGCATTAACCAGGATTTAGTTAAAGAAACTTATACTGCCCCATGAACGAGTTACTAACTCAATGGAGTCTAGTGTGACTGGGGGTTACTAAAAAGAGAATACCTATTACATGGCTAAAAATTCAAGTTAAATTCATATTAAGCTATCATGGCTATAGATGTATGTATGCAGTACATACTCTATTGCAGTAGTTAAAATCGCTTTTTTCTCTCCCATAAGTTGGTGTGCCATTGCAAACAGCTGCTATTCTGATTTTGTGAATATCTAAAGATATTCGATAGTACTATTACAAACATTCTATTTTACTCCGTTGAAGTTAGTTAAAAGTTCGCAACTAACCTGCAACCTTTCTAGTGTACAACATAGTGTGTATTATTATATTGCTTTCTTGTCTGATTGGGTTTATTTTCATTATGGGGGATATTTATTTATCTTGTCATGCATATATAATTGTCTGATATAATTAAATAGCAACCTATTAGATTATTATTATTATCCATTCCGTTCAATTATAACTCTTCTGCGCTTTCAGGCGAGGGACGGTGACGCGGACGCCCAGGCTCCAGGTCCGGCAGTGCAGCTGGCGCTGACGCGCAGCCTGGGGGGGGCGGCGCGGCGGGCGCGGCGCTTAGCGGCGGCGGGAAGGTGGGCGGAGGCCCTGAAGGCGCTGGACCTGGCGGGGCCGTGGGCCTGCGCGGACGTGAGGACCGCCTGCCTCGTCGAGCTGAAGAGGAGCGCGGAGCTGTTCGCGTTCGCCCACGCCCTGGTCGACGCGTACCCCCAGCACTGGACCTCGTGGTTCGCCGTCGGCTGCTACTACTACCTCATCAGTGAGTACGGTCGCTCGTCGTTTCAGCCCAGTGAGAGTTACTCTATGTGGTTAACTAGACTATGCATAGTCTTTGGTTTAACAGATATCTATGGGCGGCGGTATTCACTTAACATCAGGTGAACTGTCTGCTCGCTTTGGCAACTTTTCACGTAAAAGAAAAAAAAACTGGCATTACAAGCTTGTGTTTGTTTCTTCTATCATCTCATTCTTTTAATTAGTTTTTGCAGTAAGGACCGATATGGTCTGAATAAAATTGATCATTATTAATTTAGTTTCCCTGATATTAGAAGAGATCCTATCCTCGACCCACCAGTGTGGTTACAAAGATAGTCAGCGGGTTAAATCTCATTGTGTTTTTATATTATTACGCATTAAAAACCTTATATTGAGTAAAAATTATTTGATGAACTGATTCTGTTTGAACTCTGATGTTGTCTTATGTTTTTTTTTTTAAATTGAATTCGAATTGCAGACAAGAGCGAGTTCGCCCGTCGGTACCTCAGCAAAGCTAAGAGCCTGGAGCCCGGCGCCGGCTGCATCTGGCTGGCTTATGGGCACAGCTTCGCTTCGGACAACGAGCACGACCAGGCCATGGCTGCGTATTTCAAGGTAATTGTGTTTAAATTTTTTTTTTATGTGAAAGTTGCTAAACGAGCAGACGGTTCACCTGATGGTAAGCGAGTACCGCCGCCCATGGACATCTACTACACCCGAGATTTACAGATGCGTTGACAACCTTTTGAAAATTGGGCTCCGGCTACCTCACTCACCAGACGAAACGCGAAAGTATTTGTCATACTTTCACTTTAAGCTGGTCTTCTGTGAGGTCGTGGTACTTACCCGGACAGATCTGCCCATTCGTGCAACAGCCGAGGCTGTTGCGTGGCCCTAGCACCGTAAGAATATTAAATTTCGCAGTTTGATTTTTTTTTAATGTAAGAAGATGGCAAGCGAGCCGGCAAGTCACCTCATGTCAAGTGACTGGCGCCTTACCGCGGCGCGTGACCTTTTAAAAACGCCTAAATGGGGGTAGAACAAAGAAGTGGTGTGGGTTTCGATTTCTTGTATACTCTATATTATTTAATAGAATTAAATAAATAAAAAATAATGTCTAATAATATATTATTTCTCTATAGAATAATATGAGTCTGTTAAATATCTTTTATTCTATAGAGTCAGAGCCATCTAGGATTAAGAGCCACATTGTCTCATTATTATATTCAATATACTCGAGCAGCCGGAGTTCAAATATCGGAAGAAATGCTTTTTTCTTTTTTGTAATCGAGTGGTAACCGATGTTGCAGGCCAGTCAGCTGATGGCCGGCTGCCACCTGCCACCGCTGTACGTGGGCGTGGAGTGCGCGATGTTGAACAACTTCAGCATGTGCGAGCGGTTCCTGCTCCGGGCCGCCTTATTGCACGGCGACGCTAAGGTGGGACGAGGCAGTGGGTTCGGTTCCTGGTGGGCTGCTACCAACAAACGTATTGGAGAAAGTGAGAAGGGGCCGGTTCGCAGGCGGGCGGCGATGGCGGCGAGGGCGAGAAGGGCGGGTGGGCGCTGGTGGCGAAGGCGGCGCGCGACCCGTACGTGGCGCACGAGGCGGGCGCGGCGGCCTACGCGGCCGGCGAGTTCGAGGCCGCGCGCACGCTCTGGCTGCGCGCCGTGGACATCGCGAGAGACGCGCGCGGACAGGTGGGCGCCTCTCTCTCGCTTCTTGCTGGCGCGGACAAGTGTCTCTCTTTCCCTCCTCGCTGGCGCGGACCGGTGCATCTCTCGCCCTCCTCGCTGGCGCGGACAGTTGCCTCTCTCTCCCTCGCTAGCGCGGACAGGTGCCTCTCTCTCCCTCGCTAGCGCGGACAGGTGCCTCTCTCTTCCTCGCTGACGCGGACCGGTGCCTCTCTCTGCCTCCTCGCTGGCGTGGACACGTGCCTCTCTTTCCCTCCTCGCTCGCGTGGACAGGTGTCTCTCTATCCATCCTTACAGGCGCGGACTTGTGCCTCTCTTTCCCTCCTTACAGGCGTAGACATGACAAGACAAGACAGACAGACAAGAGAGACACTCTTTCTCTTCTTTTTCGCGCGGATAGGTCTTTCTCGTTCCCTCTGTACGGGACGCACTCGCACACGGCTCGCGTGGACACGTGCATCTCTTTCTTACTGGTGCAGCAAGTGCCTCTCCTTTCCTCTCCACGGGACGCACTCTCACGCGATTTGCGCGGCAAGTACATATGCGCCTCTCTTTCTTTCGTTACTCATACCATATGTATAGGAGGCATTCGCACACAGCTAGCGCGGACAGGTGCCTCTCTTTCTCTCGTTACTCGCTTGAATATTTGCCTTTCTTTCCCTCTGTACGGGACGCACGCGCACGAAGCTCGAGCGGACTGGTGCCTCTCTTCTGTTTTGCAGAAATTGTCTCTTAGCGATTAGTCCACTTTTTTGTGATATTTATTAATACTACAGAAATAATATATAGATAATCTAGTTTTAAATTGTTTAATGACGTTTAAACAAATGGTATATAAAAATGGTAAACACAACACATTCGCGGGCAGTGCAGACCGCAGGGATGTCGAAATTCAAGGAAATATATTGAAATATTGATGTTCGCATAGTATAATTCGTATAGATATATCGGATGCAAAAATATCGATAAATAGAATGAAAATGTCGGTATATCGATACTTTTGCGGCGCCAAGCGTTCCCCTTGCGTAGCTGCAGACGCGGTGGGCGAGCACGCTGGACGGGCTGGGGCACGCGTGCCGCGCGCTGGGCGAGCCGCGCACGGCGCTGCGCTGGCACGAGCTGGCGCTGGCGCTGCGGCCCGCGCACGCGCCCTCGCTGGCGGCGCGCGGCCTCTGCCTGGCGCTGCTGGGCCGCGCGCGCAACGCCGCCGACGCGCTGCACGCCGCGCTCGCGCGCAGCCCCGACGACGTGGTCGCGCTCGCGCTGCTCGACGCCGTCGTCGACCGCCTCGCCTCCGCGCACACGGGTACGCCCCTCTCACTCCCCCCGATTCTCTCTCTCTCTCTCATCCCGAAGATTGCTAATGAAGCATTACATTTTTTTAGATTAATTCGTCTGGCCGCGAAACCGGAAGACGCCGGTTTCAATCCCGCAGCGCCGAGTGTTTTCATTCGTTCATCTAAAAAAATTCACAATTCAAAATCGAATCATTGTTGTAATCAACGTTAAATTTACTCTACATCGTAAAGTTAATACTCGTCAATTCTCTCCGACAGAGGAGGAAATCCCCCCAGTTCCCATTGTAAAATTACCGTACATCGTAAGATAATAATGTTTTTTCCGACAGAGGAGGAAATCCCCCAGTTCCCATTTTATAATTACCGTACATCGTAAGATAATAACCTTTTACTCCGACAGAGGAGGAAATCCCCCAGTTCCCATTCTATAATTACCGTACATCGTAAGATAATAACCTTTTACTCCGACAGAGGAGGAAATCCCCCAGTTCCCATTCTATAGTTACCGTACATCGTAAGATAATAACCTTTTACTCCGACAGAGGAGGAAATCCCCCAGTTCCCGTTCCCGACGGTGAACCTGTCGCTGCCGACGCCCTCCACCCCCGCACCGGCCACGGACGCGACCAACACGTCCGACATGAGCATGAGCTTCGACTGAACGAGAAGGAATTAGGAAAACCGTCAAGAAGATTAAAGATATAAGAAGGACTTGTGAATATAACTGTGCGCAGTGTTCCTTCAATGAAGTTATTATAAAAGAAATGTGAAATTACCTATTGTTATATAAATCTAAAAGAGCCACGATAGCTCAGTGTCCGGGTGCTCGCTCTTATACAATGTACTCGAGCGTCCCGAGTTCGATCCCCGGTGCCGGCACCAATGGAATTGTTAATTTTGAGTGCTGACTTATCACGTGCTCAGCGGTGAAACCATCGTGAGGAAACCTGTACGTTGTCGAAATAACATAAAATATATATATTGCGAAGATATTTGAGGTCCGCAGTGGAGCCGTGTGGTGAACTATGCCCTGATACCCTCTGTAGTGGGTAGATCTTTTCCTCACAGTGGGACATATATTTATATATAAGCGGTTACTTTACTTTGTAAGACAACATGAAATTAAAGTTAAACAATAAATTTCAACATTTCTAAACGCTCATGGGGCGACAGACAGTGGTAGTGGACAGATGGTACAGATATACCTGTAATTGTAGGTTGTTATTTTAGTTACCATTGCGCAGTGGCGTCGCGTAGAGAACTACGCCATCATGTGAAGAGAACATACTTATTGCTTTTATATAAATCTGAAACCACTAATGTGGTATGTGGGGTAGCGTAGGGCAGTACTAGGAACAAAAGCATCACAAGAGACAAAAGACCTGGTGTGTTGTAGAAGTATAACTTTTACATTTCACCTGCTAAGGTAAGAGTAACAGAAAACAGCAGCATTACCTGCACCGTCCGAGAGACTGGCATAACTGGCCTACAATTTTAAACGCAAATTGTGTCCATAATAGGCGTTAATCACTGATTAACAGGCGATTTCATTGGGATGATAAAAGGCTGAAATTTATGCGTCATCTAAATTCTCATCGCCCATCCGATTACTGCCAATACAGGCGCGTCTCCATACAAGCAAAAAAGCTTTGCATCCCATTCAAACATGCCCCTAAAATAACCGCAGCCACTAGTTACATTAAAGTTATCATTTACATGTCTTAATTATAGTTTTACTTCAACTCTTGACTTGCCGTGTTTATAGTTTCCAGTGTATCATTTGTAGAGTTTTAGCGCATGTATGATATCTTCGTTCACGCCACGGCATATACAAGTTGTATTTATCAATTGTACCAACTGTTTTATCGGTTTTTTCAAACCATTCGACGTAAGTTGATCTTACATTAAATGTTCTCAAACCACTGCAATCGTGTAAACTGGGAACGGTTTTATTGTAACAAATATAAAAAAAAATATCCCTTGGTGCCAAAGATGTCACGTGTATGATCTACACGGTACCTAAAGAGTTTATATTATAATTAATGACACATTAAATACCTTAACCTAAAAACAGTCAAGTGTCAATCGGCGTCAAACGGCAAAAAAATATCATGTCATAATATGTGAAAATTTCAACTGTCGTAACTATCACGGTTCATGAAATACAGACTGGTGACAGACAGACGTATTAGAGATGTGGAAGTAATGCCTACGATATCACTCGAGTAATGTTACTTAGCAATGTCATACTTAATTACCAATAACGCGAGTATTTTTTTTTTAAAATGTTGCCGTTTAGGATAACGTTATCTGTTATTGTAAGGACGTTTTACAAACATAAATTTCACGCGGAGGAACACCCAGATGCGAAACAACTATCTGTGGGTCACACAAATAGTTGTCCCGTGTGGGAATCTAACCCACGACCCGCGACGCCGAGGCCAATACCTTGGCAACTGCGCCACGGAGTCATCAAAGTATGAGCATCACTATTTGTAATCGCGACCATAAGCTAATATAAATAAGATTCTTTTTTTACGACGGTACACAATGTGTGCATTCCCCCCCGCAATGGCGAATGTAACGCTGAAATAAAGAAATAAGCTAATACACATACAAATAAGGTTGAAATAAATTTTTTACTTTATTTTCAAATTTGTCTTCATATAGTTCAAGGTTAATTTTGTTAACTAAGTAAGAGTCATTGACGAATTGGTTTCACGAACGTATTGTTGGTCTAGCAGTATAATTATTTTAGTTTTAGAATTTCAATCTTAGGTAATATTATTCCTAATGTAATTTATTCTTAATATTATTTTTATTGATTTTAAAATGCCACCGAAAAGGAAATCAAGTCCGTGGACCTATTTTACTTAAAGCGAAGTTGATTCAAAACGTGCATTTTTGTTCGCAAATAGTCTAGCTTAAGCGGTAGGTAGCTTGAGGAGACATTTAAATACAAAACATGCTACAGTTAGTATTATTATACAGAGACACAAAAGCGTAGTTGAGCATAATAATGAACTGAAGCAAATCCAAGACTCCGGATCAGGTTAATAAACTTGAACCCGAAAGAGAAGTGCAAGACATATCAAGAAGCGAATCTACAGGTACTGTAAATACTACATCTTCAATTCTTCATCATCAACGTGTGTAGTCAATGTCGCAAAAAAGCAGAATAGTTCAATGGAGAATTATGTTGTAAAAAACTATCTGTCAATTACTAGAACGCAGCAATTAGATACGCAACTATTGTTGATGAATAATGATGAATAATTGTTGTTGAATAATGATTGCAAACGGTTACCACCATCAAGGGGTTTCGTAAATTTGTACAGTTACTCAACCCCGGATATACATTATACCAGGAAAACCTCATCCGAATGTATTTTGAGTAAAGTATATAATATAAGGTTACATTTTGTTCAAAATAAGTTTAAACATAGCTGAAATGGCTGGACATATAACCACCGATGGCTTTCTTTTGCTAACTGCGCTAATTGTACAGACAATTAGCGCAGTTGGGCTCATTGGTGTTAGGCTGTATTGATTATCAAGACAAGTGAAAATTTGGGTAAATTTCTCAGAGAAAAGTTTTTAGAGTGCAATACGTGCGGTGGTCAGTGACAACGCTCCTAACATTCTAGTTGCGGTTCGCTTAGGCTGGCGTTCTATAGGATGTTCCGCTCATAGTGTGAATTTGGTCGTTCAGAACAGCCTTGAATTTGAAGTTTACAAAAAAACTCGAGGCAAAGTGAAAGACATCGTGGAGCACTTTCATCGAAGCATTTAAGGTACTAAAAACGACGAGAATTAAAAATTCAGGCACAAATGAGTCTACCTGAACTCAAATTAAAACAATGTAGCGATCCGATGGAACAGCACGTACGATATCTTACAGAGTTTGCTTATAATGAAAGACGGGGTAATTGCAACAATTGCTTTGATGATTTGAGTGATTTAATCTTTTTTAATGAAGACTGAGAAATAATAGAAAAAGTTATATTAATTCTCAAATTTTTTTGTGAAGTTACAACTGATATAAGTTGTGAAAAGCATACTTCCGCTTCGAAAGTTTTCGTTTATTGCAAACTAACGATAAATAAAATCGAACGCGTTCTTGAAGAAAATAATCAAATTATACGAACTCTCTTAGCAAATAAAATCCGAGTTAAAGTGATTCTGAATGAATTCGGTGATATCGAATCCGATACGCTCCTTGCTGAAGCAACAACTTTAGAACCGCGATTTAAATCGAAAGCTTTCCGCGATAGCCGTAATTACGATAGAGCTTTATCGGATTTCCTTAGAATTAGCAACGCCACACCAAATCAGGCTTCACAATATTTATTAACACGAGTTCAGCCTGCACAATCAAGTACACCTGGAGCGATTTAGTGGCGCGTATGGTGCAAAAAAACAACGGCAGCTGGCATTTTCGAAATCGATAAGTCTACAAGAACCAATAATTATGTGGAAGGAGTATCACACTTGCATGGTGGAAAGCAAGAAAAGCTAAGTTTATCCGCTTTTATACTTGTCCGTTTTAAAACGTTTGAATATGATAACGCCTTCAGTCTCGTGCGAGTGTTTTCCAAAGCGGGCGTGATATTAGGTGAAAGACGCACTCTTCTCTAATCTAAAAACTTTCCTATTTAATTTTTATAAGTTGTAATAGTGAATAAAATTATTATATGTAATTTTTTTTTTTGATTCTTATCTTTATTAGCTGTCACTTTCGCCTTTATCCTTCTGTATTTTTAACTATGCCATTTTGAATATTACGATTAATTATTATTAACATGGCTTTATTTACGAATTAATTATTACCGACTTCAAATATCCCGCTCTGTATTCATTTTATAATTGAATTTCAGGAGTTCCCTACGAATCTCCGGAGCCCAAGATTCAATACCAATGAAATTAATATGGGACCACATGGGAAGCGCTAGCTTTGAAATAAAAAAAGAATCATCAAAATCGGTTCACTCAGTAGAAAGTTTATTTATTTATTTATTTATTTATTTATTTATTTATTCTTTATTGAAAACACCTCATAAGGGTTGCAAAGGGCGGACTTAATGCCTATTGGCATTCTCTACCAGTCAATCCGGGGCGTGAGGAGAAATTGTGGTAGGTGCAATAAATAAAATTTGCGTAATAAATTTATGTGTCTTAAATAAAAGTTCTGAGGTAACAAAAATACAGTCTATTGAAGTCTGTTGAAAATCTTCACTACACAGTATAAAACAAAATCGTCCCTCTGTCTGTCTGTTACTATGTATGCTTAAATCTGTAAAACTGCGCAACGGATCTTGATGCAGTTTTTTTTTTACTAGTTGATGTGATCTTCGATCAAATCGCTCAGTACTGATTTTGTACGCTTGTCATAATACCTACTATACTTTCGACGGTAAAAATGTCAAAAACCGTGCTAAAAATTTATTTAGAAATTAAGAGTACGTCTGGGATAAACAAAAAGAATATCATCTAGATTTTTATAAAATGTTTGACAATCTTTAAACTCCAATAATAAAACTTCCCAGTGTTCTATGAATCTTTGGATATGATAGAAATTTTCATGACCCATGAAAATTTCTAAGGATTTGTCGGTGTATGTTCAGATTAATTTCCAGAAATTTTTTAGACATATGCCCGGTTTCTGAAACACTGATTATCATGAATGATAAAGCCATTTGACAGCAGATTACTTGACATCTATGATCAGTGTTTCAGAAACCGGACGTTAGTTTATAAATAGAATTCGAAGTAAACTTGCCGTAATTAAAATAAAAACTGTTAAAATGCTTATTTAACTGTTTTTGTTCAGACGCTCCTAGATTGATAGCAAGATACTGCCGCGTGTATGTCATAAACTGTGTATAACATCGGCTTTAGAAATGTTGATGCAAGCTTGTAGAGGTGTTAATGCAGTTAAATTAGTCTGCGATTAAATTACAAATATAAGCTGTCCAAATAAAAGTTAATTATCAGTTCATCGGTAACCAGGGTTTCAACAGGATTTACCAATTTAAAAAAATATAATAGTAATCAAGTACAATTTATTCAACAATAAAAGTTACAATCTTATACAGGTTAGGTTAAAATCAAACAAGCCCTTATTTCATACTTTGTTTAAAATCTACTGGATACGGATGGTTTAAAAGGCCTTTAAAATTTTTATTATTTTTCATTAAAATTTCTTTAATAACAATCATCCTAACTAGCAGGCATATTAAAATTGATTAAAATCCGAATACATCGATTGTTCGTATTCGATTTTGGCAATAAAGTTTTATATAATATAACAATAACAAATCATTAACGATTAAGGAAGAAAGTAACGACTTACAGCTAAAAATATCTTCATATGATGTGTTTAATTAAACAAATAACAATCAGAAAAAAAATAATGACGCCAGCGTAATCTATGGGCGAGGTAAGGCTTTCACATGCAGTTTGTTGGTGCTAGGCCCATGGGCCTGTGACGTCACCAGTCGGAATGGCGGCTTCCAATTCGCCGGTACCGCTAGATGGCGGTGAGGGCGTTCCTAGAACCATACAATTCCATTTTTAAATCAAGTATTTTCAAATAGAGTAGATATTAAAAAAAAAAACTAGTTTGTTAACGATGAAAGTGATAATTATCTACGGTCATAAGCATTATTTAACTGAAAATTTTCATTTGCTGTATCGCGATATGCAATAGATCGACGAAAATGAGATTGAAAAAGTTTCACTTAAAAAGTTCATCGTACTCATTACCAACATGTTACGTGGTATTGGGTAGGTTTTTTCACGACCGGCCGCTTGCCCGAACGTCTACCCTACTCGGGAACAACACCCAGATCCGAATAATCTGCGGGTCGCACAAATACTTATCTCGTATGGGAATCGAACCCACGACCCTGACGCCGAAGATTAGCTCAGCGACTCTAAAGAATTACTCGTTAACCAAACTTACCGTCGCTGGGTCTGCTGTAGCCGCCGTTGTGGGTCTGCTCTGTGCGGCGAAGGGGGCGCGCGGGTGCAGAGGGGGCGGGGGTGGGGGGAGAGTGGCGTGACGTCGACGGCAAACCGTTCTGGGAGTTCTTCGAGTTGCGCATCAGCTGTTTGTGGTTCACGCTCTGGTGCTGCCACGCCCAGCACGAGCGACAGAAGTACCTGGTTTAACAAAACTTATCGTCAACGCTTACTGGTTGAAGGGTCGCAATATGCGACTTTAATGTTCTTGCAGATTTTACAGCTGCAGTGGTATTTCGTTTTAGAAGTTTCGGGGGGAAAACTAAACAAATTTATGTCTGTGCGAAAAGGCCATAAATTTCCATAGACATTTTATCAATCGCGGCAGTAAGGTTGATCCCCAGAATCTAAATTATTTACATTTAACATAAGATTTACCTTTATATGCCATTAAAGTAATGAAAATTGAATTTTTAAGTGAAAAATACTTGATATTAAACTGGATGTATTAAATTATTTCGTTGGATTTACGTACCTAAAACACACCGGCTCGCGACAGAAGTAAGGGCCCTGTTGCAAGTTGCACAAGGAGCACATGGAGTCCTCCAAGTACGGATCGACTTGCACCTGTAGAAGAATCGTTTATCAATTAATACTTAGTCACTGATCTTGTTACCTAGTTACTTCTTTAATTATATCAAGTACACCAGAGAGTATTAGAAATAGTAAGCTGTGAAATACTCATCCAATGAGTTTGCTTTCAATCATCGAACAAGGCAAGGCTACATTTGACAGACAAAGAAATGTAGTTTTTAGAGAAATATATAAATTCAGTTTTGCACTATGGTAACGAACCGTCTTCGTAAACTTGTCTGTGCATATCTCCACGTAGGCGGCGGAGATGGCGCGAACGTAAGAATGCACGTTGTTAAAAGTGACGCGCCCAGATCCGATGGGATATTTGTTCTTGTCCGTGTCTATGCCTGCGGATGGGAAAAAAGTTGCAGCATGCAAAACTAGTTACGCCGCACCTTGACGGAGTAAAATTAAATTATTTTTTTTAAATAAACATTAATTTCGAAATTAATGTAGACCATACTGTAGAAGGGAAGTTATAAATGTATGTGTTCAACTTGACGCACCTTGTTAAGTGAAAACAATCTCATTTGTTAATTCATTTCGAAATTAATGTAGACTAGCGAGTACTGTTGAAGGTAATGTACGGATTCCAGATGCTCACTGATTGCCAGTTATAAACACTAGCCATAATGAAGTGAATGTGGGTTTATAGTTTCAAGTCGGAAATATAATATTAACAAATCCCGGTTCCAATATTAACAAAACGAGGCGTTTGCATTACCTACGGAAAGAGTTACTAGAGTTCCTTTAATCTACAAGTCGTTGTGAAAGTTACCAATCTCAGTAGCGGATTTCTCCAAAGGCCCAATAGGCCCGGGCCTAGGACGGCCAAATATTAGAGGCGGCCAATCATGCCAAAAAATTCACTGATGAAAAGATGTATGTTTGACTATGACAAAGGCTGGCTGGGGCCCATGTTAGTCAGTTCCAAGCCTAGGGCGGCCAAAACCACAAATCCGCCACTGACGAAGCTAACTAACGGCCGTTCGTTGAATATAGGAACCGGGCATGAATAAGGACCGAATGCCTCACCCGCGTAAACGACTCCGGCGAAAAGGTCGTTCATGATCAGCGCGAGTGCGTAAGCGCTGAGCATCCCGTGCAGCGCGCCCACGAACACGGTGCGGGCCGGCTCCAGCCGCGCTGATCCGCCGCACACCCAGTTCGAATCGGACACCGCCCACGGGATCACTTGGACCTGCCGAGTCATAAGCCGGCGTTTTACAACGCGACAAACTTAACGTCATATAACAAGTTTCGAAATTGGAACGAACATCACTCCTGTTCGTACAGTCAACTGGGTTAATAGACGAATAGGCGGTGGTGACAATAGACTACATCCCTGCTTACCACTGGGAAGAATAGTATTAAAGTAGTCGCTTTAGTACTTTGAAGTTTTGAAGGAATAAAAAGAAAGTAATAAATGAAAGTGGTCCTTTGAGCCGGATGTTAGTGACTTGGGGATATTAAATAACTGTCCTTAATGAATATCATATGCTTGTACAGTGTATAACAATGCTAGCAGATTTACCTCCTTGCTGCGCATGTTGCGGGAAGCGATGCGGTAGTACCAGTCGAAGCCGTCGCGGCGTGCTGCCGCTAGGAGGGCGCGCACCCGCCGCTCGCCCTCGAACGTGACGTAGGCGTAGCCTCTTGGGGCGGAGCCCTCGCTCGCGGAGCCCCCGGCCTGCCCCCCTTCGCGGCCCGGCCACTCCACGCTACAGAAATACAATTCATCTTAATGTTATTGTACTTTCATCATTTGACATCTCCGTGGCGCAGTTGTCAAGGCGTTTGCTTCGGCGTCGGGGGTCGTGGGTTAGTACCACATGGGACTTTTGTATGACCTTCAGATAGTTGTTTCGCAACACGAAAATGTTTCCTATAGTAAGGGCAATGTTAAAAGAAATTGATTCCTACTATGGGCAGGGCAGGATTTAGAGGTCTGGAGGCCTCTGAGCAGCGAAGGAGAGAAGGCCCCTTGGCCCCAAATTATTTCCCATTGATTTCTATTAATATTTAATGTAATCAATGTTTGTACAAAGTAATGTAGGTAAAAGGCGAAAAAAAAATATGAAAGGAAAAGTTGTTTACTAGTTCGAATTTGAAATTTTTTCAAGTGTATTGGGGGGCCCCTCTAGTGGAGGCACCGGGGCGGTAGCCTTACCCTAAATCCGTCCGACTATGGGGCAGTGATCCTGTGTTGTCTGTGGTTTTATGCCATCGAAATGCATCAAGCATGCTGCTCCACAGCTTCTGCAACTCACCGCACTGGATGGAAGTGCCTCAAGGCGTGCATGAGCGCCTGCTCGGTGATGTCCCAGGGCAGCCCGCCCAGGAACACCTTGGGGGAGAAGCCGCCGCTGGGGTCTGCGCCCCTCGGCGGCAGCGCGCCGCACCAGCGCAGCGCTTCGCCCTCGGAGCCGCGACGCACTACGCCACCTGTCGCCGTTCGTATGCAATTTTATTAAACTAACGCGGATAACTAACAAAAAAGACTTGTATGTCCTGTCTCAATGAAATTTCAACATTAAAAAGAGATAACCTTGACTACTAGATAGGGTCGGCATAACATGTGAATCGTGTTGTTTTTTCTTGGCACTTTACGAACAGCCTTTTGTCGGCTGTATCACATAGGATTGACGTTAGCTAAACTAGAATGAACACACATCCGGAAACAAATTCTGATAGTAACAAGTGTCCCGTGTGGGAATCGAACCCACACTTATTCGCTAGCTTATTCGCCAGATACATTGATAATCAATAACAAATAGAACGAAAAACATCGCCAAATCCACGGTATAGTCAAAACACTCACAAAAGAATGCGCCACGGGGCAGATTGTTGGCATCCCTGGAGGTAGAAGCAGCTTGCTCCGATGACCACGGCGGTTCCACCTGGGAACAGTTTGGAATTTATGACCATGTTCCAAGTATGTTGACATTCCAAGCTTACTGTCTTCATTCTCGGAGGATATTACGTAGCGTCACAATTTTTTATCTCAAATCGATAGCCATAAAATATTCCGTTAGAATAGCGCTTTACAATTATCTGGGTCATTCATGTCCTGTAAATATCGAAAAAAAAAATGCCAAGTGTAGAGCTATACAGAGCTCAACAGAAACTGCTTTCCGAACCGGTGGTGACTTATGTATTAATTTTTATGTAAAATTCGACGTTTCATAAGAACGCGCAAGAGTGTTTGAATAATGTGATATTTTGAATCACAATTGCATGAATATACGATCGACAGGTTGTAAAATTGCGGCCGACGCACTGATAAACGAGTTACCTGAATAGTGGAGAAATTAAAGGAAATATTATTACTCACCGCTTTATCGGTGGCTTCGAAGCTTTGGCGTTCTTGTAAGGTCTGCTGACTGCCAGTTGAGGGAGTTGGCACCATCGTGAGGCTCTTCTGTAACCCATGCCAGCATTATTACGGCATCAAATAAGGAAAATTCCTTCTCTTAACAGGTTGAAATTATAAGTAGCTAAGTATGGAGCATTATACACATTTAGACTTGTGTATATATTTTTTGGCAAGTTTGCAAGCATATTACATTACTTTCACAATACAGTAGATTGTTATCTAATCTAGTATTTGACAAGTAAATTCATAAAATTTAATATACTAAAATATTTGCCATTACGTCTTCAACATATCAATAAATATATCGTTGATAATCCAGAAATGAAATTTATCAAAACGGGATAAATGTAGATGCATGCCCGTACGAGCTCTACCAGTCTTCTTATTGAAATTGTAGAAATTAAACACTGAAACGTTATAGAAATACTAAGAATGAAATGTAGAGGCTATGAAAACAGCATGCAACAGGTTTGATTTTTAATCTAAATATCGAGTAGGGTGTTTTATAAAGTAGATATATAACACTTACCAAGGAAGCAACAAGATCAGTTATTTCACCAGGGGTATCGGCCCAGTCGCCAGGGCGCGCACTCTCGCTAAAAAAAAAGAGACATTAAACACTATGTAACACGTTTAAGGGACACTTAATATTACTTATAAGGAAAATTAAGAATTAAAGATAAGATAAGAGGTTAGCCGGGCATCCCAATCATTTCTTGGATTTTATAATAAACTTAGGTAGTTAACCCATGTTGAAAAGAGTCGCCCTTATAAGTAGAGTATGTAATAATCCATACATCTTTATTTGACAATTCAGTTTGAAACAAAGTCAGATAATCGTGAATAAATCTTAACATATAGGGATTGAGATTGTTACAATACAACAAGTTAAAATAATATAAAGGCTTTTAAGGACCGCATCAATACAGACAAGATTTGATTTTTATCTCATCAGATCGTTTTTGAAAATCTGAGTTAAAAAAAAAGAAAAACAGTAACTTCAAAACATCGTAAATGACCCACGCGAGCTAAGAGTGTATAATGCAAAAAATAATATGAGAAAAGAATAATTCCATTATAAAAAAAATCCTTTTTAAGTCAATTATAAAATTTATCCCTAAACATAGCACCGCCAGCGAGCGTTCATTATGTTAAAGTTTCAGTTGATTCGAGGGTTTCTGCTAAAAATAGGCAATAAGATCGATAACATTGCGATGGCCTACCTGGAAATAGCATTTGATTTCAGACTAGACAATGGTCGCGAGTATATAATTATATTATAGATAGATTTGGGACGTGTTGAGAACTCTTCAAGCAAGCAGTAAATCAAAGGATTTAGGACGATAAACGTAGTGATATGTTAACCTACAATGACCGTACGTGTATTTTGTTACAATTTAAAATTTAGGGCTTTGAGATCTCCATTGTAAACCTGAGGGATTGCAGATGCGTTGAGAATCTTATAAGTTGTCCGAATATAAAATAGCGTATTAAAACAGAATATTGCAAATTAATAACCATTGTTATCGACTGTACTGAACATTTTACGAAATAAGAACTCTAATCTTCTAATGGGAAATTTATCTACCTAGTCATCGAAGTTGTCTTTTAAAATGAAATCGTTAATATTACAAAAACGTTAAGACCAGCGGATTCGGCGTACGTAAATGGGAAAGGTTATTGCACTAGAGTTTTATGGTATGGGGATAAAATAATTGCAGTGAAACGCTTGAATATTTAGTCATATGTTCAATTGTTTTGACACTAAGTGCCAAACTTAGCCAAGTTGAACAATAAAAAGCTATTAGATTTAATAATTGCCCGATAATACAAGGTTTTGCTTCATCGCGCAGTTTATAGACCTATTACTTCTACTTTTTTACTTATCAACTCTAAGCCTAAGATTAGGACTCGTATAAACGTAAATACACCTAATTTACAAACAAACGTGTATATATAATAAATGGTTTTTTTTATTAATATTACTGAATTTAACGAAGGGAGAACGTTTTATATCCAATTAGACATTCGTTAACAAAAAAAAGATCCGAACTTCAAAATTTGTTCAGTTCTTTTAACTTCAGTACATAGATTTAGATTAAATTTAGATTTAGATTAAATGTATTGTTTTGTTCCAGATGTAGGTAATAGTTAAGAGTATGCCATCACAAGGGGCAATAGTCTGGTATAAGAATGTTCGATGAAACCTTGAAACAGAATGAGCCCGAATGTAAAGTATTTCATCAGAGTTATCCAAGGCAAATTATAAAATTCGCCTAACCGAAGATTTCGAACACTAAATTTTAATTTAAGTTAAAACAAAAGAAAACCAGTTTAGTAAAATTGTAAAATTAGCTTAATACTTAAAAATATTTATATGAGCTGACTTTTAAGAACAAAGAAAATTGAAGCATCGTTATGTTATATGCTCAACAGAGAACCCACCCTTACCCCGTATCCGGTAATTAACCAATTCATAAAAGGACTAACAAACTTAAAAATCGTAAAAATCAGGCTGCATACAGTCTCTAGGGCAGAAGTTTTTAAGGGTAATAATACAGTTAGTCCAATTCAGTAATCTAATTAAGAGGTACAGTACCGAACAACGCGTTAGGGTTCTCAACGGAATGAACACTGCACTCACCTGTAGCTGGCGAAGGCTGTGGGATGCCTTGGCGGGAAGCAGGTGGCTGGCACCAGGGAGCGAGGAGTCTGGGCAGCCTCTGGGCTCCCTGGAGCCTCCCACTCAGCCCAGCGCCAGTCACGCTCAGCTGCCGTACTGCTGCCACCCTCCTGATAAAAAGCGTTTAACTCAAACCTTGGCAAATACGTAACTGAAAAATAAATGATAAAACGTTTGCTTGGTTTTCTTTTCCCATATTCAATAATTACTGCCGCCTACGGTCAAGAAAGGTTTCAATTATGTACACACACCACCCATATGTTGATATGAACAAACAAATCTTTTCATTCAGAGTTCCAATTTAAAAGGAAAAAAAACATTTATGAAGTGATCAAATCGTCGTCTGGTCAAAGTAAGTTTTATTAAAATAAGTTAGAAGATATGCAAACTGACAATTTTACGGCCTACCCATGACTCACTGTGCAATTGAATTCCTAATTGTAGATATAATTTTATGCTCAAATGAAGTTTTTAAAATTCGCGTGTTCGATATAAATCGAACAAATGTTGAGAAAATGAAATAGTAATTAATCAAAAATTTATATACAATAGATATACTTCCGTAGCTTTAAGGAGACAATAGGAAGGTGAAAATTCACATCGGAACTAAAGTACAATAAAGTTATAACAAGCAATCGGCAGCTCTTAACACTGTACTAATGAGGGTTACAATTAAGTAGTCTGTTTTTACCGGCAATAAAAGTATGGCTGGTACTTATAAAAGAGTTTAAACAACGAGGGTGATCAAGTTTATAAACTTCCATTTTCTATTCCAATTTAAAGTTGTATTCAATTTGAATTGAAAATGATAATACGATTATGAGAACCATTAACGAAATTCGAATTAGCAGAAACGTGGGATAGCTTTTAATAGAGCACTAAAATTTAAAATATAAAAAAAATTCTATAAAGATTTTAAAAGTATTGTAAAAATAAGAAAAATATATCCGGTCGGTAAGAGAAAATTCAAGCACTCAAAAAAAAGACCTAATGTTTCACAATAAGTTAATTCACTTGACAAAACAATAGAGCAAATTGACGAAATCTCAATCGCAGATGCTTCTAATAAAGCTTCCAATTTAGATGCTGCGTCCATACTTATCAGATCTTGCAGAGTAAAATTCTTATCTATAAGAGAAGCAGTGAGCTCGCAAATGGAAGTTTTCGATAACCCTTACAGATACCATTCTATGGTAAATAGTTAAAAACTACCAAAATCATTAATTTAAGAATCAATTCACGGTGTTAATTAGCAAATCTTAAAGTTAAGTTGTCGTAAATTAAAAGAAGTTGTTCAAAACAGATCTGGCTGTTAAACACAACTATAGTCTTAAAACAAATTGAGAATAAGAAGCAGACAAGGGGTCTTAACAATTTGTATCAGACGTATAGACATCGCGACGGCAGATTGTAATTACGTCCTTATTCGGTCCAGACAAAATGAAGTACGCATCGAATTGCATTAAACCGCCAACTCTGTAGATATATTGTGAAGGCGGCGTGCCGAATCTGGAGGCTAATCCAAGTACAAGCAGCCTCCCGGCCGGTCGGCATTATTTGGCACACGAACGCCATTAGAGTAGCTGGCAGCCATCTTGCCAGCACATTAAACGTGCATCCGAACGGATGTCGTATGAAGTATTACGATATTATGAACGAACAATGAAACAGTCAAAGGCCTTCCAGTCTGATATTGTGCCCCGTTCCAAATATAAACACTCGCATCAGAGGGGTTAAGTCGACCCGTATTCTCGTATCGTGATTATTCCAATGCTCGCGAGACCGAAACTGGTAAAGTCGTCAACTTTTATTGGCGCCCAATGTGGGGCTTCAGGTTAGAGTTGCTACTCAACTATTAAAATAAAAAAGACAAGGTCACCTGTGGCAGATGCAATCCTATTTCGCAGAGTATACTATCCGAAGGCGACAAATGATAAGCTTATCGCTAACAACCGATCACAAATATAATAGACGTATTAAAAATCTGACTACGCGTTAAACCCGAAATTATTTACGCAAAGTTTAAATCTAATTTGAAACATTGAACCTGTGACTTAAATAGACATCCTAACCACTGGCCCACCACGGTATTGTAGGCAAATAGAACATAATATAGCTTCAATCGTACGAACCAAGCTTATTTTCGGGTGGAGGGTAGTTGAAAACTACTTACATTAGGCCGCTGCTCATTTTTGGGGGCAACTGCTGGCTCCGAGAACCGGGAGGTATCGAAGCCGATGAACTCTGTCAGCGAGCGGCGGTTCTCTTTAGAGCTACCGCCGCCGCCTCCATTATCCTATTAGAAAAAAACCCATATTATAACATTATCTAATAACACATTAAAAAAGCAATATTTTAAATGATTTAAAGGTTTAGAAAACCCATTACACCAGATTTATACGAAAAGTTCCATGGACGGTAGAGTCGATGGCTTTTGGCAAAGCACGGCGGTTGTTACACGTGGAATAGTTTACGACCAAGTTACAAAAGTTTGCACATTTCAGTCACCAGCGTTATAACAAACGCGAATAGTCAAATATAATATGAATATCTATGTGCGGTGTTCCAAAATAAATTTAAAAGATAATCCTTAACTTTAAACAATTTCACGCTTAGACAACGAAACAATGAAAAGTAAAAGGAATTGAAACAAATTTAATAATCTTAAGAAAAACTCACTTGTTGTAGGAGCGGCATATGTACCGAAATGTCGTCAAAACTTTGTCGAAACAGTTTGGCTGGCTGCTCGGGCAGAGTGTCGTTCTGATTGGAAGTGTTCACGACAAGGCGACCAAACACCGACTGACGTGTGCAGCGTGCGCAGAGACGGACGGAGCCACCCCCGCCCCCACTTTCCCCCACTACCGTCCGAACACACGGGAAGTCACGCCCATTTCCGTTATTTTTTTTTTTTGATATTTGGTAAAAACTATTAATAATTTTCTTTTAAAGTTTTTTCCTGTCTTTTGTGTGGTGTATATTTATTTTAATATTAAAGATTTGGCAAAGGTAACATGAATCGTTAATTTTGGAATATAGAGAATTGGCAACGGGAAATGAATGGTTAAAATCAACGATACTATTAATTCTATGGAAATATTTGTAGTATATTCGATAGTCATTTAGTTCGTTTATATTTCAAATAATGTGTGATAATTCTATCTTACATATCATAATAAATTTTAAATAATTCATCTGTATAACTTCTTAAATTTTTAAAACGATTCTATGGACCAATATCCGGTTGGAAATTTTCGTAAGACCATATAATTTTTAATAATTAGACGATTAAAATCCGGTACAGGAGCTAGGACAACAAGACAATTGCGATTAAAAAAAATCAAAATCAGCATTATTCAAGGAAAAATAAGCAATGTTATAGATATTATTTTAGGGTGACCAACCATTTTTTAAGCAATAACCATCAACGAAAGTTATGAATTCAGTAAGTAATATCCATAACATACCAATTTATACCAACATTGTTTAATTAATAATATTCCTTCTTATTGTTATTGATGTTTTCTGTTGCTTTATATCGCAAATATTAACTGTCGGAAAGTAAATTGGTATGAGAAATTTTAGTACATAGTCCCTTTAATTCATTTGCTTATATCGATGTGCTGTACGGGCGTAGCCCACCTTACAGTTGCGATATTAGAAACACCTTGATATTATTCAATGTCTGATAAATGAAGTTTAACTTTATGAGGCCAATTCAATCAATATCTAATGTATTCCGCGTTAGTCCTCTACACGATGCCGCTAAAAAAGAAACTCGTTTATGATTACCTTTTTTTTTTATTATATAAGTAGTAGTTCTTTAACCAAATAGATATAAGCTCAGTTCTTGTATTGTTTAGTTTATTGACACTTTCATCATTGTAATGTGGTAGATACTGGTATTGCTGTAGCAATAATTGCATTTATTTTGTCCAGAATTGCTTCTCTCTCGAACCATGATGTTCATTTTAAACTTCGTATGAAGAAAATTGAAAAAGTATAGTGCATACTTTAGTTCAATCCATGTATTCGGCTCAATACATATGTACGACGTCATTGTTTTTTGCTTGTTACGATATATATAAACTAAATTAAAACGAGATATAAGATAAAATATTATATTATAAGATTAAATATCATCTCTGTCTCATTAGAATCAGGATTTAATTTGACTCTACGCTTCGGTAATAATCTCATTATGATTAAGGTACACATGCACATAAAATGTCATGCTTAAAACGAGTGTGCGCTTCTGGCACATTTGCGTACGTTTAGCATGCTTTTTAAGCATATTTTTTAATAAGCGTGCTCAAAGCAAACAATCGAACATACATGCTGTTTAAGCGCGAGCTAGAAGCTTCGGTATCGACATTCTAGCAGGTTCTCTGCCAGTGTTCCAGTGCGGGTAGTCAAAAATGGAAAACCAAGTGGCCTTCTTAAGAGAATCGAATAAGATCATCATTTTGGTTGCAATGTGTCTAAAAAATTTTGTCAAGAAAAAAAAAGAAACTGAATAAGATGATTTGGGTTCGCGATTGGCTAGGTAGAAGAGAAAAACTTGGAGGTAGCATGCCCAGAAATCGCGCGACTGTCGATTTTTGAGCAAACTCGAAATGAGTCATTTTTAGCAATGTTTCGACACAAATGCTATTTGCTGTAAGTAACAACTGCTCAATAGTGGCATGCTTTCATGCTAGGAAAGAGCATGTGTAAGTGACCTTAAAAATGACCTATGTTTAAAAAGTCTGATATTTGAGGCAAACTGTTCACTAACTATTGATGCTAAGTGTTGTGGAAGATACGGGAACTGTGATATCGGAGGCTCGCAGAAAAAAAGAAGCACCCCGACTCTGTACTATTCATGCAACACGAGTTATGTTCCGCGTGGGGACAAACCTACGATAATGTGCAATGACCGTTGTGGTCATGCCACAACGGCGGCACCATTCGTGCCACGTACGAATGTTGCCACCGTTGATACCACCACTCGATAAACTCATTCCAAATCACGAGTTAAAGGTAAGGTAATTTCACAGACCATGTTATCTTTTCATTTTGTTTTTCGTTTCAACATCTAAATATCAGCCTATATATGTCCCACTGCTGGGCAAAGTCCTCCTCTGTACAGAGGGTATCAGGGCATAGTACAACACGCGGCTTCGGGCCAGCACCGGGGATCGAACTCAGGTTGCTGTATATTGAATTAAAGGCGACTTTATGCTATTCAGCTTTCGTGTGGTCCGATATTAATTTCATTGTATTGGACCTTTTACTTGCGATTCTTTGTTAAAATACGGCAATGCCTTTTGTCTACATATAAAAAAAATCAAACAACACTAAAATATAACATATTTCATATCGCTTATTGACATTCTTTGTATTTAAGTAAATTTCGGTTGGGCCACGCAACAGACTTCAGTGTCGCACGAATGGGCAGTACCACGACCTCACACGACGAATGGGCAGGTCCGTCCGGGTAAGTACCACGACCTCGCACGACGAATGGGCAGGTCCGTCCGGGTAAGTACCACGACCTCACACGACGAATGGGCAGGTCCGTCCGGGTAAGTACCACGACCTCACACGACGAATGGGCAGGTCCGTCCGGGTAAGTACCACGACCTCGCACGACGAATGGGCAGGTCCGTCCGGGTAAGTACCACGACCTCACACGACGAATGGGCAGGTCCGTCCGGGTAAGTACCACGACCTCACACGACGAATGGGCAGGTCCGTCCGGGTAAGTACCACGACCTCACACGACGAATGGGCAGGTCCGTCCGGGTAAGTACCACGACCTCACACGACGAATGGGCAGATCCGTCCGGGTAAGTACCACGACCTCACACGACGAATGGGCAGGTCCGTCCGGGTAAGTACCACGACCTCACACGACGATGGGCAGGTCCGTCCGGGTAAGTACCACGACCTCACACGACGAATGGGCAGGTCCGTCCGGGTAAGTACCACGACCTCACACGACGAATGGGCAGGTCCGTCCGGGTAAGTACCACGACCTCACAGAAGACTGGCGTGAATTAGAAGTGTTATACTTCTGCGTTTCGTCTGGTGAGCGAGGTAGCCGGGGCCCACTATTAAAAGGTGGCAACGCATCTGCAACTCTACGGGTGTTGCACATTATTGTCAGTGGCCGGCGGTTGTCACATAACATCAGGTGAACGGCCATGTGCCAGGTCGTTGGCTTCCTTCTCACATAAAAAAAGTATCAGTCCTCTTTTTGTTACAATATATTAATAAATCCTTATAGAATATGGTTGCACTTTCTCGAAAATACGTTTACGTGCAAATATCGTAACAAGTAAGTAGGTAACCGAATCCGAATAAATCACCTGATGTTTCAAAAGTTTCTCATTCCCCGGCTTTTTAGAATGGAGCCCGCGTCTTAGGAACTGCCTATATATTTGAATTATTATTGTTTTGACGTTGTTTTTTTTAGGTAAGTCCACCTACCTGAGTGGCAGGCATGGGGGTGCCTGTCGTTATATATGGGGCTCGTGAGGGACTGTGGCAATTGGCAGCGGCACAGCACCATGTGCTCAGCGGTGAAGGAAAACATTGTGAGGAAACCTGCATATTTTAGAAATAACAAAAAAAATATTTCGAAGATATGTGAAGTCCACCAATTCAGGGGGGCCTCGTAGTGGACTATGCCCTGATCCTGATACCCTCCGTAGAGAGGAGGCCTTTGCCAAGCAGTGGGACATGTACAGGCCGTTACTTAACAGCACCATGCAGTAGAGGAGGCCTAAAAAGGCTATAGTCCCGCCGAGGTCGCGAAAGATGTGTTCCCGTGGCTCCGGCCGATGCGACAGAGACAGGTGCTTGGGTTTTTTAGTGGGTGGGTGTTCCCGGGTGGCAGGGGTATGTGGGAGACATACCCCTGCCATCCCCCGATCCAGTGGTAGGGGACTCATAAAGATTTTTGCCACGGAAAAAAAGGCAAGTCCACCTTTTGTCTTCCTCAATTTCGACGGAAATGCAAGATTATTGAATAAATAAATAACATTTACTGTCTTGTTACCTGAAACAAAGCATCTAAGTTAAACGGTTCCCTTTAACGGATTTAAATAATAACAATTGGTATTTTGAAGAGTTATTTATTTGTAAAAAAATCACAAGCCTACTTGTAGGAATCTCTTTAAGTGAAAATTCGCATTCTTCGTATCACGTATGCACGTTTAAGCTTAGCGCCACTTGAAGACATCATTTCAATCTAATGTTTTCGTGTATTTTTATCTCATACGATTGGAAAGGGACAATTACATAAGACGTTTGTTAACAAAAACAAAACCGACATAAATCTCTAACTCACTATACATTTCATAATCGCTTTTTAGGAGTCCATGGTGTAATTAGTTGCAAGAGACGTCCAAGGTCAAGAAAATACCCGCTTTCCAAACAAAAACAGAATTTTCCTGATCTGTTTATAAATCACTTAGTTTTAAGGTTTTTTTTTTATTTGAGATGTCAAGTTATAAACACCGCCCATTGATTTGCATTGCAACACCTGTAGGGTTGCAGATGCCTTGCTACCTTTTAATAAAGTGGGCCCGGGCTACCTCACTCACAAGACTAAAGGCAGAAGTTCAACACTTCTACCTCACGCTGGTCTTCTGTGAGGTCATGGTACTAGCCCGGACGGACCTGCCCATTAGTGCAACAGCGAACACTTGCGTGGCCCTACCACAGTGTTAAGTGATAACCGCCCATTGACAACTGCAACACCCGTAGAGTTATCCGTTGCCGCCTTATAACAAAGTAGGCTGCGTCTACCTCACTCACCGGACGAAACGCAGAAGTTTAACTACTCCACTTCACGAATATAGGTACGAGGTATAGGTACTTCTCCGGAACTGCCCATTTGTAACAGCGAAGACTGTTGCGCTGCCCCACCACAGTTTTGACACGTTATAAGTGAGATCGTAGCTCGACGTGGCGTTGCGTCTAAACCGGCGTGGGATTTGTCGAAAAATATCGATATCTGGATCCGATATATCGATATCGAAAATCGTATCAAAAGCGATACTTTTTCAAATACGAATCCGGCACAGAGTAAGTACGCAGGTGTCAAATATTCTATACTTGACATACCTTTTTTTGGGCAACGGAGTTTCTAGGAGCTAAAGATTCGATATATCCAGACCGATATCGATATTATTCTTCACTCTCCTCTCTTCACATCCGCACGAGGGATGCGCTCCTCCGCGGTCGCTCTAGTCCTGGAGCCCGAAGAGGGGCGGGATGAGGGCGCCAGCGGTGCACGAGGGGGGGCGGGGGCGGGGCAGCACGCCCCTCTCGTCCGCGTACACGTACGGCAGGCGGAGCACCCAGTAGGCGGACGCGCTCAGCTTGAGGGGCGGCTCGCCCACGGGGCGCGGCACGAATATCGGCCCGCCGGCGATCGGTTGCACCTGCGCAGAGTCAAAGTTAAAGTCGAAGTCGAAGTGAAACAAGGCGAAAGTGGACGCGTCCGAATAATTTTTGCTCTTGTCTACCGATCGGTTTGAAAATGGGTCGCCTATGTGCGTGTCGATAATATGTCGACGGTATTCGACGGTAAATATACGTATATGATGAAAGCTAAAGTAATTTTCATTATTCTTCCTCGTAGTCGTACCCTCTCTGCTAAGGATCGTGACTCATAACACTTACAATAGACAAGTAGAAGAGTATATAAAAGGTGTTTTTTTTTTCGGTTTGCAATCTCTTTTTTGTGTGAGAAAGTGGCAAACAAGCACGCTGTTCACCTGATGTCAATCACCGCCAATAGACATTTGCAACACCCGTGGTGTTGCAAATGCGTTGCCACCTTTAAATAAAATAGGCCCCGTTTACCTCACGAGACGAAACGCAGAAATGTACTTCTACTTTTTTACCCAAACATGGTACCATTACCCAGTACCAAAACTAGTCGTCTTATCCAGCAGAAGTCTAAAAGTACCACGAGGCTTAGCGTGAACGCCGCCCTCCAAACCCCTCCCCCTCCCCTGCCACCTTGGGGTAGAGCGTGTCGTGCACAGGCAAACTTAACTCTCCCCGCTCCTTTGCCCCAGTCCGCGCACGCACTGGGCTCGAGCGTGACGTGCACGGGCACGCTCGATCCACTCAACACGGCTCCATTACCAAACACCCCCCCCCCCCCCCCCCCCCCCCGCCCCCAGTCCCCGCGCGCACCTTGGGGTCGAGCGTGACGTGCACGGGCGCCTTGGGCGTGACGACGTGCACGCGCGCCAGGTGCGCCCTGGTGGCGGCGCGGCACAGGCACGCCAGCTGCAGCGGCATCGCGGCCTGCGCCAGCCGCGCGCCCGCCGCCGCGTCGCGCGCCCACGCCGCGCCCGCCCGCGCCCGCCGCGCCGCCGCCGCTCACCGCCGCCCGGGCGACGCCCGCTTGCCGCGACCGCGCCGCCGCTCACCGCCGCTTTGGGCGATGCCATCATGAACCTTGACGCGACCGCGTAAGGCGCCTTTTAGCTCGACACTATCGATGTACCTTGTATACGCGACCGTCGCTTTGGGCGATGCCATCATGAACCTTCGCCCGTCCGAGTAAGGCGCCTTTTAGCTCGACACTTTCTTTCTGTACTATGTATACGCGCCCGCCGCTCACCGCCGCTTTTTATGAACCTCGACGTAACTTTTAGCTTCTCTCTGTACTATGTATGTATGCGCGAACCCGCCCGAACGCATCCTTTTAGCTCGCTGTACTATGTATACGCGCCCGCCGCTCACCGCCGCCTCGGGCGACGCCATCATGAACCTTGACGCGACCGCGTAAGGCACCTTTATTAATACGCCCCCGCCGCTCCCGAGCCCATAAGATAGTTGCTCTAATTAAATCCAGGTTTATCATTCACAGCTCACAAATAACCTAACCCACGTAAAATTTATGTATGTAAAATATCCTTACACAGGATAGTGTCATCCCACAGTATGCGAATATGTTTTTGAAGGAACTACTACTCTAGCTCTTCTAGGTCGCAGAGTTCGCTGAGACTTAGTACGCAACCCTACCACACAAATGGCTCATTCGTAGTCAATATACCTATGACCCCTGGTGCACTCGTATTCGAAGCCTATGAAGATCTTCACGGTGAGGTGGTGCTGCGGCGTCGCCTTCCCACGCCCACGGGACGCCCGCCATGCGCTTGCTTGCTCCATCCTAGGAGAGGCGTTCCTATTTTACTTCCAGGTCAAATTTTACATACAAGCTTTGATACAAACAACTGAACAAGTACACTTCGTACTGTTTTCATTTCACATCTTTGAATATAGTACACATTCGGTTTAAGGGATCAATGTCGACAACAAGAACATTGTTAAAATTGCTTGTCATCATCTTATATTAAAAAAAGTATAAGTTAGAGGAAGGATTTGGAAGTTCAAATATTTTCATTAAATATAGAGGCATTTCACTTATTTATATATTATATCTAATACTATAATAGCATTTAAGATACAGACGTTCCTTTACATGTGTTTTTTAATTAAGCAACTGGGTCATTTCGAACGTTTTCACCCTTATTTTTACGGGCATACATAACAATTTCGAGTACGCACCGAGAATGAACGGCGATAATTTGATTTCCCTAAGGAAGTTACCTGACGGTGCAGTCCCAGGGCAGCAGGTAGTTGGTGTGCGGCAGGAAGCCGGGCTGCAGGTGCTCCGGCAGGCCGAGGCTGTGCGAGTAGAGCGAGGAGGGGCCCAGGCACAGCAGCGACCAGCTGGGGAAGGCGGGCAGCAGGTTGGCGGGGCTGCCCGTGTGCAGCATGCCGGGCAGGTACTCCGTGGTGGACGGCTGGCGGCTGATCGCCTTCTCTGCTGCGTGGCGGGTCGGGGCGTCAGTGTGCGTCTGTGTGTGTGTGTGTGGCGGGAGGAGCACAAGCTCACCGCATTCAGTGCGTCCGTGTGTGTCTGTGTGTGTGTGCGTGTAAATGCGCACGAGTATGCCGCACTCATATCAGCGTGTTTGTGTATCAGTGCGAATCGTCTACTCCGCTGGCGTGGGGGTTCGGTGCGTCAGTGTGCGTCCGTGTTTGTGCACGGCGTAATACGTATGGTTTCGCAGTGTTCATATCAGTGTGTCTGTTTTGGTTTGTATGCAGCGAAATACGTACACGCTTGCGCCGTAAGATATCTGTGTGTGTTTCTGTTGCTTTGCAGAGAAGTAAGGACACGCTTTCGTCATTGCAAATGCGTTGCCACCTTTAAATAAAGTTGGCTCCGGCTACGTCACTCACTACACGAAACGCAGAAGTGTAACTTTACGCCGGCCTTCTGTCACGTCGTGGTACTTATCCGATCGGACCCGCCCATTCTTGCAACAGTTACTGTTGCGTGACCCTACCACAATTACAACAGATTGGTGGTAACGCACCAGGAGCTTCGCCCCTGACGGGCACCAGGTCGTAGCCGGGGCGGGGCTCGTTGGCGACGGCATCTTCGTCGTCTTCGTCGCGGGCGGAGCCCGGCGAGAGCGCGTGCGGGGACCAGGCCGAGCCCTCGCAGGGCTCCGGCGACGCCCCGGAGCCCGAGCCGCCGCCCTCCGGCCCCTCGCGCCCCTCCCGCCCCTCCGGCCCCTCGGCCACCTCGGCCGCCTCTTCGCCCGCCGCGCCCTTCAACGCCGCCGCCCTGTTGAGAATGCGAACAGTTATAAAGAACCGTTTCTTGTTCACTGTTCACGGATAAACTAGTTTTTTTACGCCGTTGAAGTAAAGTAACAGCCTACATATTATGTCCCACTGATGGAACGCCTCGTCTGTACACAGGGTATCAGGGCAAAGTCCACCACACGACCCTACTGCGGATAGGCGGACTTCAAATACTTTCGAAAAATATTTTTTTTTAAATTAACGCCGTACGTTTGCATGACTTTAATTCGTGAATTAATTTAATTAAGTTTTGACAGCGATTTGAGTCATTCGAGAGGCTATAAAGACTTATAAATTTGTAGTTTTTAGGCTAGTTTGGCTAGTTTAGGAGACAGGGCGATACTTGTTGGAATATGCTTTCTAGACTTCAAGAATGCGTTCGCAAAAGAAGATGACACTCACCTACTACGCTAATTTAGAAGTAGTAAAACTTTTCCTTCTTTAAAAAAATAAGCATATACCTGAAGGTGGGCGTGGAGGGCTGGAAGACTGGCATCTCGATCGCCTGCAGCGTGTTGCAGACGCCGCACTCCTCGGCCGCCCGCAGATAGAAGCCGTGGTTGGCCTGGCGCAGCGTGTAAGGGTCCTCGCGCGGACACTTGCTGCGGCCGCAGTTGCACGCGCTCACGTAGCGGACCCCCGAGGAGTGCTCCTTGTTGTCGTCGCTGCAGGGAACGTCGCTTTAGTATACCGAGCTTGATTGGGGGGGACTGCCGCAGGGTGCTGTGCTAGGGCCAGTGCTATTGTCGTTATTTTGTAAAGAGCTAACGTTGCGAAATCGTCAATTGAGTTGTTTTTTGGCACACCGTCCCGAATTAGAGATGTGAACGTATAATTAATCTTATTAACGTCCTGTTAAACTTCTTTCTCCTACGGCCGATGTCGAGTGTGTGAGTGGCGTGATTCAGGATAGACGATGGGTGTATTGTGGTGGCGAGAACAGGGATGCCACTAACGTAAGAGATGGCGCCTCCATGCGTGTGCCAGAGTCTATGCCAGAGTCTATGCGTGTGCCACAGAGCAGCACAAGCAGAGCGCGAGAAAAGGCCGCGCGGGAGTGCTATAGACGATGGATGTATTGCGGTGGTTTATTGTACAAGCCGAGACCAGGGGTGCCACTCACTGCTCGGGCTCAAGGCAGGGGTGCTGCGTGAGGGAAAGCGCCTCGCAGAGCCGGCGCGTGCGCCACAGAGCAGCGCAGGCAGAGCGCAGCCTGCCGCGCGCGCCCCCTATCAGCGGCCCGCGCGCCATCGCCTCCAGCTCGCCGAGCGCCACGCCCACCTATCCGCAGATTTATTAAGTGCTATTACGTACTCTTTAAAGATTTTTTTTACGTGAGAAAGTGGAGAGCGAGCTGGCGATCTTTGATTCACATAAATAGTTTTCTCGCGACGACCTCCAGCGTCGAAGTCAATACTTTGGCAACTTTATAGTGGGACCGAGACAAGGAGATTTAAATCACGGTGCGAGTGAGAGGACAATGCCATCCGCATCCTTTGTAAGACTTGGTCAAACTTCAGAGGCATGTTTAAGTTTTGGGCAAAATTAACTTTTTAACATTGTTAGAAATCTCATGCATTCCATTATAAGGAGATTAAATAAAGTAGGCATATTTAATGGTGTATCATTTTTTACCCAAATGAATTGTTTCCCAAAGTGTAATTGTTTTAACGATACCTTATGTGCGTGTTGCTGACTCGAGTAGAATGGGGGTAGACCCTCCGCGTACGAAGCCTGTGCTATAGGAAGAACCTGAAACGAGAAAAAAAGTTACCTAATTACTGCAAATGTTACTATATTTCTTTAATCTGTAACTGGTTCGTTTTATAGTACATAAAATGGACTGACACGATAAGATACACTACTAATCATGGGGACTGTTATACTTCGGATGGTGACAGAAGGGCTGGTTCATTTTTCGCTCAAAGGTTAAGAGTAACTATTTAGCGAGGGAATGCTGCTAGAATTCCTGGCACCATGCCACGTGGACTAGGTTCATTAGATATTATGTAATTTAGTTAAATTTAATGTTTTAAATATTGAATATAAAACAAATGTTATCATTTCAATTAAAAAAAGTGACAAATTAAAATGTCTCATTTTTGATTACTCCTACTCTATATTCAATAAACTTGAGCGATCCCAGTGCGGATTCGCGGTCGCGTGGTGAACTATTCCATAATATACATATAGTGGGACATATGTATTATTGTACCTTACGAACTTATATGTATAACTTTTTATGTAAAATTTGACGATTCATAACAACGCGCAAGCGTCTATTTCGCCGACGAAAATTTTAACCTAAAATTTTAACCCACTTAAGATGAAACTAAAAAAAAGATTATCGCGCAGCGAAAACGTTGACCGCTTAGCTTCGTGGCGTCTGGACAAGTAGTCCGGAAGGCACATCCTGGTAGCGGATTCTATCTACAAATCTTTAAGGCCCTACTAAAACCAATTAGACCGTTTCATCGAAAATAAAATTATCCGGGTGTTCGTTTACCTTGGCGCACCTCGCCTGAGAGAACCTCACGTCCGTCGCGAGCGTGTCGAAGAGGGCGCCCCCCGCCTCTTTCGCCTCCTCCGCCACGGCTGTCTGCAGGTAGACCGGCGTCAGGGCCGCAGCCGCCTTCCGCCACGTGGCGGCGCTGGGGAGCTGCGGGCGAGCGGCGATTTGTGAACACCGTTTTTGAATGTAGCATGCGGTCGATAGCAACTTGGTAGGGTAGTTCCATGCAAGTCTTCGATGGTGGTGTTGCACTTTTGCCAAGGTATTGCTTTCGGCGCCGTGGATCTTTTTTTTTTTCTTTTATGTGACAAAGTGGCGAACGAGCTGGCAGTTCAACTGATGTTAAGTGATAACTACCACCCATGAGCATTTGCAACACCCGTAGGGTTGCAGAAGCGTTGCCACCTTTAAATAAAGTGGGCCCCGGCCACCTCACTCACCAGACGAAACGCAGATGTGTAACACTTCTACTTTACGCCGGTCTTCTGTGAGGTCCTGGTACTTACCGGGAACCCATTCGTGAAACAGTGAACACGATGCATGTCCCTACCACACTTAATTATATTCGATTGAGACAACTGTTTGCATCACGGAAAATTGTAAGGGGCAATGTCTTCTAAGGGAAGACTACAATAGATCTTCTATGTTAGGTCATGTCATACAATAGAGCTTCTATGTCAGCGGCCGTCAGGACTTACTAGCCGATCTTTTCCAAACGAAACACAAACACAAGTACCTCGAAGAAGGATGTGCTCATCGCGTATTTGCCGACGTTGTCGTCGAAGCCCTCGCCGAAGGCCAGGTCCACGTGGCCCTGCAGGAACTGGCGGAAGCAGGGCCTCCCCCCGCCCCCCTCCGGCCGCGCGCCCCCGCACAGCTGCACCAGCCCCCGCACCAGCGAGCTGACGTCGCGCGCGCACCCGGACTCCTCCGCGTTTATGTACACGAACTCCTCGTTCTTCGGTATCGCGAACACCGATTTGGCACTGCGAGGGGGGAAAGGGAGCTTGAAACGTTTCAAAAGTCAAAGAACATTTCTTCATTGTAAGCTCTTATTGAATGTCAAACTGCCACCGGTCCACTAAACTAGACTTGACCAGAGAAGAACCGGTAAGAAACTCTGCCGACTTTTTATCTTTTTTATTTATTATTATACATTAGAGATACATTAGAGACCCGCCCCGGCTTCGCATGGGTGCAATGTATTATACATATAAACCTTCTTGAATCACTCTATCTAGTAAAAAAAAACCGCATCAAGACCCGTTGCGTAGTTTTAAAGATTAAAGCATATATAGAGGCAGACAGACAGCAGGACGACTTTTTTTTTGTTATCATCCTTACTAATATTATAAAGGCGAAAGTTTGTATGTATGGATGGATGTATGTTACTGTTCAATTGTTTATTAATTACTGCATGTCATCATATGTATGTTTTATGTACTGAGTAAGAGAGGGCGCTAGGTTTATGTTTGCCTCGCGCTAACGAGTGTTTCTTGTAATAATTACGTATCGGCCGGTATGGGTTGTGACGGCAGTACGTTTTAACAAGCAGTTATAAGTTGTGAACCAGTGTAATAAAACAGTGTAGTGTGAGTGTAACAAGTGTTTCATTAAACAGTTACCCTTTCACGTAGAGATGGGTCGTATCGCTTTTTCTGAGTACCGTATCTGAATCAGATTTCGATTTCAAATATCAGATTTCGGAACTATGTATTTTAATATCTAGATATTTTACGGTCCTGTATCCACCTTGAATTCAAAAAAAAAAAAGGCGTATTTAAAAGTTGATTCATTCTATGTACATAATTTTCCTGATATTTAAAACTTAACATTATATATTTACAATTATGTGTTGGTTAATAATTATTTAGATTCCTCCGGCTTTAAATTCACGTTTACGAACGTAAGCTGTTTGACTTTATTCGTCGAAAGTCTTGTTCGACGATCATTATAACTATACATAACTAAAGCTATCACCAGTGATACCAACTGTTCCAAAAGAATACTTCTAAATAAATTCGAAAACCCACTAAAATATACTAAATTCAAAAAACTTACTGAATTTAAAATCACGATTTTTTATACTATTAAGGTAAAATTAAAAACATTACCTGATTAAATTAAAATTTCATTAAAAATAGAAATTGAAGTAATATAAAAATGATTTATTTTAACATCTTGTATATCGCTTAATAATTGACTTTAACATATTCTTAGAACACGCAATCATGAGTGACAATATTTTTATAATATGTGTAAGAAATAATACAATTAGTATTATAACTTAGGGCGGAAGAATTTAAAATATACACACAAAGCACATAAGCCTTGGTCTGATTTCCACCCAAGCAGCACAGCACTATTAAATTATATTTTTCTTTTGTGTAGTTTTATTTTTTTCCAAAAATATGAATAAAATTTAACTAATAAAAATATTCACAAAAAATTTACCTCCTAAAAAATTTCCATTTATATTTTTCTTCCTTAATTTAGGCAGAAAATTCTTAAGTAGTAAGTTGGCATCCCTTACTATTACGTGCTAGGTACCAATGCAATCCAGCTCAAGGCTAAACAAAATTTAAAGACATCGTTAATACCGTAATTCGTATTTAAATGCAACTAAAAATGTTTTTTTCCCATGCTGTTAAGATTCAAAATTATTTAACTGCGCGCTTTGTCGCCCGTTACGGCTCAAGGCTAAACAATAAAAATATTCTTAATAATATCGTTGTAGTAATCGTTGATACCATGATTAGTATTTAATTGAAACGGGTCTTATTTGTATGATTTTAAGAATCAAAATTACTTAAATTATTCATAATATCTGTTTAAAAATCTGATATTGTGCCTTGCTTGCCGTACTGCTCTAACTAGTGTAATATTTATATCTCACGCGCTTTGTCGCTCAAAATCTGTTTAAAAATCTGATATCGTGCATTGCTTGCCGTCCCGCTCTAACTACTGAGTATTTATATCTCACGCGCTTTGTCGCTCGATATCTGATATCGTGCATTGCTTGCCGTCCCGCTCTAACTAGTGAGTATTTATATCTCACGCGCTTTGTCGCTCGATATCTGATATCGTGCATTGCTTGCCGTCCCGCTTTAACTAGTGAGTATTTGTATCTCACGCGCTTTGTCTCTCGAAATGTGTTTAAAAATCAGATATTGTGGCAAACGCGTATGATATCGCGATTCGTGTCGGTATAGCGAGCGAGCACGTTACATCAGATTTCGGAATCAGATATTGTAAAATACATAGATATTGAACGAGCCAGTAAGCGATATTCGGATATTGTACTAATATCTAGTTTTCATATCTGATACGATTTGTATCGCCCACTTCTACTTTCACGCAAACACTACTGAATGGATTTTAATGAAATTTTACAATAATATAGCTTATACATCAGAATAAGTCATAGGCTATAATATATACAGCGTGTCTTTACAATCGCGACAATAAATGAACACACGTCTAACGCAACTTGCCAATACTCATAAAAAAATATTAACGTTAAAAAACATTCATAATTAAAAAAAAAATATTTTTCAAGCAACTAATTAAGTAAAATAGAAACAAAATTTGACACAACTGACTGATTCATACATTTAGAGACTTTTTCATTGGTCGTTTAAAAATTTATCCTCTATATGTGTGTTCATTTATTATCGCCACTGTAAAGACACGCTGTATACATATTTTATGTATATCTATCTTTCTGTCTGAATGTTACGCCTTCAGCCTATTCTACGCAGACGTAGTCGCGGGCTGCAGATAATTTCGAAAATATGTAGCAACAACAATAACAACGGTTAAGAACGACGTGGGGCAATATCGTCAATTTCGTGCTAACTCTACGTTTCTGGCGAGTGAGGTAGCCGGGGCGCACTTTATTAATAGGTGGCAACGCATCTGCAAACCTACGGGTGTTGCAATGCAAAGGTCGATGGGCGGCGGTCATCACTTAGCATCAGGTGAACCCCAAGCTCGTGTTCCACTTTCACACATAATCAAAAGTAAACTTAGGACCATTGCGGAATATCTCGACGACGCCAATGTGTGGAGTTATTACTGTTTATACTCACGTAGTCTAAAATAAGAAAGAATAATAATATATATGTTATATTGCAATCTGATCTTTAAAAAGAAAGAGTAACGTTAAAAAAAAAAACTTGCCGGTCTCTTCTCAACAGATACTGCTTTCCGAACCGGCGGTAAATTACTGACGAACTTCCTATAGGTAATTATTTATGTAAAATTCGACGTTTCATAAGAACGCGCAAGCGTCTATTAGAAAAAAATATCTTTATATTTTGAATTTTAATCTGAAAAAAAAAACAAGCAGGCTGTTGGTGATCGCGACGTACCAGACGTTGGTGATGATCCTCGTCTTCCGCAGCATGAAGTAGAGCTGGTCCTCCACGGCGTGCTCGAGCCGCTTCAGTGCGGCGGGGTCCTTCCGCAGCGGCGTCGGAGCCCTGCGGAAGTGGAACAGCAGCCGGGGGCAGCAGGCCCTGCCGTGACTCTCCCAAGTGCCCCCCACTGAGGCCTCGCTGATGGCCGCTTTCGTCTGGGCCGCCAGCTCGTTCCTGCCGAATGGATGTGTTTGCTTTGCTTTTTACCCGACTGCCTCTGCATCCTGACTCTGCAGCCTGAACGGGTTGATGGATTTTGGCTAGAGGCGTCGTTTTACTGGGTATATCAAAATAAAAAATACACAGAAACGCAGTCTATCAGTTTTTTAAATTATATTCTACTTGTTTTGATACCTTATTGCACACAATAAAATACATAGGAAGAAAATTTAGGAAACAGTGTTAACATACAGGCGGCCTTTTTGCTAAGGTAGCAATTTCTTCCAGACAACCTTAGGGTACAGGATAAAGGTTTTTCTTTCTTTGGTAACGTTGTAACGTTTTTCAATGCCTTAAGTATCGAGGGGATTTGATTGGGCTATCCTGTATTGCACGGAGCGGACTGACGTCTGTTTAATATTTGGGGAGCGCCCGTTGGGTGCTCGTAAAGGAATATTGTCGGAGTTGTGTAAACAAGTATACGACGCTGATCCCTCACCTCTCCCACTATTTGTCGTTGATAAAACTCCGAGCGTGGCGCATGAGGTCGGTAGGTCGTCGAATAAAAGATAGGCAGATACTTCACCTGATTATATTCAGTACAAGTTTATAAAATGGTTACGTTTTATTAACAGCGTGTGCGCAGTCGTTCAAGTTCAGTTACAAGTCTGTTCATTAGAAGTGGGCTATACAAATCGTATCAGATATGAAAACTAGATATTAGTACAATATCCCAATATCGCTTACTGGCTCGTTCAATATCTATGTATTTTACAATATCTGTATTTCCGAAATCTGATGTACCGTGCTCGCTCGCTATACCGACACGAATCGCGATACGGGCGACGCGTTTGCCACAATATTTGATTTTTAAACAGATTAGACAAAGCGCGTGAGATACAAATACTCACTATTGCGGGACGGCAAGCAATGCACGATACCAGATATCGAGCGACAAAGCGCGTGAGATATAAATATACTAGTTAGAGGGGACGGCAAGCAATGTACGATATCAGATATCGAGCGACAAAGCGCGTGAGATATAAATACTTACTGAGTGGGACGGCAAGCAATGCACCTCAGATATCGAGCGACAAAGCGCGTGAGATATAAATACTTACTAGTTAGAGTGGGACGGCAAGCAATGTACGATATCAGATATCGAGCGACAAAGCGCGTGAGATATAAATACTTACTAGTTAGAGTGGGACGGCAAGCAATGCACGATACCAGATATCGAGCGACAAAGCGCGTGAGATATAAATACTTACTAGTTAGAGTGGGACGGCAAGCATGTACGATACCAGATATCGAGCGACAAAGCGCACTTCTAGTTAGAGTGGGACGGCAAGCAATGCACGATACCAGATATCGAGCGACAAGCGCGTGATATAAATACTTCTATTAGAGTGGGACGGGCAATGCACGATACCAGATATCGAGCGACAAAGCGCGTGAGATATAAATACTTACTAGTTAGAGTGGGACGGCAAGCAATGCCGATATCAGATATCGCTTAAAGCGCGTGAGATATAAATACTTACTAGTTAGAGTGGGACGGCAAGCAATGCACGATATCAGATATCGAGCGACAAAGCGCGTGAGATATAAATACTTACTAGTTAGAGTGGGACGGCAAGCAATGCACGATATCAGATTTTTAAACAGATTTCGAGCGACAAAGCGCGTGAGATATAAATACTTACTAGGTAGAGTGTACGGCAAGCTCGCACGATATCAGATATCGAGCGACAAAGCGCGTGAGATATAAATACTTACTAGTTAGAGTGGGACGGCAGCAATCTGATATTTTTTAAACAGATTTCGAGAGACAAAGCGCGTGAGATATAAACACTTACTAGTTAGAGTGGGACGGCAAGCAATGCACGATATCAGATTTTTAAACAGATATTATGAATAAGTTAAGTAATTTTGAATCTTAACACCATGCAAATAAGATCCGTTTCATTTAAATACTAATCTTGGTATCGGCGATTACTACAACGATATTATTATATTTTTAGCCTTGCCGTAACGGGCGACAAAGCGCGCAGTTAAGTAATTTTGAATCTTAACAGCATGGAAAAAAAACTCTGTTGCATTTAAATACGAATTACGGTATTAACGATGTCTTTGAAATTTTGTTCAGCCTTGAGCTGGATTGCATTGGTACCTAGCACGTAATAGTAAGGGATGCCAACTTACTACTTAAGAATTTTCTGCCTAAATTAAGGAAGAAAAATATACAATGGAAATTTTTTAGGAGGTAAATTTTTTGTGAATATTTTTATTAGTTAAATTTTATTCATATTTTTGGCAAAAAATAAAAGTACACAAAAAGAAAAATATAATTTAATAGTGCTGTGCTGCTTTGGTGGAAATCAGACCAAGACTAATGTGCCTTGTGTGTATATTTTAAATTCTTCCGCTCTAAGCTATAATACTGAATGTATTATTTCTTACACAAATAATAAAAATATTGCCACTCGATTGCGTGTTCTAAAAATATGTTAAAGTCAATTATTAAGCGGTATATAAGATGTTAAAATAAATCATTTTTATATTACTTCAATTTATATTTTTAATGAAATTTTTAATTTAATCATGTAATTTTTTAGGTAATGTTTTAATTTTGTTTGGTAATGTTTTAATTTTACGTTAATAGTATAAAAAAATCGCGATTTATATTCAGTGAGTTTTTTGAATTTATTTAGGAGTATTCTTTTTGAACAGTTGGTATCACTGGTAATAGCTTTAGTTATGTATAGGTATAATTGTGTAGTATTTGTGTCGGAATAATTGCGGATGAAAGTTTTGCTTCATTTCCTTCGCGTTTTGTTTTGTTATGGTCGTTGTGGATTGTTTTTAAGGACTTTTAAAAAATAGGTTTAGTCTAATAATTATATAAATATTAATAAGAACTAAATAGTGTAAATAATAAAAAATAAATAACTGTAAATATTTATTTAAAAGTGAGTTAATGTTTAAGATTACCTATAATATCAAAAACTTATAATATTTTGATTGATCTAATGTAAATATCAAAAATGTCGCGAATACATGTTAGTGTCGTTTGGGACTACTTTCAAAAAATAAACGACTCCGATAAAAAAGCAAGATGTCTTATGTGTGGTGATCTGTATAGCTACAAGGGATCAACAGGCAATTTAAAAGCGCATCTAAAGAAGAAGCACTTAGATCCAAGTTGTAACGGCACAGCAGCAAATAAGGTCAGGACCGCAAAGGGCTTCGACTGAATCTGTTCCTGTGACAGTTGCCCCGTTATCTTCAATGACCCACACCACAGAGGGTCCTTCTACGTCTACCGTTACACGAGTTGTCACGTTGTCGTCGACTTCAACGGTTTACCAGCAGGCTACGATGGAACGTTACGGTTCATCGAAAAAAAATTCTAACGAAATCAAAAAGAAAATTGATAGCGATCTTCTATATTTATTCGTGAAAAGCTATCAACCATTTTCAATTGTTGAGGAAAAATCGTTTAAGAAATTTGCGAGTTGGATTCCGGGTTATCAACTTCCAAGCCGGAAAACTATATCGCATACTATGATTCCCAATCTGTATAATTTAACAAAAGAAAATATCAGAAATGAGTTTTTGTCGTCCAATATTGAAACTATTTGCTTAACAGCTGATTTGTGGACATCTAGGATAAATGACTCGTATTTAGCTGTAACGGGACATTATTTAACGGAAGACCTAACATTAAAAACAGTGTTGTTGGATTGTTGTCATTTCGAGAATTCACATACATCCAAAGTGCTCTAATAAAGTTGACTGAAGAATGGTCTATAAAACATACAGTAAATTTTATGGTGACTGATAATGCTCCAAATATTACAAAAGCTGTCAATAACATAGGTTGGAAACACTATGGGTGTTATGGCCACACCTTAAACTTGATAGTTCAAGAAGCTTTAAAGCAATTTATTGAATTATTTGAAAAAGTTAAAAAAATTGTTCGTTTGTTCAAAACCAGCAGTACAGCTTTAGAAAAACTGTTAAAGGCTCAATGTAATGAAATGATCCAAATTGTGTTCCAAAACGATTAATACAAGAAGTGCCTACACGGTGGAATTCCACGTTCCACATGTTAGAACGTTTCGTGGAATTAGAGCAATTCATAAAATCTACAGTTGCTGTCTTAAGAAGGGACCTTCCTGCTATTTCTGAAGCGGAATGGCAACTTTTTGGAGAATTGTGCAAAATTTGCACTCAATCCTTGAGCGGGGAAAATTTTATGACAGCTGGATCAGTTATAACGATAACTCATTGCTTATCCAAGGTGTGTGATAAATTGTTATCAGAAGGGTTTTCGGAACCTGCACAGCGTTGCATACTTGGTTTACGCTCGGGCCTTATAACGAGGTTTGAATATATTGAAAAAAGCCGAACATTTTCGGTGTGTACGGTTTTAGATCCACGCTACAAACTAGCAGTATTCAAGGATGCAAATTATGCAAGAATTGCTCGGAAAAAGGTCCAAGATCTTTTAACTGATTTAATCGGTAGTAATGAAACAGAAAATCAACAGTTACCATCTGAACCCGCGATGGCCGATAAATTTTCCCCTTGGACTATTCTCCATGATTTAGTTGGACAACAATATAATATAGGTACTCCATTGTCAAAGCGATTAAAGAACTGGACACATATATAAATGATGACATCTTACCGGCATTTTCTAGTGATGGCAAATTTAACTGCCCTTTGAATTGGTGGCGAACACATACATTTACATATCCCAATTTGACTAAGTTGGTACGAAGATATGGCAACATTATGGCGTCGTCAGTTCCATGCGAACGCATTTTTAGTAAGACAGGGTTAATTATTAATAATCGTCGAACAAGACTTTCGACGAATAAAGTCAGAGAGCTTACGTTCCTAAACGTGAATTTGTACCCGGAGGGATAGAAATAATTATTAACCCTGACATAATTGTAAATATATAATGTTAAGTTTTAAATATAAGGAAAATTATGTACATAGAATGAATCAACTTTTAAATACGCCTGCACAATTTTATATTTATAATAAGTATGAAATATTGCAGCCAGTCCTAAGCCTGGAAAAAGTATGAAGGGAAGTTATTTCATTCATCTTTATCCACTTAAAGTATACTATTTTTTTTTTACAGCCTGTGGCCTGATTGATGCCCTGTTCCTAAAAGACGTGTACACCCGGTTCCTACATTAACAAAACGAGGCGTTTTCCTTACGAGCCGTTGAAAAGTGAGTTCCTTTATTCTACAAGTCGTGATGAAAGTTACGAAGCTATGTAACTAACGGCCGTTCGTTGAATATAGGAACCGGGCATGAGTCAGTCGGAGCGAACTCCAATACCAAACTCCCACTCGAGGAGTTAGGTTGGGATCTTACAACGTGCTGTTAGTCCGGCGGCTATGAGTTTCGGCGGAAGAGGACTCGGGAGAATAACGTAGCTGGTGCACGACGATGACACGAAGACGCCGTCCGATGCACTCCGCTTTTTTTTCTAACGTGGGAAAAATCCTTTATGGATCCCCTGCCACCGGACCTGATCGGTGAGGAGCAAGGGTATGTGGGAGTCCCAGTCGGAAACGGGTACCCACTAAAAACCCACGTTGCACCTGTATCTGTCGCATCAGCCGGGGACACGGGAACGGGAAGACGCAATCTTCCGCGACCCTGGCACGACTATGGCCTTCTTAGGCCTCCTCTTCACGGGTGCTAGGCCACCCAGTCCGGCTAAATAGTGCTTTGCCAATGCAACTAGTACAGCATCACTCACGAGCTCCATGTGTAGCAGCAGACGCCCCCATGCCTGCCACTCGGGGTCTCGCTATCGGAGGAGCACTACCCAACACCCTGCTAAATTCTTTTCGAGTCAAAATTGCCATTAATTTCGACAGGGAAGATGAGCGACGCGATAAGATGGCAGTTCGACCCTCCGCTTAAATCGCAAACAGTTTACTCAGCTTCTTGTCGGTCCTTATTATTATATATTCTTTATTGAACACCAAAAAAACATGAAAGGAAATGTTACAGAACTATAAACTTAAGAGGTATAAACAATAAGGCGCTTATCTTATCGCTAAGGAGCGATCTCGTCCAGACAACCTTGTGGTTAAAAATATTTAATTTGGACAATGGTAGGTGGTGTAAATGATAAACTTACATACTAATATTTAAATAAACTAAACGAATATGTTGTATTTTTGTATAATAATAATATACTAATATATACGAAATAAGATCCAATAGACATACATAAATCTAAACATATACTGTACAATAACTTACAAATAATACTATATACAGTAAGAAAAGAATAAAAAATAAATATACAAATGTCGTCAGTGATAATCAGCTTGAACACAGTGACAGAATAATTTTTAACGTCAGTTTTAAACTTGGGTAACGTTTTTGAGCGCTGGATGTGTGGAGGAAGCGCGTTCCATAGGCAAATGGCTTTGACCGTAAAAGAGTTCTTAAAATAATTGGTCCGGAAAGTATGCGGGGTGATAATGAGTTCACTGGCTGATCGCAGAACTCTTTCTGGTCTGTCATGACCAAGAAATTTAAACAGTTCCTTCAAATAACTCGGAGTCATAGGATTGAACAAAACAGAGTACAGAAGAGAAACAATATGCAGATTCCGGCGAAGGCGGATGGGTAACCACTTGAGCTTTGTACGATATTCGGAGACATGGTCATACTTGCGTAGACCGAAAATAAATCTGATAGCTAAGTTTTGAATTCGCTCAAGCTTGTTAAGTTGGTCCTCGGTTAAATCAAGATAGCTTGCGTCCGCATAATCGAGAAGGGAAAGAAGTAAGGATTGTGCTAACATAATCTTAGTAGGAATGGGGAGAAAAGAACGTAAGCGCCGCAGAGAACCCATGGCTGCAAATGTTTTCCTGCTAACTTCCTTTAACTGGTGAGACCACGAGAAAGTAGAGTCGAAGTGAACACCAAGGTTTTTAACAGTTTTGTTGTATGTTTTGGTTGGTCCTTAGTGGCTTATATAATGTGTTTCCTCTCCTTTTCGGTCCCTCGTGGCTTAGGATCCCGGCACCGATGCAGTTGCATGCACAGAGATTTCAGGCAGGGTACGGTATGCACTAAAAAACTTCCCATTTCTCTAATTTATTGACGATAACATAACTATAAGCTCTACCTAAATGATATCAAAAGTGGCATTAGAAAAAGTTGTCAGATGTTAAGTTAATTTGTTTTTAAATAAAAGAGGCTACTGTAACTCATGGGTTTCAGTGTTTTGGGGCAAGCTATTTTGCATGTAATGAAAAACGGACGGGCTGGCGGCTAAAAGACTCATTTTTTACCCGACTGTGGAAGGAGGGTAGTGTTTTTCGAGCGAATAAATGTGTTTAATTCTTTTCCACACTACAGCCTAAACCTCTTGTTCGATTTCGATAAATGGTGTGTCATTTCATTAGCTTTTTCTTAGTTGTTTGAGAAACATGGGGTATTATATTATTTCAATATGGTGTCCGCGAAAAAAAAAAAAATATTTCTAGTGCAATCAGATTTTTTTAAAGCTAATAATGTAAATTCATGTTGATTCGAGACATGATAGCTCAGTGTCCGGTCACTCGCCTTTGATTCGATATACTCGAGCAACTTGAGTTCGATCCCCGGTGCCGGCACCAATGAAACTGTTAATTTAAGTGCCGAATTATCATTGAAAACATCGTGAGGAAACCTGCATATTTTCGAAATAATAACAAAAAGAAAACATATTTGGAAGATATGTGAAGTCCACCAATACAGTGGGGCCGGATGGTGGTCTATGCCCTGATACCCTCTGTACAGAGGAGGCCTTTGCCCAGCACTGGGACATGTACAGGCTGATACTTTACTTTTTTATGTTGATTCGATTTGCTGCACGTTTTCATCGCCCTGTGAGCCTGTGTTTTCATTTCGCTGCTCCAATGACAGTTGTATGCAGAAGCGTTTAAGGTTGAAATTAGATTATGAATAAATTACCTTGTTTGACCATCAATAAACATGTTAGCACTATTAGGTTATGAGGTCAACCAAGTCAGTTGCCATCATTTTTAATTTAATTATTTAATTACCTGTAACCATCAATAGCTTCAAACAACTGGAGGTAGCCGAGGTCAAACACCGGTGTCGGTAAAGATAGCACCACTATGTGGCACAGATGGAATATTAGTGCCATAGCTCTACAAGACTCTATTGCCAGCTCTCCTGCCGCCACCAACCAATGTGCGGCATCTGCATCCTTCACTGAGCTTTTTGACTCCTCACTAAGGTCTGCCACTAATGATGCCAGTCGTTTAGTGTCTAGGTAGGTGACCGCATGTAGATATAAGATACTCCGCCTCTCATCCCAATGGCATTCAATCCCATTCTGTAAGATGTACATTAAAATCTTAATGTTGCATTTAATCTTACTATACATAATTAAGCTTTTTTGATATGTTTTGTATTCGCAGTAGTGCAATAATTAAGACAAATTGGAATAAACAAATTTGTGTAAACAATAAAAAATAAACAATGGAATAACAAGCATTCTATACAATTCCTAGTAGTTAACCTATAAAACTTTAAATAAAGTTTTAGAAAACGTAAGTTTTTGCTGAAAATACTATTAGTATTTACTTCAATGGCCTATTACTTAACTACAACAATTAAAATTATAATAAAAAACGTGTGACCGGATACTAAAGCAAAGCCAAAAAATCTAATTATAAATCATTAATACCAGCACTGGGGGATTTGAACTGATGGTGTATGAGTATATTGAATTAAAAGCGAATAAACCGCTACGATTCTGAGCTATCAAGGCTCACTTTCCTTTCTATACCCTATCACTACGTTCAAAACTACCTACTTACTTCTTCATATTTTGTTGAAGGCAAAAGTGGTGTCGTTTTATTAGGATATCGATATGGAGATTTTCCAATTATCCCAACAACTACGATACGTTCCTTAGCAGAGAATTCTGGTATGTCATTTATTGAAAACACATTCATTGTGATCACGCCAAAACAAAATCAGTTTTAAGGTAGTTGTTTTAGGGAATTAATTAGCTTTATAAACAACATCCCCAAATCACGAGATTTTGCCGCTTTCTGGCTTTATTTTGAAAATTAAAATTAAAATTTGACAATTTTTCTTAATGTTTGACAGCGACAGCTGACATTTAGATTTCGTTCTTTAGTGCTTTATTACTCAAGGACTATAGCCGAAAAGGAAACTTAACACAGACATAATTATATTGCGTATATGTTTGAAAGGTACTTTATTTTGCGTTCTTAATTTTACGAAATGTACTTTTTTAGAATCAATTTACAACTTTAACATTATATTATTTGTGGCTATGAGTAAATTTTATTGTTCTTCTCTTAGTTTACTGCTCTTTGTATTTATATAATTATTAATATAATTACTTATATTATTAATTATTCTTTGGCTTTAAGTATCATGTCTAAGGTTACAGCAGTCAGCAAGAAAAATGTAAAAATGGAATATGCCATTGTCACTGTCACGCACAACATGTCATCGCTCAGCTGTTTGACTTTTTTAATTTTGCTCTAGGCTCTATTGCTACTAAAGTGCCTTTCGAAATCAAGGTCCACAAGTTTTCACGCGGTATGGAGAAATGTAATAGTCAAATAGTATCGGATACAAATCTTCGCTATCATATGCTTGTGACGCTTGCAGCTGATTTTTTGAAGAGATAAGTTATCAGTGAATTAGTTACTGAAAAACTTGTTTTTTACATAATGTCTTCAATTGTAGAAGATATTTGTGAATTATTGGACAGTTACAATGGGAGAGATAAGGTAAAGTATGCGGAAGTTATTCAGCCTTGGTATTTTAGAACAACCACATGTTAATTCAGTCATTAACCTGTTGCAAATGCGAAAGAGCTCATTCATTAAAATTCATTGAGTTTAAGGCTTTGCTTTTTAGCGAGTTTTATAAAAAGTTTTAGCTTAATTATTTTCAATCGATGATTAAAATACTTTTTATTCACGCTAAATCTATTAACTTTGATATTATAGTTTAAGGAGATATCCAATGAAATATAACCCTGAAATGGTCATACCTGCCATCATTACCTTGTGGCATCCATATATGTGGTTTCTGAGGGTGTGGGTTTGCTCCCCACTACTCGAACAATATTGTGTGTGATGGTGTTTATTTATTTATTTATTTATTGTACACAAAACACAGGATACAAAAAAAATTATGAAAAACAAAATAATGTACAAAAGGTAAGCTTAACTCAATATGTGAGTTCTCTGCCAGCTAACCTGGTGAGAAAATAGGTGATTGAAGGTAGCTGGAAATGTGTCCAGTGCACCCAGATATTCCTATAATTTACCCTACATAAATATATATATATTAATATATATATACATACATAATATATATACACATATATATACAAATATATACATAAATATATTTATAAGTAAATACATATATACGTAACATACATATAATATATAGTAAATAAAAATAGAAGATAATAACAAGAAATGGTAAATGTAAATAAACTTAACTCCGGCCTAATTCAAATCAAATAAATTTTAAACGATAGAGAAAACTCACTTATGAATTTATCAACAAGCAGAATTTGGCGGTCGCTTATAGTTTTCGAAAAAATAAATAATGAAATAGTGTGATTTTTACTATAGAAATCCGCCATTTTTTGTTGTCAATATGTCAATTCAGCTCGTATTTCTTGGTGGTCATAAAAAAAAACCTAACATCGAAGGTTAAGGCGGGAGCTCCGCTCCCGCCTGAACCTTCTAACCTAATCTATTCGAGTCGGATTCACTCTGTGTCGGTTCTGTGACTCATTAAATTTAAAAAATCGGAATATCGATACGTGTATGATGTCGCCCGCTTCCTATATTTATCATGTTGGCAGAACTGTGTAAAGAACTTTTGAAGTCAAACGAATAAAATGGTGGATTTCTTAGTACAAAAAACAAGTTTTAAATATTTTTTTTCTCGAAAACTATAAGCGACCGCCGAATTCTGCTTGTTGATTAATTCATTAGAGATTTATCTCTATCGTTTAAAATTTATTTGATTTGAATTACGCCGGAGTTAAAGTTATTTACCTTTACCCAAGAAATATATAGACATGAATTAAAATACGTTATGTGGATAAATAGAATTCCTTAGGTCTATTCTTGAAGAGATCCGATGAGGGGCTGGCACGGACATTGTACGGTAACAAATTCCAAAGAACGTGCACTGTAAAAGAGCCGCCAAAACAGGAAGAGGAGTGCGAGGGTAATTTTAAAAGAAGGGATCTGATCTCATGACAGGGTTGACCACGCGGCACCATGTACTCAAAACGCTCACGGAGGTACTGGAGCCGCAGGATTATTGAGAATGGAGTAAAGTGTGGATACCACATGAAAATCACGACGGCGACGTATAGGTAACCATTTCAACTGGGATCGGAAGCTAGAGATGTGATCGTATTTACGCAGCCCGAAAATGAACCGTATACACATATTTTGTAAGCGTTCCAATTTGTTTAGCAGCAACTCCGCAGCATCCAAGTAGCATACGTCCACGTAATCAAGATAAGGTAGAAGAAGTGACTGGGCTAGTGTAATTTTCGTTTTGAAGGGCAAGATTTTTTGGAGACGCCTGAGAGAATGAAGCGAGTAATGTATCTTCCTGCTCACTTCATTGATGTGACTGGTCCAGGATAGCTTGCTATCAAATAAGACGCCAAGGTTTTTAGCACACGAAGAGTATTGAATACTAACACCATCGTAGTATACCGTTGGCAAGTTAATGGCATTAATGAGATTGAGCATATACGTGCTGCCAAAAATAACCGCTTGCGACTTTGCTGGATTAACTAGAAGTCCAAATGATTTTGCCCAATTACAAATTTTAGTGAGATCATCGTTTACTCCCGATATGGCCTCATGCATCTCGCATACCTTAAAATGGCGGTAAAGCTGCAAGTCGTCGGCATAGAGATGAAAATGAGAAGAGATCACATGAGTAACAGCATTAATAAATATGGAGAATAAGAGAGGAGATAAAACGCCACCTTGAGGAACGCCCGCAGCAAGATCACACCAGCCTGATGAAGCATCATCGTAGCGGACACACTGCAAGCGGCCCCGCAGGTAAGAATCAAACCAGGTAAGTGCAGGTGGAGATACGTTAAGAGATTTGAGAATACCTAAGAGAACATCAAAGTCAACGGAAGTAAAAGCGCTGCTGAAATCGAGTAGGATCAGAACTGTCAGCTGTTTGCGGTCTATAGCTTGGCGAATATCATCAGACACCTTGAGGAGCGCCGTAACCGTACTGTGACCAGGACGGAAACCAGACTGAAAGTGACTGAGCAGACCATTGCAGTTTAAAAAGGAGGATAGCTGTCGCTGTACAATGCTCTCTAGGACCTTGGACAAGATAGGTAAAATAGAAATGGGGCGATATTGTGAAAAGGATGAGGGATTGGAAGTTTTAGGCAGCGGGATGACTTGTGCTTTTTTCCATATCGAAGGGAAAGAGCTTGTTGTCAGTGAGAAATTGAGGATATGGGCGAGAACTGGAGCAAGCTCTTCCAAGATGAGTAGGATCATCTGATGATGAATTCCATCAGTGCCCACTGCCTTAGTAGAAATAGAGCGAAAGGATCTCTTAACGTCACATTCTGATACCGGTGCGAAGGAGAAAGGTGTACACTTGGGTAGCGACTTTAGGAGAAGATGATTAAGAGTAATAGACTTGATGCTGTCATCCAATATGACAGGACAACGAGAAAAGTATGTATTTAGTGCATCAAGATCTAATATGGTGGGTTCCTGTTGAGAAGATTTTCCAACGCCAAGTGACTTTAAAAATTTCCAAACCTGTGTATTTGACAAGTTTTCAATGTTGCTGTGGATGTGACGTCTTTTCGCATCCCTACACATACGATTGCAGCGATTATGTAAATGTTTCTAGGCTGTTAAATTATCTTCAGTGGGTTTCTTCCTTAGGCGTCGCTTGGCTTTGTCCCTTTTGGACATAACTTTTTTTATTTCATTTGTTAACCAAGGAGCCGGCAACCTCTTAACCCTAACACATTTTACTGGAGCATGCTGATCATAAAGGGCTGTGAGTGTTTTATTGAGACCGTCAATAGAGTTGGAAGAAGAAAGCACCCGACCAATTTGCACGAGTCGTGTCACCACGCAAGCGCTCCACGTCAATGCCCTTGAAGTTGCGAAGATAAAGTAACTTTGGTTTGGATTTAGGGGGGCGTATTTTATACGAGAGATATATAAGGTCATGATAGGAAAACGAAGCAGAGAGCTGTAGAAGACTTCCAAAAGTAGCTTGATATGCTGAAAGGCAACTTCGACAAACAAGTGCTCAGCAGAGTGCGAGTAACAACTAGGTGAAGCGTCCAATATTCTACATGGGATATCAGCTCTCAGATACATGGCAACACCACCACCGCCCTTCTCCGTTCTATCATTGCGAATTAAGCGGTACCCAGGTATACAGTACTGAGTAGAAGCAAGAGAGGGCTTGAGGAAAGTTTCAGAAATTAGTAACGCATCGACCACAGAAGAGGCGAAGGAGGATTGAAGATCAGAATAGTGTGCTGGGACACTCTGGGCATTGATATGTACAATGTTAAGATATTTTCTGTTCACGCTGAGCCGCAGTTTTAAGAGATCACAAAGCATTATCAATTTACAAATTTACAAATCACACATTTATCTTTAATATATGTATTTATTTACAAGGAAAAGTATGTTTATCTAGTTACCTAGTATCCATAGTTCAAGCTTCGCTTAGTTTGGTATTAGAAAATAATCTGTAAATATGTCCTAAAATATTTATTTATTTAATTTCAAAAAGTTGATTGAATCTTATAACATGATAAGTTTTAAGATACCATTCATAAGACACCAATTTTTAACATTTTTGGCATACAATCATATCAGATCAACCTGGGAAAAAAAACAATAGCAAATTTTAAAATTATGATCCTAGCCATTTACAAATTAAATAAAAATATAAAATGATGTTATAAAACTCTTTGCATACTTCTGTATAAAATAAAATTGAATACAAAAGGTGCTACAACTAAAATCATAACATTAACTTTACATTGTTTTTTTCATTTCGACTACAGTTCAAACCATTTAACTTTATAAAATACATTGCCATTAATAATTCACTCATTATTGATTACAGTTTTTATAAAGTATTTAATAAATTATAATGAACAATAGATCCAAACTGATTTGCTTCACAGATTGTCCGATTATCATGCTATGCATTTAAGCTATATGGTTGCATCAAAGGTGAAAAGTCGTGGCAGACAGCAGGCTCCCGACTATCAAATGCCAGGATGATGTTACGTCTCTTTGATGATATTCCTATGATCCGTCATACTTATCATTATGGCCTAGGTAGACATGTAAGTAAAGTTATTCAATGATAATTAATACTATATTGGAGTAAAAATGCAGTATTTATAGTTTTGCAAATACTTAATACACCAGCGATATCTTAATGACAGTACCATAAATGCTATAGGAAACTCTTAACAACCATTTACACATATTTACAGTACAATAATAATAGTGAATACTAATATCCCTTGTGTGTTGGTATGCACTCTTCAATTACAATTAATTGCAGACTTGTTACAACATCTTTACAATAACTAAATTTTATAATTTATTGTCAGTTTTTAAAATTAAATAAACAACAATGTCTAAGTAGGTATGGCAATTTGTGCACTAGAAGTCCGGTACAAGTGTATTTATGTTAAATATGAATGAATACACTATCAGTTTTTTTTTGAACAGGATCTACATGACTGATAAAACCATGTAATAGATGAGTTGTCTGCTATCATCTTACATAAGAATTCAGCAGCATGTGACATAGTGTGTATGTAGATATACATAAAAATAAAACCACAAAAATTATTTCGTTTATTCTGAAATCAATAACTATTAAAAATTATTATATTTATATTCTATATTGCTGAGCTTATTTTCTGAGATACAAGAAAAAATATGTGATATAATTTTTTCCTATCTTACAATATTTTTTCTAATCGTTTATAATTCTAGCTGTTACATGTTAAGGCTAATTTAAAAGTGGATGTGTGTCATAAGGTTGCCATGAATGGCAGCTTTTAAATATATTGTAAGTTTATTAATGACAGTAATCACTACAAGTCAACATCTTGCTCATTGTACCAGCGTCTAACATATAAAACTGTTTACATAAAATTAAACAATTTTTTTTTCAAGTTCCTATCTATTACCTTGTTATTAATTCCGCTGTATAGTTAAACACAGTCCATACATTTTCTAAACGATGGGAGATGTGGAAGAATACAGTTTTATTTGTTTAATAGGAGTCGTCAAAAATAGCAGCACTCCTGGGTGTGCTAGCAAATATGGTGGACCAGGCGTTTTTGCCAGTTGAGAAGGCTTGTTGGCTCCATGACGTTGGCATCTTAAAACTATCACCGAAGACCGCTGACACCTCGGAGGTCATAAGCACAGCACTTTGGGCCATCAGTCTTTATATTTCGCTGCTACAGTGAGTAACTTTTTGGTTCCAAAAGGAAGACGGGGCACTAAAAAGACTAAAGATTAAATTATCGCATATCGTAATTAATTTAATCGATAACGTCGCTATCTTATCGTAGGTTTTTACGGATTAGGTGTTTAAGAACAAAGGGTAATTTGAATTTGTTATATAAAACATTAATTTTTTTTAACGTAAGGAAGTTAAGATCGAAAAAGTAAAGAAATGGCAAAGTAACAGCCTATACAAGTCCTACTGCTGGGTAAATGCCCCTTCTTTACAGAGGGTACTAGAACATAGTTCACCACGCCACCCCACTGAGTAACGGCAGTCTTCATAAATATGTTGTTGATGTTTTCCTTCACCGTTGTTGATTTGAACTCAGGTTGCTCGAGTTTATTGAATTAAAAGCGAGATCCCGGCCATTGAGTTTTCAAGTATTTATTGTCTATATGTTACATTTTTCTACTTACAATCCAACAGCTCAATGTCTCAGAACATAATAAATAACTCTATAACCCATTCTTACATTAATGATTTAATGCGAGCAAAATTCCAATATATAATCAGCGTTATATAAGCGGTCGTTATCGTTTTAATTTTAAAAAATCATCTGTTACGAAAAGGCAAAAACGAAACCCGTGTCAAACAAATTAATAACTGACTGATATCATGGTAATGAAAGATATACAATTTGCCGTATGAAATGTATTAATATAATTGCTATAGCGTAATTAGCCTATTTAAACCTGTTGAACCGAAAATAATAATTTTACGACCAGTCGGCCTGCCTGACGTCATCCCTCCTTGCAAACAAACATTCAAATATAGAACTTATATATTTTATCTGTGTCGAACCTACGACCCTCGGCGCCGAAGCCAATAGCTTAGCGCCACCTTGTCTATGGTAAAGTCTGCTCTTAATCAAGCAGCACATATTGCTGCTTGAAACGGATATAAAACAGCCCCACACCCTTGTGGCCGCCTTAAAAGTCATTGTATGAGGTTTAGTGACTAGCGCATGACGAGGAAACCGTTTACTATCGACTTCGAGGCTCACAATTCGGTTGTAAGTATTTTTCTTTAGTTTTTTACCTTAGAACTCAGTTATGAACAGATTTTAAAAACTACTTTTGCATTGTGTTCGGTACACCTACCGTATGGTCCTATATTAAAATGATAGGTATCAGGGAAACCCCTCAAAATCAGTGTGAGTTATTTGAAGTGGGTTTTGTTTTCGTTACTACAAATCTTTTACTTGTAAATTTATGAGATGAGATTGTCGAACTGTAGACTTAGCCACCTCTGATATGGAATTACGACGCTCAACTTGGATTGAACTTCTCCCGCTTCATCCGACAGAACTTTCCGATCGCTGCGCCATCTATGGTGGAGCAGGGACTGTCTGCAGAGTTGCTCTGAAGACGGGGGCGCGGTAGCGCGGGAGGGCATCGACGTGAGGATCGCTCTGCAAGCGGTCACGGCAGGGAAACTGTGCCTGGACATTGCCCACGCGGTGAGCTGTCTGCCCCCGGGCTGGCTTTGGGGCGACCGCATAGGACCCACGAAGGTGGCCGCCGTCGCCACCACCTCCTCGCTGATCGGCATCGCACTCTATTTCGCAAGGAAACGCCTACTGAAGTGATAGCGCCATGCCATAGCTGAAGTTCTTGTTTGGAAACGAATTGTATGAGTGTATTGGGTTGGCGGAAAATACGTCAATCGTGGGTCGTATATTGATTTGTTTTATTTACGCGAATAATGGGAAGTTTAATTATTTCGTAAATTTTGTTCTGATGTCATACTTCACCAGGGTTGTAAAGCGTTTAAAAAGTTTGTCTTTCAAAAACAAAATTAAACTATTATTTACGCATATTATTTTATTGAAGGGGTTTTTGATGTTACGTGTTATTTTACAAGCTTATCCATACAGTATTTTATTTATATTTTATAAATGAAATTATTGTTGTGTATATGTATTCAATAGTTACAGATCATGAAATGAATAGAACCATATTTATTAGATGAATAATTGACATCTTGCACAATCATGTTTAGATAAATGAAATAATTAGTCACTTTTTGTCTAAGCAACCGGTAGACTTCTCACAATTAAGTATGGAAATTGTATATAATTAATGTTTAATAAAATTGTTCATTTCTCCACGGTATAAATTATTTATATGTTACATCGTCATTAATTTACATAAAACAATGGAATTATATTTTCTTTATCATTTCACGCTTTTTTTCTTTGCACTTTTAATTTTCTGTAATGTTAAATTTTATTTTATAAAACAAAATTACAATTACTTTTAATCACTCACATGTCTTATGTGTACAAACTTCCAAATAGATTTACCTTAAACACATGTTACATACATTTTACAAAACGTTCTCCGTAATCGACAGGGTGTTCTATTTAAGGTTAAAGTTAAGGTTGTTGTTAATTAGTTTATATTTGGAGGGAATACGTCCATTACAAATAAAGCTTATGAGCAACGGGTCTCTTTTTATTTATGACGCTTGATTCTGTTGATATTAATGCTTTGAATAGCCATATATAATAGCGATGACTGTTGAAAAAAAAATCGAGCATCGCTCTGTAATAAAATTCATTACGAGACAACTCAAAAAGTTATTCACGAAGAAATGGTGGCTATTCACGGAAATTCTGCTCCTTAGTCCTTCATGATGTACTAATATGATGGTAGAGCCACGCAGCAGCCTCGGCTGTGCACGAATGGGCTGGCTCGTCCGGGTAAGTACCTCACAGAAGACCGGCGTAAAGTGGAAGTATAATACTTTCGCGTTTCGTCTGGTCTTTTCATATAAATAATCAGAGGTTGTTTAATGAATTCAAACGGGGTAGAGAGAGTATTGGAGGCGAACGCCGTGCCGGTGTCTTGCTTCTTCACGGCAACGCGCCGGTTAAAAATGGCCGTTTGCCAAGGCTGCTGTAGGGGATTGCGGATTTGAATAAATCATCCACCCTACAGCCCGGACCTAGCCCGTAGTGATTACTTTCTGTTCCCCAACCTCAAGAAAGATCTTCGAGGTAAACTTTTTTCTAACGAAGGTGATGGATGAAAATTTGAGGTAGGGAAAAGTTATTTTCCCGCTCAAATAAATGCGTTGAGGTGATTGGCGAATACATTGAAAAATAAATTTTGATCAGAATTCTTCTACCTATTATTTCATGCCTATACCGAGAATACATTGAAAGCCCTTCGTACCGATATGAGGGCGAAAAAGACATTCAGGTTTTGTGCACAGGTATTCCACCTAGGTTGGATCAAAATAGGTGGAATATAAAATAATCATTATGTTAATGCTATCAACTCAATTTATTAAGATCGGCCACCTGCCTGTAGTTAGGTGTTACCACCTGCCGGTGGTAGGGCCATGCGGCAGCCTCGGCTGTTGCACGAATGGGCAGGCTTGTCCTGGTAAGTACCACGACCTCACAGAACACCGGCGTAAAGTGGAAGTATAATACTTTCGCGTTTCGTCTGGTGAGTGAGGTGGCCGGAGCCCAATTTTCAAAAGGTCAACGCATCTGGAACCCTCGAGTATAGCAGATGTCCATGGGCGGCGGTACTTATCATCAGGTGAACCTTCTGCTCGTTTGGCAACTTTTCACATAAAAAAAAGGTCAACCCTTCTACGGAACAAACACGCAGATCCCGAACAATTATATGTTGGTCACCCTAATACTTGTGTGAACTGAATCTACGACTAGCGGCGCCGAAGCCAAAAGCTTAGCAACTCAGCCACCGTATCACAGACTTATGATTAAAACTAAATATCAAACGGCAACCCGAAGTGTTGACCTAACGATGTAATATATAGCTATTGAACTAATCGAATTGGGTTACAAACAAAAAAGTTTCCGGCAAATAATGTATATGTTTTGTAAGGATATAATTACATGACAAGCAGTTCGATGTATCCTGTTGCATGTATGACGCACCGCTTGGATACCCAAGAAGACGTACTCGCTAGAACAATGTATTGGGTGTCTATAGTGTAGGTTTAAATAAATCGCCAGACCAAATTATATTGTATCCAAAATTAATTGAATCTGATTAGTTTTTACTCGATTATTTCTAACACAGGGCTGGGACACGAACTGATGACATAAAGTTGGGAATAAAATTTTATAACATTATCAATGTAGACATATATAAAAAAATAGAGACATTGAAATAATAAATTATCCGTGAATGAAAGTGGATCTTTTAGGTTTATATTGTTGCTGAAGTCTTCCTTTCTTTAAAAGTGGGTTGCAGTTAGCAAATACAATAACTGGATTGATATCTTCACTTAGATACATTATTTAATACTTAACTAGCATGATATGTACACGACATGTACTCATTCGATTATACAGTACGATGTTCGCTCTAGACTTCAATAAATTTACTTGAAAATTAATTAATATAATAATATTACATAATAAATAATTTAATTAACCGATTGACAGCGACGTCTTTTCCTTGTTTTCATGTTTTGTTTGTTAATATTATTTTAAGGGAAGTCATAATCTTTATATATATATAATTCTTCTGTGCGTGTATACGTGGGTGAACTCCTAATCGGCTACCCGATTTTGGTGAATTTTTTTGTGTGTGTTCAAGTGGACTTGAGAATGGTTTGATTCAAAATTCAATTCACTACAAATTATTTATTTAATATTTTTTTTATTTATAAGTTGTCAGGTTTAAAACTTGTGTAAATCCTGTACAAAAGTCTTAAATCTAAATCGTCTTTCGGGTCCGCTAGTCTATATGTAAGTATTTTTAGCGTATACTTTGAAAATCATGTAAATCCAATTTATGGAAATAATTTAACAATCACATGGTCTATTTAATGTATTAGATTATGTTATAAGCCATACTTTTTTCAGTAAAGGCCACCACTCTTGTTTATCCACTCTTGTTTTGAAGATGTGGTCAAACCAACATATATTCGGAAAGACGGATGTAGGCATGTTTTCCGTGCTTTTGAAATAATGTAACAGCCAACATAATTATGTTACAATGCTGGGTAAAGGCGTCCTCTGTACACCTGTAGTACCTACCGTTCTTTTGTGTTCTATACGCAACTGAACGGTAATTATTACAAAAATCTACAAATAAAGCAGAAGCGCTCACAATAGCCCCGACCATGTGTTATGATCGTAAGGGAGAAGGGAATTAATTCGTGCATCTCCAAAGCACACTCCAAAATGCATAAATAAAATTAAATAATAAAACAAATGAAAACAAAACGTATAATCTAGCTTCTTCTCTTGCAGGCTAGTTCTAACCATTTGGTATCAATGTCAAAATAAACGGTATGTTTGAAGAATGCCAACAACTGCCAAATTTTATACACGTCTTTATTTATCTTATCGCATAGAGATACGATAAAAGAATAGTACACGATTGACCTCTAGTTGGCGATATAATATTATATTTTATATTGCATAAAACAGGTGGTGTTTTTGAGGATTGGCTATGGGCGCGATTGTCGATGAAATATCCTGTCTTCTGGAGACGCACGCGAATCGAGATAAGGTTGGTTTGTTCTCTTATGACATTCGCCTATTGTAAAATTTTGTGCATACAATGTATTATTATAATAAGCAATGTAGCTACTACAACATTCATTATTACATATTTTTAAATTATTATTATTATCATAGATTGCACGGTTCATTGATTTAAGTGAATGAATGAATGAATGAATGAATACTTTATTGTCCACCACACAGAAAAGGATACACAAAATTAACAATAGACAAACAAATTAATATAATGGACAATTTGGCGGCCTTATCGCTTCATAGCGATTTCTTTCAGGCAACCAACCTATGTGGTCATCACGGCGTCTGCTATTGCTCGTCGTGTTGTTGGGTTCGATCCCCACGCTGGACAAAAATTGTGATACCGTTCGCACGGTTGTTACTATCATAAATTTTCCATCTTATTTCGTGGTGCAGGGGTAGCGATTAAAAAATATTTGTTTTATTAAAAAAAAATTTGGATTTGTTACAAGTATTAATACATACTTCTTATTATAAGTCTATAATATAAGTAATTTCTAAATGTGCAAGTACTTTAAAGCGACAAATTTTGCTATTATTTCGAAAACATACAGGTTTCCTCACGATGTTTTCTTTTATCGCTGGGCACGTGATAAGTCAGCACTTAAAATTAACAATTTCATCGGTGCCGGCACCGGGAATTGAACTGAGGTTTCTCGAGTGTATTGAATTAAAAGCGGGCCCCGGGACACTGAGCTATCGCGTCTTTAATAACAATATTTATTGTGTAATAAATAAGAGGGCAAGTATTTTATCGTTGCAGGTCGTTTCTCTCGCAAGTTATGTGCTAAAGCTTTGGGGCGCAACGGGAAAAAGCCCGCCACTGCTGACAGCGAGCGCGCGAATCGCCGGTACGCGTGCCACACTACGCCTCTTTGACGACGCGGCCGCCGTCAGAGCCCTTGTCAGATATGGACTAGGCCAAAAAGTAATTATAGCTTTTATTTTATTACCTAGTTTTCATCTGTTTTTTTATTGCAAAAGTATTCAAAATGTCTACAGTGCGGCCAACGAAAGAATGTGTTCCTAACGTCTGTCAGTTGGTCATGACTAGTGATGGGTAACATAACTTTTATTATTTTTAACTGCTGAAAAATTTTATTTCTTTATTTTCATTGCAATACAAATGTAGGTAACCTAACTTTTATTGTTTTTCAGGATTCTAATTTCTTAATGTAACTAGAATATTAAAAGTAAAAAAGTAAAGTATCAGCCTATATACATGTCCCACTTCTGGGCAAAGGCCTCCTCTGTACAGATGGTATCAGGGCAGAGTCCTCCACGCGGCTCCGCTGCGGACTAGCGGACTTCACATATCTTCGAAATTTTTTTTTGGCATTATTTCGAAAATAGGCAGATTTCCTCACGATGTTTTCCTTCACCGCTGAGCACGTGATAATTCGGCACTTAAAAATAACAATTTCATTGGTGCCGGCACCGGGGATTGAACTCAGGTCGCTAGAGTATATTGAATTAAAGACGAAGCGCCCGGACACTGAGCTATCACGGCTCAGGCATATACCGTTGAGGAATATCTTGACGACGCCAATGTGTGGGGTGATACTCACGTAGGCTAAAATAAGACATACTTGTTCTATTATATTGTAAACTAATCTTTTAAAAAAGAGCAAATGTTGAGTTTCTTGCCGGTTTCTTCTCAACAGAAACTGCTTTCCCAACCGGTGGTAACTTATAAGAACGCGCAAGCGTCCTATATGAATAAATATATTTTTTATTTTGATTTTAGGAAGGTCTGCTATGGGGTACCATGGGCGTTGCCAACGGGCTGTTCACGCTGTCGTATTTACAAGGGGAAAAGCTGGTTTGGCTGCTGGACACTGGAGTGCTGAAGCTGTCACCAGAGCTGGCTGAAAGGATACGGATAGCCCACAAGCTTTTCTGGTCTCTCAGTGCGTTCGTGGGACTCGTCAGGTGGGCTGATTATCATGTATTACATAAGGGCTTTTCCGTTGGTGATTCCTTCACCGCTAATAGTTTTTACAAATGTATTGAGAAAACGCGTGAGCGCCGTTAAAAACGCTGTGACATAACTATAGTTAGCAATATTACTACATACTTTTGTTAAAACGGCCTGTTATTTATGCTCGTAACAAATCCAGAAACTATTTGGACTGGTACTAACGTACATATGACACAATCATTTAATAATAACATTGGAGGAGGATAAGTAGCAAGGAGCAAGATTCAGAGGAAGGGTGCTTCTATAGACTAATAATTACTTTAAAAAACTTTTAAGTTAAACGGTTTTATTTTATGTTTTTTTTTTGTTAATTTTTTTTTGTTAATATTGTATTGTCATCTAAATTAAATGTGTGTACCAAATTTCAGATCAATCTGACAACGGCAAGGTGCTTAAATTTCAATTTCTAGTTTTGACCCAAATAAATAAACAAACAAATTCCGTACGGGTCGAGCTAAATAAAACCTTTTAATAAAAAGAAGTCGTATAGCATAGCAATATAGCAGCACATTTAGTGCTTTAATATTTTACAGAATCCGTAATCAAAAACACAACTTCTAGAAGGTTGTACTTGTAAGGCGTGATAGCTCAGTTTGACTTATCACGTGTTCAGCGGTGAAGGAAAAAAGGAGAAAATCAGCATATTTTCGAAATAATAACAAAAAAATGTTTCAATGAAATGTGAAATCTACTAATTCGCAGTTGGGTCGCGTTAACTATTCCCTAATAACCTCTTTTAGCGGAGGCCTTTTCCCAGCAATGGGACATATACAGGCTGTTACTTTACTTACCTTTCCCCAGTAGTGGGAGGTTACTTTACTACACTTTACTGTTTGCATAGGTCCCTCCGCGCGTTGCACTTGACGGCGCTGATGCTGAAATCGCCGGGCAGCCCGAAGTGCGCACCGGCCCGCCTCACTCACGCGTCTCTCACCAGCACCAAGTTGCTGCTGGACGTGATCCACGCGGTCAGCTGGCTGCCGCGCGGCTGGCTCTGGGGCGAAGCCCTAACCGCCACTCAGGCCTCCGCGGTGGCGACGGCCTCCGCCGTATTTGGGCTCGTCATGCATTACCACGGCAAGCGGCTGTTACCGAGATAGAGGCTACGTTTCTTGTTCTCGTTTTAGATTTTGTGTTGTGAATAGCTTTAACGTATATTTATTAAGTAAGCAATAAGAAATATACCGGCCACCGCCGTATTTTTAACATCTCTGTTGTTTTTTATTGTTAGAATTATTTGATAGAATGTGTTGCGTTTGCGTTATCGCATATCGGTACACGTTTTGGCGGGAATAATAATAAATAGCAATGTATTCTATCGGTAGCTCTTTTCGTAACTATAAAAAAAGAAAACTGATCATCTGTACTAAGCTAATCCCAAATTTGAATACCAGAAAGTCTGAAAGAATTATGAAGAAGTTGGGGCGATTAGTTTTATCCGTTGGATTGTTTGAGTCTTTTATGTCTTAGGGAGTAGACTGATATGCTATCAGTTTTAACGAGATTATAATCCACAATTTAAGATAAACATTGAAGCAGCGTCTTAACACGAAAGCAATTTATTTTTGTAATCGATTCGGATCGAGTTCTTATTGGGTAGCTCAACATTTTTGTGGATACTGGAACACAATTTGGTGTAATAAAACAAAATTTAATACAAAACTATTTAATGACCAAGCATAGTGTACGTATAAAAATATACATATTTATGGTATACATTATAGATTATATAAAATTTAAATTGATATGCCTGAGCCAAAAGTTAAACTATTATAATCAGTGAGGTTGAAGTAAAATAATTCTTGTGTTTGTAGTCGTTATTACAATAAACTGAATACGCAAATTAACGTATTAACAACATCATCATCATCATCATCATCATCGTCATTTCAGCCCGTTTGAGTCCACTGCTGAACATAGGCCTCTGCGGAACATCCCCCGTATTAACAACATAACGTATTAATTTTATCTATCATATGTTTTGGCTCCGTGTTTTTGCACGAATACAAAATTATTTAAACGAAATAAATTGAACTATTTTACGGATTTAATTGCCTTTTTCAAATCAAAATTAAAACGATAAAAATCGGTAAAATAGTTTAATTTAACCATTAACATATAGTTTCAAAAAATCGCCTATCTATCGTCGTAAAAAATAAAATGTGGCCGGCCCTTCACTGTTTTTGGTATGGATCTTACCAAAGAGTTAAAAAGTTATTTTTTTTAAAACAAGAGTATTTTGTTAATAATTAAATGTTGAAAACTGGCAAATGTTAGCGGTTGTAGATAACATACCGCTGGGCGAAGTTCCCACGAAATCGCCTTGACATGTCATTTTATATTAGGTACTACAAGTTGTTCAGATATCCTCAAGATGATATTAATCACAAGAATAGAAATCTGAAAAACTGAATCCCAAGCTATAAGCTTCGGATTCATTTTTCTATGGATTTTATATAATGATTCTGTAAGAAAGGTAAGTTTTGAGTATTAATTCTTCTAAATCTGATCATCATGGCTTTTTCCGGACTTATTCATAAAAATCTTTCTTTTATGGTCTTTTTAAAACATAGAACATTTATGAACTTGATACAGTCATTTCAACATGCCCATTTTTTTATCTACGTCAAAATAACTCTACATCATATTTTCTATTTGTTTTTTTCTTTTAATTTCAATATGTCAAATTCGAGTTGAGACTTGAGAGCTATAATCGTAAGCGTAGAAGACCTTAATAACTATAAATATACAGTTGAAATTAATATTTATCTATTGCTTTAGTTTTCACGTTTTAAATCATATTAACTAACGGTTGAAAAAAAAAACTAAGGAGGTCTATAGATACATGTGATAAAATTCGCTAAACCATTAAAAAAAATTGTCAGTGTACGGAAACGTAAGCGTTTCTGTTTCATAACAATTACTGGCTATACTATAACATCACTATGGCTTCCCGTACACTTTCATCTCTTCCTCGAAGTACGCCTCTTTGCCCGGGAACAGTTTGACGGCGAGACGCGGAAGCAGACTCGCGCTTGGCACCCCGCCCCATGACGTCACATCATCCGGGTCCGAACCGAAGACCGCCGCGCAAGCGGACTCGTAGGCCCGCGCTGGGCCATCGGCCGTCGGCTTTAGGACGCACTGCGCGAGCCGGCACAGTACACGGATTCTGCGGGGGAGGTCGAGCCGTCTAAATGAGTTTTGTGGAAGCTATTTGTGGGACCGTTAATGAGCCATTTTTCGATGCGCAGAAAATCGTTTTATAAGTATCAGCCTATACATGTCCAACCGCTGGGCAAAGGCCTGTTCTGTACAGTGGGTATCAGGGCATAGTCCACCACGCGGCCCCACTGCGGATTAGCGGACTTCACATATCTTCGAAATATTGTTTTTATTATTATTTCGAAAATATGCAGGTTTCCTCACGATGTTTTCCTTCACCGCTGAGCACGTGATAGTTCAGTACTTGATATTAACAATTTAATTGGTGCCGGCACCGGGGATCGAACTCAGGTTGCTCGAGTATATTGAATTAAAGGCGAGCGCCCGGACACTGAGCTATCACGGCTCATATATATATTATATAAATCGTTTTAATTTACCGCAAATCCCTAGACATGCCCAAAAATCCCTAGGGAACCTATAAACGTATGAACACCATAAGAAACTCGACTCTAAACCAGTGCATATAAGTTTGTAGCGAATCGAACCCACGTCTTCCGGATTCAAGCCCAGACCCTTTAACCGCTAAGCTAAACGGCCGATTGTTGTGGCAAATCGCTACGACGAAAGCATCAACGTATTTTATCTACATTATTTTTTCGCATTTTAAGCACTTCTTGGCGGATCTATTGTTATGTTATGTCCTTTACAGCACACAAAAAATTCAAATATAGTTTTACGATAAACAGGTGACGCCATTGCTATTTAAAATTTAAATTTTATAGTGCTAATCGCATTATACCTTTATTGTTTATTTAGCACAAAAAAAATATATATATAAATTTCAAATGCGTATATAGCAATATTGCACATCAACCTTTGGAAAGAGATAAACGGCTAATTTCGTCTACGTAGAGCGTTATCTCTTTCGCACACTATTACGACTGACAAACGAATAAGCTAGGTCTATCCGTGGAGGTGGAACTGTTATATAAATCGTTGTTCCTCTAATACGGCTCTAAATTGCTTTATAAATAAATATTTTCAAGGAAATATAAACACAACGTTGTCTACTCCCAAACTAAAGAAACTATGGGTACTAGGTTCCTGATAAACGTACTTAAACAGGATTCTTTTGTAAATAGATACATATTCTCTTAGTGGGAGTCGAACCCACTTTGGTCATGGACCATAGCGTAAACTTTATCACGACCATTAATGGGCCAATTTACGAGGCGCAGAAAAACATTTACCACGGAGCCTATAAATGTATAAACACCATAAATGATGTGTTCGCTTATAGTGGAATATTCATTCACTCATGTAATACATCTTTTTAAACTTATATGTATATAAAATGTTCAAGTGTAATGTTGTGTTAAAAAAGAAAAAAAAAGAAACTCGACTCTAAATCAAGAATAAAAAAGCGAGGGTGTCACCTAGCGGCGTGGTGCTGCTGTATGCCGACCACCTGCAGGAGGGAGCGGCGGGGCTCTGCGGCCCAGCGGCCCAGCAGCGAGCGCCCCGCCTCCTTAGCGGCGCCGGCTTCGATGCCCGTGCACGCCAGCCGACTCGCCACGCACACCCACACCGCCACGACGGGCTCGTCGTCGTCTCTGGACGCGACAGGTCCGTGAGACGGCAAACCAATTGAACATGATAGTACCCCCTCACCAGAATCGTGTTGGGTTATCGCTAAACGGAAGGTTCAATGTACTAACAACATTGCACAATATACAGATCGAATGTAGTTCAAGAAAGAAACAATTCGCACAAACACTGACCAGTCGAGGGCGCGAGTGGTTTTCTGCAAATTTGTAATGACGGACTCTTCCAATATTTCTTATATGCAGTACTGATACGCCGTCTCCATCTTAAAAATACAATAACTTGGTGGTACTCTGGGCTAGAAGTTATGAGCTTTTATGTTTATTCTCAATTCTCTCATGTGTAGCCCATAATTTAAGATCAACCAGACTTGATGGCAACGAATCCATCGAAAGCGATAGACGGACAAACCCTGCAAGGAAACATTTACGATAAATTATAGAAGTCACTCACGCAGTAAGGTCGTGCGCGGCGAGAGCGCGCAGCACTGCCACGTGCGCTGCACTCGCAGATTGCGCAGCGTCCGCAGCGTGTGCAGCGTCCGCAGATTGCGCAGCGTCCGCAGTAAGTGCAGGCAGCAGCGCGTACGCTGCGTGCCAGAAGCGGCGCGCTGCGCACGCTGCGCACGCTGCGTCCGCGTCCCACACGCACGCGGCCCATCGCGCACGCAACGGCCCCCACCCGCCGTCCTCTATCAAACATTAGCAATATACTTACATCTGAATAAGTAATGTATCATTAGCCTATACACCAGTGATTCCCAAAGTGGTCTATATCGACCCCTAGGGGTCTATGACAACCTGCAAGGGGTCTACGTCAGCAAAAAAATTTGGGGGTCCATGAAATGAAAATGTGGGTCAACGATAGTGGATCTCAACACATACACTGGTAGTACCTATTTACTTACTTTACTTTATTTTATGTTTATTTAATGTTACGTATATTTTACATAACAGATACAAAATTTCATTTTGAGTAGTTTTAATTTAAATTCAATTAATAAATGTATAAATTAACATGTGTTTTTAATTTAAGTTTTTAACACTAAACTTCACTACAGTTAGGAATTTACAGGAAATCAATATCAGGTAAGTAGGGGGTCTACCCAACACGGCAAAACATGGCAAGGGGTCTACGACACAAAAAAGTTTGGGGAACTCTGCTATACACGTCCTACTAGGCGACACCAATGCGGGCTGGCGGACTTCACATATCTTCGAAATGTTCTGTTTTGATATTATTTCGAAAATATCGAGGGATCCTCGCGATGTTTTCCTTCACCGCTACGCACGTGATAATTCAGCACTTAAAATTATAATTTCATTGTTTCTTACATAGGGATTTGAACTGGCATAGGTTGTTCGAGTATAATCTATTAAAGACGAACCATCACTACTCAATAGTAGCAAAATTGCATATCTCAATATTAGATGTATTTAGACGATGTTATTAGATAGATATTTCTTAAAACTGCCAAGTCCAAAATGCATGACGTCGACTAATCGAAAGGACCCACCTGGGCGCGCCAACTGCGCCCGCGCCGTCGCCTCAGCGAGGGGCGAAAAGTAGTCCAGGGCGGTCAGGGAGGAGATTGCTGACGCGCATGCGAGACGCAACCGCGCGTGGCAGCCGCCGACCCACTCCTGCCACACCTGCCACGGCCACGAGGAAGACGGGGTCGAGAAAGGAGAAAAAAGAAGCGATGAAGAGCACCCAGAAAGCTATTTAGATATTACTAGCTGACCCGGCAAACGTTGTCTTGCTGTATACATTATTTCTAAGGAATTTGTAGGGTAGAAAAAAATATTTGGGTGGCCACCCTTAACATTTAGGGGGATGAAAAATAGATGTTGTCCGATTCTCCATCCTGGCCGATATGCACACAAAAGTTCACGAAAATCGCACAAGCCGTTTCGGAGGAGTTCAATTACAAACACCGAGGCACGAGAATTTTATTCAATAATTAAACATTTGCTAGAATAGTATTATTGGATTAGTACATCAAATAAATCAAAGCCACTATGAAGTGTTTAATGTAACATAAACTAGGAGTATCCATAAGTATAGTATAAAATATATGTTTATTAATTGATCTTACACCGTTGTGTCATCACGTAATTTTAATAGGCAATCCTCCTCGCCTTTGTACAAAGGATAGGTATCAGGGCATTACTTCGAAAATATGTATTCCTGGCCAATTTTTCTTCACCGCTGATCACGTGACAAGCCAGCATTTAAAATAACAATTTCATTGGTGCCTGCACCGGGGCAACTGAGTTTACTCAGGTTGCACGAGTAAATTGAAATAAAGGCGACCGTCACTGAGCTATCAAGGCTGGAAATAAATACATAAAATTATTGTTCTCAAATCGAGCCCATGCCTTACTGTAAGAGACACTCGCCACGAGGTCAATTCCTAATGACTCAACGACTTTTCTTACACTAGAGTCACTAACTTTCATCTCTCCTCTTAACATGCCCGTACCATATCAACCTACCACTCCTTATTTTCTCAATCACTGGTAATATCTATCAATATACACAATTATGTATACAGTACACATAAGTATATAATGACAATTGGTAATGGGTTGTGAGTTTTGGCAGTCTACGGGGGAGGCCTATGTCAGCAGTGGCAGGCTTATGTGAAATGATGATGAATTGGTAGTGGATTAGTATACAAACAGGCAATGCCACGCCCGCCGCCGGCTCGAAGCACATGATGACCATTGCCCTGCTCAGTAGCTCTTCTAATTCCCCCTCCGAGCTTTCTATATGGGGTGCTGGAAAAAAAATCATAATGTATCGCCCGGTGCAAAAATTACCTTGTTCTTGTTCGTATTTAAACCCGAATGCGTACGTACATATTTCAACTGGCATGCGTACATATATCTAACTAAATGACAGCATCACAGAAGATCGACGTGAAGTGCTAGCGTTGTACTTCTGCGTTTTGTCTGATGAGTGAGGTAGTCGGGGTCGGTGAGTAGATCAGGTAGTCTGGGGTAGTCTGGGGTTATTAAAATGCATCTGCAACCCTACGAGTTTTGCCCGTGTCCATGGGCGGCAGTTATCACCTAACTTACGGTGAACCGGTAGCTAAAATGATGCTCTCACCGACCCTTTTACTAAACATGTTTGCACCCACGGGCCACGTTCCCCCGGGGCGAAGACGTAGTTTTCAAATACACTTGTACCCCCCGTGGGTGCCTCAGTGCCCTTGGATATTCGCTGCGGGGCGGAAACGCTTCAAGTTTCAAATGCACGCACCCAAATCGGCTATAGTCCGCAGCGTATGCGCGGCGTGTTTGGCCACGTGCGCCAGCAGCTGTGGCGCTGCGGCCGCCCGCACGCACTGCGACACGCTGCGGGCACGCTTCGCCCGCGCCCCACCCCCACCACCACCCCCACCGCAGCCCCCCACCGACAGCTGGCTTGCGGATATCAGCACCCTATAACGAAAAAGGAATACTTTTTCAGACCCCAATCATCGGGAAGTCCGCTCCCGAGAAGCCCTGGTCATGAGGGACATAAGCCTCGATATACGTTCCTGCGTAACTCAACCGAGGCTATCTAGAAGACCCCTACGACGAGGACTACATTCTTCCTTCTTGTCTTTCAAACATTTTAATTCTACTTCATTCTATTAACTTTACTATCTCATCGCCAAAACATGGTAAACGGCCTCAAGACCGATTTGGCCCGTATATGGCCAGAAACTACAACTCTCGCTCCATCTGTTTGATCTCCCTATAATCTCTAACCAAATGTTAAATAAATGGCATTATAATTTTTGACTAAGATTCGCCAACAGCGGAGAATATAAAATAGTGTTTGAATCATTGAAATAAATTGTATTGGAATTATTGAATTGAGAGAAGTGCAAATGTCAATTATCACTTGAAATCAGGTGAACCGCCAGCTCGCTTGCTACCTTCTCATATAAATTGTTAATCTTTATTATAATATTATTATTATTATAACATTTTCGATTTCACCTTCATATGTGTATAATGTAATGATAATGTAATGAGTTGTGTTTTTTTGGATTGATTTGAATTGTATTAGTTTAATCGTCGTTTTTTCAATGCTTAAATAATCCTGTTTCTCATGCAAATACCACATTTAATTGAAATGTCGTATACACCTATAATTGAGGTGACACTTAACATGTTTTTCCGTATAATTAGTGTACACATAAATTTTTTCAGTGTCCATTTCGCTGGTGTATCAAATAAATAAATAAATATTAAAAAAAAGAGTTGCACCTATAGACATGTAAGCGGAGGAATAGTGTTGAGAGGACTGGTTGGTTTTTAGTTTTAGTTGTTTTTTTTTTTTTTTTTTTTTTTTAAAAACATTGCCCTCACTTTAGGATAATATTATCCTGTGTTGTAAGGACGTTTTACAAAAATAAATTTCACGCGGACAAACACCCAGATGCGAAACAACTATCTGTGGGTCACACAAATAGTTGTCCCGTGTGGGGATCGAACCCACGGCCCCCGACGCCGAAGCCAATACCTTGGCAGCTGCGCCACGGAGTCATCGAAAACGCGGTTGTTTACAAGTGAAGATTTTAAATCCGAGTTTTCACTCTTAGATCGTAATATTATATTAACATAAATATATAGATGACAGACATTTTATAACTTACCTAAACTGGGGAGCTTCGTGGTAGGGAACACTGGGGTTGTGATGGTCCACGAAGAACTGTTCCAGGGCGGCGTCCAACGCGGCTTCCGGCAGTCGCCACCAGGGCAATTGAGTCGCTTCCTCTAGGGTCTGACGAGTGTTTGGAAAAATTAAATTATTCAAAGGATTCAAGGACATTGCACTTCCCTGGCGAGACATTGCAAAAACGCAGAATATTGAGAGGAAACTAAGTGAGAAAAAAAAACCAATAGGCCAATATAACTCAGGCCCATTGAGCCATTACGGCGTTATGTACAAACCAACTTATAACTCAGACCCATACAATCATTACGGCGTTATGGAGAAACAAACACATCGACACAGTGCTTTACTAAGTTGACCTAAAACAGCACACTCTAAAATCCAATTTACTAATATTACACGGTCAAATTTTATACAAACTGGCGATGTTTCGAGAACATTGCACATTTTTTTTGTGAAAAAGTGGTAAACGAGCTGGCGGTTGCCTGTTGTTAAGTGATAAGCGCACCCCATGGACATTAGTAACACCCGCCTTTAAAAAACATGGGCCCGGGCTAATTGGCCTCACTCTCCAGACGAAACGCAGAAGTGTAACCCTCATACTCTACGCCGATCTTCTGTGAGGTCGCGGTACCTACCACAGTTGCGTGGCCCTACCACAGTTGCGTGGCCCTACCACAGTTGCGTGGCCCTACCACAGTTGCGTGGTCCTACCACAGTTGCGTGGCCCTACCACAGTTGCGTGGCCCTACGATAGTTGCGTGGTCCTACCACAGTTGCGTGGCCCTACCACAGTTGCGTGGGCCTACGATAGTTGCGTGGCCCTACCACAGTTGCGTGGCCCTACCACAGTTGCGTGGCCCTACCACAGTTGCGTGGCCCTACCACAGTTGCGTGGCCCTACCACAGTTGCGTGGCCCTACCACAGTTGCGTGGCCCTACCACAGTTGCGTGGCCCTACCACAGTTGCGTGGCCCTACCACAGTTGCGTGGCCCTAAGATAGTTGCGTGACCCTACCACATTTGCGTGGCCCTACCACAGTTGCGTGGCCCTACCACAGTTGCGTGGCCCTACCACAGTTGCGTGGCCCTACGATAGTTGCGTGGCCCTACCACAGTTGCGTGGCCCTACGATAGTTGCGTGGCCCTACCACAGTTGCGTGGCCCTACCACAGTTGCGTGGCCCTACCACCGAAGCGTGGCCCTACCACAGTTGCGTGGCCCTACCACAGTTGCGTGGCCCTACGATAGTTGCGTGGCCCTACCACAGTTGCGTGGCCCTACCACAGTTGCGTGGCCCTACGATAGTTGCGTGGCCCTACCACAGTTGCGTGGCCCTACCACAGTTGCGTGGCCCTACCACAGTTGCGTGGCCCTACCACAGTTGCGTGGCCCTACCACAGTTGCGTGGCCCTACCACAGTTGCGTGGCCCTACCACAGTTGCGTGGCCCTACCACAGTTGCGTGGCCCTACCACAGTTGCGTGGCCCTACGATAGTTGCGTGGCCCTACCACAGTTGCGTGGCCCTACGATAGTTGCGTGGCCCTACCACAATTGCGTGGCCCTACGATAGTTGCGTGGCCCTACCACAGTTGCGTGGCCCTACCACAGTTGCGTGGCCCTACGATAGTTGCGTGGCCCTACCACAGTTGCGTGGCCCTACGATAGTTGCGTGGCCCAGCCATCAGTCGAGGAGACATTTAACACACTTTCCCGTTTACGGTGGACAGTCACCTGCGAGGAGAGCTGCAGGTGCGGCGAGCAGAAGAGCGACAGCAGCGCGGCCAAGTGCGGCGCCGTCTGGTCATCGGGGATCCCCCGCAGCCAGCAGGCGGCCGCCACCCGCCGCCAGGTGGCGCTGCACCAGCTCGTTATCTCCTTGTCCGCGCTCCCTGCCACCTGAATTCAGATCGATGACAATGATTTCCCCCCCTCTCTACCGCGTCCGAATTCATACCTACAATTCCCCGCAGCCCCTAACTATCATGACCGTTGATTTCATGGACCGTTAAAGTTAATATGTTAACAAGAGATCAACGGTTGATTCAACCAGTTCGTTGATTCACCGCCCAGCGCTAATGTTCACCATGTTTTTACAAATAAAGACTATCAATCTATCTATGCCACTGCTTCATTTTATCTCTCGCTTTAAGACTTCCTTTTCTGTTAAGTTTGCCATTAAATCGTATTTTTTTTAAACGATAACTTTTTTTATGGATGAGAATGACGAATCAGCGAAAGTTTCGACCTGAAATTCAGCTTATCGCACATTGACTAACGTACCAGGTACAATAATAAAAAAAAAATAGTTACCGAAAAAACAAATCAAGATATTTAAATAAGGAAAATAGTTAGTGACAACCATCCATCATTGTTAATGAGTTGCTAGTCTTTACGGGTCTCAAAACGAAAGAAAAATCACACTACCAATTCACGCCTTTCTCCTATGAGGCAGTGGTATCACTTAGTCAGAACTAGTGTACTCTGCAAAGTCGATCCGTATCATTCCTACAGTAAGTCTCCACAACTTATTTTATGTGAGAAGCGATCTGGCGGCTCACCTGATGTTAAGTAATAATCTCCCATTGACATTTGCAACACCCGTAGGTTTGCGCGTTACCACTAAACATAAAGCGGGCTCCGGCTACCTCACTCGCCAGACGAAACGCAGAAGTAGCGCGTAACACTTTCACTTCACGCCGGTTTTGAGGTCGTGGTACTTGCCCGGACGGACCTGCCCATTCGTGCAACATTGAAGACTGTTGCGTGGCCCCAGCCAGTCACCTGCAGGGCCAGGGGCAGGCAGCTGGCGCGAACCCAGGGGCTCTCGGCCCACCTCAGGGCTGCCAGCGAGCCCAGGAGCGCCGACAGCTGCACTCGGCCCTCCTGAGACGCGGCCCTGCCCGCCGCTAGGTAAGTGTGCACCGCCCACTCCCAAACGTACTTGAGGATGTATTCCTCCCCACCTAAGAAAGTAAAAAAAATGTAAAGTAACAGCCTATACATATCCAACTGCTGGGCAAAGGCCTCCTCTATACAGTGGGTATCAGGGCATAGTCCACCACGCGGCCCCACTGCGGATTGGCGGACTCTAACAATTTCATTGGTGCCGGCATCGGGAATAGAACTCAGGTTGAGTATATTGAATTAAAGAATTAAATTGAGGCTCGAGTATATTGAATTAAGGCGAGCGCCCGGACACTGAGCTATCACGGCTCACATCTAAGAAAACGGTACCGAATGACACCACGACGGGAAATCTATCTAATAACGCACCGGTGTACTTTTATTTAGATTTGCGTAACTGTTTTTGCATAAAGGATATTACGCACGTTTAGAATTAAAGGGATGTAGTTAAGAGAATCATGATTTCAACATCATGTCGGGAAACGACCTAAAACGACAGCTTATTATGATTCTTATTAAAACAAGGGCTTATTTTGACGTCGAAAGCTATATAACGCATACTTCATTCTCTTTCCTTCCCTTCCAATCACCGCGTTTGTTCATAAGTGCACAAATCTTTATTTTAAGTTTCCCAAAAAATCACATTTTTTAAATAGGTCACTATAATTTTAAAGGTGCGATTAGTTTTTATAGAGTTTTTCTCGGCACTTAAGTTTAAATCTAAAATTTCGTAGAAAAATTATGTTTATTATGTGGATGAATAATGATTTTGAATGTCAACGCTGTATCCGCCTTGTCCAATGTGCGAATGTGCGAGAAGCCGATGGATGCAGGCGGGCTTGCGGCAACTGTACCCGGGCAGCGGTCCATCGTCGCCTGTATGGCTTCGAGGAAGCGGTGCAGCATCAGGCTGTAGGCCTCGGAGCCCGTGGTGGTGGGCAGCAGGGGGGCGTCGTGGCCGGGCTGCACCCACGGCGCCCACGCCTCGCGCAGCGCCGACCACGCGAACCACGAGACTGCGCCAACGGACCGGAGATATAAATAATAATAATAAATGTCATTTATTGAACACTTTTACATACAAATTTAGTAGGGCCTTGACTCCCAATAGGTTATCCTGTATTTCAGGAGCCAATCAAATCCGCCAATGATTATGAAATAAAAAATTAAAATGTTGTTAATATGTTAACATTAACGTAAACGCGCGCGTGCGTGCGTGCGTGCGTGCGTGCGTGTGTGAGTGCGTACAATACGCACACACACGCACCACACTCTACCTTTCACGCGACAATTTATACATGTCTTATTCATATGTATCCTAAATTTATATATCATAATTTTATTCGCTACCGATAAATAGACCAATTCAAGCGAACATTGTACATATTAACCAGCATCGCTGTGTACAACATTTGTCTGCACTCACGCTGCTCTGTGTTGTGCCCCAGAGTGTTCGCGGCGGCCACGAACGCATCCTGCAGCGCTCGCAGCAGGTCCGCAGTGTGAGTCGCGTACGGCTCGTAGCACTGCGCGTCCGAACCGATATTCGCGCGAGCCTCCCACCAGATGGCGCCCAGCTCTCTCAGGAGGCCACCTAGCTAGAAAAATCAAGCAACGATATTTGCCCGAGCCTCCTATCAGATGAAGCCCAGCTCTATAAAGAAGCCACCTAGCTAGAAAATTTCAAGCACCGATGTTTTCCCGAGCCTCCCGCCAGATGGCGCCCAGCTCTCTCAATAGGCCACCTAGCTAGAAGATTTCAAGCACCAATATTTGCACCAATATTGCACGTTGCACGAATGGACGGGCTCGTCCGGGTAAGTACCACGGCCTCACAGACGATCGGCGTTAAGTTGAAGCGTTATAACATACCAAGTTTGGTCTGGTGAATGAGGTAATCGGGGATCACTTTAAAAGGTTGTCAATGGATCTACAACCTCTTAGGTGTTGCACAAGTGCATGGGTGGCGGTGATCAATTAACATCAGGTGACCCGTCTGGTCGCTTGACAACTTCTCACATAAAAACCCTAAGGGAGTAGACAGTTATTTTTATTCCTCCGTACCCTTAGTACCTAATACAGAGGGTACTCTTCAAACATGATTTAAACATCAATGTTATGGACGTAGAGTGACTGTTAATCAATGTTCAGAAATAACTAACCTTTGTACATGACCGCAAAGCAATATCTCTTCAATATATAACAATACTTAATCAGCAGTCTCTCATAATCTGACCAAGGTAAACACTCGTCCATCCCAAAAACACCTCCTCGCCTCACCCCTCCTCACCAATCAACACAAAAACAAGTTACTAAAGGCAAGAGGTATACGGTTAGCGTCAGCCTTTGACAATACATACACTGAAGGCTTAAAATATTAAAAAATTCCCTCTGTATAGAGGGAATTTTTTAAATTGCCCATTAGTGGGACATATATAGGCTGTTTCTTTATTTGCTGTACAGATAAAGCTATCGTCACGCACCTGGTTGGAGTCGAGTGAGTGCGCGTGGGCGTGGGCAACGTGCGCCACGTGCGCGCAGAAGGCGGCCGGCAGAGAGACTCGCGCGCTGGCCCTGGCGCTGAGCACCACCAGAAGGCACAGCCCACCAGCCCCACCGGCACCACCAGCCCCACCGCCACAAACCGCGCCCACGTGCACTCCTATCAGCTGCGCACGTATTTGTTACATATACACGTTGCAAGGTCCGGAAAATCATCTACACAAGGGGTGACAATATGGTCCATTTTATTTTTCCTTTTCGTGATTAATTTGCATTTTTTGTGCCAGTCTCTGCAGTCAAGATGAAACTTAAACTGTGGATTTTCGTAGATAATTGGTCGAAAACATTCGGCGCGACGAGACTCGAACCTGCGATTTCCGGGTATGGCGCACAGACGCTTTGCCAACTGAGCTAAGTGGCCGTTACTTCACGGCGCGAAAATCTTAAGAACTATAAACTTGGTTTATTGCACTTTTAGCAACGTTTGCCTACCAAAGTTTCGTTTTCTTTTAGTTTCTTTGTTAGAGGCTAATGAGAATACGTTTAACAAGATACAATTTGAAGTTTAAACGCCAAAACTACCACATCTTGATTTTTAGATTGTGAATGAGTAAGATAGTCCGGGAAAGTACCTACCATAGCAACTTTTAAGCTGAAGTCTTACAGAAGGCTTACTTTTGTTTGTGGTAGGGTCACGTAGCAGCCTCGAACCCTGTTGCACGAAGGGGCAGGCTCGTCCGGGTAAGTACAACGACCTCGCATAAGACCGGCGTCACGTGGAAGTATAATACTTTCGCGTTTCCTCTGGTGAGTGAGGTAGCCGGAGCCCTATTTTCAAGCAGATGTGGGTGTAGCTGATGTCCCTGGGCGGCGGTATTCACTTAACATCAAGTGAACCGCCTGCTATCTTGGCAACTTTTCACATAAAAAAAGACCGACGGGTAGCAGACAACTGTCAAAGCTGAGCTCGCCATCAAATTTAATGGCGTATAGCCGACGCTCATAGTACGTTATTACGTTCCTATTAATATTAATATCTGAAAAGTAAATAAAAAGTTAGAAATTGTTTGATTTTATTTAATTTGCGTAACACTTAACACCTTTAAAATTTTCCCTCACAATTGTGTTATTATAATGACATGTATCGGTAACATTGTTTTAGACTTGCGCTCGGTGTCTGAAACACTGATCATCATGGAAGTTAGCTAATCAGCTGACAATTGGATTTTCAAATGTTATGTTGTTGCCAAAAAGATTGTTAAACTCTTTTGGCAACAAAACAACATTTGAAAAGCCACTTGACAGCTGATTAGTTAACTTTGACGATGATCAGTGTTTCAGAAACCGGGCGTTAATGTTATCGTCTCTTTTCACAAAATTATTAACATTAATAATATTTGCCCGAGCAGCGCCGTAAACGCGACAATGTTTACGTGTTTAGGAAGTTTCAAAAACCGTCAATAAGAGGGCGCCAAATATGTACAGCTTATACTTAGCTCTATCTATATGTCTACGTTATCTTTCTTCTCTATCATGTTACGAAATGTGCCTAAACGTAACCCATATTTGAAACGTCATTCGCAATGATTAGTTACCGCCTTAGAAGATTCAAAGATCTCACCTCCAGCAAGACATTATTCTCGGGGTCGGGGTAGGGCCCCCAGCGCTGCGCCGCTTGCACCAGCATTTCCAGCATCCTCTCCCTCTGGGCAAAGTCCACCTTATCCGCCCACGAGTTCATTTCAAACTGTTCATGTCAAAAAGTTTTACGTCATTTAACAAATGAGTAAACGTTTATGTTCTATACAATTAACGTGGTTACTGAACAATTAACAAAGTAACTAGTTGTTTTAGTCATCATCGTTAATTTTGCGTGATTATTTTTGATAAACATAGGTTGTGGTGGTGGGAAAGAGAAAAGCATTTATAAGACAGTACAATATTATCTCACAATGTAGCAAAACTCTCTCTCCCCTTACTCTTTCACCAGTTTCCTCCTTGAACGACTGATCATTGAATCGATTGGTATCTTCGAATAATATAAGCAAGGCGAGGTGGTCGTAGATAATTCTTTATTGTGAGATGTGGTCGTAATTGATTATACATTGTGAGATGTGCTCGTAAATGGTGGGGTAATAGTGAGATGTGGTCGTAGATGATCTTGATAGGGAATTTATTCCTTCATAATGTTTATGCTTCGGTTAGCACTTGCCATCTGCTTTTCACCGCGTCAATGGTGAATGGCAATCAGCCGTTTAGCTTAGTAGCTAAAGCGTCAGGGCGCGAATCCCGATTTCCACAGCGGCGAAAAATTTTTCGCACTTTTTTCTACAAATTTTAAATTTTTAATACCATGACAATGGTTGACTGTTACAGAATGCCATTAGACATTGTCCATCCATTGAAGCAGTTAGCTTACGGCGTAACAATAAAGTTTAAATAAATAAAGAAACAGCTAGAGGTGGTCGCGAAAGGTGGTCTCACCCTGGACAGGTAGCTGAAGGCGGCGTGCGGGGGCAGCGGCGCGGCCAGCAGGGCCCCGTAGAGGAGGGCGAAGGCCGGGGGCGGCAGGCGGCGCGGCGCCACCAGGGCCGAGCATAGCCGCCGCAGGCCTTCGCCCCCGCCGCCCCACGAGGACACCAGGGCGCCGCACGCAGACGCGTCCGCGCACAGCCATCGCTGCGGGCGCGGAGTAATAACGTGTGGTTTCTTGTTTCTTATAAAAGTAATCGTATTGACTACTAGTGGTTTTTGACGATCAATAAGTATGTATAATACTTCTATAATGAATAAAGATATTTCAATTTGAATTTGACTCGGGATTAGCCTCGTTATATGGCCTTTTTACATTGATTTGAAATAAATGTTGCTGTTAAGGAAAAGGTATCGGGGAAGTAGCCAGTAATGGTAGCCGAAAGGAGTAAAAATTTATAGCGGTAAGCGTTTTAAGAATGGCCTATGAACATCTACTTTACCCAAAGCCTTTAAAGAAACGGACCCGGCTACCTCACTAACCATGCGAAACGCGAAAGTTTAACACTTCACCCGTGGTACCTCGGCGAGGTGTTCGACGAGGGCGCTGACGGCCTGGAGGGCGGGGGCGCAGTCCCCGGCCAGGGCGGCGCTCCGCCCCGCGCGCTCCGCCACGCGCCGCGCCGTCTCGCCGCTGCGCACGTGCCTGCCGAACCACACCACCCTTCACACCTCCATTGCCAACTGAACGCACAGCGCAACCTCTCTGGACCTGTTTTTATGTGAGAAGGTGCTTCACCTGTTTTAAGTGATAACCGCCGCCCATGGATATATGTAACACCCTTGTGGTTGCAGATCAGTTGCCCCGCGGTGGGCCCCGGCTACCTCACTCACCGGACGAAACGCGAAAGTATAACACTTCGACTTCACGCCGGTCTTCAAAAAAATGGCTCTATTGCATGTATGCGTCGATAGGGCAAGCTTTTTTACACATATAAATTGCACGCACATGCTATGCGACTCCTGTTTCATCCCGTTATGATTCTACTCTCAAGGTAATAGTGGGATATGCTGTCACCTGGCCAGGGTCTGCAGGGCAGCAGCGGCGCGAGCGGCCCCTATCCGAGGCCGGGACAGCCGACGGAGCAAGCCCGCAGCGGCGCGCCTTCACGAAAAGAATACAACTCAACCGACGCAAGGAAACTTGTTACATACCCACAAAAAGGGACCTTCCCGAGCGCCCAAGGGCCTTTTTGAATAGAACAATATCTTACTAAAATTCAAAGAAAGAATTCGGCCATAATTAAAAAAAAATGCATGACATTGATATTTGCATCTGTGTGGCAGTCATCCCTTTAGCTTAATGGGCAAAGTGTCTGTGCGCGAATCCGGAAGACGTGTGTTCGATGTCCGTCTTTTTTTTTCGATAAATTTGAAATTATTAAACTCAATGAAATCGGCTTCCATTTAACCAAGAAAGTAATAAAGTAATATTGTACACTAACAATAACCCTACAATGTGAGAATCAGGCGACAAACCTATTTTCCAGGATCCCTTGCTCGGCACCCGTCGATATCACCCACTCGTCTTTCTGTGGGCAGATGTAAACATTGACAAGTTCCCAAATGACTGACAACCGTTTATAAATGCTAATCGTGCGAAGACAACATTCTGAATGTAACATTAAATGATCAATTTCGGATATGTTAGTGAGTAAAATGTGTTTAGTCTACAGAGTTTATACAGTGCAATTCTGTTCAGCAGAAAGCTGAGAGAGCACCAAATCCAAATAATGTATTCATCGAAATACGGAACGTACATCTATCCATAGTATTTTTTTTTTAAATCTACCACCGCTTCGTAATGAGGTTCTTCCAACGGAGAAGAAATAGGCGAAAGCAACTCCGTAGACAGGGTACCCCCTTTTTGTCATTTTTAGGGTTATAACGACACCGCTGTCCGTCTGTCACCAGGCTGTATCTCACGAACCGTCATAATTATAGTTGAAATTTTCACAGATGGTGTATTTCTGTTGCCGCTATAATGACCAATACTGAAAAACAGCCATGATTTTTTGCCGTTCTTATAGATGGCACGGAACCCTTCGTTTGCGAATCAAACTCGTACTTGGCCGGTTGGTTGTCACCACATGATTGTCTGTCTGTCCCTATGTATGCTTCTATCTTTAAAACTGCGCAACGGATCTTGATGGGGTTTTTCTTCCTAGATGGAGTGATGTGGACGTTTTCGACGCAAGCTGTATGTAGAGAGATCCGGGACCTGTATGATGAACTTGAGCGGCCTGCAACGGTTCTCGCAGCCCTTGGCGCAGGGCGGCAGGGGGCGCCGCGCCCGCAACCTGCCCACCAGCCCCCACAGCGCCCCGTCCAGCTGCGCCACGCGCCCCGCCTCGTCCGCCCACTCCCTGCGTCCGAAAGCTGAAGTGGCAGCCCGCTTTGCAGAGACGACTCCACAGAGGCTATTAGGGTATTCACGACCCGAACGGCGTAGTTGGTACTGTACCTACCTCCTGCGGCCAAAGTGTGTGGGTTCGATCCCCACCACTCGAAAAAATATTGTGTGATGAACATAGTGTTTTGTATCATATTTATTTATTTAAAAAAAACAAGTATGTTTATCAGTTATCTAGTACCCATAGTACAAGCGTTGCTTAATTTGGGACTAAAGAACGTTGTGTAAAAATGTGTCCTAACAATTATTATTATTTTATTATTATAGGCCACACCAATCCACAGTATAGGCAGATTTCCTCACGATGTTTCCCTTGATCCTTTCCGACGGTCACGCGATAAGTCGCCAGTTAAAATTAACAATTCCATCGGTGCCTGCACCCGAGGATCGAACTCAGTTTGCTCGAATATATCGAAGCGAGCGCTCGGACAATGTACCATCACGGCTCCAGCGTTCAAGAAAGGCGTTTGAAATAAACGTTGAAAGCGAGCAAGTGGTCCGCCCGATGTCGACTGCTTACTGTCGTCGCCGTCGTCACGAACATCTAGACCTTAGATGTACGTGGGCGGCGGTAATCACTCAACACCGGGTGAATCGCTGTTGTCAGACCGGGGAAGCGGCAAGGGTATATGAAAATCCGGATCAAAACAGTCAACAGCAAAAAAACCCGCGCATATGACAGAGACAGATGTAAGCCTGTGTCTGTCACATATGTAGGTTGCTAGTGAGTGTTTCAGGTATAAGCCTGTCTCTATCGCACTTAACAGGGACAATTAAACAGGATTTAAGCGGCACCACAGCCAATATCTTTCCCCGCTTGCTACAACCCTAGGTCCAGCTAAATGGCGCCTAGTACTGGCCAGCCGAGTATTTGCATGGTTCATTCAAAAGAAATGACGCACTTAGCAAGCGCTTCGATGTCCCTCAAGTACTTGTCGACGAGGTTGAAAATGACTCGCGCGTCTCCCAAATTGTTCTGGTCCTCCAAAGGCGGCTTGAGAAGCGGCATGCGGGGTCTGCGCAAACGTAAATAATAATGATTTTGATTTACTCAATAAAACACTGCAAATAGACGTTATATGTGGACTACTACAAATGCGTAATTCTTTTGGCCGAGATCGAAATATTAGCTAAAGCTCTAGAATATTAAATATCTAGTTTATTAAAGGTTAACGCCTTTGTACATCCTAGTTCGTCAGCTGCGAGATTCGAACTTGCGTCTTCTGGTTTCGCGCCCAGACGCTTTTACCAACTAAGCTAAGCGGCCGATGAGCCCACGGTGCGAAAATCTTGACATCTATGTTCGTTCTATTGCATTTATATCAATGCTTGTCGCCAACAATATCACTGTTATAAAAGACCTGGTCGATGAGCGATCCTTGACGCTAAGTATGCTGTCGATGGCCAGTTGCAGATATGTGGGGGGCGGCTTCGGCGGAGTCCGGGGCTGCGGGGGCGAAGTCTCCCGGAACTCACTCGGCAGGGAATTGCGCCAAGCTGCGTCGAGACCCTATAAAAAGATACATTGGACACTTGGGCTCAATAGGTTTTGGTCTAAACCAAGTCCATCGAGCCGGATACATGCTTTGTTAATGTCACTAGATATGGGAAATTTGACAATACTTTATGGAACTAGATTTTATGAAATTGATATATTTATTTATAGTACTTTTAAGATATATGTTAAAAAAATAGAAAAATTATCGAAGCATCAATGGAATTAATATTGTGTCAATGTGTTTTGTTTTCATCAACTTTACGAAAACGAAGGGTAACCAAGTATATTATACATCTCACATAGATTATTAATACAATGTAATTTAATTAATCTATTAAAACTGCTTATATATAATCTATATATTGTTTTATCCGAAAGTCATTTTTTATTATAACTCCCGACGTATCGTATACTTTGGAATATTCATGGACACGCGACGTACTGTTTAGCGTTTTTATTTCATTGTTAACCGAATAACCTTCAGGTCGAAAATCACTTTTAGGCCGTTTGAAATCATTACTATTTAGAGGCTGTGCGTTTGGGTCTGGATTTAGCTTTACTAATGACGGCATCCCATGCCGGTGGTAGGATTTCTTGTAATCGGAATAATTACCTGTTCGGATATGAACCTCGCTATGTCCGCGTGGTGGGGGGCCGCGCGCACTCCGTCCCCTTCCTCTAGCCAACGGCTATACTCGCGAACCAGTCTATTAGAAGCAAGGGAAAAATATTAAACATACTTTGGTTGGGCCACGCAACAGTTTTCCTTGTTGCACGAATGGGCAGATCCGTCATCAGAAGTGCCATTACCTCACAGAAGATCAAAGAAGACGGCGGGAGGAGTTACATCTGCGTATCGTATGCTGAGTGAAGTAACTGCGACCTGTTTTATTAAAAGGTGGCAACGTATCGGCAACCCTACGGGTGTTGGAAATGTCCATGGGTGGAAGTTTATCATTTAACATCACGTGAACCGCGTGCTCGCTTTTCTTTTACACGGAAAAAAGTAACTAAACTGGCGTATTTAGATTGTTAGGTTAATAAAGTTTTAACAAAGTTAATGGCAAATATAAGGTCACCATGAGCCGCGATAATTCAGTGACCGCGCTCTCGCTTCTGATTTAGTTGTCTCGAGCAACCCGAGTTCGAATTCCGGTACTGGCACTGGCAGGGCACATAGCTCGAAGAACTGGATGAAATGTTTAATTGCAATTCCAAGTGCTGACTTGCGACGCGCTCATCGTGAGGAAACCTGTATATTTTCGAATTTATAAAAAAAATCGAAGATATGTGAAGTCCGCAGTGGTGCCGCGCGATGGACTATGTCCTAATTGCCCTTGTACACAGGCCTTCGCTCAGTAGTGCTACAGAGAGGCTGTTTCGTTACTTTACTTTGATGCGAATCATTAAACATGTATACGAGTAGTGATAAAAAGTTTCTGGTTTGTGTTTTCATATTTTTATAAAACAAAATATCACTCACTTTTCCGCCGCCACGTGGTAAAAGAACAGGTGGAACGTCTCCCTTGAGCCGGCCGCGGCGTCTCTTACACTCTCCTTCTCCTCCGCTACTTCTTCCTCCCTGTCCGAGGAGTCAGTATCTGACTCGCTGAGACTCGTTTCACCGGTTAGATCTTTTATCGAGATCGCCGGAAACAGCTGACTGCCGACTGTCGGTTTGTCTTTGGCGCTACTGCTAGATGGCGCTGCGACGCTCTGGACGGTATCCACCTGCGGCTTGAGCAGTTCCGCTTGGGCGCGGTGGAAGGCCAGGGTGTCCTGGACCCGCCTCTTGAGCTGACCGAGCGTTCTCGACTTTATTATGCCGCTGAAGAACATCGGCCCGACGGGCGGAGTTGATTCCTGACTGTGGAAGTGTTCAATCTTCGTTTATGAGAGTCACACTAGCGGGGTGGGTAGAGATGAGGTACGGTTCACTTCCAGCTGTGGTGAGTCTGCACTTAAAATTAACGATTTCATTAGTGACCTCACCGGGATTTCAACTGACGTTGCTCTAGTCTACATCTAGAAATACATCATCTGCGAAAATTTGAACTGTCTAACTATCACGGTTCTTGGGATGCAGCCTGATGACAGACAGACAGCGAAGTGTTAGTAAAAGAGTCCCGTTTTACCCTTTGGGTACGGAACCCTAAAAACACTCACGGGCTCGACGGCGGCCTCTGCAGGTAGAGATGGAAGAACAGCCTCCACAGCGTGAGATGAGCGGGATGCTGGAACGGTGCAGCCAGGACGGCGTTCGCGACACGGTATATCACCAACTCCTCGGCGCTCATGGATATACCAATTTGCTGCGACATAAAAGATACTTTAATATACGTACAACGTACATTCAAATTTATTTCTTTATAGTACTACTAATCTCTGATCTTTTAATCTTGACACCACTTGAGTGCACTAGTGTCATATTCATCTACTTTATATACATATATATAATTCTTCTACGCGTGTGTATGTAACTGAACTCCTAAACGGCTTGAGCGATTTTAATGAAATTTTTTGTGCGTCCTCAGGTCGATTGGAGAAGGGTGTAGATTCACGATTCGGTCCACTACAGATTTGTTTTTTTTTTAAATTTATAAGTTGTTATCGGAATTAAGTCGCGTGTACGGGACAACGTTTGTCGGGTCCGCCAGTTGTAAATATCATTGAGGAGAACCACGCACCCGCAACGCGTTGTCGACGTGCGCGCGCTGCGAGGCGGCCCGCTGTTGAGCGAGCGCGTCGAGCAGCCGCGGCCACGTGGCGGCCGACTCCGCGCGCGCGTGCGCCCCCCGCAGCGCCGCCTCGCACACTAGCGGCGCCGCGCCGCACTCGCGCACCGCCCGCCCCGCCACCTCGCCGCCCCCCTCGCCCTTTCGCCGTTCCAAATTCAAAAGCATCCGAACGGAGGAAAAACATTCATCGAATGCTGTTACCAAGTACGGTAAGGGTAAATGCCTCCTCTGTACAGGTAGTATTAGAGAACACCACGCGGCCCCACTGCGGATTGGCAGGCTTCACATACCTTCGAAATACTTTTTTTGTTATTATTTCAAGAATATTCAGATTTCCTCACAACATGTTTTCCGTTTTTTTTAATAATTATAAGTTAACACGTATTATTATTAAAAAAAATTGTGGTACCGCCACCGAAGACCGAACCCAGGTTGCTCAAGTATGTTGATCGCTTCGGATAAGTTAATACATGTATATTACTTATTAACTTCGTCTGCGGTTGCTTGTTATAGTCGAGTAACTTAACATAGAATGTACAACAATATATTTTTTTAGATAATGGACATGTGTCAAAGAAAAACATTAATCGAAGCAATAGAAATGGAACACCGTTATTAATATCGCATTCCTAATTTTATCACATTTAGTATATCTGTATTTGTTTGAATAATGTACCAAATCATTTCATCATCGACATTGATCCATAATATGTCACAGAGCTGAAGAATCCATTCAAAGAATTAGAAGTTTAAATGACCTGCAGTATGGCGGCGACTGCGGCGTCCAGGGCGGGCCAGTCCCTAGCGGCGCGCATCGCGATGTCCAGCAGGGCGCGCCCAGCGCTGGGCAACGTGGGCGCCCACAGCCCACGCAGCCACGAGCCCATCACTCCCGGGCTGTGCGGCCTGTGATATGAAAAGCTATTGACTCCTTTGACCTTCTATCCAAGCATTTGCGGTAGGGAAACCCAACAGTGTTCACTGTTGCACGAATGGGCAGGTCCGTCCGGGTAAGTAACACCACCTAACAGAACACCGGCGTACGTACAAGTGTTACACGAGTTTCGTTTGGTGAGTGAGGTAGCGGGGGCCCATTTTATTGAAAGGTGGCAACGTATCTGCAACCACAAGGGTGTTACAAATATCCATATTCGGCGGTTATCACTTAACATTGGGTGAACCGCCAGCTCGTTTGCCACCTTCTCACATAAAACTTTTTTTATTGAACAAATAACTCACTGTGAATTGTAGATTTCCTCCAGGATGGTCTGCTGCAATATCTCGAAGCCCGACGGCCCTCCACGGCCCATTGCGCGCGCCACCAGCGATGGACCCGCGCCCAGCAATACATTCAGCACCTCCGTGAACCTAACCAACACCAATACAGCTTTAAGACAAATCGCAACTTTAGAGTTAAAGGGACCTAATTAAGAAGCTGAAGTGGCGATGGGCCGGCCATATAGTTCGTAGGACTGATAAGAACCGTTGAGGAGGAAAGGTTCTCGAGTGGCAGCCTCGTACTGGCCATCGCGGTGTGGGGCTACCCCCCACTAGATGGAGTGACGACCTGTGCAAGTGTGCGGGAAGTCGATGGATACAGGTGGCTCAGAATCGCGCTGTGGCAGTTTATGGGGGGCCTATGTTCAGCAGGACTCAAAGAGGCTACGGCAATGGTGATGATGATGATGATTGATGACGCATTAAGAAAAATCATGATTTTGACCTTGTCTGGAAACCACCTAAAACGCCTACCTATTTCGACTCTTGTTAAAACAAGGGCTCATTTTAGCGTAGATACATAACGTACACTTTGGACTCCGAGTACACAAATCTTTATTTTAAGTTTCCCAAAAATCTTATCGTAATTTAATACAATCGTAACATTAATCGTGGACACATTTTTCTATGCATGAATGATTAATAATAATAATATATGTTTATTCACTCAACTAATTTTACATAATAACTAACACTATTTAAAAGTAGCATCAATTACATTGAAAGGTAAACCTCGGCAGCCATACTAGTATAAACTGTGTCACGGCTGCCTGCATCTCCCACTCAGAGAATACAATACAATTTTTATTGGCAACAATGTTTAAAAGCAATTGGACACAATTTGTTTCGTTCTTAACGAAGGGAAAGGTTACGCACGCACCCCTGCGTGAGGGCCACCGACTCGGGCGATTGGCGCATGACGCGCATGAGCGCGCGCAGGCAGAGGGCGCCCTCCGGCGGACGCGCGCGCGCCACGCGCAGTAGGGCGCGCACGCCCTCCGTGCAGATCTGGGGGGTTTATCATGGTGCTTAATTTCAGAATAAAACTAGATTATATCTGTATTTAACGATAATATTTTAAAATTTTTAAGATTCTTAGCAGGTACTAAAAGTACACGTGACTGGGTGGGGGTGGAGGGTAGTCTTAAACGTCACCACGTATCACCAAGGGGGAGGACGGGGGTTAAAATGCGAAAAAAATATCACGTGATTAACAGAAGTCAAGAGCATGCCTAGGAGGAGGGACCCACCAGTGGTACGGAGTGGCCCCAGCTGGTGGCCATCAGGGCGAAGGCGTCGTGCAGCAGCCCCGCCGGCTCGGGCTCCGGCGGCGGCGCCTCCAGCGGCAGCGCCCACAGCGAGCGGTGCACGCGCAGCGCCCGCACCACCCGCCACGCCCACTCGGGCGCTTCGCCCCCGCCGCCCGCAGTCCCGCACAGCCACGCCCCCACCGCCAGTTGCGCGTCCAGACACACACCCCTGCACCAAAAAAATCATTCATGAGCATATTTGCAATAACTTTGTTGATAATGAATATAACAGCGAAGCAGATTAGCAAGCTGAATTGGCAATGCGGTCCATATAGCTCAAAGAATCGATATCCCATTAGGAAGACGGTACTTGAGTGCCGCTCCAGTACCGTCTTTCGTATCGGCCATGTGATATATTGAAAATGATTTTTTTTTTATTTTTTATGTGAGAAGGTGTCAAGCAAGCTGGTGACACCTGACGTTAAGTGATAACCAATTAAGTGATAAGTAATGGACATTTGCAACACCCGTAGGGTTGCATATGCGTTGCCACGTTTTTATAAAATGGGCTTCGGCTACCTCACTGACCGGATGAAACGGAGAAGTATAACACTTCCACTTTACTCAGGTCTTCCGTGAAGTCGTTGTACTTTCCCGGACGGATCTGCCCATTCGTGCAACAGCGAACCGTTGCGTTGCCCCACCACAGTTAGTACGATTCCTAAGTAGAGCGTTTTGTGAACTCACTGATGCGGCGTATAGTCCATCTGCAGGAGCAGATGTTGCACCAGGTGGCTGCAGCGCTGCCACCAATCCTGCAGCACGGAGACCACCTCTCCTGGCCCAGGGCGCCACTCACGCACCGAGAGGTAGCCCACGTCCACGGAGTCTACCTGCTCCTCTGCATGGACGACCAAAGGATATAAATATTGCCTAACCGTATCAAATGCGTTTATATCGAAACGTTGCACATAAATGTGATATTAGTGCAACGTGATGCCTGCACCGGGGATCGAACCCAGGTTGCTCGAGTATATTGAATTTAAAGCAAGCACCCGGAAAATGAGCTATCACGGCTCGAGTTAAATAATCTCACTGTTTAATCGATCCGTTTAGGTTAACTTAGTAAAGCGGTTAAATTAGCCAAGCTGGTCGGTTACTTAGCTAATCGACTTAGCTAACTTTTTTCGCGCGCTTGACGGGCCAAATTGTAGAGCCCTTTGTAGCGATATATTGTATCGTAGTAACTGTATCACAAGGATCATAACCATAGAGTTATGTTTAAGCGATATTTTTGTATGCATACTATTTTTGTATGTATGTAGTAAAAGTAAAGTAACAGCCTATACATGTCCCACTGCTGGGCAAAGGCCTCCTCTATACAGAGGGTATCAGGGCAAAGTCCACCACGCGGCCCCACTGCGGGCTGGCGGACTTCACATATCTTCGAAATATTATTTTTTGGTATTATTTCGAAAATATGCAGGTTTCCTCACGATGTTTTCCTTCACCGCGGAGCACGTGATAAGACAGCACTTAAAGTTAAAAACTTCATTGGTGCCGGCACCTGGGATCGAACTCAGATTGTTCGAGTATATTGAATTAAAGGCCAGCGCCCGGACACTGAGCTATCACGGCTCTATGTATGTAGTGCAAATTCAAATTCAGACGATATTAGTCTATCGCAATATAGCCCACCTTGGTTAAAATCAGCGAGCATATGCAAGCTGGTGGCGTGGAGATATGGATGCGTTGATAGCAGCCGTGGCAGACCCTCGCGGGCCGCCATCTCGCAAGGATGCTTGCAGGACGCCGGCTTACGTTTGACAGCGGTCTGGATGAGAGAGATTCTTGGGAAATGACATCGATACGAAAAACCTAAGAAACTAAGAAGAATATGTCGAAGAGATAAATTAGATAGTTAATATTGAAATTTCGAAGTGAGTCTGTTTTTTGGAAATAAATCAATAAATAAACATTTTCAGGACATATTTTTACTCAACGTCAGCTAGTTCCAAGCTTTTACTACGAGATAACTGATAAACATACAAAATCTTTCGATTCGATTCGTACCTGCGTCTTCTGGTTTCGCGCCCAGGCGCCTTATCAACTAAGCTAACCGGCCAATGACCTTACGGCGCTAAAATCTTGACATCTATATTATGCGTTCGTTCGTACGCATTTTTAGCAAATGCTTGGCGCGATCTAGTTTGCATCCATTACAGCACGGATGAGCAACGCGCCGCCCGCGGGCCGCTTGCGACCCCTTAAACATGTTTTATGCGGCCCGCCAAGCATTTCTAAAATTGAATTTATTTTATCGTATTTCTCCCATCAATATATTGTTATAAAATTAATTACAATAAAATGGTAGTACATACTGAACCGAAATATTTTTTGTTCGTTTTTCTGTTCTTTTCTTGTTTGTTTTTACCTTGCATTAAAATTGGTATACGAAATCTTTACTTTTTTTTTTAATTTTATATTTTTTATTCTAATATTTATTATAAATAAATTTTCGTAAATTATTATGTGCGGCCCGTCAAAAAAATTTGAAATTTAAATTGGCCCATTGATTAAAAAGGTTGCTCACCCCTGCATTACAGCATACAACACCTAACATTTATTACATATGTATATATCTTATTTTTATTCTCATTCTTTAAAGTTTTATAACTTTTAGCATCGCTGGCACCTAGCATAAGCTCTCATCGCATCCAGAATGGAACGGTAGAGAAATTGGGCATTAAATTCGACCTTTGTTACATTTTTAAGACTGACAGTAAATATTTTAAAAAAATAATGGACTTGTCAAAATGTTGTTCTTCATTGCCGTAGTAATACCATGAAGTTCGTCGCTTCGTTGGCCGTCGATCTGCATCGTGTCGCTTTTTCGCCGTCGGTGTTCCTATCACATTACTTTCCAAACGCGCCAAAATAAATATAATTTAAAAAAATGTTTTAATTGTCGCGCCACCCACCTGGCACAGGAAGTGGAGTAGGGCACGCGCCAGTTGTCGATCGTGCGCGCGCTCTTGGGCGGCGCGCACTAGAGCGCGCACGCGCACGTCGCATCGCGCCTCGGTGTTGCCAGCTGTTAAAAATACTCCTGAAGCTGTTTCATCTGTTTTTTTTTTCATTAACATTATCCTGTGCTGTAAGGACGTTTTACAAACATGAGTCTCACGTTGACAAACATCCAGATGTGAAACAACTGTCCGCGGGTCGCACAAATAGTTGTCCTGGGAATCGGACCCACGACACCCGGCTCCGAAACCTTATTATTAACCTTGGCGACTACGCCACGGTGTCATCAAAAGACACCCATTAAAATTGCATTAAAGTTCACTTAATTCATACAAAAACTTCCTAGATGTTTTTCATTTTACCTAAATGTTAGTTTTGGTTTGATTTTACCTCCTAAAAAACTTCTATTGTAAATTTTTTCTTCTTGAATCGAGGACGAAAATTCCTAAGTTGTTGTCTGTCTGTTTCGCACTGCACCCGACTGCGAAGGCGCTAGGGAACATCATAGCGTACTGCAGGCATTGTTAAGTTTCAAGCACACACAGGTGATCTTGAAAAGCCATTCATTGACGTAGAGACAAAAAAAATCATAACCCTTTCATTTTTACACGCAATTGCCTCATACGACATTTTATAGTAAATTAGTAAATTCATTATTAGCATAATCCATTTCAAGGCAAAAAAAGGATCCTTTAAAATTAAAATCTCTATCAGCATGAACCCATGACCCACGGCGCCTAAGCAAACTTAGCAACTGCCCCACCGAGTCATCAATACATAAAGTAAATGAAATAGAAATAAAAATACTAACAATTAAAGGCGAGACTATAGACTAAACTAAAATTAAAGGCGTCACTAAAAGATTTCGAGGACAGAACACATTTTATAAACTCCGCACAATTACTAGCGTTCAAATCACTTCGTCAAGGAAAACTCTCTCAAACTTAATATTTTACTTACTATTTCGAGACCCGGTAAGAACGAAAATTCCAAACATTTTGTAAAAGCTATCAATGGCCTATTATAATATGGAAGAATACTTTTAGGTTAGGTTCACACTTCAATATTCACCATGCATTCCCTCCATGAGACCGGTGCAGTATTCCTTAGCGGAGTCTTCGCTGAGGATGGTCGTCGGCAGCTGATGCAGTTCCGACGCGTCCGATAGCGCCAGACCGGCCCAGAAGCAAGCCTCCAACTCAGCCGCAACCTTTCCCTCCACATCTGGATGATAGCAGGCCCTGTCGGAAGGTAAGTATAGCCTATACAGGGTGGCTTTTCTAAGTGTATACATTTTTTTTATTAAATTCAAGACATAAATAATGTTATATAAAAAATGATAAATATTTAAAATCACTCGTAAGTAATTAATGACTTCATTTGAACTTATCTCAAAAAGTGCGTGATTTATACGCAACTCATTATTTTACGCGGGATCATTCATAATTAACACGCACACAAGTTCGTGCAACAAGTATGATAGCAGGCATCCACTTCACAGCACCACCACGTCTAAAGAGCCGTAACAGCTTTCTCAGACAGCCTAGCTTAAATGAGAGGCTCGCTCCAAAAGCTAGGCTGGAACGGTGGAATAAAAAGTACCCTCCTAAACACCCCGCAAGTTTGCCTCCTGTTGAGAGGCTCCCCCCGGGTGATGATCTTCCCTGGGCAGTTTGTAAGTCCCTAAAAAGACTTCGATCTGGTGTAGGAAGATGCCAGGATAACCTGGTGAAGTGGAGTTTCTTCAACAACAATAAATGTCACTGTGGCGAGGTCCAAACTATGGCCCATCTGCTGCAATGCCCTGTTGTGTCCCTCCTCCTGCACCAACGAAGACCTGCTTGAAGCCAACTCTGCTGCGGTGGATGTGGCCAAATACTGGTCGAACAAGATCTAACTAGCTATTTTGACTCGAAAAGAAGAAGAAGAAGAAGAAGTTCGTGCACAATAAAATTTAGGTATTTATGAATGACTACCGCATTGTCAACACGTTCTGTTTTTTAGGGAATAGAATAGCATATTTTTTGGAAAAAACTTTGTTTTTTATTTCAATAAACTATTATACTACCGAGTCTGAACCTCCTGTGTGAATTTGGGCACTTCTCAAAAAATCTCCCTGTATTTATGTTCCAATGCTGGGCAAAGGCCTCCTTTGTACAAAGAGCATCAGGGCATAGTCCACCACTGCGGTTTGGCAGACATCACATTTTCTTAACATATTTTTTTCTTGTTATTATTTCGAAATGCAATATGCCGGTTTCTTAACGATGTTTTCCTTCGCCGCTGAGCACGTGATAAGTCAGCACTTAGATTTACAATTTCATTGGTTCAATTGAATTAAAAGCGAGCGCCCGGATAATGAGCTACCACGGGTCCACGGGTCAAGACGGAAGGTACCAGAAATATAACTCTATCCAACAAGCAGTAAGTCATCGAGATATCAACGTTGCACGTTAACTGTTTGTAAACAAACATAGAATAAAAAAATAAAATAATGACTGCGCATTGGTCGTCCCTTATAATATGATTATTTGACGGTATTAATCGGACCGTTGTATAAACAAGAAGGTCGGCACTCCATCCTTTAGATCGTCGATCTATGCAAATGTGCAGGAAGGCGATGGATGCAGGTAGCTCAGGTTCGTGCTTCGTGGTAGCTAATGGGTGGTTCCTATGTCCAGCAGTTGATTAAAACTGGCATAAGGCTGGCATTATGGCGATGATGGTATAGAAGAAAAAACTGGGAAATAAGTAAATGACTCACTCATTACGCTTATCGTGCAGAAAAGTAAGTATAGGTTAAGGATTTTCGATTTACAGATCTAACTCTCTTTGCAAACTGTCAGTTACGGGTACTACTTAAGCCTACCGTTCTCACTATATGCGGACTACTTGTATCTTTTGTAATCACCGCCATACCATACGTTCTATATCTCTATTCGCCTCATTTATATAATGCACGACCTCACAGAAGACCGGCCTGAAGGGGGAGTGAATATTTCTGCGTTTCGTCTGGTGAGTAGTAGTAGTCAGGGCCCAAGTTATTAAAATGTGGTAACGCATCCGCAACCGTACGGGTGTTGCAAATGCCAATGGGCGGCGACTATCACTTAACATATGTTAACCGTCGCTATGTCCGTTGAAAAATAAAATGCGGGTACCTGGACTGCATGTGGAGCGCGGCGAGCGCGTGCAGCGCGCGCGAGCACAACTCGCGGAGTGAGCGTTTCAAGCGCGAGTAGTGGGGGTGCGAGTGCAGCGCCCTCTGCGCCACGGATAGCAGCGCGCGCACCCCGCACGCCGCCCCCACCACCCCGCGGCCCCCGCGCACCTCCCCCCACTCGCCCTCGCGCGTACTACCCACGTCCTTTAAACCGTTTCAAATAAAAGCAGATTCCAAATAGATAAATACTGAACACCTAAAATCGAAAGCTCAGGACAAAATGTTATAATATCGCTAATCAAGTGTTGTAAAATAATGGTCAATTTTAAAAATATACTGCTGTTTAGTAAAATCAAGTTAAGCATTAAACTTTGTTTGTCAAGAAAACTGTTTTAAATAAAAGCAGATTCCAAAGATATAACTCCTGAAATCTAAAATCGCAAAGGTGAGGATATAAGGTTATAATATCTTCTTCTGTGAGCTCGTGGTACTTACCTGGACGGACCTGCCCATTCGTGCAATGGCCCTACCACAGCCGAATACTACACGAAGAAGAAACCTTGCATTCTCTTTTCAAATCACTCACTGATCTGGCGAAGAGTGCTAGCTTGGCCAACAGCTGCCTTAACGGCAGAGCCCTGAGCAGTGCCAGGGCATCTCTCTCCCGCAGCCGCCCCTCGCTCACCGCGCACCCCTCCCCTCGACTCCCCACCTCCTCCCACACGTCCTCCAGCTCTGCGCGAGACAAGCGACAACTAAGACTGGTGACGCTGCACAATTAGCATAACAAGCGCAAAGCTTAAAACTCAGTACTTTCCGGAAAAAAATATCGATGATGTATGTGATTTCAATCAATCCATCTGTAAGAACAAATATACGCGACAAATGGATATTTTACCGATCTTCGATATTTTTACTATTAAACTTAACAGACCGATCGTTTACTAAATAGTTTATAAAATATTATACAGTATGCAAGTATTTAAGAAAAAAAAAATCCTTTAAAAAGAGGTAACTTATGTATTCACGGCTGACGGAACTTTCTGTTTTTTGACGCAGCACACTCTTAAAAAATATGAATACCAAGCAAAAGCCGATAGAGTTCTAGACAATAATCTCACAGACAGAGATGGAGTGCAATGCAAGCACGGCAAAAACTAAATCACCTCCTTGAACCACAACTTTCAACAACTTTCACAGGCCTGTACATATACCCATACCAGACAGAGTGAGACCTCCTTGAACCACAGCTACCACCAATTTTCACAGCTGTTCACAGAAGGCCTGGACATATACCCATATAATACACGGTTATGGGTTATAGCCTACCGCGATATACATAGCCTACAGGTCATACCCTCGGTGCACTCCACCGCCGTCTCCAGCCCCGGCCTGGCTACCATCAGCTCGAGGAGAGCGATGACCCTCGCCGCGGAGCTCAGATCCGTCACCTGGACTCGGATAACCCGCGACGCCCACCGTACGGAGCGGGTTTGTCTGAAATACGACATTAATATCCACTACAATCATAAATAACTAATTATAATAGGTAACTTATTGGGCAGGACATATTTGAGAAGCCCTCTAAAGTCCGGGTAATATATGATAAATTATTTATTTAGACAACGAAGTGGGGACGAAAATAAATAAAAACGCAATAGAAATTACACCGACTTTACTTGAGAAACTAAAAAGATTAATTAATCTGTGAGGTAAAGTTCGTTTTAAACCTTAATTATATTCAAATTGCGCCTAAGTTAAGTTGGCACTACAGCTCTGCACAGTACCGTCGAGTGCAATAATCTATTTATCGCTTAATACAACTAATTAATAAGTAGAATACAAATATATTTATTATAAATAAATAAATATAAATATTTTTACACAACGTTCTCTAGTCCCAAACTAAGCAAAGCTTGTACTATGGGTACTTGTTATCAAGTAACTGCTAAACATAATTTTCTTTTGTAAATAAATACATATTATACATATGCATACACCCAGACACTATAAAAATACTATGTTCATCACAAAATATTTTTCCGGTAGTGAAGATCGCACCCACACCCTCTGGCGCAGGAGATAGGTACACTACCCACTACGCCATTCGGGTCGTCAATTAAAACGGAACAACGATTTTGCGCGATTCTGTTTGGTTGTTCGCAACAATACACCAATGGGGGCAAGACAAAAAGAGACTAAGACGGCGCGACTAAAACGAGACAGCAATACGTTATAACCTTGCTTATAGACAGTATAAGCACAATGCCTTGTACAAACTAGAGTTGGAACGATATGTACCTGAATAGGTGTTGAATTAGGAATACGAGCTGTCTCAAATCGCGGCCATCGAGCAATGCAGCGGAGAGCGCTACCGCCCAGCGCTGCAGCGCTCCCGAGTAGGCCTCCGAGGCGCCGTCGCTAAGCCGAAGCGCTTGAAGCACCAGCGACAGGGCCTCGCGAATCTCACCCTTGCCGCTTCGCGTTGTTTGGTACACTAACTCTTCGATCTGAAACGAAATCATAAGGGTATTTCTTCTATTTCACAAACTAACCCGGCAATCTCGCATTTTAGTGGATTTTTGTGCCTCGTATTACTTAAAAGCAGCGAATGAATTGAGAATGGTTTATCCTTTCAAGAAGCGTACTCATTTCTGCCCAGTACTCTGTACCAGTGCATTCCGTAGGAGATACCTTAGTCCCTGCTATCATACTGAGTGTGACAAACAAGGTTTTAGTGGCAGGGTTGGTCAATAAATAATGTTTTTGATGGCAAATATTAAAAAAACGATTTCTGCATGGACTGAACTACCTGACTGACTGGACTACCTACCTGACAATATGCCAAAAGCGCCGAATGTTGATGGTGGCAATATGAATCTTGCACCTCTCGTGATAAAGACTCTAGTCGCATGCGCGCGGCGGGTATTTTCTCTTTTTGTAGTTCGGCGTGCTCGTAACTTGCTTGCAGCGTCACTGTGCTACCACATGGACACTTCTCCGATATGCAGACTCGGCGCTTTTCCACTTTCCACAAAGAGTGTCTGAATTTCTCCTCTTCAATAATTCCGTTGCTAATAGTTATCCTAGCACGTTCCATAGCATTTAAAGAAGACCTACAAAAACATTATAACAACATAATGTACAAAATTACAAAAAATAAAAGAATATTACAAACTAACTCTCAGTTTAATTCTTCAGCTCTTTCATAAAGCTATGCGTCTACGTACACAAAATGATAAAAGTAAATATTTTACTCTCACTAAATATAATCCAATATCATTGATGTATATTACAGAATATTTTTTAAAAGTTTGTTAAATTGATTGTTTTTTAAAAAACTAAAGATGTTTGGGTAAGTAAGTTTTGGTGTGATACATACTGGCGCATTATTATTTACGGTCATTTGGTGCTTTAGAACTTAAGTCTGACATTGAAATTATAATTAAATAATTTTGAACAAAAAAAACCGACTCCAAACAGAAAACTAAAAAGTCATTGTCAACCCCTATAACATTTGAGGATTGCCCTCGATTTCTCTGGGATACCATCATCAGATCTGGTTTTCCTTATCATGGTACCACCCTTAGGATATCTCTTTTCCAACAAAAAAAGAATTTAAAATCGGTTCATAAATGACGAAGTTATCCCCGAACACACATAAAAAAATATATATATACGGTGAATTGAGAAACCTCCTCCTTTTTTTAAGTCGGTTAAAAATAGCATCAATGGACTAACTGCTGAATCATAACACTTAAACAACTATTGCTATTTATATCTCAGTTCAATTAATGTTTATACTCTGTGTAATAAACAACAAAGTAATTATTTAAATAAACAATATATTTAACAAATAAATTCAAATTGAAGTAATAAAATATCATCGGTGGTAGGGCCACGCGGCAGCCTCAGCTGTTGCACGAATGGGCAGGCTCGTCCTGGTAAGTACCCCGACCTCGCAGAAGACCGGCGTAAAGTGGAAGTATAATACTTTCGCGTTTCGTCTGGTGAGTGAAGTAGCCGAAGCCCAATTTTCAAAAGGTTGTCAACGCATCTGCAACCCTCGGGTGTAGCGGATGTCCTTGGGCGGCAGTATTCACTTAACATCAGGTGAACCATCTGCTCGCTTGACAAATTTTCACATTAAAAAAAAATCAAACCAATAGATAATTCAAACCTGAAAGTTGACAGCAAATCAACCAAAGGATGTTCAGGACCACTAATAGGACCAGCTTCCACAATAGCCTCTTCTTTCTCGCTAATAGTTCTTATTTCAGATATCTCTGTCCCTCCAAAAAGGCTTACAGCCTCTTCCAAAGACATACATTGATCCTTTGACTTAACTTCTTTAATGGCAATGTCAGGTTCAACAGGGACTTGTGGAGTGACAAATGTTATTCTCTCCTCTTCAAAGGCAGGAGCAGAAGGTATGACACTTTCTTCTTCCTTAATTGACAATGCTTCATCAACCTCACCATCACTTGTTTCAATGTGACTGTCACCATATTTAGGACTGGCATCAATAATTGCAGATTCACCCCTCTCATGTTGCTCATTTATATCTTTTGTTTTACCTGGTATTTCTTCAAAAGTACATGGAGCTTGCTTATCCATCTGGTCCTTTACCTCTTCCTCATGAAATGTATTCTTAGCATCAATTTGGTTTTTCTTTGTATTAGATACATAATTATTTCCAGAAAGATTAACAGTGGAATCTTGTTTTATACTATGTATTTTAAGATTTGATGAAGAAGCTTCAGGTTCAACTTTAAATTTCAATTCACAGTCATTTTCTAATTCTTGGTTCCTCTCCTTTCTTGATGATTTATCTTTTGATTTCTTTTTCTGGAATAAGCCATTGCTCTGTTAGATCTTAATACAAAATTAAGTCCATGTAACAAAATAAATTTCAATTCATCAAAATAATGTATTTGTTTTGTCAAACCATGTAAATAATCTCATTATATGGATACTTCAAAAGTTTTCTTTTTATTCATATAGATTCATTTACATCAAACCAATGATTTTATAGAAATATTGGTAAAATAGTTGAGTGGTTCTGATAAATATCTGTTTCGGTATATAAGAGGTTGTATAGTTTTGAATTAATGTACGATTTATAAAATTAAATAAACCCGAAATTTACAACAAGAGAGAATAAATTATGTTGCTTATACAAAATTATCATATCCCTCTACAAGAAATGCAAAAGTTTCATTAATATTTAATGCGCAGAAACAAACAAAGAAGAATTTTAAACATTATTACGTACATCTTTTCGTTTTTCCTTCATCATAGTAGCCATTTTATTACGGAAATATTAAATTGCGCATATAATTTTAACTATTTTTAGCTCCTTATCATCCCGTTCAGACGATTAATATGCATTTTTGTTTTCATATAAATTGCAATCCCTCTGTTTTGAAGTGTTTTGAAAATCAGCTGTCGGATATGCAGTATGCAACTGTCAACTGTCAAGATTTATATGTCAAATTTCAATCTCTGTCAATTGTTGATTATAAAATGGTAATTTTAGGTCACAGATAGTTGCTATTCTTAAATTCCATACTTCTATTTTTACTTTCTTTTGTGTATTTTATTTCTTTTTTGTGTATTGTATTTGACAGCATCGTTGGAAGAAAGCTGGTGCACGACGACGTTACAATGACACCATTTGCGCCAATGGATCTTCGCGACCCCATCCCTGTTAACGAAAGAAGAAAGACAATTAAACTAGCAAGAGGTGGGACATGAGACGATTCAAGGACTATTCAATACGGCTTTGATCGCCATTGGTTGAAATCACGATTTAAGAAACGTACTAAAGTCGAACGATTTGATAAAAATTTATTACCGATTATTAATCATTTTCGGGAACATAATATTCACGAAGATAATTAATACGCGGAAACAATCATTTTTTGGAAGTAAATTTCGAATTTAAATTCGTAGAAACAATAACGAAAAGTTTTTCGCTGGTTTGGCAACCAGCTGCTTAGCTTAGTGGCTTAAGCGTCAAGACGCAAATCCCGACAGATGTTGATTCGATTCCCACAACGGCAAAAAACTTTTCGTACTTTTTTCTACAAATATTTAATCTTAAGTACAGAGATTAGCATTATAGTGCTAATCTCTGTTTTTTATTTCTATAAATTTCGTGATTTACGTGATGATCAAAGGAACGTATGCAGGTATGCAGCATGTTATTATAATAATGGCTCATAACGGAGGTTTAACGGAGAACAAGTGATTTACCAAACAGTGCACTATAATAACAGCAGCAGTATCTCAAAAATATTTGATGCCATTAGTTTACCAATCGAGAACATGCTTTCGTTTTCTTAGATATTTTTCACTGCTTTGTCTGAGAGATGATTTGAATCCACGTTTTTGTGAGAAGAGTTGCGGTAGTGAGGCCGCAGAGGGAGAAGAAAAAATACAGATAAAAATAAGTCGACAAATCGCCAGTGGGCGAATATATCTCTTATCCTTTAAACGTGTATAATATATATATATATATATATATATATATATATATATATATATATATATATATATATATATATATATATATATATATATATATATATAATACATATAATTATACTATAGGGCTATATTCATAAATACATATATATATATATATATATATATATATATATATATATATATATAGAATCGGAATCTAGGAAACGGCTCCAGCGATTTTCATGAAATTTATTATGTGCATAGATTCGAGGGCGAAAAATCGATCTGGCTAGGTTTTATTTTTAGAAAATGTCGTTTTATCCCAGTTTTCAGGGAATGAAAAATGGTGTCACGATCATTTACACACTCTTTTTTTACTTTTTTTTTGTTGATGCAGATGATTTTGTCATTTTTTCCATTTTTTAAAAAGTTGTTTCTTTTGTGAAAAACACCACTTCATATTTTCTTATTATTACATTGGTAAGATCGAAAAATATTATGCATATTTCATTACTCAGTTATTTGTATCTAAATGTGATTTCCAAAATACACGATTTACCAAAAAAAAAAACAAAACGAGCAAACTAGGTCCTCCAGGTACTGACTATATATTATGACTATGTATGTATTGTGTTTCCTATACGCAGAAGAAGTCTTTGTCAGCAGTGGAACATATCTAGGCTGTTAATTTGTTTAGTCTGTAGAAATAAAAAAGGGACCCATCGTACGGTTTGTACGTTTTATTTGTTTTAATTTCAACTATTCTTTTAAATAGTGAACTTAGTACATACAGTGCTAGTATATTAGTCTGAGATTAATTTTAAAAAATCATATGTTTATTGCATATTTATAAATAAAACTTAATTTGAAGTTAATCGTACGAATCTGCCTCACGTATGGTTTATACAGTGTCGGGCGTACCTTCAGACGCTATGGGGCTATATTCATACATTGCGATTAAAACTAGATAAGAGAACTACATAAATAAAAAAATAATAGATGTTTTTATTTATGTGGACAGAAAATTATATTCACAAAGTGAACAAAAATATTTTTATTTCTTGTCAAAAAAAATTATACGTAAATTATCTTCAAGTTAACAAATTATTACTAATACTACTAATACTTTTATAAATACTTTTCTTACATTGTATTTTTATTGGTTTATAATTTAGCACCCATTTTCCTGTAAAGAGAAATATATAATAAAATACACATGAACAATCGGCATGAGGCATCTTCGTACAAATGTTCCCCGCGGGGTTCTGTACGAAATAATAATTTAATAGAACTTCTTTTCTATACAAATTAGATAATTATTTTTTTAGAACATAATTATTTAGTAGTAACCGGTAGAAAAACCTATCGTTTCTAGTGTAATGATGCATGTAAACGTTAATCAAAAAATTATTTACAGAGTGCGAAAATACGTTGCTGCTGTTACTTTTCTCTCTATGTTGGGAATAGCGATGTGCGACTCGAGTTATTTGATTCGAGTAACTCGAATCAAACCTTAAACGAGTCAACTCGAGTTCAGTTTTAAGCAACTCGAATCAACTCGGTCGTCCGAACGCAAACCGGACGTTATACGCGGGGGCCTCACGAGTTGTTCCGAGTTACACACGCGGCGCGCGCGCGCCGTTCGTAAGATGTTGCATTTTACTCGCATCAACTCGAATAGAACTCGGGTTGACTTTATTTTGTTTTTTGTCGTATACGACACAACTGTTGTTATTCTATATACTGCTATCTCTTTTCTTATCATACGTTCTATATCATCTGTCACATTTAATTATGTAATAATGTCATATTATTATAACGTAAAGCGGAATAGTTTTTAGACGTCGCGCAATATGCTCATACACCATCTTTATTGAAACAACATTGGATTCTGCATCCGGTTTAGGCACGACATTTGAATTGCAAAAGCAAGCGTTGCATATTTTTAAGCAAATAAACGTTTCAACGCTCCTGTCACTATACATATTCGAGAACGTCATGTATTAATGTAATAATAATCTAGATTACAAAAAAAAAATATTATTATGTAAGTACGTAATAATATACACCTCTTTACAAAACAACCGGCCAATTGCAAGTCTGACTTGTGCACGAAGGGTTCCTTACCATTATGTATAAAAACGGCAAAAAATGTTCTCTTGTATGGGAGCCCCAATTAAATATTTTTTTATTCTGTTCTTTAGTATTTTTTGTTATAGCGGCAACAGAAATACATCATCTGTGAAAATTTCAACTGTGTAACTATCAGTCTATCACGGTTCATAAGATACAGCCTGGTGAGTTGGTGACAGACGGACAGACAAACAGACGGCGGAGTCTTAGTAATAGGGTCCAGTTTTACCCTTAGGGTACAGAACCCTTATAAATTATAACAGTATAAGACCGCAGGGTTTCTTGCCGATTCTTCACTGGACAGGTCTAGTTTAGTGAACCGGTGGTACTTTTTTGACGTTCAATAAGAGCTTAAAGTAAGCCAATATTGAATAAAGGAATTTTGACTTTGACTAAACCAGTATATACTAAAGTACTCTGTGGACTAAACTACGCGTTTTAGACTATACATTATAATAGTGTTTATTTTATTTACATGGTTTAACTTCTCAGTATTTCTGCCGTTACTTACGATATAATTTCCAAGTATCTCCAATGGGACACCACGTACCCAGGGATGCGCGTAAATCTGATGGGAATTACTGCTCTACATGGTGCAAAGCATTGCTAAAACGCAGAAAAGACGATATAAACGACAGTAAAAACGCGCGCCATAAGGTTATAGGCCGCTTGATTGGTGTTTAGAGCGGGGCGTTACCTGGACGACGCAGGTTCGAATCCTACTGCACCGAAAATTTCTTGACAGTATTTAAATTTAAATAAACAACATTTTAAGGCTCATCTGCAATTGAGAGACTAGAAATTTATCATAAATCGCAGTTAATTACTTAACTCATTGTAATGAAATGCAATAAATGAAGGTCTGCTTTACCATAAAAAAATATAAATATGTATTTTTAATCATATTTCATAACGGTCATGTTTTTAAATAAACATAGGTACATCAGATTACCTAAATAATATGTATTTTCACAAAATGTTAGTTAATTAACTTATTGTTGCGCAATTTTTATTAACTATTAACAGCAAATGCGTATCACATCGTTAAACTACCGATCATAACATGCTATCCTGGAATGCGAAGGGGAGCAAAGGGAAGTCAACAATTAATCAAAAATAATCGCTCACCCATAATAGATGAAATAATATAGTAAGTACAATACAAAACACAAAAATAAGGTAAAATCTTAAATCCAAAAATAAAACCATAACAAATCAATGTTTTTGTAAATAATTTATTTGTTAATGCATCAAATAACTTCTTAAAACTATAAAATAATAAACTATGATAAATGTATTTTAAACATAACTTTCAACAAATCGTTATTAATTTAACCAAGCGCTAGTGTTGGATCAAGTGAATGTTCTTTATTGCACAATTATCAAATGTTGGACCCAACAGAACACGGCCAATACCAAATTCTCGAATTTTCTTTCCAATTTACGGATAAATACTTTTCTTATGAGAAAATAAATTAAATTTTATTACTATTATCGCGCATTTTCAGCAATATAGGATACCTGTGGTATATAATAAATCAAAATACAAGATTTTTTTTTTTATAATACTAAGATATGGCTTGCTGTGGCGTACGTTCTTCATATGTAATATTTTCATCTTCATATTGTTCGTGATTCGGTTGCGTTACAATGAAAATAGGGGACTTCGTTTTACGACGCACGGGCGAAGGTGAGGAGGAATAACTGCGGGCTGTTCGACTTTGATTTGTTCCACTTTGCATTTTAGCTCTGAACATAATATTGTCGATCTCATGCATTGCGACATCACGCTGATGCTCCTTTAATTTTCTTAATTTCTTGGCCAAGAGCTGACCGTACAAGTCATATTCGTCAAAATCTCTCCTCTCGGTAACATTTTTCGTTAACCCCACATCCTCGTTTGTATCTTTTTTTGCGTAACCATAGCTCGGACTGTTTGTTTTGTTATTGTTAGTTTTATTATTAGCACCATTTGCGTGGGGAACGAGCGTCCGCGTATATCTTCCAACAACGTTATTACCTTCGACCGCGCTATTCCTCTGAACAATGTTATGATCCGATGTTATTTGTTGTGGTTGACTGTTTGAAGTATTGACAAAGAACTACAAAAAAAAAATAATTACTATTTTGCGTTTTTTGGTTATTTATTTATAAAATCTTATTAATTCCATAACTGTAACGCTCGCAATTGTAAATTACAACCGTTAAAGTGGTTACAATTTGTAACCAACATTTTGCCAAATATGTACAAATGTTGTAGCGCAATTTTGGTAGAAATTCCGTGGACGATAAAGCATTTTTATGTCACACGATAAACATTACTGAAAATAATATAAAATAGCGATATTACCTCATTTTCCATTTGACTTGTACTATCACATTCATATTTCAAGCTTAGAAAACTTTCCATATATGGATAAGCGAACCATGTCGTATGATAATTGCCAAGTGTCTTTTTCTTTTTGTTCCAATGCATTCTGAAAGATGTCATTAGCGATTCTTTTTTCTTCTTAAGTTCTGGGATCGAACAATTTAAACTAAAAGATGTTTGAATCCTAGTCCATGCTGCATTAATTTCGCTTCTATTTCTATGAAGAGGACTTTTTGGATCCCATAGAATTTGTTCATTTTTGTATAGATCCAGAAATTCTATTACTGTATCGTTTGTCCACGCCATAACATGCATCTATATTAAACACATTTATTAATGCTTTGTACAATACGTCTGAACAAAACTCTAAATAAAGAAGAACTGAGAGTTCCAGCCAATCAGATGCGCTGGTTTATCCAATGTTTGTTTATGTGTAGGTACGTCAGACCTCGTTCTACAAATTACGCGATCGATGTTCGCTGTTGGCGACCAACCAAAAATGTTGGTTGATTACGACAAATATACCTACATATGAGATCGAATATTTGATCAATCTCTGGCGTGAACTGTGAACATTCTTTTCTTGTGAACATAATATAGCCAGCAAACTGCATTTGTGAATTGTGATTACGTAACACTTGTGAAGTTAAAATTTTACATTTTGTGTGATGCAGTTGCATACGTATTACGTAGATCTGCATCTAGCTAGGTACTATTTGTGTTAAGAGGACTCACGTTTCGTGTTATTTTGACTGAGTCATAGCTACCTACGTGGTTTATGTGCAATCACTTCGTTTTGTTCAAAGTCCAACTGTCGACAAATATTGTGGCGGGTATGTAATTGGAAAAAAAAAGACAGTAGAACGTTCGATATCAATAACGGCTTCCGACAGTGTTCGTATCGATTCACTTACTTTCAGTTCAGTTAGCGACAATCATCAACCGGCAATACACGTAAATCACAAATTAAGTGTACTTATTATAATTATTAGTAACTGTACGCAAGTGCATTGAATTTAAAAGCATATAAATCAATTAATTTAAATGTGAGTATAAAAAGTTTTAATTATGTAGGTAGCTGTTTCATATATATGCACTATATCGCAACATTATTTCATCCAACCTTTATTCGTTTTTGTCCCACTTTATTAAACCAGACAGGATTTTGTTTAAATTTCTTTATTATTACGCTCAACTTCATAATTCAAAATTATATTACATGTAAATAAACCCCTTTTACCCTCAATTTTTATTTTACAAACTCTCTTACATTTTCTTTTTATTCTTTACTAAGTTAGGAAAGACTTCTTTTTTGTAATATGATAACAAATATTAATAACCTCCCATTGATATAGCATGTGAATATAACTCGTAACTGTAGTTATATAAAATAGTTATTAACTTTATTAGATGGCAGCCGAAGTAGGAGCAGCACCAGCAATGGCTCAACTGCAGTCTGTACAGAAAGCCATGGCCTTGCCAACTGTCGGAGCTGCAGTTGGCCAAGTTAGTGCTTTCTATACCAAAGTTAAAGGTAATATTTATTTTGTATAAGTTATCTTCTGCACCATAAATTCTTGTTTATTCTTATTTACAGAGTAAAATATTATCCAAGTATTGTTTTTTGTATTTTAGTTGTTAAATTTGCATAAAATCATCATTTACACTTTTAATTATAATTTCTGAATATAAATTAAAATTCTTAAGTTACATTCAAAATAATCAATATTTATAGTTATAACATTTTTTTATTTATGGCATACTTCTTATATGTAACATAATATGTAGGCATTTTCCTGAACTCTTATTTGACTTTTTTTATTGTATGACATGAAAAATATGTGGGTGTTATAACAAATCAATTACCTTTTTGAACTATCATAAGTTTTAAGAAAACAAAATCTGTGCCTTCTCTGATATTATTATTTTATGGTTTGAAAAGTTCCAAAACTTAAAAGCTATGTATAGAACCCACTGTTAATGTAGTTAATTTTATAATAGTAAATATTTTAGCACATGATAAGAAAGGAAAAATTTATTTATGAAAGGTTTTACATACTTTTTAAGGGTATCTTTAGCAACTACTGATTACTATGTTATCTATCCAATGTAATATACATATGTATATGTACAGAATTTAGTTGAAGATATGAACTTTATTCAAATGCAGTATTCATATGTTAGTAGCCACCATAAAAAATATTTGGTCATATGGCCTTACATCTGGTGTTACATTTAGAATAAAAAGAACTGTTGTAATCTGCATCAAAGAACTTCATCAAAGGATTACTTTAAACTGTGTTTTAATTCTCTTCATTGATGTGTTTAAAGAACATACATAGTATTTTTTTTGTAAACTACCCACAAAATTTAAGAAGTCCCTAAACTTGTATTGCAAAGTATATTCAAGTAACATACACAATTTATATCAATGTTTGTTTTTTAATTAATTGCAAAATGCTCAACAGTAGTGTTTCACAAATATTTACATTAATATTGAAGCAATTGAAGACAATCCTTATTTTGATTTTATCTTACTGTTGTAAACACTAAAGAGAACTATTTTCAATGTTGTTGTTACTGAAAATAAAACTATTTATCCTTATACATAAATAATTATTTATTTATTTATAAATTTGAATGTAGTTTTTGATGATTATGTGAGATAGGATTTTATTTATACGGAGATTTGTTTTTAATTAAAGATTCCGACAATTTTCGTATCAGTTTTTAATTATTGAATAATGTTACATTCTATTCTGTTATTACATAATGTTAATATGGAAAATACCGTTGTACTTAGGATGTATAATTATTATTATTAGTTAGGTCTGTCTGCATGCTGACTTATACTGTATGCTATAATCACATGACAGTTGTAGAAAAATGGATATTGGCGAGAGAGTTGCTTTAAAAAATTGAATTGAATGAAATTAAAAAATTGCTGCAAAAATTTTGAATTTGAATTTGAATAGAGATAGACAATGCCATTTACAAGGATAAAGACATTTGTGTGTATAAAAACATTGTGCGACTCATATTTGCTGTTATTTACAATTTAAACGTAAACAACAAAACAATCATGAATTCACAACAACAGCATTTAGTCGTGTGCCAGTTTCTTTTTTAATTATGTCACGCACACACAGTCATTAGGCACTAGCTAGCTCTTTGCCTTGCGAAGTTACTTCAGAGAACTTAAGAATTGGTTTTTTCGAATTTAATGATAGTTGTTTTTACTAGATGACCCGAATGGCGTAGTGGGTAGTGTACCTGTCTCCTGCGTCAAAGGGTGTAGGTTCGACGCCCACTACAGGAAAAATGTTGTGTGATGAACATAGTGTTTTTCTAGTGTCTGGGTGTTTATATGTATTTATTTGAAAAAACTCCGTAAAAATATGTTTATCTAGAACCCATAGTACAAGCGTTGCTTAGTTTGGGACTAGAGAACGTTGTGTAAAAATGTGTCCGAATATACAGCGTGTCGTTATAACCGCGACAATAAATGAACACACATATAGAGGATAACTTTTTAAAATTGTATTAAGTATTTATATTCTTTAAATATCAATATTTACCGGGTTATTAAATTTTACAAAACAAACATTTTTAAGAACAGAACCTTACGTATAAAACTGTAACGTAAAGTTCATTTGTAAAGGTCACGGTGTGTTGCAATGGGTTGAATGAATTTAAAAGAGATAAAACATACTGTTAGAAGGAGAGACTTATAATGCGACGTTTTGGAAACGAATGAAAAAGTCTCTGAATGTATGAATCAGTCAGTTGTAGTTGTATAGGATGTTACAAATTTTGTTTCTTTTTTATTTAATTAGTTTGTTTGAAAAATATTTTTTTTTAATTATAGATTTTTTTAACGTTTTATATTTTTTATGACTATTGGCAAGTAGCGTTAGACGCTTGTTCATTTATTGTCTCGGTTGTAACGACACGCTGTATACATATTTATATATTTTTAAACAAACGGGTCATAGAAAGAGACGCAAATCATTATCGTGGCAAAAGTTGATAGGTTATCCACAAATAATCACCGTTTCCTTAGTACGAATAGCAACGTGACGAGCCATCGCGCGTCTGTAATAGCTTAGTGGCTGCAGACCGGACTCTCGTTTTGGGGTCGCGGTTCAAGACATGTTGTTAGCACCCGTAGCGTGTTACCATCATGTCTAACAAATGCGTTGCCATCTTTCTACAAGGTGGTTCCCGGCTACCCCACTCACCAGACGAAACGCAGATGTATAATACTGCTACTTCACGCCGGTCTTATGTTGAGTCGCGGTACTAACCCATGCGTGCAACAGAGAAGACTGTTGCGTGGCCCTACCACAGTTGAATTGCCTTAAGTTTCCTTCAGAGTACAGCGGATTACCTATTTAGATCTCGAAGCAGGTAAAAAAAAATGTATAATGCAGTAAATTTTATGTTTATTCATTCTGGCGAGGCGCATAGGCGCATGTCCTGTGTCCGTGTTTTCGTGTTGTTACTTATAAGACACTAATTAATTACTAGTTATAATTACCCCCTGTACTATAACTGCACGAGGTACGGTTACGGTGGTAGGGCCACACAGCAGCCTCGGCTGATACACGAATGGGCAGGCCCGTCCGGGTAAGTACCTCACAGAAAATCGGCGTTTAGTGGAAGTATAACACTTTCGCGTTTCGTATGGCGAGTGAGGTAGCCGGAGCCCCATTTTCAAAAGGTTGTCAACGCATCTGCAACCCTCGGGTGAGGTAGATGTCCATGGATAGCGGTAATCACATAACATCAGGTGAACCGCCCGCTCGCTTGGCAACTTTTCACATTAAAAAAAAAGGCGAGGCGCCTTCTCAAGGCCTGTTCTTCGTAGGCGCCCACTCCCTGCTGGAGTGGGCTCTGTCCACGGCCGAGGCGAGCGTATCCCTCGCGGCGGCGACGGCTGCCCCCTTCGTGGCGTCCCCTCTGGCGGCCGGTGACGCCAAGATGGCGGCCGCGATCGACGAGCTCGGCCGCCGGGTGCCCCTCGTGAACGAGCAGCCCAAGGTCATAGTGGAGACCACCAAGCAGGCGGTGCTGTCCAGGCTGTCGCCGCACGTCAACAAGGTGAGCTGATAGCTGTTTACGGATTTTACCGCGTTTTTATTTTGATTCGAACCGCCCGACGTCTCGAATCCTTTCCAGCGACAGGCTAAGTTGTTACACGTCTTGATGTCACAGTTAAACCCGGCTACCGTCATTTGTTTTGTTTATTTTTATTCCGATCCATGCAAAAGGAGCTAATGGTATCTTGTGATCTAGCAGTGTTGGTTTTGCTTGGATTTAATTTTATAAATTATGGATCCCAAGCAGATGATAAACCCTATTTTTAAAAACTGTTCATAAATGACGGAGTTCTGAGGTGACAAATTTTGAAATACAACCGATTGAGAGTTTCCTTTTGTTTTTGAAGTCAGAAGTTTTCAGAAGAGCAAAATCTTGCACGTTAGTCGTTCGCATGCCTACCCAAAGAGAATGTAATCACTACGTTTACGTACCTACTAAATGCAATATATCATTGCCTTTATATTTTTAAACTTTTCTCCAATATGACAGTTAATCTGTCTATATATTAATAGGTACGTGAAGCCACCCCTTTTTACGAAAATTGCGCGGACAGAGGAGTATGAAATTTCCCACACTATAGTTTACATAATTTTTTTTTTAATTATGCATAGATACATTAAATCAATACAAAAAACATTACACACACTACCATGTATAATTAATCATGGTCTAATTTCAAACACTAGTTGTTATAAATACTAGAAAACAAAAGGAATAACCAAAAAGTTTCCTTTATTATTTATGCATCATAAAATACAACTCACGCTTGTTTATATGCCTTTATATTTTTGTGATTGCAACTCAAGGTCTAGGACCTGTTATTTTGATATTGAATGTGATCAACTCGTATTCAACCCAAGAACGATGAACATTATAAGAGTCAATATTTTATTGCACATATTTGTTTAAAAAAATAAATATTCTATACTTTCACAGAAGCGTACGAAACCAAATTTATCTGTTATGGACAACTGACAATTTCAATAGTTTTTTGTTAATCCTAATCCCCTAATATTTTATCAGAAATTACAAAAAAAATCATTAGTTGTCTCGGGGAATCGAACGCACGACTCCCGCCACCCCCCCCCCCCCTTAAATTAATAATTACCGCCGTAAAATTTTATGCGATACTACGTTTGGGGTAGCAAATGTGTTAACAATCTGTAAAAGAATGGTTACCTCACAACAAACGAATCGCAAAACCACAATAGTTCCACTTCACACCGGTCTGAGGCCTTGTTATCTCCACGAAGTTTTGTTTTATTCTGTTTTCGTAATATTTTTCATTAAACCCAGTCTTTTTTCATATGTGCTGGGTCAGAAAAATTTCTTATGGTATTGACATAGTTTAAGCGTAATTAATTACATGATGTGTAAAGATATACAAACAATTTCTACTCAATACTGTTTATTAGCTAATATTTTTGTTTAGAGTAAATGTGTTAGTTGAATTGATTAGAAAGGTGGCCCTGCGGACTCCACAGCGGCGACAATCTTTTCGTACTTTTTCTACATGTTTTAAAGGTGGCCCAGGTTACCCCACTCACCATATTAAACGCGAAAGTATATTTCCACTTCACACACATCTGAATTAACCTCATACGCCTACTTAGATTAGGTGGCCCTGGTTACCCCACTCACCATATTAAACGCGAAAGTATATTTCCACTTCACACACATCTGAATTTACCTCATACGCCTACTTAGATTAGGTGGCCCTGGTTACCCCACTCACCATATTAAACGCGAAAGTATATTTCCACTTCACACACATCTGAATTTACCTCATACGCCTACTTAGATTAGGTGGCCCTGGTTACCCCACTCACCATATTAAACGCGAAAGTATATTTCCACTTCACACACATCTGAATTTACCTCATACGCCTACTTAGATTAGGTGGCCCTGGTTACCCCACTCACCAGATTAAACGCGAAAGTATATTTCCACATCACACATATCTGAATTTACCTCACACGTAGTATTAATTCAAGTTGAGCAATATTATTATTCAATATTAATCGTTTCTCTTGTTTATTTCATCCAACAACGTTTGTTCGCACATATAATGTTATAACTCGTGTACCTCACATATTTAACATCAAATAAGTGAGATACAACTACAGGCCACAGCGCTAGCTTAATATAAAATTCAACTCCACAGTAGTCGAACAATAACTAACAATAAATGCACTTTAAATGAAAAAGAGGAATTCAACGACAAAAATAATATCGCTACATGTTTTATTCATTTACCATTATTAGTATTTTCTAGTCTCTTCGCTATCAAGTAATGCGTAAAGAACGCACCAAGCATTCTGGATGCTAAAATTAACAACTCTGGACAGATTTTATGTTTAATTTTTATGTTGCTGCACTCAAGATGTTCAACTTTACTTTAAATGTCAACTCAACTTTAAATGTCAATTTTTGCATATAATATACGGACGACGGAAGTCGTGTTTTGTACCATTCGTCTTTAAAAATTGACATTTTAAATTTGAACTGAGATAAATTTAAAAGATAATAACCGGATCCAGTCTCCTTTGTCCACGACCTGACCTACATAGGTCGACCGAATTTCGGTTGCTTGAACCTGATTGTTTGAACTGTTTAATTTAATCTCGCAGTTAAGGAAAGAAGCAATAAGTCATATACGACGAATTTAATTCTAATTAATACTTATTAATTAGGATTAAATTCGTCAAGTACGAAGTTCAGTCTTTGCGATTGTTAACGAGAATCCATTTTACACTATAATTACTTGAAATTATACCTCTTATTTAAAATGTTTATACCCGCCGATTTCAATATTCTATCTACAGATCGATTTGGTTACTAGCGATAGGTATTTGAAATTAGCTCCATAATAAAAAAAAGTTTCTTCTGGGGAAAAAGTTTCTTCGCATTTTATATGAAAATTCAAAACATTTTTTAATAAAGTTTATTTACATTTAACTAAAGTATGTAAGTGCCATTTTGTAAGATAACTTTCTGCCACCTTGTAGGTAGGGACATGATGCCATTGCTATAGAAATTCTGGGGATTCTGATAAAAAAACCGCGACAAGTTGGTTTGCCTAAAGAATTCTGAAAAGACCGAAACAAGTGGAAATCTGAAGGTGTAAGGTCAGGACTATACTGCGGATGCATTAACACCTCCCAGCCAATCTTTCTTAATTTTTGCTGAATGGGTAAAGATGTGTGAGGTCTAGCGTTGTCATGATGAAAAACCACACCGCTGTTGATTAATTCCGGCCGTTTTCTCTCAACTTCTTGCTTTAATCTCATCAGTTGTTCGCAGTAGAGTTCAGAATCGATGGTCCTGCCTGGCGGTAACAGCTCATAATGAAAAATGCCCTTCGAATCCCACCATACACACATTATTACCTTGTTGCGAGATAACTCGGGTTTCGCCAGAGTCTGTGGAGCCTGAACAGCCTTTGACCACGACCTTTTTCGCACGTTCTTGTCGTGATCCACTTTTCATCACCAGTTATCATGTTTTTCAACTTCGGTTTCATTACGTCGTAATAAAGAATCACAAACGAGTACACGGTTTCTTTCAGTGAGCTCATGAGGCACCCATATATCGAGCTTTTTTGTGTACCCAGCTTTTTTCAAATGCGCCAAAAATGTTTTGGTGGTCAATTCCCAGTTCTTCAGCTAATTAATTTTGAACTTTTTAATGATACCAAAACCAGCCAGATGCAAATGGTATAGCCATAGAGAATGGTAATACTATATAAGTTCATACATACCATTTGAGAAAAAAGTTTTTCCCCAAGCTAATACTTACGTTAAAATTCTATCTCCACTCACCAAATCTATTTGTAGATAGAATATTGAAACCGGTCGTATATTGTAATGTCAAACGCTCGCTGGGTAATAAAATGTGGAAGCAGGACGCCGCCTTCTGCGCTCTCTGTCGCACTCACGGGCCTTTCGGAGAGGCCCGTCAGTGCGGCATCATATAAGAGAACGTCTACTGCTCAAAGCATATCGAAGATTAAAACTAAGCGATATGGGTATATCAATTCAGACAAACCTCTGTATCGGCAGATCCTGGATGAGAGGCTATAAAAAACACTGATAGTCTCGAAGGTTCTCCCATTCCGGTTCATTGTCCAAGATAAGCTATCGGCGGCCTTTATCTTATCGTCGGTTCACAAAAAAAGTAGTTGTAACGACTAAAAACGAGCGCGTGTAACAATAGCAACTCCCTTTGACATTCGACAAAGCATTGATAGTGAATTAGAAAGAGGGTACATCGGTAATATAGATAAGTTATGAAACATACATACGTATACACACACACTTTTCCTTACCTTAGCTTTTTTCCTCTTCTTTTTCGTGTAAAATGTCCGAGAGAATGCGGACGTTTTCAAGGGGTAAAACGGGACCCTATTACTAAGACTCGTCTGTCTGTCTGTCTGTCACCAGGTTGTATCTCATGAACAGTAATAGTTAGTTGAAATTTAAACAGATGATTTATTTCTGTTGCCGCTATAAGAAGAATTATTCTTTTGTATAAAATATTCTGGAATAAGGGCACTTATTTCTGTTAAAATGTTTCGTAATAAGAAACTTCTTTTATTCTATAGAAACAAGTTAAATAAAGTACGTCTTTCAAAAAAGATACGGTGTTGATAATTGAGAATCGAGTAACAATACCGATACGAGATGCAAAGATGCAATTTTTTTTAACATTGTTCTTACTGTAAGATAACATTACCCTGTGTTGTAAGGACGTTTTACATACATAAATTTCACGTGGACAAATACCTAGATCCGAAACAATTATTTGTGGGTCACACAAATAGCTGTCCCGTGCGGGAATCGAACCCCCGACCCTTGACCCCAATACCAATGTCCAATACCTTTGCAACTGAGCCATGGAGTCATCAAACCCTGTTAAATACAGCGTGTCTTAACAATCGCGACAATAAATGAGCATACATATAGAGGATATCTTTTTAAAATTTATTAAACATTTACATTCTTTAAACATTAATATTTACAGAGTTATTAAATTTTCCAAAACAAAGAATTTTAGAACATCCTTACGTATAAAACTGTAACGTAAAGATCATTTGTAAAGGTCACAAAGCATATGAATGGGTTAAATGAATTTAAAAGAGACAAAACATACTGTTAGAAGGAGATGCTTGTAATGCGACGCTGTGGTGCGAGTTGTATAGGATGTTACAAGTTTTGTTTCTTTTTTAGTTAATAAGTTAGTTTTAAAAATATTTTTTTTAATTATGGATTTTATTTAACGTTAATATTTTTTTATGATTATTGGCAAGTAGCGTTAGAGGTGTGTTCATTTATTGTCGCGCTGGTAACGATGCGCTGTATATCATTTATTTCCAAACCGTTGAGTGTGCGTAATAACCGTGATTGTACTTGTCCGCTAATCGAAAAACTGGAATTCCGTTTCTTCGACCGTGTAGTACACTGCATCGAAATACCAATCTCAAGGTCGCCAGTGTAAATATGAAAAGTATTTTTATGTGTAATTAAAAAAAATATTAGCATACTGAACTCCTCTATATAAATTACTAGCATTTCGCCCGCGGCTTCACTCGCGTTGAAGCCTATAAATAAATATCTTTCTTTAAAATATACATATATTTTAAAGTTTTTCCAATTAAAAAATAACCCATGTCCTTTCTCAGGCTCTAGACTATCTGTGTACCAAATTCAATTAAATCGGTTCATTAGTTTTGGCCTGAAAGCGAGACAGACAGACAGAGTTGCTTTCGCATTTATAATATTAGTATGGATATGTGTGGGAAATTTTATACTCCTCAGTTCGCCCAATTTTCGTAAAAAGGAGTACAAAGTTTTTGCTTCAATTATTAATATATGTGTATAGATTTCAAAATACATGATATAGTGTGTATAGTGAAATTTTTATGACATCAATTTCATGTTATTACTATGACACAATAACAACTCGACTTTTACCTACAATTCCAAGTTATTTAATTACACCGTTATCTATTGCATTTAATGTAAGATATTTAGTGTTTTTTTCTTTTGTTACGCTAAATACGTAGGACTTCTTACGTGCGTACCATAAGTACAGATATGAGTTTTATTTTACAAATTACGTACGTTGCTATCGGATTAATCGATAAGTTTTAAAAGATAAAGCTTTACGCACTCATCAAACCGGTCTGCCCTTCAAATGACCTCCAAGATGCGTTGTAAACTGCCGCGCATTCAATTCTGAAATGAGGTTTCAATAACAATAACAATCATACATTGGGACTGCAAAAATAATCGGAGAAATCTGTAGTAAAACTGGGCTAGTTCCTTATATATCTGAAATCGATGCGTGAAACTGTTATATATTAATGTCATTATACATTGACTTATTAATCTAAATTGGGACAAACAATACCGCAGTGTATAAGAAAACGAAAAACAATGATTTGTCGTTTTAATGCTTTACATTATTAGGACGATGTAGCATGCTATAAATCCAAATTTCAATTTGGTTTATGTTTGATTTTTTCACAACAATACATTTTCTATGATATTTAGGTCTGGGCCGGTTACTCTAGATTCTGCAGATTATACAGACATTTTATTATACGCAAACAATTACCATCTCCAAGTATTTGCGACCATATTAACTAATAAAGCTCTTTAAAAGAAACCTCTGCTATCGCCACTAACTACTTAAGACTGTCTGAAGATATTCCAATCCACAAAAAAGCGCAAAGGTTTCGCGTTACATCTGGTGAGTGAGGTAGCCGGAGACCACTTATTTTAAAAGTTGTCAACGCAACATCCATCTACTCGTTTGACAACTTTTCACATTAAAAAAAGAACCATTATTGATCACCGAATGGGACCATTTCTTCAAAAACACGCTTTTCGATACCGTCTATATACTCTTCGTCTCAAAATGAATCTGAACCAAACAATAAAATGGCTGTACTCACTGCCAATTGGTGTACATAGTTTCGGACCTACTGAAGCCGTTCATCAGTGGTATGAGCTATTTAATTTCGTTAATAATATCTCAGGAATGTTTGGATAATTTTATTGAAATCTGAAATCATCGGAAACTAACACTAGACCAATCTTCATTGGTTCCTGCAGAAAGTTCTCTTGAAGTCTCGAGAGCTGTAATCTGGCAACTCGATATTCTCCGAATTTGGGGCTGTTAGCTGGCTTATAAGGTTTTATATTAGCTTGAGCAAAAAGCCGTGATAGCTCAGTGTAGGGTTACGCTCGCTTTATGTCATTACACTCAAGCAAATCGAGTTCAGGAGCCGGTGCCAGCACTAATGAAATTGTTAATTTTAAGTGCTGACTTATTACTTGCCGTTTTTATTATATTTTCACTATATTTTCAAAATAATAACAAAAACATATTTGAAGTCAAAATATGTAATGTCTGGCACTACCGCTTTGGTGGACAATAGTCCACCAGTATCTTGCTAGCGGGAATACCCTAAGACCCTGTACAGAAGTGGCCTAGAAGTGGGCCTTGTATTATCAGTTACGTTTAACTTTTTGTATCAACTTCACGGAAGTAAAATCTGCTAAACTAGAAAAAATACGCGTAAAGTAGTTAAATGTATTATTTAGTCACAATTGTGGCAGTGGACGATTAAATTTAAATAATATATCGTTCATAAGGTCACTTTGGTCACATTTGTCTTCAAGAATAAGAGGCCGTCGCAGAATTTATAATTTGTATGCGACGTGAACCCGGACATTGTTCTATTTCACCGGGAACTTGTTTTCTTATTGTCATCTTATTCCAAGTGGAATTTTTACGATAATAGCAGATAGAATAGGTTGTGACTGAGTGTCGAGATGTCGCTATAAAATAGTTGTCCCGTGTGGGGATCGAACCCACGACCCGCGACGCCGAAGCCAACACCTTGGCAACTGCGCCACGGAAGCATTTAATGCTGTTTACCACTGAGGTACAGGAACAATCAAACGTCCAATACGCAATGTGCGTCGCTTGCAGGTGTTCGTGGCGCGCGCGGCGGCCGAGCAGCGCGTCCAGTCGCTGAAGGAGCTCTCGTGGGCGAAGGCGAACGCGCTGCTGTCAACCGCTTACGGCCAGAAGGCGCTCCACGGCGTCGACATGGGCGCCACCTACGCGATGAAGCTGCTCGACCAGTACCTGCCGCCGGTGGAGCCCCAGGAGCCGATCGGTGTGTGCTGGTGCTTTTTTTTGTGGAAGATACCCTGTCACCTTAGAAAGGGTTATGTCCCTTCCCCACCTTCTGTACATTTGGAGGGACTCCGGGATCTCTAATGGAACGCACCGGTATCCCTGTACTACGCCTGAGACGCCTCGGAGAAGGATAAACCTCCGTGGCTGGTGCTTAACACATACTTCCTTAGTCCTTTCTCAGGCGCGGACCACACTTACTCTTTTTTAGACACGGACGGCCAACAAAAGGCGTGCACAGATTGCAGACAGGGTATGCATTCAAAAACCATTACCAATTTCCCTAAGCGACTGATGATAACTTAACAGGTCACTTGATGTTATCCAAATTGGCCTTTGAAAAGGCTGAGAGATATTTCAGTGTTTTAGTAGAAGACTATGCTTAAAAGGCTTCCATAATTCCCTCCCTCTTAGATGAGACCCTCTTGACCGTTTAGTCATCATTTATGCCTGGCAAGGGCGAGAATACCTCAGCGTTTTTCCACAAGTCTGGAACTTGTGGCTGTACCTTCTAGACTACAGACCTAACCACAGAAATGGGGCTGAATTGAACATAGTATGTTGTATGTTGTGTGGAACAGGTTAAGTAGCAAGTCCCAATGACTACTGCTACCTGGAAGATCTATTGTATTCTTCCTTTCTTAAATATTGACCCTAACTGTAGGATAACATTATCCTCTTTTAAGGATGTCATGTGGTCAAACAACCACATCCGGAACAATTATCTTTGGGTCACACAAATAGTTGTCTCATGTGGGAATCGAAACCATGACCCCTACCGCCGAAGGCAATACCTTGGCAACTGTGCCACAGGGTCATCTTTTCTGTTACTATATATCGGCCCTAAGTATTTTGTGTACATCAGCCCTAAATGTGCTATGATCTTTGCAGGCGAGGTGGTGGCTGCGACGAGCGATCCGGCTCTTCACACGGTCCAGACGGTGGGGCGGCTGAGTGCTGTGGCTGCCCGCCGCGTCTGGGCCAATCTCGCGAATAAGGTCAACGAGCTCAGGAAATCTGGTGCGTACTACCCGTCGCTACTACCGCTACTTGTTGATTCGCTCGTTTATCCTAAGTAGAAAATGAAAATTACTTTTGTCTTAGACTTGATTAATGTATGTAAAATATTTATATGGCCAATTAATTTTTATAGAACCTCTTCAATAGTTCCTTATCAATCTATGTTGTCTTATCTGTTATGGTGTTCACTTTATCATAGATGTTTAGAACCAGACTTCGTATTTCGAATGGAAACTTCCTAGATCCTTCAGCTTACTTAATAAGGCAAACTTGCAGGTATCGAGTTGGACGTGAGGCGCTACATCACAGCGCTCCTTGCGGCCGTCCACTTGGCGAAGGTCACCAGCGAGCAGCAGGAACGGGAGACGAGCAGCGAGGAGTCGAGGAAACCAAAGCCAGCCGAACCGGCTGCGAACGGCGAGCGAGCCCTTTCTGCCACGCCCCAGTCATCCCCCAAGACCGCCAGCAAAGTGAAATCCACCCCCGAGGGCAAATCCAACAAGCCCGAGAACTCAAATTGACCGAGTGTCTCATATATCAAATAATCTAATCATAAGCATTATATAAGAAAAGCACCACAAAGATTATACTTAAATGTATTTCCTTTGTTCTGGTGATGTAATTATTGATGTATTTAAGGGAACAATTTGTACTCACATATTGCTTATTGTACTGAATTCATACTGTAAGACTGACTCGGTCTTTTATATTGATTTAATTTGGTAATGTGTTTTTATGCGGTAACCGCTTTTTAGTATAGAAAATATTTTATAATGTCATGGATTTTTATTATTATATCTATGCACATTGATTTAGTGTTTTATTTCACTATACATATAGTTGTATCATATAGTATTTCATAGCACAGTAGGCAGAAGAAACCCCTTTTTTTATTGGATAAAAATATCGATAATCTATATAATATCGATATTTTTTAAACGTAGTGATTACATTCTCTCTGATTTTTTTCGGCATCCCCAGTTTGAGGGTCATTGTGGTAGGGCCACGCACCAGCCTCGGCTGTTGCACCAATGGGCAGTCTCGTCCGGGTAACTACCACGACACCTCGCAGAAGACTAACGCAAAGTGGAAGTATAATACTTTCGCGTTTCGTCTGGCGAGTGAGGTGGCCGGAGCCCAATTTTCAAAAAGGTTGTCAACGCATCTGCAAACCCTCGGGTGTAGCAGATGTTCATGGGCGGCGGTTTCCACTTAACATCAGCTGACCCGGCTGTTCGCTAAACAACTTTTCACATAAAAAAGGCGATGGAAAGAAATTTGGAAATTTAAAGTAAGAAAAAAACTTCGTATAAGAAATCAGTTATTTATTATTTAGTTTTCAAAAGTAAATACATTAAACCGACAATTCCTAGGCCATTGAAAGTTTCTCCCGAAAGTTATTTTTTTTGACAGGTACCTATACAAGATATGAATGTGGATATGAAAAAGTTTTAACATGAATATATGGAGGCTAAAGGTACCTCCAGAGTCTAGACTACCATCATTAAACTTCGCATAGACTCCTATAAGAAAATAGAATAATTAATTGTAAAGGCAAAATGATTTGATAAATTTATCTGTATTCAAAATTTTTAAGGGAAGTCCCCCTCAAAGTTATAATACAATTTTATTTTCATTTTTGTATATTCTTACGATTTTTACGTCATTTAAGATATTATATAATAGGTCTAACGCAATAATTAATACGCGATAACATTTTCCCAATGAGTTAAATGTTCAAATGAGTAAAATTATTCTATATTAAATATATGGTGGTGTTATGTATTCAATTTTTTTTAAATTGTGCGTTTAAATTTTTCTTTTAATCTGATTATGAAAGAAAGATATAGGTTACATAATATTGTCTACAACGGGTGATTAGGTTTTAGATAACCTAAAGTAATCTTTTAAAATAATTTATAGAGTAACTCGATGTTCGCAACAACTTAGCTATTTAATATTTTTGGATGTTTTCTCCTAGATCATCATCAGTCTGTTTGAGTCCACTGTTGTATATACTCCTCAACCACGAAGCAATCCAAGCAGACAAGACAATCCCGAGCCACCTGTATCCATCGACTTCCCGCACACTTACACAGGTTGTCACTCCATCTAGTGGGGAGTAGTCTTACACTGCGATGGCCCGTGGCCAGTACTAGGCTGTCACTCGAGAACCTTTCTTCGACGGTTATGGGTTCTACGAGCTCTGCTATATATTTTAGCTAAAACTTAACACACCATCAAATACCTTTGAAAATGTTACTTAAGGTTAACACACCAACTAATTAATTTGCATCGGTGCAAATATCATATTATGGAAGTCATTTTGGTATTTGGCACTGATTCTCTTATTATTGCAGCTAAATTATAACATTTAGAACCTCAAATACATCATAATACTAATTAATAGCTGCCTCTATGCGTAAAGAAATCAGAACTATACTATGCTTGCAAATATAAATCCATATAATCATTATCACTAGACCAAGTGCCGTTCGCCTCAAATGATAACATAGTTAAGGCAGGCAAAATTATGCTGGATACGATTCTTTTAAAGGTTGGCAACGCATTTTTAACGTCACGTGTTGCAGATACCTATGCGCAGAGGTAAATGCCGCGGTAATCACTTAACATCAGGTGGCCGCCCTTTCGTATAATCGAATTAAATTAACAAAAAGTTAATTTAATTCGACACTTTAACATTAAAAGTATTGTCTATGGTTACACAGAACACTCTCGGTATGAGAAGCCTTAATAACTGTTTTTTAAAATCAACAAATAAGTAAGTTCCATGAGTTACTTAGCCCCTGGAACACATTTTTTCGCTGCAGATGTTCTTTGTTAAACCATAATAATTTTTTTTAATACAGGTTTAGAGTATATGTAATCTAATTTTATTATGAAATTAAGGACCATGATAAATGTAACGGCGAGTCAAGGATTGACGTGAATGCAAATTGCAATGAAATACACGTGAATCTTACCCTCCCTCTGCCCTACACTAAAAATTAGTGTAGTTAACTTGTCGTTTCTTTTCAAGAACGATTTGTTTTCTAATTTTACTATCATTTTCTCAAGATCACTGATAAACGTTTAATAAAGCTCTGTTTGCAATGCTGTTGATGGGCACTTATCTTTTAATCTACTACACAGAGTTGTTTAAATCCTATCAAAATGGAATTTGTTATGCTCGGCACCTCTCAATGTTGACTCAATTATAGACTATTGTATTTATTTATATATTTAGTTACATAGGAGACATCTTACATTGAAAAGGCTTGCGAATGGACGTTTGTAGGAAAACAATTCACTAAGATCTATTGAAAACAACGCGGACATTTTGTGGATTATAATAATTGTAACCTTGGTCAAAGGCTGTAACAAAATCTTATGCCAAACATTAAAACTATTGAATGCAATAATTTTGTAACGACAAGTAATTGCATAAACGGAAAATCGTCGCTTTTATCTTATACCTATCTAGCATTTAAATATTTTAAATTGGTAAATCGCACACTACAAATAGACAATTATTTTTTTAATAACCAACATTAAGTTTCTTTTATGAGTACAAAAAATTTTATTTTAATAAATAATCTTCTTCATTGAATTTGGCTTTTCGTATCGTACTATATATAATCCAATTAAAACATTTACATAAGAAGTTTACCTCAATAAACACTTCTTACATCCAAACAACCGCGTTTTCATTGGTAAGGTATTCACTGTTTTTAATAACCGTGTACGAAATTTAATTATTATTGGACGATGTAAAATATCAAATGAAACCAAAACAGTTTACTGTAAAATAATTACTATAACATAACCATTTAAGTACATTCTATGCAATATACTCCGAACAACATTAGGATGAAATGTCGGGTGTTGTTTGTCCAAACTAGATGGAATAGGAAGAAAAGGGAAACCATTTTCTTTTAAATGTTTATTTTTTATTTTTGAACAACATTATATGTTCAACTGCTTCGTCTTAATGCTGATCGGAGTTAATAGCATACATAAGATTTTTTATTATAAACAATAACTTTTAAGACCTCTTGATTTGCACAAGCCATGAATGTTTGGAGGCATAATTGTTTTTGCATTAAAACACGTTAGTACGAAAGTGTGAATAAAATCTGAGTACATATATAAATAACGCATTAAACTAACAGATTTTGTGTAGATTTACCTGACGGTTACACAATATAAGTTACAATTACATGTCCGACCGCCATGTTGTTTGTAGGGGGCGCGGCGGAGTTTAGCCAAGGCCGTGGTCCTCAAAGAAGCCCTGCGGTGTCTCCTCCTGCAACAAGGAACATCACTGAGCCAGTGCCGCTCGTGGCCTTTGTTAGACCGAGCAATCGCTTTTCGGCAAATTTTATACCACTTTACTAACATAAAAAAAAATATTCCAAAAGGGATATCTAATCACACAGTGGAATATTTGGGAGGATTACGTGGCTTCACCCCAGGCGCGTTAACAACATATCTGTCTGTAGTATAAAATATCAATGCACACAGCGCCAGCAAGAAGAGCCAACTTTCATATATATAATAAAATTTAGACAGCGCCTTTTGAATGCGGGGCGCTTTTAGTTTATTAGCAAAGAGACTTTATTTTTTAGGGACTGATTGAAAATAAAAACAATCACTAATTTAATTATATTAGTAGGAGCGTTGTTAATAGTACAATACAACTTATGCATAGTCAAAGCACCGACTAAAATGCGCAGTCTCAAAAACGTTTATACATTTAGCTGTTTTTAAATGAAATAAGTACAGGTTTTGAAAATTCATAATAAATATATTTGTATTACAAAATGGAACACCTACACGTTATTGGAAAGATCAATTTATCAGTCATTCATAAAACATAAATATTTGGCATCATGGTATATATACCTACCACAAAATTTAAGAAGTTTCGTTTTATACAAGTAAGAAAAGGCGAAAATATATCTCTCGGTCAAAATAGTTTATTGGAAATCTTCTAAAAAAATATTTAATTTTATTTTGTGTATAAATCTTATACGTACACTGAAAACGAAATACTGAACAACAAATTATATTCTAAATTCATTAAAAAGGATCAGTATACATTTTTGAAACAACCTTAAAATTACCTTATCATATAAATATTTTTGATGTTTTATTTTTCAGATTAAATTCAAACAGCTTACTTCCGCTAAAAATCCTATTTAAATTAAATTGAAAAATACTGATACAAAAATAATTTAAATAAAAAACATTTCACATAAAATTAATATAGAATTTAAACATATTTCCTACTTAATTATAAACCAAAACCAAGAACAAAGTCTTTAGAGAGTAACAATAATAGTAATTTCAATGTAACAAACTTAAAAGTTGTAATATTGTCAGAAAATTCTTCACAGTTTTATGATTTTTGGCGACTGAAAGATAACAAATAACCAATAAAAAAAAACACCTGTTGGTCCACTTTGGCTCATACCAATAACTATAAAAGAAAATCACATTATGTTTTTCCCGAGATTAGGTATATGTCTTAGCAATATGTCAATTGTTGTTTTAAAAAAAATCAAAAAAATGTTTCTAATCTAAATGTTTTAAGGATGATATAAATATCATCCCGGTAGAAAACTAGAGTCTAGGGTAATCAAACGTTGACAAATTTAAAAACACCCTGATTAATAGTAAACTTAATGTAGGTACAAGGTACAAATTATTTTATAATTTACACCAAAATTACTTCCTAAGATGTACTTGTAGATTAATTTTTACTGTCAAATCCTCCAATTTAACCGTGGTATTTTTAAGGGCAACTGTGCTTTTGCAGCAATAAGAAAATGCCTGCCTGTTACTTTTAGAGAAGACGAAATACCTTCATGATATCTTCAAGACTTCAACAGACAATAACAACAGCGCTAGTCGAGGGCTATCGATATATATTTAATTTTTAAAGTGAAATTTCTAAGGCACAAGGACGAAATTTGTAAGACAAGAGGACGAGAATGAAAAGTGAAATTTATAAGACGCGACACGGGCACATTTCGTTACATGAGAGAGAAGAAAGATATAATGTAGAGAAAGAGCGACACGTGTGCGTTGTAAGATATACGCGTCAGAGACTACGTGAAACGATGAGGTAGTGTAATAAAAGTTTATATTTGTATGTATATAGAGTAGGGTACGCTGCAAAGGCAATATAAATATTTTTCATTACATTACAATGCTACATTTGTATTGAAACAATTAAAAGAAGAGTACCGAGCTTCATATTTTGGAATAGGAATTAAATCTATATTTTGGCGATTCTGAAATTTTATTTACTTCAAGAAATATTTGTAAACCATTTGATTACTGTTTTTTTGTTTATTTTTTTTAAAAAAACATTGCCCTTTGGGATATCATTATCCTGTGTTGTAGGCAACATAATACAAACATAAATATCACGCGGAGGAACACCCAGATGCGAAACAACTATCTGTGGGGTCACACAAATAGTTGTGTCGTGTGGGAATCGAACCCACGACCCCGACGCCGAAGCTAATATCTTGGCAATTGCGCCATGGAGTCACCATTTAAATATTTATTTAATGTAGTGTTATTCTTGAGGTGTGTTTTATGAGATGTTGACCACTTAAATTACTACTACTTAGGCCGAAAGAAATAAGAATTTCCCTATTTGTAGTAAATTGGTGGCCTACACCTTTTAAACTTCCCAAGGGGTCATATTTTTATCAATGTAACTAAAAATGTCAATATTAATTAATGCGCCCGAGACTCAGGTTCCATCCCCGCAGCGCCGCAAGATTTTTGTTGATTTATCTACAAAATTCACATTTTATGTTTCATCTTGAGTGCAGAGACTTGCACTAAAAAGATAAATATTAATTATAAAAGAGATCAATGTTTTAAGAATTGAACTTGTCAGACTACAATTAGAAAGTTTTAGAGGATTTGACGGTAAATTTTAAATATTATGAATAAGATTATAGTAGTAAATCTGCGTACTAACGTAACGCATAAGACATTTTCTTCATATCAACATTGATTTAGAAAACCTGGAATTATCTCGATGCACGCAATATATTTAAAGTGTAAGTGTATAAAAAATAGTCCCATAACTTCACATTGGCAATTTTGTCATTGAATTTCGTTATTTTCATGTCATTTTGTCATTTTCATGTGCACCGGTGTCTTGGTTTAGTTTTGCGGAAGACTATTTTTGGAGTCATCTTCGATTGGAGGGGACGGGCCTCAGAGTAGCCCCACATCACGCAGCGCAGCGTCGACCGTCTCGTCCTATCACACCACACGCCATAAAAGGCATTCGTAAAACCATTCTATTTTATCACCTGTCTATTACTTCTGACTTCATATTTTCAACATTCTAAGGACTCGAGATTGTGTAATCTTACAAAAATATTTTTTTTCTATATTTTGTTACGTTATAAGCGAAATTGAAATTTTATGCGTAATAAGGTAATGAGATTGTTTTGAGAATCAATTTGAATGTAGAGAGATCGTCGTTAAAAAATTCTATAGGTCGGTCACGACGTCCATATTTAAAAAAAATTGTTAATATCAAGAGCTTAAACCACACCAATTTCTTAGGGATCACCCGAGTTGCAAGATTATAATCGGATGAAAAAGTATTAGTAAAGCCAACTTTAATAAATAGTATTATGTAAAGAACATATTTAGTGCTTGTATTTAATAATATCTTCCCACACAAGCAATGGTTAGGAACGGATACATGCAAGAAAACAGAATTTTAGTTATAAACCAATGTATTTCAACAACCCATTATAATAAATGCACATACAGCAGACATCAAAAGACACCAATTTACCAGATACTTTGTCAACCGACACCTTTCACAAAAATATGAATAATATAAGAATTTAAAACATGCATTTAAAAAAAATAGTAGTAGAAAATGAAGAAAACCAAGATAGCAATATTTACTGAGAATGCCAATAAGTCTTTGTTTTTAAGAGCTCAATTTTTAGAAAATGGTTGTTATACTCTTAAAATATCTTAGGTACATTTTTTTTAAGGATACAATTCAGCAGACAAAGGAAGTGGTACAACGGTAGCCAGAGTACAATACAAATTTCAAGGAGAAAGCTACATGTATATGAAGCAAATTGTATATGTATATCTAATTATCAACTTTATGCCTAAAAATTAATAAGTTACCACATATATACCAGTCATAAGTTAATAAACAAAGTTTACAAGAATATCTGTTAATGAGTTGAGTACCATAATTTAATATTGTTTTTATTGCTACTCCTATATTTTATGTGAGGCATTATAGTGCAACTTCAAGGAAATATATAAATATATCTTAATGTACAAATTAGAAGTGTGTTTTAAATATGAATGAGATGATATAAAAATTTATCAAACATAGGAATTAAATATTGCTGTGCATATTGAAGCATTTGCAGTCATGCAGAAATCATGCAAGAACTAAAAGCAAAGTATACAGTCAACATAACAGGTAAAGGTAAACAATTAATTGCTAACTATGAACAAAATATGTAATCAAAAGTTTGAGATTGGTTTATTACTCAAATATTTCAAGATATACTTTTATTGTGAAAATGGAAAAAGTAAAAACAGTGGAAAATGCATACTATGCCAGATGTCTACATTATGCAACAGTCGATCAATACAATCTGTGATTCTTTTATATTGTCTCTTATTGGATCTTGGTGATTGTGATGTGTTGATAATGCAAAGGAGTATTCATATCTACTGAGGACAATTGATGTGATTAAACAAGCGTTTATGAATACCGTAACTGTGTAATGTAAGTGCCATGTGGACTCAAATTATTGTAGTTATTGCTTATCCCCATCAGTGATACAATCCATCATTCAAGTCCTGACCGTCATCAGCATGCATATCACAAAAACACAGTACAAATTAACAAAAATGTGCATGGAGAAAGGATATTACAACTAAATTACTTAGAGATGATCAGTAAATAGTTTACTACATAGATATGTGCAAGGGTAAACATGTGCAAGTAATTGTTTTGTGTAATATTTGGTAATGGTATTTATAATACATATCACATGTGTGAAGTACTGAAAATAATTGGCGTAATGTCTTTTTAAAGTTAAGAATAAAATAATTGTCCTTCGAAAAACATAAGTGTCATTTGCAACTTAACTAATTTTGTTGAAATTTTGATGTAAATTTTTATCCACTTAATTATACAGTAATATATCTATTACGATATTATATTTAAACTTGATAAATTCATATTAAGCTCTAGTTTGAGAAATTATGAAGAGATTGATATGTGCTTGAAAGATTATAAGTTAAAGTTGTTTTTAAAGGCAGTGCATACTACATATAATTTTATAGTGATAATTATGAATCACTCAATAATAATCAAAGGCACTACTCAGGCCTCTGTCCTAGTTAAATGGTCCACAGTATATTAATTTTTGTTGTACAATTAATATATCTACTTTTATAAGAGAAAACATCTAATTTTATTAATATAGAAATTTGACTAGACCATTGCATTTGACTATGACTGTATTGATAAATATAACTTGCAAGCATCTGATTTATATAAAACGGTTTTCAAAACGAATTTTTTAATTGAACACATTACATATTGAATATGCTTAAAGTTTTATTCTATGTTTGTATTTACCTAATCTATGTTATTATTTTTTCTTTCCATTTAAGACCACATAATGTAAATTTACTTAAAAACTAAAACCCTACCCAATCACTTTTTTGAGAAAACATTAAGATTCTAAACTTTGCTCTTTATTTCCTACAAAAGACAAATGTTTAATGCCTGGGACCTTTTATCTTTTAAAATAAGCAGCCTATGAAATATCTGGATGCCTTTTTGCACATAGATTTTCTAGTTAATATAATTAAGAACATTCATGCATAGCAAATGCATAAATCAGATCCAATATTATGCATTCCAAACCAAAATGATCTGTTGAGATCCTCACAGCGAAAAATACGACACACAAATCACACTGCAAGTTTACACAAGTTCATTGTCTTGGCTACTGACCTCTTGCAGTAAGTCCTGTGCAGCAATTGCCTTCAGTACATTCTTCTTACTCGTCTCTTGCAGTTCACCACCAAGAACAAGTTCATCCAATATGAAATATGCCTTCTCAAAATTGAAGATAATGTCCAGCTCGCAGACCTGTGAACATTTAAATGAGCAGTTGATTGATGTCCCAATTGAGTTAAGACTTACTTAATCTTTGGCTCAATTGGAACGTCTCACTTGCAATCTTAAGGTTTCAAGTTAAATGAGCACTAAGAGCTTTTTGTTTGCCGGATTTCTTACATATGAAAATAATGGTCTACCATTCGTGTGTGAGTAGTTATAATTGCATATGTATAATAAATAGCAGTGTGAGAGTTTGGTTATAATTGAATTTGTTATTATAATTTTACTTGACACTTGACTTTTATTTTGTAATATACAACAAATTTATATTGTTGCCAAGTGCCATCATTGCATAAAACAAATTTTATTGTAGGTAGTTTTAAGCTTTACCTTAAAAGTGTGCATATTATCAAAGACCCCACATGTTTGTAGTTTTATGAAAACAAAACAAAAAAATGTTTTTATAAATTTTTCATCCTTAAACATTGTAATAAATGGATATTTTTAAATTTTATTTCATACATACACTGCCAAAATATTTGTCCAACAATTCCACATATCTGTGAATGAGTTCAAGTGTTAGAAGCTCATTGTCCTCTTGCTCCATTGCACAGCAGAAGTATAAAGATGCATATCTAGAACAAATACATATAAAATTACTAAAGTTCCTAAAATAATTACGAAAAAAATGATAAAACTTTCCTAAAAAAATTAAAAGAATTGTTACTTACCAAGTCATATTATGACATAAAAGAATATTTTGGATATACCTTGGATATTATAGATATAAATAACACATAATGATCTCACATTATAAATATATTAAACAAATTACTCATAATTAATATATAAATTAAAACTAATAAATGTTACCTATAAAAATAAATAGCCTCTCAAAATACCAACTACATATACAAGTACCCCATTAAATTACCTAAGTGATACATCTTGCTCTCTCCGAATTTATGATTTGTTTTGTACTATGCCCTATAAACAGGGTCCATAAAGAACTATTTTACTAATTACCCTAACACCTTTTTGTTAATGGATGTGCAATAAATAAATAAATAAATAATTCATTACATGATCTTTAAATAAGTATTCACAAATGTATATATGAAATTCATATTCAAAACAAGCTCAATATATTAATATATTTTTATTTACTACATTATATCACTACTTTTCAATGTTTTTAAACTCATTGACTCAATTCTTTTAATCAAAATTGAAACTATAAATAAATGAAGTTTACACACCTTTTATATACCACCTTAACATCTTTCCACTCCAGGAATGAGCACATTTTTGGCTTTCGGGCAAGCACTGTTGTAATCAGTTCTCTTGTTATTTTCTTCTTTAGCTTATCTGGATGGGCAACATACCATTTCTGCAATCTCAATTTGCCTTGTCTGCTGAAGAGCAGCATGAATTGCATCTAAAACATCATAGAATGGAACATATTTTTAAGCAATAATGAATATTCATGATGAATACACATGATACATTTATTTAAAATTAAGAAAACATCGTGTACCAGAACAGAAGAGTACCACATGAAACTGTGGTGCTCTGTGTTGGAATGTGACTTTCTTTGAACATAATCTGTGACTATAAGAAGCCACATAATACCATTAGTTTATTCTACCTATTACCGCAGAATAACATTATATCTAACTTCCACTAGAAGAATTTTATTCACTTTTATTAAATGGCCACTGGTGGCTTAAAATTATTATTATTAACAACATGGTGTTCTGCTCTATCTTAAATTTATCCCAAGGTTCCTGAGACAGCACCAGTTACTCTCTAAAGATCTTTCATGTTTTAAAATATTTATTTTATAAATATTTATAAAATAAAATAAATAATATAATATTGGAAAATAGAACTTGACAAAGAGTAGTTACTAGAGTAGTTAATAGCGAAAAATTGTTACTTACCATCTTAGGGAGTTTTTGAATGGATGATTTGTTAATTATAATAGATATATCTGTATATAATTAATAATTATTAAATAAATTACACATTTACACAAGTATCAATGTCCATACGCTGACAGTGCGTTTGCCATAGATAAAACATAATTTTAACTATATTATTTGCCACAGAGTTGAGGCTGACCATAGAGATAAAATGTAATGCTACCCATTTCATGAATATCTTTGGAAAAAAAATTGCATAGACGTTATTTCCATAAAAATACACAAATTTGTGAGTTCTTAGATAATGTCCACACTATTTAAGTAAAAAATATGTGGTATATGTGGGACTTGTTGTGAAAGGATAATCTATGTCTAAAATTTAAATAACATATGAATCATGGAGCAGAGAAAAGGTAAGAACAATCTTTTTAAAATAAAAGTTTCCGTCGGAATGCGTCACGTGCACCAATTTAGGTGGCGCTACGGTAACATGTGGGTTGTGGTGGTGAATTTATAGTTATTAAATACCACCGAGTTCTAAATACTACAGTTTCATCAACTACTCTAGTTACCAGAAATATTAAATACCTTAATTCAGCACACTTTACTCCGTTTAAAACTGCTATATAGTGCTAAGTTATTTTCATCCGCTAAGTTCTAGCTACTTTAGCCCTTTTGCGGAGATTTTTGGAACTGTTATTTACTGCTTAGCTTAAGACGGATAAATACGTTCAACTATTCTCCCATGTGAGACGATTCTCCTTACCTCTAACACTCTTGCACAGTGAATAAATTTACAATCCTCTGTTTTGGTTGATATATACATTATTGTTTATATCAAAAATATTCATGTAGTCGACCACTGATTGTAAGGGCTTTTAAGTCCTCTATACCGTCCATAAAGCCGTCACAGCTCAGTATTCGGGCTCTCGCTTTTAATTCAAAATACTCGAGCAACCAGAGTCCAAATCCTAGCGCCAGCACTAGTGAGGTTATTAACTTTAAATGCAGACATCTCGAGGGTTCGGTGAAAGAAAACGTCACGAGGAGACCTGTATTTTTTCGAACCAATAACAAATATTTTGAAATTGTGAATCCGCCAACTCGCCATGGGGTCCCTTCACCACGCGATAATGATCCAATTATATCCTAATAAGGGTATTAGGATACAGAGGACTGTATAGCTCCCCTATACAGTCCTCTGTATCCAAGCCTTTGCTCAGGACTGAGACATATACAGGTTTTTACTTTAATACTTTTGTAATTTGAGTTCACATTTCATAAGGGTAAAAAGGGGGCGTAATTTTTTAAAAAAAACCTTTGGGGCCGGATATGTCGATAACAAATCCCTTGGCCCCTTCATCTTGTTTAAAATATAGGTGACTATTAGTCAATAAAATAACTTCCTTTGCCAATTTCTTCCTTTCAATTGCCTTTTAATTAATTTAACTACCTCTGATGCCGCACCAGTTGTGACCGAAATACCGCGTAGATAAGTTGACGACAGACGGCCAAAGTGTCTACAAAAGTAGCATCCCAAATAAGGCTTTGATACCTTGATACTTTGATACCTCGGAAAACACAAATATTTCACTTTCACATATGCTACCTCGCCGTATAGCTATTTCGTTTCGGTCCATCTACAAATTTTTATTGTGGTGCTCCCATTTATAAAAAAGAGAACATATTTCGAACACACCTTTACACAACGTACACTCTAGTCCCAAACTAAGCAACGCTTGTACTGGGCACTAGATAACTGACAAACATACTTAAACATACTTTTCTTATGTAAATAAATACATATTATAAATATATAAGCACCCAGACACTGGGAAATACTATGTTTATCACACGATATTTGTCTAGTAGTGGGGATCAATCCACAACCTTTGGCGCGAAAGTAGTGAGTAGTAACTATTTTGTATATTATCCTATTAGTCAAAAATCAGGTGACCTTTTTTGTTACGTATACTTTACCTGCAACTTAGTTGATGTTTTTTCAATAAATTAACATACTATAAAGTCATACATATAAATACGAGTAACAACATATTATGATAAGAAGAATAAAAACAAGTGTTTATTTCTAAACGTTTACTTTAAAAGTAGAATAATTGCTTACAATAATAGTATATGGTTAAATATCATATTTCACTTAAGTCTATTTGTTTTTAGCAAAAATGATTGTTTATTATTTTCATTTTTTAAAGTTACTGACGAACTCTGGGCTGAATGGAGTGGCATTAAATTGGAAATTGTTGCTGTGGTTGGCTACAGTGTCTCGTGTCTGTAAAAACGAAAAAAGAAAAATTACAAAGAGTTTTTTTACAACATTTTCTCATACCTACTGTCATTTTGAAGTTTGTTTTGATAAAAAAGAATAATAATTTTAATAAATAAAAATAAATCTTATAATTTACATTTTACTGAAATTATTAACTATAAATTATAGCCGGTATCAATACAAACTATATAACTATGATTTATTGATTTCATCGACTTCTAACAATATTACAGATAAAATCCAAAAATCCAAACCGATGCTTATTTATGAAATTTATACAGCGTGTCCCAAAATTCAACGTTAGACGGGATCGGAAATGAACAAGTTGACCTTCCTAAGGATAAATAATAAAACAAAACCGAGCTCTTTTTTTAAAGTTATTTAAAATTTAAAAAAAACTTAAGAAAGTTGATAGATAACCTATAAAACATTTTTAGGTAGGAACTAATAATAAGAATTTGCAAATATTTAATTTTTACGGCTTATCGTTGAATTTTGGGGTACTTAGTTGTCAATGCGACGAACTGCGTGTTTTGCACGCGGTTCAATTGTTGGCGGTAAAATTGAAAAATGCGGACTGATAACGTGTGTTTTATGTTATTAAAGCAAATACAATGTTTTTAATTTTTAATAGCAAATCTGTCCTAAGTTTTGGAATGAAAAGAATGGGCGTCTTATGTATTTTAACCTACAGACGCTGTAGCTTCTTTTGGATCCATAACTTCTTTTTTATGTGAATAGTTGCCAAGCGAGCAGGTGGTTCACCTGATGTTAAGTGTAGTCTGCCGCCCATGGACATCTGCTACATCCGAGCGCTACAGATGCGTTGACAACCTTTTGAAAATTCGGCTCCGGCTACCTCACTCACCAGACGAAACGCGAAAGTATTTGTTATACTTCCACTTTACGCCGATCTTTTGTGAGGTCTTGGTACTTACCCCGACGAGCCTGCCCATTCGTGCAACGGCCGAGGCTGCTGCGTGGCCCTACCACCGCAAAAACTGTGCAGTTATGGTCAAGACATAGACCAGATTGAACGTACCGCGTTCCCGTTGACAAATTCTTGGACGGACTCCGTGTCAGCTGGCGGGAAGTAGTCCTGCCTGAACTGCGGAAGGTCCTCTATGCCGATCAGGTCCGAATCGTTAGAGCCGTCGCTCGAGTTACTAAATCAATAATATTTTGTTACAATCTCACGTTTGATAACGATGTTTCATTCATTTCAGTTTTTCTTGAACCGAACTTAAAAAATATAATCTCGCTGAGTGGCCTTCCATAGACTTGAGAAAAAAAATTGAATCAATTTACCGATGCCTTGTAAATATTTCCAATAAAAATTTCTTGTATCATCGCCATTACACATTACTAAATGAAACTATGTTTACGGATTTATCTAACTTTCCGATCAGTAAGCCCGACCCCACCTAGGTTGGGAAGAAGAACAGGAGACAGAAAAAAGACGAAATAAATACGAAGACGAAGAAAATATTATTTTTTTGACTAATGTAAATGTTATTAAATGAAACTGTATGGTCACGGTCTACAGACTGTCCCGTGACCATGAGCGATGGAAAGGGTTCAAAACGTCGGGAATAAAAATCAAAATTAAAAGGCGATCAAATCCCTAAATTAGTTTCATTTAGTATTCGCGTAAAATCAAGAAATCAATAGTGTAAATGTCATCTCTCATAATTGCACTTCAGATATCTTTATATTCTGGCGCTGTTCTAGCAACCTGCGTTCATATTCCATTACCGACACGAATGAAATTTTTAATTAAAATTTTAAGTGCTGCCTAATCACGTGCTCAGTGGTGAAGAAAAACTGTCTTTTAGAATACATATAAAGTACGCCGATACGCGGTGAAGTTGCGTGGTGGAATATGCCCAGATACCCTCCGTATAGAAGAGGCCTTTCACCAGCAGTGGAACATACAACAAAAATGTTGTGTGACGTGTGTGATGTTTTAAAAAAACACCGAATCATTTACCTGATGGCATCAAAGTGTACTACACTTCACTTGTGTGTAATTTATGCAAGTCACCCATTTCTATAGGACCAAAAATGGCGTGCAACGAAGATGATGTCTAAAAGAACACCGAATCATTTACCTGATGGCGTCAAAGTCGGGTGCTTTGATGGCCTCGTTCCAGATGGGGTTGGAGCCCTCGACGGCGTGCTTGTTGGTGCCGGGCGCCGCAAGCCCCGCGCGGTTCAGCCCCGAATCTTGGGACCCGTACTTCGTCATCGACAGCGCTTCGAGGCGGCGGCTCAAGCTGAAGTGTTATCGATTAGAAACTAAATTTTCGCAATCACTCCGGAGGAAGAAGCAGAAATATATTAGAGCATCTTTACTGAAGTGTAAGTGTACTCGCAGGCCCAGTTGCATGATTTTTTTTATTGAAAATCACCTGGATTATGTAAATATGGCCATTTCATGTTTGAGATGGATTATGAGAATATAATGACCAGAGAATAAATGGCTATTAGATAGCGATTGCGTGGCAACGCATCTAGCAAATGTGGGCGACGGTTACCACTCAACATTAAGCGAACCGGCTTCTCACTAGCCACTTTGTCATATAAAAAAAGTGTATTGAACGATGGCGGTAAATGAATCTAGCTAATACCGCTAACAGCACGGTTCCCACGTTGTGCTTACAAATTGGTGAGATAAGGACAGGAGAAAGAATACAAGAATAGTAGAGCGCGGTGACAGCACGGTTAAATATTGTGCTAACCCCACCGGGCTAAGGGCGGGAGAAAGAGAAGAAGAATAGAAGAGCGCATGACTCACGCTCGTGTCCGTAGCACCAGAGCGAGGAGCAGCGCCAGGCAGAGTAGAGCCAACAGTGCGCACAGGGCTGCCAACAGCTGAAGCGCGCGCGCCTCCGCGGGCGGGGTTGGCACCGCTCCGGTCACTAGGTCGCGAAGCACCAGCAGTTGCGTGCTCAAGGTCGCCTGGATCGCGCGCACCAGTCCCGCGTCACTGCGCAGTCTGAATTACCACGGAAACCTTTACACTAATCACATTTTAGTGGTTGTCAACACGCCTGCGTTGTTGCTAGTGTTTATTGCCCTCGGTCCTCTCTTATCATCAGGCGAAGCAAATTATTGAGCTAGACAAGTTGCGTGCTAACATATGAATAAATAAATGTATAGAGCTAGACAGGGCGCTTGCTAGCGTTGAGTAAATAAATTTATTGAGCTAGACAAACCGCTTGCTTATATACTGTTACGAACACACAAATAAACTAGCGCCATCTAGCGTCAAGCAGTAAAACCACTCAACGAATAAAGACAACATAAAACCCCCTACTCAATACTAGATGGCGTTAGAGGAACTAATGTGGAACTATAGTCTCGAAAACCGGGTACATTCGCGAACTTTCCAGAATTACGATCATGTTGGCGCATGTCGGGTACGTTCCAGGAAGGAACTTCTGGATTAGTCTGGGACTCGTCTCGGCCCATATAAAAAGCCGCAGGGAGGCGAGCGAGAAAGTTCAGTTTGAGCTACCATCGAGGCGACTTCGGAGTGAAAACTAGTGATCAAGAGCGATACCAGTGAAACCTACGACTTGGCTACAACCTAGGACATCGTTAGTGCTTAGTGTTTGGACCTAGTGCTGGTAAATGTAAATAACTTTAACTCCGGCGTAATTCAATTGAAATAAATTTTAAACGATAGAGAGGGATCACTAATGAATTAATCAACAAGCAGAATTCGGCGGTTGCTTATAGTTTTCGGGAAATAAATATTTAAAACTTGTTTACTTTAATTTTCACTAACAAAGTCCGCCATTCGCCAACGTAATTTATACACAGTTCTGCCAACATGATGAATATAGGAAGCGGGCGACGTCATGTCCTAGCGATTATTCCATTAATTTTTTTTTTCCTAAATATTTCAATCAATGTCTCATTTTCCGACTCGAAAAAAATTTTTATCGATAGAGAAATGTTAATAATCAAATATAGTTTAGGTTATAATCCAAGAAAACTCTTAAATATTAGGCGCCAATACCAAATAAACCAACGTTATTCATATTGAAATATTATGGACATTTTTTTAAATTTTATATCGATTATAAATCGATTACATTTTTTTACAATTTAAATTACTGTGAAAGAAGCGAAATTAGGTTTAACATTTATTTACTGATTGGTTAGGTTTATGGTTGCATCTTTTTAATTTATCACGGACCCTTTTCCGATATATAAGGTTCAAAATGAGTCCCAGATCCGACACAGAGCACCCCGACTCCATGTGGTCTTGTGGTCCCTATGTTAAATTTAAACCGGAAGTATTTCCCGCTCATTATTTAAAAACAATAGAATATTGGTTATTTCGTATTTGCAATGACGGATAATTGTGTGCGTCTACTAGTAGTAGTGATATATTATGTACATATTGTAATTTAAGTACATATTGTAATTTTTTTATTCTTTTTATAAAATTTTATTCAAATCAGAATCAGATCGTTTAGTCCTTTTTAATTTTTTGTGTCGTCATGGAATTCTTGTAAATACTGTTAAATGTTTTAAATGTGGACTTCATTTGTTATCTGGTAATGAGGCACGATTTCGTAAAATTTTCCCCGAACCTGGAGAACGTTTGCACCATTTCTGGAAGAGTGTGAGTGTCCTCTACCCGCCGATGATATAAAAATGTGAGTATTTTAAAAAAGTTTTTTTTTGTTGTCAATATCTCAATTCAGCTCGTATTTCTTGGTGGTCATAAAAAAAAACCTAACATCGAAGGTTAAGGCGGGAGCTCCGCTCCCGCCTGAACCTTCTAACCTAATCTATCCGAGTCGGATTCGCTCTGTGTCGCTTCTGTGACTCATTAAATTAAAAAAAAATCGGAATATCGATACGTGTATGAGTCGCCCGCTTCCTATATTTATCATGTTGGCAGAACTGTGTATTGAGTTTTTGAAGTCAAACAAATAAAATGGTGGATTTCTTAGTACAAAAAACAAGTTTTAAATATTTTTTTTCTCGAAAACTATATGCAACCGCCGAATTCTGCTTGTTGATTAATTCATTAGAGATTTATCTCTATCGTTTAAAATTTATTTGATTTGAATTACGCCATAGTTAAAGTTATTTACCTTTACCCTAGTGCTTTGTGTTGGACCTAGTGCTAGCGAATAAAGTCTTCAAAAGAGTCAGCAGGTCTTTCTCTCCAAAACCTCCGAACATTAACACGTAACAATAGGAATTAACAAATGCCTAGAGCTAGACAAATTGCTCGCTAATAACTTACTCCTCGATCACCTCAGCGGGCACGGGCACGTCGTCGCGTATGAAGTGCGCCCTCACCTCGGTGAGGTCGGAGAGCGCCACGCCGCTGTCGTCGCTGGCCGGCACCACCTGGTCCACGTTGCAGGTCATCCCGAAGCCGGCACTGAACGTCTGCGCGATCTGCGAGACGGTGCAAGGGAAAGGAAACCGACTCAGTTGCAGAATTTCGGTCTTCCATATATGTGTGTATATTTATAGTACGAGTACAATTTTTAACCGACTACAAAAGGAGGAAGTTAAAAAACATAAAAAATACAGTCGAATTTAGAAGCTCCTCGTTTTTGAAGTCGGTTGAAAATGGACGAAAACTGTAAGAGGGTGATGTTTTTCTAGGTTGAATTTGTGACGCCTGGCGACTTACCCTCGAGGCAGAATAGCGCCAAAGATAAACCAAGTAAGTGAATAAGTTTATATTTGGAGAATCAGTTTCAAGGATCATTATTACATTGGAATAATCGAAATCCTTGAGCCCGGATTAAGTTCATACCATTTATTATTGAAATGCTTAATATTTAGTGCGCTCCGTCGAGGTTATTTTGTACCAGTTGCTGGTTTCGGATTGTAGGGTTGTTGTTAGGTTATTTTATATTTTTTTTGTTTTTATAAGCAAAACATAACTTACGAAGTCTCTGTCATTTTCCACTTGGTCCACAGTGTTGACGAATATGAAGAAAACTCGGTTCATGCTTGAGATCAGATATATCTTCACATTTGCCGTGTCACTGGCTCCGGCTGTATGAATGTTGATTTTAGTTAGCAACTTTGATGCTTCAAATGTGAGATTCAAATTGCCGATTAAAATAAAAACTCTGGGTTATCTTTTTATTTTAAAATCATAACCCTAGGTGTAGATCAACGTAATAATTGTCTTATAGGAGTTTAAATTGAGCTAGGAGAAATACCCAGATTGTGCACAGTTATCCATGGCTCATGCAAATATTTGGCTCGGTCGAAATACGCCCCAAAGACCGGACCAGGAACTGAAATCTATCGCTTGGCAACGCTTCTTAAAGAGACGTGGAGCTTGTGTATATAGTTTTGCGCCCTTTGTCATCGAGTGATCGAGACAACCTTATCCAGATTACCTCAACCTTTCTTCTATCACTATACTTTCTTAAAATATAGCTAATCTTACATTACCATGATCCGTTCCTAAATGTATTCTACATTGAGATTTAGAAATTATAATAACACTATGGTCATTGCTATCTAACTTCGCGTTCCACTTACTTGGATCGGTGGCGACGACATCGAAGTCGAAGATGCCGTGCATCGAGGCCGTGGGCTGCATGTTGAGGGAGAGAACTCCTGTGCGGGAGTCCAGGATAAAAGCGGTGTCCTTCACCGCCTGAAGGCTGGGGTCCGCTTGCATGCTTCCCTCCTTCATCGTGTACGTGATGGTGGCGCCCTCCGAGTGCGTCGCCTGCCGTGTGGTGGAATGCATAACGAATACGTAATGAGAGCATTGCTTTTTCAATCCGCAGAAGAGTTGTTAAGTATGCAGGATAATATCTTAAGTAAAAATGGCACGGGCGGAGGGATGGACATTTGCAACACCCGTTGGGTTGTAAATGCATTGCCACCTTTAAATAATGCGGGCCCCGGCTACCTCACTCACCAGACGAAACGCAGAAGTCTTGCACTTCTACTTCACTCCGGTCTTGTGTGGTCGTGGTACTTACCCGGACGGACCTGCCCATTCGTGCAGTTGATGGTAAAAGCAGCGTTAAGGGCGAAGTTGTGTTAAATATAATTGATTAAACTATATCAGGAGAGGCATCTCAATGCCTAGAAGACACTGCAATTTCAAGTGATATCCTGTATTACTCACATGCACCGTGAGCAGTTCCCTGTTGATCGTGTCCAGCGTAGAAATGCCAGCCGTGTAAAGCGCCCTCACGAAGTATGGCCGTGGATTTGCCTCTCTCACCTAGAATGGTATTTGTACGATAAAAGAAAAAGAAAATTTGAGCCAGTCAACGATCTATCTAGTAAAACATTACGTTTTCGTGATAACATTTAATTGTTCATTGATATGTATCGTTTAATACATTGATTTTTTTATTATTTTATTATGATTGAATGAGTGTCTAATAGTACTGACTTTTTTCCAATTTAGTTTACAGTCAACTCTTTGACGCTAGACGGTACATCAAATCTATTTCTGTCTTGTCTTGTATTATCAAGAAGAAATACACTACACTCGCTTTATTATAGTAGGTTTAACATCAGATGTTAATTGATAGACTATGATAATAACTATGATAATGATGACTCCGTGGCGCGGATGCCAAGGTATTGGCTTCGGCCGCGGGGATCGTGGGTTCCACGTGGAATTTATGTATGTAAAACGTACTTACAACACAGGATAATGTTATCCTAAAGTAACTAAGTAAGTAAGCTACGTTTTTAAAAATGAAAGAAAAAACAAGAAAAACAAAATTTGAGAACGCGTCAAGTCAAAAGTGTTTTGACGCTGACCGTTACGGTGACTTGGAGCGTGGAGGTCAGCAGTGCGGTGCCGCCTTCAGACGCTGGGCTGTTAGATGCCGCCACCAGCAGACTGTGCGATGCAGCCACCTCGCGGTCCAGTTGTCGCACCACACGCAGAGTGTTGGAGTCCTCGGCCAAATGGAAATGCCCCTCCCGGTTGCCGTCTGATCGACACAATACCTCACTCAATGCGAGAGACGGCCATGGCCGCCTATAGTCGCACGACGTATGATACAGAGCGGATATGGGAATGCAGGATTTTTGATGCGTTTCCGATAGAATGCGTAAAAGGGATCACTAATCTCTGCCTAGCTATGAACAAAGTCAAAGTCGAAATTTCTTTATTGTATTAATCTTTATTCATATGGTTATTTAAAGCTCTTATTGAATGTCAAAGGGCTACCAACATAGTTATAGGTTTTAGTGAATGTGTATATGTGTATCAGGTTCAAAGCGAGCGTGTGCACATCTTACATTTTGACACATAAACTTAAATTCACTGATGTGATTTACCTTTATTTTTAACTTACACAACCGATGTTGTCTAAATAAAAATGTTGAAATAGACTAAAAATTTGTTGTGGCTTATTAAATACAATCTCAGGTGGTCGAAAATTCCTTAACTACCACATTCTAAGTACATCAACAGCAGATTCACAAGAAAGAGTAATTCTTACCCACGATCCTGTAGTAGATATCATGGCAGTCGTCATCGCAGCGGTAGTTTTTTGGGTCCTCGGCTAATGGCAGCTGGTGGCTCTCTTCCAAGCCTCCCTCTTTCTCTGGAAACGAAAAACAATGTCATTGAAAAAGAATGATGCAAAGAAGTAGCTTAACTTTCTCGATGAGTTTGATTGAAGTTTTCTGATAGCATTCGGAAATTAATGAAATCTTTTTTTTTTCATGCTCAACCACGGAATTACACCAACGCAAAATACAAATATTGATGGGACCATGTTTGTTCCGAGGTGTCAGTAGCAAAAAAAAAAACACTTACAACATGATTCACTTGTGCTGACGTAGCCTTGGTGGAATAATAATAATAATAATAAATAATAATAATAAGAAAATATCTTTATTCACATAGACGCTTGCGCGTTCTTATGAAACGTCAAAATTTTACAAGAAATTAACACGTTCGTAAGTTACCACCGAATAAGGGCAGGAAGACGTTGATGAACTGGTGATGGTTCGATTACCACCAGTTGATCATTATTTTCATCGCGGACTGGGAAAAAGTGACGACACTCACCGAAGAAAGCCACATCCGCTGTGGTTAAGGAGAAAACTGGCTCTCCTTGCGTTGGTACGAAGATGATGTTCAGAGTTGAATCCGTTGACAGAGGTCCAGGTTCAGTGCCACCGTCCGTAGCGCGGATGGTCACCTGGAGGGAGGAATCAATTCAACGTAAACCTAAAAGTGAAAGTGTTAATACATCACCATCATTTTGATTTATTTCATATTCATTTCTCAAAATCAATAATTTGTTTAGTGTGTGTTTAGCATAATCAATTCTTGCTCACTTGAAATTCCTTGATTGTTTCCGTGAAAATCTGCTTCAGCATCAGAGTACCGATGTTTTCTCCATCGTTAACCACTTGAAAATGATCTTCGGCTTCCGCTGAGGGTGTTAAAACAATTGTGCAATAATTATCAATTGTCTCTAATAGAGTATTTTACACTCGTCTATTATATTAGTAAGCTTAGTCTAATCAGTTCACAAAAATCGTGTCTAAAAGTACATATGTCCTAGTACTGCGGAGCAGAAATCAGATAGAACGTTGTTCTATTCTGAATAACAATATATATAATTTAGATGAAAAAAAATGAAATGCTGTCCGAAAGCGTAGACAATAATTAAGATTTTCCGACAATAAAATCAAATTCGTTCTTTGTTACCAAAGAACGTTATTCTACGCAAGGTACGATTTGCTTTTCATTTCTAAAACAACTACGCACTCGTTCCTATTGACAGCCTAAATAGAAACCGTAATATCGATTTTCGTTTAATTTTCTTTATCCTTACCATCACCAGACACGTTGAATGTGACTATCCCGGCGTGGAGGCCGTCCTCGTCCGTGGCCGACACCCGTGGCAGAAACTCGCCGTCCACTTGCACCAGTAGACCGTTTACCACCGCCCTCTCCTGGAACAGAATACCAATTTATCAGTACAACTCTAACGCCTGTAGGGATTGTGAGAATTTAAACGATTTTGTTATGTTTATTTAATTATTTAGACACCAACAAGTACTTCACAATACATGACAATAGAGTGCAGTAGTAAGTTCAGTATTGGATTAGTTGAATACGCATTTACAAGTACAATACTCAATAAAAGCCAAAGTATTTAATATAAACTAGAAACATAAACGCCGGAAGGGAACTTAACTGAACTTAAGCGACTTATGTTTACATCTTTATTATGTTACAATTACTTAAATACTTGCTTCCATTTTTACTTTTATACTTAGCCGTTCTGTTCCGATTCTTTGTAAGATATTTTGCTAGTTTATGCTCTTACATGTTAGCAAGAAATGTGCTCGCTCAGGTTCGTGCTTCGTGTCAGTCTCGTGAGGAAGCCTAATTTCGGCAATGGACATTAAAAGGTTGAAATGATGATAATGATTATGATAATGTCTTTTTGCGTAGGATTTTCACCACCGCTTTAGATACTAAGATTAGATTGTTTAAACTTAAATAACGACGAATTTCCTCGATATGCTGTCATTCAATCACCCCTTTCACAAACATATCATTCTTGATGACTTCGCCCTTGAAAATCTTTCTCGGTGTTCCTCTAGCTTTATACCCTTCATGCACATCTTTCATCCCACGACATTCATCCCATGCCAACTAAAAACAAAATGGTTCCGAAAATAAGTCTAAATAAGTAAGTATAACTACTGTATTTCGTAAAAAACATACCGACCCTTGCTAGCCTCACAGTGGTGCCGTGGCGCGGGAACAGGAATTGCGGCTCGTGGAAGTTGTAGGGGCGGATGACCAGCTCGTAGTGCTCCTCGGAACTTTGTTGCGGGTGGCCATGGTCGAAGGCCTGTACAAGCCAAGGTCGTTAAGCAGATGACGGTTGTACGGTTTCAGGGAGGCAAATCTGTCCTTTTAATTTTTCTTTCCAATTTAGTCCCGGACTCGCGTAATAGCTCCACGTCCACGGTAATAATAAAATTACTGACAGATATATTAAATTACAATATTAGTATTAAAAGGTCGTTTAAATCAATCAACCATTGGTTAAAGGGAAAAGATATTAAAAAAAAAATGCTATTTGGGATTAACAACAAATGACTCACTCGTATATGTATAGTGTAGGTGCCCCAGTAGCCTCGCAAGTCCATAGCGGTCTGGAGCTCCCCGGTGACGTTCTGTATCTGGACCATGGTGAAGAGGGTCGGTGGCTCCAGGTCGCGGTCGGTGAGGGTCAGCCCGTCGATGGCGTAGCCCACGCGCGAGTTGTCGGTGTCCGGCTCGTCGCGGTCGGGGGCGTATATGTCCGGCACCAAGCACACGCCCTGGGGAAGGCGGTAGACAATTAGACCAAGGCAGGGAGTCAGTCAGTTTCGATGATCAGTAGAATATTTCCGTCATTGATTAGTACATTACTGGCTGTTGTTTGAATCGTGGATGCTTAAGATTTTTTTATGTGAAAGTTTGGTAACCGAGCAGTCTGTTCACCTGATGTTACTGATTCCCGCTGTTCATGGAAATATACAACACCTGACGGATGCAGACATTGAGAAGTGGGCCGAACGACGAAGAAGGTAAGCAGTAGTGGTTGTTACGTACCTTCTCCAGATTCTCAGAGACGGACCATGAAAGTTCATGGGGCTCCGGTAATTCAGGGGCATTGTCATTCACGTCCAGCAGCACCACGAGAACCTCGGTATCATTTTGATTTCTGTTTCCGTCTGAAAATTTTACTTCTGGTTAACGAGTGAATTATAAAAAAAAAAAAACTATCGTGTAACATGAAATAGGCAAGTTTAGGCTCCCTGTCTTTCCTTACGCTGAAATTTTAATAAAATCCAATCATTCATATGTCCTTCTTGTTAGGTTGATAAGCGGCTTTGGCAAATTAAGAAAAAATATCTGTATTGATGCTCGCAGCTCGCTGGATAACATGTTAAACGAAACAACACGGAAAAAACTTGTTTCCTTATTATAATGGCTCATAAAGATTGTTCTATGAGACATAATACCCCTAATACACAACACTTTTGGTTCTAAACGAAGTAAGCTAGATGATGAAAACGACGATAATATCATATCATTCTGATCTACCTCGCTTAAAACACTTTTTACATGGGGCGCTTCCTTATTGTCATCATGACCTGTCCTTCGGTTAGTTATTGTCGCTTCATTATAAATAATGCCTGTTAATAAATCTTATCTGCATCGACTATGAGTTGTCTAATATGTAATATTTAGCTCATTGTAAAAAACTTCGGAAACGACTGTGATGACTAAAGTCATCGACTTAATCTGCTATCTATCATCCGTAAACTCTTCGATAAACGCAAAAAGACCTTTTTGGTGCATACATTCTCACAATTCTAATGTTATTTCTTGTTCTTTATTTTTCTCCTATAATGTAATGCGCCGAATAAATATTTCTTTCCATCTTTCTTTCAAATCATTATGCCTCACCCCCTTCAGTATAGAAGTTGTCGATGAGATTGAAGAAGATGGTGTGCTCCGGTTCGTCGCCGTCTCTGTCCACGGTCTCCTCCGTGGTGTAGTTGACGAAGACCTGTCCGGTGTCCAGGTCCACCGCGAAGAAGTTCCTCAGGCGCAGATTCACCACGTAGTTGATCTGGTAGCGCACCGTGTTGTACATTGCTGCGAAAAAAGAAAATCTGTTCTAAACAAGTTAATTTTTTATCAACGAAAAAAAACTGACATCAAATACCTTCCTCTATATTCATTTTATAATTGAATTTCAGGAGTTCCCTACGTATCTCCGGAGCCCAAGATCCAATACCAATGAAATTAATATGGGACCACGTGGAAAGCGCTAGCTATGAAATAAAAAAAGAATCATCAAAATCGATTCACTCAGTAGAAAGTTCTGAGGTAACAAACATAAAAAAAAATTCAGTCGAATTGAGAACCTCATCCGTTTTTAAAGTCGGTTATGAAAAGAAAGTCATCTGTTGCCACTATAAAAACAAATACTAAAAAAAAACAGAATAAAACAACATTTAAGTGGGGCTCCCATACAACGGACATGATTTTTTTGTCGTTTTTATAGACTATGGTACGGAACCCTTATTGCGCGAGTGCGGCTTGCACATGACTGTTTTTTTTTGTTTTTATGTGTATCAACAGCACGACAAGCTTACCGTCCCTGTCGTCGTCGCTGGACACGATGCGCACGATCTCGTCGCCTGAGGTCGCGTTCTCGTAAACGTATATCACCGTATCGAACTGCTCGATTTCGGCCCTCGGCACTTTGTTGTTTGTGTCGATGATCTCGATGCTGATCTGAAAGCGTGCAGCGTGACGTCACTTGAGTGGGAACGAAAATTAAATTACACAGCCTTTAGGACGAATTTGATATAGAAACAATTACGTTTACCGTCAGTACCTACGGTGAGGATTATGGAGATCATAACCCAAGGTATATGGGGAGAATACGCCACAAGTTCGCGCTTTGTAATAATTGTTTAAGGTAAAATGAATATTACTTTCCAACAGTAAGTATAACTTAGTTCATTAATTCAAATCTTTGCTCACTCTTTAACTATCTATTATCGAAACCAATTTCTTTTAATTGCATTTTCCACAAACTAAAATCTGAACGCTTTAAAATTTCGCATCAAGACGTGGATGTGTATTTTCCTTAACGATTACAAATCTTGGTCAAGCACGCGATTTTTTTGTCGTTTATATTATTTATATCGAATAAGAAACAAGAGTATGATTGAGTCTTGATGACTTTAAAATCACCCATTATATGGATCGCTCCCTCCCCATTTCATGTTATGGATACGTAATAGTCTAAGTATAAACTATAGCCGAAAGAAACGATATACGAGAATTTGTTTTTTATTGAGACCCCCACCACTCCCCACGGGTTACAAAGACATGTGTAGGAGAATTAATCACTCACCTCCCCTTCAGTACGCCAGTAGGTGGGGTCTGGTGGGCAGCTGCTCTGATTCTCGGCGTAGCACTGGTCGCTGGCGACCACCGTATAGTACAGGTGGTAGCGCGGCGGCGTGTCCGCGTCTATCGCCCCGTCTTCGTCCACCTCCAGCTGCCCAGTGTAAAAGTCTATCTTCACCAGGTCCGCCGGCGTGTTGTTCCTCGGCCTGGTTGTTATGTATAACCTTACTAACATGATAAACGCGAATGTTTGTATGTAGAGATGGATGAAACTTTACAGTAATATAGCTTATACGGTGTGTGAACTGTTCTATGAACTTTTTATTGCATCAAGTAATCAGATAATTTAATTATATGGGAAGCTTCTAACCATACAGAATTGATATGGAATGCTTCTGTATAAACAATAAATCTACGTAACGTATACTCGTATTGGGCATTTTTATTTCCGCAGCCATTTTCTAATTGTTTTATTATAAAATTTATTATAAAAATTTTTGTTTATTTTTGTTTTATTCGGAAACTTGACAGCATACAATAATCACATTACAAAATATAATTCACAAAAATATTTAGCCTATTTCTATTGTAGAAGGGCAACGCAGCTTCTGCTTTTGATCAGAAAGGTTTCTCTGCGAAAATACCATGAACGCACAGAACACCGACGTCCTATAAAAGGATTACTCTTTGTTGTATCTCTGGCGAGTGAGGTAGCCAGGTTTAAAAGTTAGTAAAGTTTGACAAAGCATCTGCCCATTACGAGTTTTAGAAATCCATGGGCGGCGATGACCATTTAACCGATTTTTCACATAAAAAACGGGATAGAGAAGACCTTGATTTCTCGAGCATTCCATAATAAGGTGTTATAATAATAGCGAATGTCTCTAGACACGATGGTATAGTGATCTAAAATAGCCCTGTGGACAGTTCGGAGCGTTACTTACACGATGGTGTAGCGAACTTGGTTGTACAGCGGGCCGTCCAGGTCGGTGGCCAGAAGGGAGCCGATGGCGGTGCCAGTTCTCGACAGCTCGCGGACTCTGAAGGGCTGGAGTAAGGTGCCCTCCACCCACAGAGGCGCATTGTCGTTCATGTCGATGATCATCACCGTGAACGTCACTGAAATAAGAACGACACACGGTCGTGGTGATGATGATTTTGTCAAGGTCACTAAGAAGAGATTTATTCCTCTGAAGCCTCCTGGCTATTGCTGAAGAAGCCTCCGTTACACTAAAAAGGATGCTCTAACCTTATAACTACTTACATATTTATTTATCTCTTTATGGGGGGCTTTTTAAGTGTATCCATTTTTTTTAATTAAATTGTAGACAAATAATGTTATATAAAAATGATAAATATTTAAAATCACTCGTAATTAATTAAATACATTGAACTTAGCTCAAAAAGTGCGTTGATTTATGGGAAACTCATTTATTTTACGCGTTTTTTTTACGAGTTTGTTTTTTACGAGTTTGTTTTATAGAATGGCAATTTTTTGGAAAAAAGAAAGTTTTTTTTTTATTTCAATAAACGATTATACTACCGAGTCTGAACCTCCTGTGTGAATTTGGGCACTTTTAGAAAAGCCACCCTGTATATACAGCCTGTCTTTACAATCGCGACAATAAATGAACACACATATAGGGGATAACATTTTAAAGTTTTATTAAACATTTACATTCTTTAAACATCAATATTTACAGAGTTATTTAATTTTCCAAAACAAAGAATTTAAGAACAACCTTACTGTAACGTAAAGTTCATTTGTAAAGGTCGCAAAGCATATGAATGGGTTGTATGAATTTAAAAGAGACAAAACATACTGTTAGAAGGAGAGGCTTGTAATGCGACGCTGAGGCGCGAGTTGTATAGGATGTTACAAATTTTTTAATTACGGATTTTTTAACGTTTATATTTTTTTATGATTATTGGCAAGTAGCGTTAGACGTGTGTTCATTTATTGTCGCGATGGTAACGACACGCTGTATAAATAAATAGATTTTTGATTTTGTTAATGAAGTTATTTAAAATAAGTAATATACAGGGTGATTTTATAGACGATGAACATATTAACAGAACATATATAGAATTTAATTCTAAATTTGAATCTTGTACGTCTTTTGAGCTCATTTTTTTTCAAAGATTATTTAAACATTATGGACACCCTATTAGAAATTCCTACTTTACCGTTTCAATACAATAACCTATTCACGAACACTAAAACTGTTCGCTGAACGCATAAATACTAAACCACTTATCAATAGGGTGACCACTCGTTAACAGGATAAACAAACAATTTTTGAATTGATATTTTCTGGTTATTTCTTGTCAAAATAAAGTATGAACAATTTTTTTGAATTATGGAATGCTCAATTAACATTATGTCAAAGTATGTACTTCGTTTAAAAATCATCCCCGTATAATGGAAATATTTAAAGTCGGTTTAGTTTTTTTGTCACGGCAATCGTCTTTGAAGAGCGAACCCACGTTCGTCGTAATCGTCCCCTATCTCGGTGTTGAGGTCGCGCACCCTGACGGTGAGGTACAGGATCTCGAACTGCTCGTAGTCGAGGGTCACGTTGGGGCGGATCTGGCGCACGACCACGCGGCCCGTTGCCACACCGCGGCTGCTTGGCTCAGGATACAGGGTCTCGATTTCCACGCAGCTGAAGAAAACACTGGTATTTAAAACTTGAATGCTTGGGTGCAACCAATGATTTTACATACGGATGGAGCACGAAAGCTTGGGAGTTGGATGCAACCAAATTACATTATAAACAAATACGATGTAGATATGCCACTGGTGCGCCAAAATTGAGGCACTCAATTGATAACGCCAATTGGTGCTTTCTCTTTCCGTATCATACGTTCTATATCATCTGTCACATTTACTTATAAGTATGTGTCATATAATGTAAAGCGGATAATTTTTTAAACCCGCAGAGTGAACGTGTGTTATCTTTATTAAAACATCATTGGTGAAACTAGTACATTAAGCGTCGAAACGGCTCAACGCTGGGTTAAGATATAAGGTGTGAAAATAGTTTATTATTAATTTTAAACCCAAAATATCTTCCAGGAGGCAGTGGCAGTTTTTTGAAGGGATGAAATTAATAAAAACACACCTACTCCCTAAAAACACATCTTATTTTTTATATGAAGTGGCAAGTGATAAGTGCCGGCCATGGACGTTTGCAACAGCCGTCTTGTTGCAGATGCGTGACCTTTTAATAAAGTGGGCCCGGCCACCTCACTAAACACTTACTTGTGGTACTCCCTCGGGTCCGTTTCTCTCCCTTGCTTGGTCGCGTACGAACTGTCCCAGTCTATTTCGAAGCGTAGCTCGGCTGTTGTATCCGGGTCCGTTGCGCGGATCTCCCGCGTGATTTCTGTTCCGTCTGGCACATTCTCCTCTATTTGCGGACTGCCCCGAGGCTGGGAGAGTAGAAGATTAGTTACAATACATCTATCATTTTTGAGTTACACTTCTTTTGGCGCAGTTGGAAAAATTATGAGAGTAAAATTTTTACGGTGCGCGCGCACACCCACGCTCAAAAAGCGACACGATCAAGTGGTTGCAACCACGAACAACTTCATGCATTACCACGGCAATAAATAACAACTCTTTGAAATTTACCTTTAATTCCAAGTTTTTTAAATATGTAATCAATTAGATTTACATAATGTCTTTTCACTATTTATTTATTTATTTATTTATTGGATTACTAACGCAAGTAACAGTCGCTATAGTCAAAATTATACAGGCATAGGTAACCTAATAACATAATAATTTGTCAATAATAATGAGTTTTGATAATTACAGTTAAAATATTGAGAAGGTATAAAATAAAAGGATTAAATAAGAAAATATAAATAAAATAAGTAAATAAGTGCAAAAAAATAAATATGAATTATACTATAGAAGTATGGCTTCTTACGTGCGGTACATAGGTACAAGTTTGGGACTAGATGGCGTTACGTAAAAATATGACCTTGAAAATATTCATTGCTTTTTTGTATGTGAAAAGTTGTCAAACGAACAGACGGTTCACCTGATGGTAAGTGAATACCGCCGCCCATGGACATCTGCTACACCCGAGGGTTACAGAAGCGTTGACATTATTTCTTCGTGTATTCATTTGTTCTTATGTATTTTAACCTTTTGGATCTTGACACATAACTTCTTTTTAATGTGAAAAGTTGCCAAGCGAGCAGGTGGTTCACCTGATGTTAAGTGAATACTGCCGCCCATGGACAACCTTTTGAAAATTGGGCTCCGGCTACCTCCCTCACCGGACGAAACGTGAAAGTATTTGTCATACTTCCACTTTACGCTGGTCTTCTGCGAGGTCGTCGTACTTGTTACCCGGACGGGCCTGCCCATTCGTGCAACAGCCGAGGCTGCTGCGTGGCCCTATCACCGTAGACCTAGCCTGTGGCCCTGCTTGTTGTATTGTTGAGCACTCACCAGACGTAGGCTCGGTGGAGTGTTGTTGATGTCGTTGAGCTGGATGAGCAGCTGTGCAGTGGCGGTGTGGTACGGTTCGCCCAGGGTGTCGTCGGCTCGCACCTATCGCATTTACACTTTATCAGTATTCCAAAGGCAACGTTACTGGAAAAATGCCTCCCATTACGTATATGAATGAATGAATGAATAATTGAATGAATGAATATACTTTATTGCACACCAAAAAATAAAAAAAACAAAAATTAAAACTATATGTAGAAGTGATGGGTACAAAGGGCGGCCTTATTACTAAGAGTAATTTCATCCAGGCAACCTTTATATAATTTTTAGATAAAAATTTTCGTATTTTTCAAAAGTACCTGTGTTCATGCCTTCGTTATATCTATCTGACAACGTATAATACTTACTATTTTTCATTTAAAAACAAATTGTCAACAGATAGTGTTATCATAGGACCATCCTTTATTAGAAACTAGCGACCCGCCCCGGCTTCGCACGGGTGAAATGTAATTATATAAATATAAAACTTCCTCTTAAATCACTCTATCTAGTAAAAAAAAACGCATCAAGATCCATTGCGAAGTTTTAAAGATCTAAGCATACATAGGGACAGACAGCGGGACGACTTTGTTTTATACTATGACTCTTGTGATATTTAAACTATGGTTTATATTATCAAAACAATAGTTTTACAAACAGGAGCTTTAAAATGGTGTTTGAGGACAAAAAAAACCCTTTGAGAAGTTATGTGTAATAGACCTTATTATTTCAAGGATTTGTTTTTATTCCAATCATAAAAAATATATTTTTTTATCGGCATTTACCTGAACGAATATTTCGCTCTGCCTGTGATAATCGAATGCGTCGTCCACAGATACATGGATTTCGCCAGTCGTGTTGTCGATGGTGATATACTGACCAGCGTTGCCCATCAATGAGTGTCTGTGAATTAGATTTGCCTAATGAGATGCTGAAACTTTAACAACTTCCAAGGAAAGACCAGTCTTATTGAGAACCGTTCAGTACAAGAATATGACTAATAACATAGAGTCCACACGATATTGAAATAATGAAATATGTTCACAACAATACAATCATATAGATTGTGCATGGATTGTTTTATTGGGAAACATCATTATGTCTATGTTGGTATCCATCGGTGCTTGTAATCACTTAGCATCAGGTGTACCTACCGCCTGTTCGCTTACGAGCTTTACACATTAAAAAAACGATCATCCTTTTTTTATGTGACATTTGTCTTACACAGTTACTGAACCTACATGCTTATTATTAATAGCAGCTAGTGTTCGCCCACTGGTCGTAATTCGATTATAAAAATACGGTAGTGTGTGTTTTTTATTGTTTTAATGTATTTTATGAAAAATAAAAAAAATATTAGCATTCTGCACTACTTCTCTATATAAACTATAAGCGTGGAAAATTCCGTACTGCTCCGTCTGCGCAATTTTCTTAAAAAGGGATACAAATTTTTTGCATTACGTCAATATATAGAAGATTATGACTTTCTATTAAGGTAGAATAGTGAGAAGAAAATAGTTTTTATAAACGTGTATTATATAAAAATTATCGACGATCTCGACTCAATATCTCTGTCATGTTAGAAAGAGAAATGTCATGTCATTAGAAGTTAGAAAGAGGTAGTGATCTTTTCCACGTGTCAAGTCCGAAACGAGAGCAAAATGGCCCGGGACACTTACACTACTCTGTCGCCTATGTCCCGGTCGGTCGCAAGCATGGTGGCCACGTAGAAGCCCTGGCCTTCTGTCTCGTTGAAGGTCACGGTCCGCGTGCTGTGCTCGAAAATCGGCAGCTCGTCGTTCCAGTTCACGAGGTTTATGTACACCGTGGCTACTCCCACTAGGTCCGTATTGTTGAGGTCCGTCGCCACCACCTGGTGTTTGGAAGTATGGAGAAGGGCTCGGATTAATGCTCCTGCGGTACCAACCAACATCCACTACTACAACCACTGGAGAAATAACGGGTCTCCGCGCCACGTATGTACATCAACAGCGAGGCATCGTACGATCTATGTGTGAGTGATAAAACATAATAAATCAACCAGCTAAATTAGTGTCTTACACGTGTTTTCTAAGATACTTTTCTGTTTTTATACAATTTTAGAGCAAAATATTATTATTTTAATTAATTCTTATACGGACAGAATATAAAGAGTCAAATAAAAAACATTAAGAAAATTAATTTCGAAAGATCTTACGGCCATATGTGGCGGAAACGGAAATTATTTAATTTCGTAAATTTGGCAAGTTACATTGACACATAAACGAATTTAATCCTGTCCAAGTACCACTTGAGGCAATCCGAGTGCAGCCGTTAAAGTCAAATATAAATTTTCATTGAACAAGTGTGAAGAAGAAACTGGAGTTTGTCACGTGTATGCATACTCAGAGGTGTATTAATGTGGTAATGGGGCAACGCAGCAGATTCTGCCGTTGTATAAATCGGCAGGCTAGTCCAGAGAAGTACCACCACCTCACAGAAGACCGGCGTTAATCGGTAGTACTAAACTCTCACGTTTAGTCTGGTGACTGAGGTAGCCGGGGCCCACTTTTTTAAAGATTTTCAACGCATCTACGAGCCATCGGGTGTTATATATGTCTATGGGAGACGGTATCCACTTAAATTCATGTTAGCCGCCTGCTTGCTTGGCAACTTTTCACGTGAAAAAAGAAGTTAAACGGATCATAATACCCTGAGTCTGATGTTTTGGTATTCCGGCACTTCGTAATCAAGCATGGAGTGATTGAGAGTGCCCATTATGAACTCCTGGTGCTGGTAGCCCACTTCCGGTGCGATGTAGAACGCTTTCGCCGCGTCCGCTGGATATTCGCTCTCAAGGTGCACGCTGTATTGCGCGTTTTGACCCTGTTTTCAAAAGTTAAGAAAATAGTTAGAACTGTTAAAACTTTAAATCATCTTCTACCATCATAAATATCATCATTTCAGCATGTTGGAGTCCACTGCTGAGCATAGACCTCCCATAGATTACCACAAAACGCGATCCTGAGCCACCTGCATCTATCACGCACATCTTCAATATCTTCGATAAATCAATGAATTCGGATATCCATTAGCCTTTACAAATTATATAAAAACTGTTTGTGAAGGTAACTGTAAAGATGTATGGCATTTAAGGGTACTTCAAAGTTTGCATGCATACACACAGTCTAGACTTAATTAATCCCACGCATGGCTAATCTATCAATCTTATCATATAATCTACGATCATCTTTATGGTCATTAAAACATCATTAAATTAAAAGTTTCCCTCCAAGACTGACTTGTACAATACGAGTGATTTAAGGAGCAAATGAAATATTCATAATCACCAAATCGCGATCGTGAAATCCCAGCTGTTCTATGTTCAGGGTCATAGGCGTTTCCTCCATTATGTCGATTCTGTACTCTTTGTACAGAGGCTCCGGTCTCTGGTCGTTGACGTCATTCACGATGATGACGACGTTGGCGGATAAGAATAGACTCTCGTTGCTCTCTTTGTAAGCTATTATCGACAGCTGGAACACTTCCCGCTGCAGCTCGTCCCTGTCTATGGGCGAGACGTGGAAAATGGCGCCGTCGTGCCCATCCCCTATCGTGGTGATGTTGAAGAATGTGTCTGAAACCAAGTTCAGATTCGGAGCTCACACGAGGGTTATACGTGACGTGGCGGCTGTTGATGTTTAGGGTCCCGTACCCAAAGGGTAAATGTGACCCCATTTCTAAGACTCCGTTGTCTGGGTGTCTGTCCGTCTGTCACCAGACTATATCTCTCGAGCCGTGACAGTTATACGGTTGAAATTTTCACAGATGATGTATTTTTGTTGCCGCTATAACAAAACGTACTAAAAAAATATTTAAGTAGGGTTTCTATACGACAGACATGATTTTTTTGTCGTTTTTATAGATTAATCGTTGCGTTTCGTCTGAATGAGTGAAGTAACCGGGGCCCACTTTATTACAACAATTCTACAATTCTACGGGTGTGACAAATTTCCATGGGTGGTGGTTAACACTTGAAACATCACCTCGCATGGCTAGTTCCCAAAAAAAAAACTTAAGTATTTAGTACCTGGGCGATCGCGCTTCACTCGGCGTTGTTTTCTATGGAACCGTGTTTTTTTCTGGTATTTTTACTCAATAAGGTTATTTGTATTCAGATAATGCTATATAGCACTTTCTATGGACTGTAGACCTCAGTATCAACGAAATTTGAAGTTGAAACAAGAGAAAATCGGTGGTGACCCACGGACAGACAGAGGGACAAAAGAGTGATCTTATAAGGGTTTCTATTATTTTACCTTTTAAGGTACGGAACCCTAAAAACGAGCTCCCCAACAATGAGCTATCACGGCTCAAGTTAGAAGTAACATAACATTACCTTCCGGTGCAGTCTCAAGCCTGTAGAATATCGGTCCATTGATCCCGGTATCACCGTCTATTGCCCTGACGGTGAAGCTCTGTTCGGTCTTCTCGTCGAACTGCTGCACAGCGAAGATCTCCACCCAGCGTGGCGGTCTGTGCTCCACGTTCACAACTTGCACCATCAACGTCACAGTGTGATTGTTGGGCAGCGAGTCCTGGAGACGATGCTCAATTTTACTGATTGACTAGCTAGTCATAGCTGTGCCCGCGACTGTGTCCGCGTATAATTTGAAATAAATAAATAAAATTTCTAAAATAGAAGTAGCCTTTTTTTTGTGAAAAGCCGAGCGAGCATACGATTCACCTGATGTTACGTGAATACCGCCGCTCATGGACATCTGCTGCGCCCGAGGGTTCCAGATGCGTTGACAACCTTTTGAAAATTGGGCTCCGGCCACCTCACTCACCAGACGAAACGCGAAAATATTATACTTCAACTTTACGCTGGTCTTCTATGAAGTCGTGGTACTTACCCGGGCGAGCCTGCCCATTTGTGCAACAACCTACCACCGTGAAAAGCCTAAGTTAAGCCTTATTACATGAGCTATCTGCCAGTGAAAGTCCCGCCAAAATCAGTCCAGCCGTTTCAGAGTTTAGCCGGACCACACGACAGACAGACAGACAAAAAATATTTTGGTGCATGTACCGTGTATCCATCCATATGCACTTTGTAAAAAGCGGTTATTTTAATTTTACAAAAAGACACTCCAATTTTATTTATCTGTATAGATGGTTAAAAACGAGACGGCTTAATAGAACCAAACAGAACAACCAAACAAACTTGAATAAATTAACAAATAAGTGTACTAACTAATAACAGATAAAGGTAGCAAAATTTCTTCCTCCATCCTCCCTTTATCCCACCTAGGAACGGACAGCAAAACATGTGAATTATGCTGTAAGTGTTTTTGGCTAGATTTTTACGGCCGCCTGCTTGACAACAACAACAACAAAATATCTGTGTATGGAAATTTATGTTAAATAAATTGCAACAGAAATAGAAGGGGCAGTTGTCAACTTACGAATGCAGTGACGCTGAATATGTGGAGGGCGTTCGTTTCGAAGTTCAGCGAGGAGTTGAGGCCGAGGGTCATCGTCATCCGGTACCACTCGTTTGGGATGTTCTCGCCCTGGATGTAGAATATGCTTTCGTCGCCCCTGTCGCTGTCGATCTTGAAGGTCATGAAGCGCGTACTTATCTCGCCGTCCGCGTCCGTCACTTGGTACACACAGTCCGTCGGGCCGGGGCTGCCGAGTTCCTGTTTAATACGGTAACTACGTTAGAAGGACCTGCCATTATATGACGGGGTTATGTAGGGTTCGTACGCACTAAAACCCCCTCGGTAGCGAACTTCTGTACGTTTGGAGGGAACTCCTTCGGAACGCACCGTTGTCGCTCGGTGCTGAGCGTGATTGATTAACAACTACGAGCGAATGTAAGAACGGTTGCATGAATGAATGAACATTATCTACTGTCTTACCGGCACCCGGCAGGCGTCCAGCGCCTGTATGATGGGATCGTTGTCGTCGATGTTCACGATTTGCAGGGAAACCACCGCCACCAGGGACTCCCCGTCAATACGCACTTGGAACATGTAACGCTGCATCCCAGGTGTCTCGAAGTCCTGTCTGGAAGCACGTTATTGTAAATAGGTATCAGTCTATAAACGGCGTTAATGTGTAGTCAGAGCTGGCGCAAAAGGATAACATTTCCACGATGCCTTCTGCGTTATTAACAGCGACACCCCGACCATAGAACTTTTTTTCGAAACTATATGTTTCTTAAAATGCTGTTACTTGTTTTATGTATTACCGACGTAATTCTCTTTAAATTAAAATTTTGTTTTGTACAGATTTTTGAAAATGTTGGTACTTACTGCTTATTTAATACAAACTGAGGTATAATTGGAACCGAATGGACGGTTGCAGCTGGCTCATGATGGTACTTCGTGATGATGATGACGATTATGAAGTATAATTAAATATATTTTATTCTTTACGGCGTAGTCCACATATTAATTCTAATACCCACAGAAGTGTCAGATTTTTTCACGCCTGACGCCACCAGGTCATACTTCCAAATCATCGATATTGTTAAGTTGAACTAAATAACAATCTGTTCTCGGACTGAAACCCTAAGGGTCGGTTTCAAAATTCTATCTACGGATAGATTTGGTCACTGAAGATAGAATTTTGCCGTTACTATTATGGAGATAATGTCAAATACCTGTCGCTAGTAGGATAGATAGAATATTGAAACCGGCCGAAGACGCACTTAATTTTATTTTAACGTACCTCTGCGTTATGTAGAGCATCCATTTGTCATCCACTTTACGTATTACTGGACCCAGGAGATTAAACGAACCAGAAATGAATGCCCCGACTATGTAGGGCACCTCAGTTCCTGAAATGCCATTTGAAAGTGTAAAACTGGATAATAACGTTAAAAATGAGACCACTGCAGAAACAGGCTGCGCTTTTTATAATTAAGTCGTCTTACTACAGTACACTGTATTTAATACAGCAGTTAATTTGTTTTTTGTTTTATTTAAATGTTAATAATATACACCTTTGATATAGTTACAACGTGTGAAATTGAATTATCATAATCTTAAGATTTAATTTTGTATTAGACAACTATTCTTCATTTTAATTTTGCAAACAAAAATTTTTAAAATTTCAGTATAAGCACACCTTAAATTTAAATCTGATAACATCCCCTATTCAATTTGGTCGAAAAAATACTTTAAAAGGTAGAAGATTGCAGAGTAATAAATTAAGTATGTTAAGTAATACAACTTTTCTACCGTAAACGAATGATTGTCATTTCGGCAAAGTTGTATAAATAAGGACTCGTCATACTGGAGAATTTTTGTGTACTAATTAAACGGAAACAAGTGCTATCTTCGAAACTATGAGCTATACAACATTCCATAGACATTTATTCCCTTTACGCCCGGTTTCTGAAACATCTTTTTTATTCTTCAACACATCTTTTCACATACATTAAATCTTTTTTATTAGACAGTTGATTAATTAACATCTACGATGATCAGTGTTTCAGAAACCGAGCGAGTTATACCATACCCTCAATTTTACATTTCTTATTTATATGTTGGAATTCTATATAAACGCATTGCCTCTTGCTCTCATAATATAATAGGGAGTGTATAATACCGTTGTAGTTTATGGTGGCGATGGCCACCTCACCCACTATCTCCTCGTCCATGTAGATGATCTGGGTGCCGCTGGTGGGGGGCGCCGGGACGTACTCGTCCATGCACACGTCATCGCGCTCGGGAGCTGGTGTGAAGGGTCTCTGGCTAAAAGGCACCCCTGGAAACCGGCGAGTCGATAGTTATGTCTAAACAACGACTACAAAAGGACAGAACTAACGACTCATGTCAGCCGGATTAAAAAAAGTTGAATTGCATTAATTCTCATCTATTAACATATCAAGTAGGATTAGGATTCGACGGGACCAAAACAGACTTGAACGAAGGGTTAATCGTAGAATGACAAAATATGGTAGAACGCTGTCTCTACGTGTGTGCAGATTGAAAAAAATATAGGTACCTAAGGAACGTTAAATACCAGGTTATTTTAAATTAAATTTTATAAATTGTTAATCAATATTGGTTTCTACAATATTAATGATTTTATGTCCACGAAATGTTAAAGTAGGTACAAATTGTTCATTGTTTTTGTTTTGTTTATTGTATTGTATTCTTATACCATGTTTTATGCAAATTAACGCTATTATTATTACTATAATATAGCAGTAATAAATATCGATATAACTATAATAATGTGTATGACTTTGTTTGGTACCTAACAAACGAAAAGCTATTGTTATATAAATATGTTCATAATTATATATCTGGTACTATGAAATTCTATTTCTGGTACTATGAAATTCTTTTTCTGGTACTATGAAATGTAGTATTTACCTTCAAAATCAAGTTCAGGCAGGTCAGGTTTCGGCTCGCGCGGTATATTGGTCATGTATGAACATCGCTCTAAAGGAAGAAGGAAATAAAAGAGTTATTATATTATATGTATTTATGTATATGTTTTTTATATTAAATAATAAGCCTAGAATAGGTTAATTATATTTATTCGACAAATACTTATCTTCACTTTATAATTATTATGATATTTTTTTTAAATTATTCAAAGTAATTACAATATAACACTTCTTATTAGGTATATATTTTACAAAATTGAGGTAGCTTCTACCTTTTTCGTAGAAAATAGGCGACAAAAATTAAAAATTTTCTACAGTCTGCCAGGTGGAAATCGTTGTATTTCATCCGCATATTTATTTAATTAATATTATATAATAAAATATTATATTAAATAATTTGTACACTATTCGAATATTTTAAAAAATAATCTTATAACAGATTATAGAACACTTATAACAGTAATTCTTTTTAGGTGTTTATTTCATTTTATCCTAAAAATCGCGTGGTGGAAGAGGTAAAATCTAACTGAATTACGCCCCTTAAGATTGAGCATAGACCTTTGAGTGAGAAAAGAACCAGAGCTCTAGCCACCAGCCGTAGCAGTAAGGAGAGGACGGTTCAGATTCGATGAAGTCACTTACCTTGACAATACACGAATGTGCCTTCAAGTATTAACAGCAGTACCGCCACCAGAGAAACATCTCTCGCCATTTCGCATGATCCCCTCAGCTTTGTATCTGTGTGTAGTTTTCATTAAGAATAAATTATAGATGATGATATTAGTTATCAGAGGGAATATTATTATTAAATAATAACTATCATTTCTTAATATGATCAGTATAGTGTTTTATTTTCCTTAATTTGATTTTTCAATGATTTCCCTTTTTCCATTTTATAATCAATGTGTTTAATTAAACTCCTCGGGACCATCCAAAGTTTGACTAGAAGAAAATGCTAAATGCATTAATTCCACCTTCGTACATATTTTCTGTGCATAAAGAATAAATAAATAAGTTGTCGTCCATTCGAACACCTTTAGTGTAACAAAAACGCTTTGGGTGTTATTCGTCTGGACGCAACACGAAATGTTTTTTATTTTTTAATTATTATTTCGTAATCATGTAGGTTTTAACCATTTCGTCAACGACATTCGATTTTCGTCAACGCGATTAAGCGGCACTTTAAATTACAATAAACTTTTTGAAGACGGATTTGAACTCGGCTTGCTCAAGTTCACTTAATTAAAAGCGAACTTTCACGCCTCTACTGATCATCGCCTCTACTCTACTACTCGGTTGATATATGTGTTGCTTTTAAAATTTTATACAGCATCCAAATAAATTTGAAAAAATCTCGAACTGATTTCGTAAAGATGTCGATGAATCTGTTTGACAGAGGAAATTACAATATGCATATTTTCGAAATTATAATAAAAAATATTTCGAACCGAGGCTTTAGCTTAATAGGTTATAAGTAATTATTTTTTTTGCAACCACATGATATAATTAGGGAAATGAGATGTGAAAAAAAGTCGCTGATCATTGACTAAACGAACTAGTATTTTCGCGAATTACTTAATATTTTCACGGCTGAATTGCTTCTGGTGTTTGCTATCTGACAAAATATTTTTAAAAGATTATCGTTTAATCTATATATATATAATAAATACTATATATATAATAAATGGAGTAAGGAATTTTGATAAGATTATCGATCGCGTCACGTCCAAACTATTTCGGTTATGTGCGATATAACAACACAGATGTACTTCTAGTCCTACTCATGGTCATTTTCAACACCTGGGGCAATTTACCTGATGGTGAGCGATTACCACCGCCCATGGAAATTAACAACGCCCGAGGGATTGTAGATGCGTTCCCAAAGATCAAAAATAGCGACTGTATTTACTTCACTCAGCAAACCTAACGCAAATGTATAATACTTTTACTTGCTTTATGAACTCATACTTCCCAGAACGAGCACGCCCATTCGTGCACCGTCAGAAAAGAAAAGAAATCTGTAAACTAGGTTCATTTTAATACGTATAATATTCGCGTAAACTCAAGAAGTAAATATCAGAAAAGAAAATGTATAAGTGGCCCTACCATAGTAATCGTTTCTCATTTACATGCATTTCTCATAATATAACTTTTTAAATAACTCTTTAGTCCGAATGTAAGCTACTGTTTTTTTATATAGCACCTATGTCGCAACATAAACATTAGGAAGTGACTTGGAAATAATTTCCGACTTCAAACAGGAAACTAAAAAGCGTTGTTAATATCTCTAACATTTGAGAATTGCCCTCGATTTCTCTGGGATGCCATCATCAGATCCGGGTTTTCTTACCAACAAAAGAATCATCAAAATCGGTTCATAAACGACGAAGTTATCCGCGAACACACATAAAAAAATAAAAATATGTACGGTCGAATTGAGAAACCTTCTTTTTTGAAGTCAGTTAAAAATGTGACAAATTTCTTTTGGTCTTTGGTATTTCTGAGAAATAAGCTCTCAGCAAAAATACGACATTTTGTAGAGTTTATAAATTTAAATCCAACCACAAAACAACACCCGTAAAGTAGGTATACGTCTAAAATATTTTATCTGCCTACCTTTTAAGAAAATGTTAAACAAACTGTATCACTTCACTAGAAAGAAATCACACAGATTATTTAGGAAGCAAATGAAAATAAAAACAAAGTCACAACTATTAGAAATGAATTCCAATTGTGAACACTTTTTCTGTTAAGTACAGTAAGGTCTGATAAGATTGTATTCGATATAGATTAACGATTAATATAAATATCTTTTAGGTAGGTGTACATCGTAGGCCGTAGCGTTGTTTTAGGATAGATGTACGTCGTAACAGTTTTCCTGAAAGTAATACCACATATTTACAATGATACTAAGGAATTTTTTCTCTTGCAGTATTATTTCTTTCTTATTTTAAAATCTTATTTTAAAAACATTTCCCTTACTTTAGGATTACATTTCCCTGCGTTGTAAGGGCGTTTCACAAACATAAATTTCACACGGACCACATAAATACCCAGATGCGAAACATCTATCTATGTGTCACACAAATAGTTGTCTCGTGTGGAAAACGAACCCACGACCCCCGACGCCGAAGCCAATACCTTGGCAACTGCGCTATGGAGTCATCAAGTCATAAAATCATTATGCAGTTTTACTATGAATATCAAAGGTGGCGTATGGGACAGGAGCACGTAGTCTAACCATTTATTTTTCAATATTTCAATTGCTTTTCAGTATGCATAGATGTTTTAGGTTCCCGTTAACCAAGCGATCAAATGATATCTTTAGGCTTTCTTTGTGGTATCTTTTTTTAGTGAAAAGTTGTCAAGCGAGCAGGCGGTTCACCTGATGCTGAGTCCGCCGCCTATGGACATCTCCATCATCCGATGGCTTGCAGATGCTTTGAAAACCTTTATGTGGGCCACTACTACATACAGTGTCACTGACACAGTGACTCCGGCATTTGATCGTTGAAAGTATGAAATAATATTTACAAGATTAAATCTAAAATTATGTATTATCGAATAAACCTAATCCACGCGGCATGTTGCCAAGAACGCCAGCTGCATTTCCTCGCTGAATAGTTATGCTTAACGTTTGAGCTAGAAAAGAACTTGTCTTGCTCACTTGACATAAACCTTTAATAATTTTGATGCCCCCCCCCCCCCCCCCCCCCCCCCCCCCCAAACCTCCCTCCCAATGTCAAATGGTTTATGTACCAAGTTTATTAATGCCGATATATAAAATTTTAACGATTGAAATAAATAAACGTTTGGTCATGCTCCTCCCTTTAGTTGGCGTAAAACAATAAGTTAGATAAGTTATCTGTATATCAACGCAATTGGTTTTAATCGGTGAATAATTCCAAGATAAGTCATACCATAGACGGTTTGAATGCAATCACTGAATTGTCTTTGTTGTCTACTCGTCCATAGAGTTGAGCTTCAGCTTCAGACATACAATGAAACTAGCGGGGACTTAACCATCTTTTTACCTTCTACTTTTATAGAAAAAGTAGTAGTCCTCCCCTTTTATACATCGTGGTCGTTAAAACCGCGACAATAAATGAACACACATATAGAGGATATCTTTGTAAAATTGTATAACACATTTACATTCGTTAAACATCAATTTTTACCGAGTTATTAAATTTTCAAAAATAAACTATTTTAGAACACCCTTACGTATAAAACTGTAACGTAAAGTTATTTTGGAAAGGTCACAAAGCATATGAAAGGGTTAAAGGAATTTAAAAGAGACAAAACATACTGTTAGAAGGAGAGTCTCGTAATGCGTCGCTGTGGCAACGAATGAAAAAGTCTCTGAATGTATGAATCAGTCAGTTGTATTTGTATAGGATGTTACAAATTTTGTTTCTTTTTTACTTAATTAATTTGTTTAAAAAATAATTTTTTTAATTATGGATTTTTTAACGTTTATATTTTTTTATGATTATTGGCAAGTAGCGTTAGACGTGTATTCATTTATTGTCGCGGTTGTAACGAAACGCTGTATATCGCAATCGCAACATTTGAATTAAAAGAACCTAATAAAGAAAATCAAGATTTTGACTTTATGTCAGAATCCATATATACCTGAAACGAATACCTTTTTCGACTCATATTAAAACACAAGGGCCCATTGTAGAAAGCTACTTAACGTATACTTCGGTCACTTTCACTCCAGTCTAATTATCGCCTGTGTTCATAAGTGCACAAATATTTATTTAGCAAGTACATTTAAAAAATTACCATAGATAATAAAAAAACTTCTGTTTATTATACTGAACACGAGGAATTAAAACATAAGACTGCATCACTATTTAGTGGATTACAGACAAGTACTACACTGTGACAGATTTAGTAGTTCTTTTATTTACTTCTTAATTTTTTAGCCCACAATGCTTCTTTTGATAGAAACAAAACAATTACGCTTTAACAATTACCGATATCTATAAGGGCAGTGCGTAAACATGTTGCAATGAAACGATATCTGACTTATCGATGGAATTCTTTCACTATGTCGGACGCCAAGCGTTATTTATTGCCGATATGCGACTAGCACACGAGTGGATGGGACGTGGGGAATTCACTTAAAAATAAAGTCATAAAGTGGGAAATCCTTTTTTATTTCGGCCAGTTTTAAATTTTTGTCTATCTACTACCTGCATATTAATTTCAGACCAGTTCAAATCGATGTGAAAGTCTGTGGTCGTATGCTCATACATAATTAATATAATTTTAACTAGTCTACTACATATATAATAAAAATTGTAACTGATCGTTGTCTGTACATGGAAGATATTTTCAGATTGAGAAAAACTATTATTGGGGACCTTTATCAACGCAATAGAACCGAAAACAATGATTTTTAACATTTTTGTCTGTTAGTCGGTGCGTTTGTGTGCCGAGATCAGCATCTCAGAATTGGCTTAATCAATTTGAGTGCAACTTTCACTAATGCATTGTAATCTTCACTTAACATTTAGTGTTAGTTTTATTTCAATCAGTTCATGAATAAAAAAGATACATCAACTTATAGAACCACATTGAAGATTTGTGCAATAAAATGCTATTTAATGACTATAGTTGACTGTAGTTAACTATATATTATGGTCTGTAAAATGATGATGATTGTAAGTTTATATAAAGTTAAAAAAATCGTCCAACTGC